AAACTATTAGTAGTTTAATCATTTAAATCAACAATGTTCACATTCGTGATTTAAATTCTGATTTGATCAAGCAATTAGTTTCAACGATTAATGATCAATTTCAATCAATCGTTCAATGTAATTGAACTAATCATTTAACAATTTAATGTTATTTATATGATCAACAGGTGGAGTTATTATTGTTTTTAAAAGATGAATTAAAATTAAACTTTTGATTAGTAAAATTTTCAAATGATTAATTAGTCGAACCATTTGATATCAAATCCGATTGATAGGCAAGGATTATATTCATATTAAACTACATGATTATAATTGATTTAAGTTTAATTGTTTACTTTTGTCTGTCAAGTTGTTGACATTAGTTGACGAAAGTTAATTGTTAAAAATTTACAAATATTATTGATATCACAATTTCCAAGTAATCACTTGTAATTAGTAAATTGTCGTCAGTTAATTTATATATTGTGGCTTACAGATTATTCAACTGTAATTAAACATTATATAAATATTGTTGCAATTTCTTGAAACTTTCAACATCATTAAATGAAAATGATCTTTGTAATGGTGTTGATGAGAAAAATATTGAATTATTATCGATTGGTTTCTTTGATGAGGATGATAATGATGATATGAATGATGAACAGGGAAGATGATGAAGGTGCTTGAGGTAAAGGTAAAGATGAAATTTGCGATTCAAAATAACTCGGAGCGGGTTCTAATTGGGATGATAAACAATTTGAATTTGATTCCGACGATAAATTGTAAGTTGCATTTCCATTGAGTTGCCCTGAGATTGATGTTAATGATGGATATTTAATTGCTTGCTCGTAGGGTGGAGGTAAATCACTATTGATTTTCATAACTGCTCCTCTAATTGTAAAATTGTGCATCTAGAATATGATTAAGAACAAAAAAGAGTCATTATAACAATTAAAATTCAATAATCAAAAAAAAAATACTCAAATTTTAAGGTAAATCACTTGAAGAAATACCAATTTTTATAAATACATGATTAATGTTTGATTTAATTGTCGATGTGATCAACAATTAGCAAAATAGATTTTTGATTAACTTTATCAACCTTAAAACCTCATTCTAATTGCTTGTAACACCAAATTAATTAACTACCAATGTTTTACTTGATTAACCTTGACTATTCCTGCCCGCTTATATTAATTGTTTCCCTCATCAAATGTTAATCTTTAATTCATAATCACAATTTAACCTTAACCTTGACTTAACCTTGACGCAAGTAAATAATGATTGTTATAATTAAATCTCATAATTACAGGTATTGTCTCATGATAAAGATAACAATTAACGATTAAACAATTGTTCACACTTAAATCAGATAAAATTAATTTTCAAAAACACTAAAAGTTGATCAACAATCAATGTAGATGAGGATAAGAAAGTGGTTAATTGTGATTGTACTTGACAATGGAGATAATCTGATTAATAAAAAGACAATCATCATTATTGATTAAGTTTTTCAATTTCATCTAATCAAATCAAAAAAAAAATATATTGATCATTTTAACAGTTGATTAACTGTTGATCTAAAATGATACAATTTGTATATTCATGATTGGTTAACAATTAACACATATGATTTGGTAACTTTGACTTATTTCTTACTCTCTTCCGGAATAATTTATTAATAGTCAATTAATTTATTTGATGATTGCATGATTAGTGTTTAATGTTGATTATTGTTTGTTTTTTTCTGTAATGATGATAAATGATGAAGATGACTTGCTAACTGTGTTTATCCATTAAACTTCAATTCTTTTCTACCTTATTCTTCCTACCCGATTGTCTGTTACAGATCATTGACATTACCATAATTAACCAATGAAAATGATCATTGAGAGAGAGAGAAAACAACAATCAATAAATTGGAATATGGAACAAAGAGAATAATTTCTAAATAACCACTAAATCATTCGATAGGAAAAATCGATAGATTTAATGGTTAACAACAATTAACTTCTCTATTTCAATGAGTTTTTCTTTATTCTCTTTCAAATTGAATGTTAAAAGTTTTCGCTTACCTGATTAACGTTAATCGATAGATTAGCAAGTGAGTTGAGGGCTCGTCGACATCGATTAAGATTATTGGTCATAGTGTCCAAGCAAAAGAATTTCCAGCAAAAGAGGATAACCCAAAATAGAACATTTATTCCAAAGATGACGAATAAAATACTAATCAATATAAGAAATCAATGGAAACAGAGGATTAGAAGATGAACATTTGACAACAATCACATAGAGATTCTGAGAACATATATTGAATTTAATAGCGAAAACTAATTGTTACGTTATTAGTATTTAGTAATAATCAATAAGGAGTCGATAGAATTCAATCAAAAGTGTTCATTATCGATCAGAGAGATTTTCAATACATTTCATCCAACAAGTAGTTGGATCAACATCGACTGATTATAATGCAAACGAACAATTTTTATACCTTAATTTGGTCATTGGTCAAGGGTAAAAACTTACATTTGATAAGTTGGTAGATATGATTGGGCCATGAGATTAATAGGTAATCATGATTCGCCATTAAATTGTCATCAAAAGGAGTTAATTGTATCCATAATAAATAAAATCCAAACGCACTGATAATTAACAACCAACTAAGAAGAAGAATATTAATACAATTAACAGATTAATTGGTTAATATTAATAAAAGAGAAAAAGATGATCTAGATTATCAACAAGAAAATGGAGAAAACCGTTTGCAGAGAATAGAAAATGTGGTTAATGTGATTAATGTGCTATCATCGAAATGAGTGAAAAAGGTGAAGACCAGAGGAGAGAGAGAGAGAGAGAGAGAGAGAGAGGCTAATGAAGGGAGAAAATATAAATTGGAGACACAAACATTTAGGCCATTGATCTGAAAGAGAAAAAGGTAGAAGAGGGAGAAGGAGTGAGAAGGAGTGAGAGAAACAAGATGATGGAAATAAATTATAATTGTTTGTGTGTGTGAGAGAGAAAGAGGGTGGAGGAGGTGGGAGAGTGAGAGAAGAGGGAGGTTAGTTAACCAATAGAATATGTAACAAACACACAAGAAGAAATAAACAAGTGAAAAGAGAGACAATAAAAAAGAAAAACATTTTTACCTGAAGACAAAGAAAAAGAAAAAAAAACAAATTCTCTCTCTTAATAAACACACAGAAGGAAATGGAGAATAGGAAAAGAAAAATTAACAATATTTACCTTTTGTTTAATCTTCATCATCTTTCATCATCTTCCTTTTTCCATATGAGAGAAGGAGAAATGAGCGACCATCACACTAATAGAAAACAAACGTTTTCTATTCTCTTTCAGTTTCTCCATAATGTTACCTTTTTCTCTTCTTTGTTGATCGTCTCTCTCTCTCTCTCTCTCTCTCTGCAAAAGAAAACCACATTTTCTTTTCTCTTCTCAATAATTTATTTAGTATTCTATTTATAAATTATTTAGTTAATTGTTGTTACGATACAATTGTAATTAGTTAAAGAAAACCACAAAAGGTTAATTGATGTTTGGGTTAACCATTTTCACCCGTTTTCAAGGGAATAGGTACTGACCTTTTCACTTTTCCTCCCTTTTGGAATTGCTCTTGATTACCTTGATTGTTGATTCACTTTTGTTTAATTGTTGTTAGCAGAAAATAAACACGTCGATCACTAACATAATTAATAAATGTTGATACGAAACATGAAAATCAATTTAGAATCACAATTAACTAAGACAAACATCGGTGAGAAATGAACGTGACTCTGCAACCACTTGTGTTCATCTGAAGGCCTAAGACTTTTTCTCAACGTAACAATCAACTTCAAGAGATTCAGTTGGTTGAACATTTAATTGTAACAATTAACAACAATTCCACTGTTTTTCTCTCTCTCGTTTCTATTGATTTCGTTCGAGTTAAAGTGTTTCATCATTTTAATTTTCTTTCAAATTCCATTTCCAAATTCTTATTACAATTAACATTAATTAGAGATATTCTTATATTGGTAAGTATTGATTAAAGTGTTTCGATGATTTAATTTTCGCATTTTCATTAACTAATTTTTCTTACCAGTTTTCTTTGTGATTAACTAATTGATCTTTTTTCTTGGTTTACGTGATTTCTTAGGATTAACATGTTTCTTAGTTAATTGTCCAATGTGATGTTCGTGGTGTTTAATTGCTTCCTTATGGAGTACAGATAATTCATTTAGTCCGATCAATTGACGACGTTGATTGCTAATTGTTTCCATTAGTTTTGATTCTCCACCTGATTCACAATTAGCTGAATGAATCAGTCTAAAGGAAAATATTGTTACTTTAATTGTTTAAACAATCAGATAATCGATTAACTTACATTAGAATTAGCGAAATGATCAAGGTTGAAAATGACACAAAATTAACCATTTTAATTGTTAGACACAAAATTAGACTTTTTTTTCCTAAATTGTAATGATTAAGTTGAAGAATTAAATGAAATTAACTTCGAATTGGCAAATGTTTTCATATCATTTTTATACAATTTAGAGTTTAATTGTTGCAAGGATTCTAACTCCATTTTTTGCTAAATTAAGAAGATTAATAAATCGATTATTGTTAATTGTATTCCGTTAACCGTTTTAGAAATTAGTAATCATCATGAAGAACAATTTACTGATCATTTAGTTTCCACGATCTTTGTAGGGTTGGGGCTTAGGTGGTTCACAATTTTCTTCAATATTCGAATACTTTTCAATCTCGTTGATCAAATTAACAGCAAATCGAGACGATGACCATCAGAATCTTTGACCGCTTCTTGGGCCATTTCAGCGTTAGAATATTCAATAAAAAAATACTTGTAGAGAGAAGCAAATACAAAAGATCGGAATTAGAATTTGAAATTTGGAATTAGAATTTGAATAGAAAATCATTTAAATGATACAATCAACGAAAATTGTGTCCATTTACTTGATTCTCATTAACCATATTCCATGAGTTCATTCAATTCGTAATATTGATACGCCCCCTCAGGTCAAAATTCGAAAATCGAACAAATTAATTAACTTGTTAATTTTTTTAGCGTCAAAAGTTCAGTCGTTTTGTTGTTGTTTTTTTTTCATTTTTTGGTGACACTTGTTATTTTTCTCTATCAAAAATCGTCATGGCATCATCACAAGTTCCAAAATTAAGTGAAATTGATGATATGTGCGAAAAGGTAAGAATTTGAATCCATTTAATTAATAATCTCTTCTAATTTAACCTTTTTCACTCTTTGCTCACTAGGATCAAGAAATTTGCCTGGAGCTTTACAATTTACTCGATTTTTATACAAAAATGGAAAGAAAATTGGAATCGGCGAAAGCTCAGGATACTTCTCATGGAAACACAACAGGTAGTGGTGAAAATTCAGTGGATACTTCAACCAAAAATCACAATAATGATCATCTAAATGAAGTTCATGGCGATGAACCTGTTCAATCAAAAATTCACTCGGATACTTCCGATATTATTGATCTTACAGGTGATGAAGTGGATACTTCTGGTGAAATTTGAGTGAGATCATCAGGAGTGAATTATATTCACCAAAAGAAACAAATTTTTTCAAACATTTAAAAAAAGCTCATCAAATTTGATGATTATTCAATTTGTCTACATTGATTTTGAGAAAAAAAAAGAAATGTTATCATTTTATCAAATAAAATGAATTGATTATTGTTAATTGTTTTCTCTTTAATTGGACAATCGTCTCTTTTACAAACTTTATTCACCAAAAAGATTAAGTTAATTAAAATACAAGTTTGATACAAGGAGATTTTCATCATTTATTGAGCTTCAATTGTTGAAACTCAATTTATGTTAAGTCCTTGATGTTTTTAGGTTGATGGTTTGATGTTGAAGTATAAAGATTAATTGATGGCTTTTAATTGGGATTTTTAGACTTTTTTCTTTCTTATTATTCTGATTGTTATCAATTTGAATTAATCATCTAATTCAATTTTCTCTTCACGAATCAAAAATTCAACAATTTCTTCACTATCTCCTTCTTTCTTTTCATCTCGAACTCCTCTTAATTGTAATAATTTAACACGACGTAATCGAGCTTCTTGTGTTTTCTTTTCTTTGTATTCTTTAAATTCGTCCATAAGCTTCTTCCTCTTATCCAAAATGTCTTTCGATACCTTGGACATCATCATCTTGTCCTTTATATCGAATGCGGTTGAGTACTGTTTAAGATTCTTCTTAATTTCCTTGATCTTTTCCTCAGAAAGAAGACTTTGTGGTCGAGGTCTCCAAAGTAATTGACAGAATTTATCTAACGTGTGTTTCCTAACAAGTCTACCTTGGAAAGACCAAACCCAATATGCATTATCAACCTGAAAAGATAAAATAAAAATATCGATTAGAAAAAAAAAATCAATCTCAGTAAATAAATCGATGCAATGAAAAGTTTATCTTCTAAGAAAACTTACCTTATGAGCCCACCAACTAACAGCGGTGGCTACAAAACGACCAGTAGGATCCCACTCGACATCAGTGGCCATAAAGTGTTCACCGGTATTGGTAACAGTAAAATCGGTTGTATCCACCCATTCGAGGCCATGGTTCATACTTCGTAAACTGGCCATAACGATAAAAGTACCACTGGGTGACCAGAACAAGTGATTGCATTGTTTGTTTTCAAATTTTTCTACAAATAGTAACAAAAAGCAATCAATTAGAAAAATTACCGAAAAATCAACATCTGATTGTCATCAACAAAAATCAAAATCATCAACTTACTCAGCAAGGAAATTGTGGTTCCTTGTTTAATACCATAGAAAGAGACAGTATAGAATTGGGGTCCATCGCCATGAATAATAGCAAACTTATTTCCAACAGGTTCCCAGGCAAAAGATACAATTCCCTCTGTGAACACAAAAAGAAAAAATTATTTAACAATTGAAATTTTTAAAACAACTAATTAAAATACAGTAATTGTAACTGTAATTATGATAATTACCTTTGATTTCAATACTAGCAACTGGAATATCTTTTTTCCTCATGTCAAATATTTCAAAATTGTAAAACATTCCACTATATTTGACTTCATTTTTCTCCTTTCTAACTTTAGTATATCGATCAACTTTTACACACAAATAGTCACCAGATTTTTGCCAATGCATACGACAATCGGCAACATTGAAAAGATTTTTAGCTCGAAGTTCAGTTTTAGAGGGAATCTCTAGAAGGGTTACCCGAGCGGGTACATCTTTATTCTCGGCCACCCAATAAGCGAGTATATTTTGAGATGGTGACCATGAAAAGTTTTTAACTCCAGCAATTTTCATTGATTTCTTTTCTAGGAGAGCCATTGACGGAGTCTCATAAATACTTAGGAGATCTTGTCCAATTCGGGCAAAGTATTTATCATCAGGAGACCATTTAAAAACTGGCCAACTAACTTTTTCTTGCTCTGAGTGGAATGTTCGTCGTTTCACTCCTGTTCGAACATCCCACATAATTATAGCCTCCGGATGATCATTGGCAGCTAACATTGAGCTAAAGGTTACAAGATATTTCTCACATGGAGAAAAGTCAATGTAAGAAACCCCTTCGTGTGTAAATTTAACAATTTGATTAAACTCATCTCCACCCCAGAGAGCGATTCCTTTTCGATGGAAAGTTGCTATGTAAGTTCCTATTAGAATGGTAACAATGGTAAAAATAAAACGATAAGTATAGAAAAAGACAATGGAATTAGATGTAAGCAAAAATTGAAAGAACAATATGTTTTGTAGTCAAGGGAAAAAAGTGATGACTCTACCTAATGGAGACCAGATAACAACAGCATCAGTCCAAGCTTTACGTTCTCTAACAGAGATTGGGTCTGGTGTTGCGTTTTTGAAAATAGTAACTAGTTTTCCCTCGTCATGAAGAACACTGTACTGATCATAGCAATCAGGGTCTAAGATCCAACTTCTTAGGTTTCCACGATCTTTGTAGGGTTGGGGCTTAGGTGGTTCCCAATTTTCTTCAATATTCGAATACTTTTCAATCTCGTTGAACAAATTAACAGCAAATACGTGTTGTTTATCGAGACGATGACCATCAGAAGCTTTGACCGCTTCTTGGGCCATTTCAGCGTTAGCATATTCAATAAAAAAATACCTATAAAGAGAGAAGCAAATGAAAAGATGGGAATTAGAATTTGAATAGAAAATGAATTCTCACTTAAATGATACAATCAAAGAAAATTGTAACATACCCTTTGGTACAACTTTTTTCATCTAAAGGATAATAAGGTTCACCTATTATTTTTCCGAATTTACCGAAAAATTTCTTGAGAACAGTTTTAAGTTTATCAAGACGCTCAGGTCCAACCTGAGGGATGTTATCAACAACAATAATATTATCGAAACCATCTTGTTCCTTTGGTCTTTTTCTCCATAATTCGGGTAAAATTTCTGTGAGCAAAAAAACAAAGAAGATAAAAGATTAGTTGGATTGCAAAAAAAAGATCACAGGTAAAAAGAAAAACAAAAAGATCAACGTTAAGATTAGAAGAAAATAAACTAGTAGAAATCCTCACAATAACATTTTTTAATAGTTAATAAAAAAGAAACACGTGTAAACCTATCAGAAAAAAATAATAGAATAAAATAGAAAAAGAGAAAACTGAAACCGGTGAAAAAATGAGATCTCATAAAACTACCGGTTAACCAAAACACACCACCAGATAAAAGCATTGAGAGAGAGAGAGAGGAGAACATGGTGTCAAAAAGAAAAAGAAATTACCTTCATCTCGACCATCATCAATGAAATCCTCTGGATCACTAAAATCAGGTTCATCAGTTAGATCATCAGGTGATCCATTTACGTGATTCTCATTAACCATATTCCAATAAAAGGCAACACTCAAAACTCAATATGTATTATAGAAACAATTAACTTTTCCAAAGCACACACACACAAGCTAAACATAAAGCAAAAGGAGAACAACAGAAAAGAAAAAAAAAGAAACACTGAGATGGAAGAATAGTAAACACCAAATACTAATCACAATCTCTCACAGGTGAAAGAATCAATAATCTAAATATTTAATTGTAACAAGAGAAAGAAAATTGCAACAATTAACAAACAAATTGTTAGAGAAAAGAAGAAAAAAAAATCAAACAATTTCCATCAAATCAATTGATCAAAAGTGCAAGAGAATTCAAACTCCGGAAACAAGAGTCGCCTCTTCAGTTTGACTCGTAAGCGAAAAAAAGAACATGAGAACTGTCGCCATCTAGCGAAAAGAGAAAAGAACAAAATTTATTCTAAATGGAAAATTCGAAATAAAAAGTAGCCGCTCTTTTCTCTCTCTCATGTTTCTCCCTTTTCTCTTTTCTTCCCCAATGTGAATCTCTCTCTCTCTCTCTTTTGACACACACCCTCATTCTCTCTCTCTCTATCATCTTCATCCTCATCATCTTCTTTCCTTTTCTCTTTCTATTTTAACGTTTCTTTCTAATTCTCTTTCTTTTACCTTCTCTCTCTTTTGTCTCTTCTCTGTCTCTCTTTCCTCTTTCTTTTCTCTCCCGTCTTTCATTTTCCAATGATGAAAAGATGAATGTTTGATATTTTTATTCACTTTTATTCACTTTTTTTTTTAGTAGTTGATTAGTTTAATTTGTTTTTGTTTGATTATAATTATTGTCTCTTCATCTTTTTTTGCCTCCTTCATGTTAATTACATTCTACAATCTTTTCTTCATTACCTGGTGAAATTGACAACTGTTACTTTTACTTCTTAATCTTTTGCTCTCTCTCTGTGTAATCACCATCATCATCATCATCAAAAAGCAACAGCATCTCAATCACTATCTATTTCTCTCTCTCTCTCTCTCCCTTTCTATCTCTACCTTTACCTTTTTATACTTTACCTTTTTTTTTGTTTCTTTTTATTATTCTTTTTGAGAGATAAGTGAAACTAAAGAGACTGAGGAGAGTTGAATATTGAATTTTGTCTCTTTTTTCTGTTCTCTCTTCTTCTTCTTCTTAAATTGTTTCTCTCTGTTGTTGTGTGTGTGTTTTCTTATTCACCACCACCGCCAACAACTATATTAACATGGCTTCTTCTTTGGCTGGATTGGAAGTCGCTGCCAATGGTCGTATTGATGTTTCCAAGGATCCAGAATTAAAATATCTAGTTGTTGATAGGAATTTGGTTGCTGATCCAGCTCAACAAGCTGAATGGTCATCAAAAAAGTTAATCTGGATTCCTCATGAAACCCAAGGGTTTGTCTCCGCTTCCATAAGAGGTGAAACAAAAGATGAATATGAGGTTGAAATTGTTGAAACGGGTAAAAAAGTTACCGTTCCCAAGGATGATGTTCAAAAAATGAACCCACCAAGATTTAACAAAGTTGAAGACATGGCCGAATTGACCTGTCTTAATGAAGCCTCCGTTCTACACAATTTAAAAGATCGTTACTTCTCTTGCCTTATTTACACCTATTCTGGTTTATTCTGTGTAGTTGTCAACCCATACAAAAAGCTTCCCATTTATACCGAAAAGGTTATCGAGTTATATAAAGGTAAAAAGAAACACGAGGTACCACCTCACATTTTCGCAGTTACAGATGGTGCCTATCGATCAATGCTTCAAGATCGTGAAGATCAGTCCATCCTTTGTACAGGTGAATCGGGTGCCGGTAAAACTGAGAACACCAAAAAAGTAATACAATATTTAGCCTTTGTTGCCTCGTCTAAACCCAAATCGTCAATGGCCGCCATGCAATCAGGTGAACTTGAACAACAATTACTCCAAGCAAATCCTATCCTTGAAGCTTTTGGTAATGCTAAAACCGTTAAAAATGATAACTCTTCCCGTTTTGGTAAATTTATTCGTATCAACTTTGATGCATCGGGTTTCATCGCTGGTGCCAATATTGAAACATATCTATTGGAAAAGTCTCGTACCATCCGTCAAGCAGTAGATGAAAGGTGTTTCCATATATTCTACCAATTACTAAATGGTGCCTCACCCGAACAATCTAAAGAATTTCTCTTGGAAGATGTTAAAAATTACACATTCCTCACCCATGGTAATGTACCCGTACCGGGTGTTGATGATGCCTTTGAATTTAAAAATACTTTTCAAGCTATGCAAATAATGGGTCTCAGTCCTGAAGATTTAAGTGCCATATTTAAAGTAATCTCTGCCGTTCTATTATTTGGTAATATGAAATTTAAACAAGAAAGAAATTCAGATCAAGCCACTTTACCCGATAATACGGTTGCCCAAAAGATAAGTCACCTTCTTGGTATGAATGTAACCGAGATGACTAAAGCATTCCTTAAACCTCGCCTTCGAGTTGGTCGTGATTTTGTCACCAAGGCTCAAACAAAAGAGCAAGTTGAATCTGCCGTTGAAGCGATTGCTAAAGCCTGTTATGAGCGTATGTTCAAATGGTTGGTCCACCGTATTAACCGTTCACTTGACCGAACCAAACGACAAGGTGCTTCTTTCATTGGTATACTTGATATCGCCGGTTTCGAGATATTTGATCTCAATTCATTTGAACAACTTTGTATAAATTATACCAATGAAAAGTTACAGCAACTTTTCAATCACACAATGTTTGTCCTGGAACAAGAAGAATATCAAAGAGAAGGCATTGAATGGAAATTCATTGATTTTGGCCTTGATCTTCAACCAACAATCGATCTAATTGAAAAGGTGACTAATTTTAATACAAACAAACATCCAAATGAATATCAGATGATTTTAATGTTTATTCTGTTTTTCTTTTTCCATCTACTTTAGCCAATGGGTATTCTTGCTCTTCTTGATGAGGAATGTTGGTTCCCAAAAGCGACCGATAAAACTTTCGTCGAAAAATTAGTTTCAGCCCATGCAACCCACCCAAAATTCATCAAATCTGATTTCCGAGTATCTGCTGATTTCAGCATCATTCACTACGCTGGAAAGGTATGTATTAGATTAACATTTCTCATTTAGTTTAAGGTCACTTTTCCATTGTTTTTCTTTTTATATAAAACATTAATTCTCTTTCTTTTTTTTCTCCTCCATCTCTCTACACTTTATTTTTTTTCTCTCTCTCTCACTATCTTCATATGTTTGTTATCTTCTATTATCTTTCTCCTCTTTCCTATTACCAATTCATCTTCTTTACCTTATAAACAACATCCAACTCATCTGTTACACTGGTTACAAATTCAACTCACAGGTTGATTATTCAGCTAATCAATGGTTGATGAAGAACATGGATCCATTGAACGAGAATGTTGTTGTTCTTTTACAAAACTCACAAGAACCTTTTATCATGCAAATATGGAAAGATGGTAAACAATCAATTACAATTATTTTTACCTTTTTATTTCTATCGTTGGTAATCAAAAAGATAATAATCATAAATAGTCATAAATTTATCAACTATCATATTAATAATAATATTATTATTGGCTCATCATCATTACAATATTTAGAAAATCAATCTATTACCTAGTGATGATCACTTTTTTTTATTCGTCAGATTAGAGGGAGACTGTAAACTAATTGTATATTTTTCTCTCTCTCTATTTCTAACCAAAAAAAAAAGCTTCTGATAGAATAATATAAATAATTTAACGATGATTATCTAATCAAATTTTTGATTTTCCTCTCTATTCTCAAAAATGATTCATTTACAGCCGAAATTGTTGGTATGGGAATGGCAACCATGGGAGACACCCAATTCGGAGCAAGAACGAGAAAAGGAATGTTCAGAACCGTCAGTCAGTTCTATAAAGATCAACTTTCCAAATTGATGGTTACTCTACGAAACACAAATCCAAACTTCGTACGATGCATCATTCCCAATCACGAAAAAAGAGCCGGTAAAATTGATGCCACTTTAGTTCTTGACCAATTGAGATGTAACGGTGTGCTTGAAGGAATTCGTATCTGCCGTCAAGGTTTTCCCAATCGTATACCTTTCCAAGAGTTCAGGCAAAGGTTGGTTTCAACAATCAAGTTTACTCTTTTCCTCTCAATCTCTTTTTGCTCTCTCTCTCTCTCTCTCTCTCTCTCTCTCTCTCTCTCTCTCTCTCTCTCTCTCTCTCTCTCTGCTCAGTATTGTCAGGAAATCCTGATTTTCAATGATAATGTCGAATCGAAACTGCAAAAGAAGTTGAATGAAAAAAAGGTTCACATTAATTTGATCGTCTACATAATTGAACATGTGCTTAGATCATGTTTTTTTTCTGTTATACATTTAGGTACAAGAACTTTCAGAATTTTTTTAATCTCTCTTTCACTCTGTCTTTTTATAATTCTCACTCTCTTTTGCATGTTTCTTTTTAGTTACATTAGACAAAAAGTGATGTTGATTGAAAGAGAATCAGCTTTTTTTCATTACTGATACTTGTCGTTTACCATTAGGGTCTTGGGACATATTAGTGTGTCTGTGTGTTTTTCCTTCAAATCAAAAGATAGTAACAAAGTCTCTCAGTTTTCGAGTGAGAAAGAGAGTTACAGATACAGAGAGTGAGAGTGAAGATGAGAAGTTAAATAAAAGAAAAAGAATGAAAAAAATAACCTAAGACGATAAAGAAAAGACTAACTCAATGGTTAATGGAAATATCTGGGCTCGTATCCAAACCCCTCTAACAAATAGTGTCTCAAAAAACACCATAAGAAACACAGGGAAAATTCAGCTAATCTGATTATACAAGTTTATCGTCGCTTAAATTAGACATTTTGTTCATTTTTCATTCATTATCGATAATAATCATTGGACATGATTAATCCTTTTCTATGTATCATCGTGATTACATTAGCCTATCAAATTGAGCCAGGAAATGTTTCTCATAAACTCAATTTCCATTCATTTATCTACACATTTATACCTATGTGAAAGTGTTTAAGGTACATAATGAAAATTTGAGTACTATTAATTACAATCTCTCTCTCTCTCTCTCTCTCTCTCTAATTTGTTTTGTATTAGTTTAATTTTCTATGTGATTGTGTGAGAGTATTCATTTACTTTGATAGGTTTATTTTTTATCATCAATGCATCCGGGATATGATGTTTACTCAATAACAAATCAAAAAGGAAAACAAATAAAAATATGAATCGATGAGAAGTAACAATTTAAAACAATTTTATTGATTCTGATTCCATGTTTAGATGATAAATTTCCCGACGAAGTTGTCTTCATGGATATCCCATGAAAATTGCTTCTATTTTAGAGGATGATGGCTTGAAAGTCAAACTTTTTTATCCTTCTTAATCTACTCTCACTCACTCACAAGATCTCCAACCTCTCGTTATCATGATTAGTTGTAACTTATTTGAATAATGAAATATCTTTGACAGCCATATTCATCCCTTAACTTTGGTTCTAATTATCTGTCGATGAGTTTTTTTTTCCTCTCCTTCGCCATCATCCTAATCATCATCATCTGTTTAGATCCTAATAGCAAGTGGGTAGAAATATTAAGAGAAAGCATCAAGATGATGATACAATAAATATCAAGTTGAATCTAAAAAACAGGATAACATGAAAACAACTCACAAGAATGAAATAGTATATAAGTTACATCTTCTAAGTGGCGGGTTATCAATTGGGAGAAATGAGAGTTTAATTTTTCATCAGATTAATATCAAACTCAATCTCTCTCTCTCTCTCTCTCTTTGCTATTTTTTCTCTTTCTTAATCCCTTTCTCTTTTGTGGTTTATTGTTATTCTTTTTATAATGATGATTTTGTTATATAATTTTTGTTATTATAATTTTCTTCATTATGATGATTTTCATTGTTCCATTATTGTTTTTTTCAATCATTTGCTACTTTTAATTGCTCTTATTTATATTTACATTGTTTCGTCATTGTTAAGGTGATTTACGATGTGACTGTAAAAAGTTAATTCTAAAAGCTTCTCACTCTATCGTCATCTCTCTTACTCTCTCACTCATATTCCTACCTTTTCCCTTCTCTTCCTCTCAACACAGTTGTAACTTTGATTAACTTATGATGAATCATTTCATCGCTATTTTGTTAAGCATCTGATCATTGAATCTTTTTCTCACAAATACAACCTTCTCTCCTTATTTTGATTACAAAGCAATTTCCACGCCAATTAGCCTGATTTCCATAGCTCTCCCACCTCTTTCTCTCTCTCTCTCTCACTCACTCTCTCACTCTTAACGTCTTTCATTTGTCTAAATACTCACTGAATGATACTGAATATACAATCTCCATCTTCGTCATCCCCTTTTTTTAACAGTGGCACAAATATAAACACACAGTCATTAGCTCTCTCTCCCTCATTCTCATCCTTACACACCTTTTTTTTCTGCTTCTTGTTTTCATTACTCTATCTGGATTATACAAATGTTTTAAACGGATATGATTAACATACTGTTTATTGTGATTCCAGGTTGATTATTTCAACGGAACCTGTAAAACAATTATACCAATGATTAGGATATTATGATGATCTTATCTATTCCCATGTTTACTTTACTATTTGAGATCGACTTTTGATTCAATAGTTAATGACATAAGTGCCAAAACAAAATACAAAGTTTGAGACATTTTCAAGAAAAAAACATATCAATGTTTACACTTAATTTCTGATATTTGAAAGCTAATTGACCATAAGACTATTCATCAAACTCTCAAGACTCACAATAAATTTTGAAGTTTTTTCTCACTTTTCCATGATAATGATGATGAGGATGAATAAAGATAGAGAATGATGATCTTTCATCTTCCCTTGCCCTCAGTGGGTTGTCCAGAAATGTCACTTAAAAGATTTAAAATTTAAATTCTATTCCGTAAATTGATAATAATCATAAGATTTTCCAAAGTTAATTAATGTTGTCTCTTTCTCTCTCAAATCCACTCATTCACTAATCTTATCCCTTTACGATTCCCGGGTAAAAACAGTAACTCAAAAAAGTTAAATCGAAACCAATAATATGTATCAATAATAATTTTCCAAACTAATTGACAGAATCATTTAACTTATTCATGTGTAATCATTTCTTATTGACTATTGATATTTTCTTGCAATGACATTGGTTACCGCCCTTGAAAACAATAATTGTATTTATATACGTACTCGTAATTATGGTTAAAACTTCAACTGTGAGATGAGTGAAAATTTACCAATATATGTTAAGTGTATTTGTGACAATGATGATGTAAAAAAGGATGATGATGATAAGTGTGATTCCATCATTTTCTTCGTCATCATCACATCCATTTTCTAAAATAGCTCTTATATTCTTACTCTTTCATTTTTCTTCTCTCATCTTCTCTTCACTTGCCTGTCTTCATCTTCATCTTCTTTTTCATCTTCAACCTTCGTTTTTCTTCCTTATTATTATTATTATTTTTCACTAATTCTAATTTACTATTATACAGATATGAACTCCTCACACCCAATGCAATACCCAAGGGATTTATGGACGGTAAATTGGCTTGTGGGAAGATGATTGCAGCACTTGATTTAGATCCCAACCTTTATCGTATCGGTCAAAGTAAAATTTTCTTCCGAGCTGGAGTATTGGCTCAACTTGAAGAGGAAAGAGATGCAAAAATATCTGATTTAATCAAAAATTTCCAAGCCATGTGTCGTGGTTTAATTGCACGTCGAAACTATCAGAAACGTTTACAACAATTAAATGCTATTCGAATCATTCAACGTAACTGTGCAGCTTATCTCAAACTGCGTAACTGGTCTTGGTGGAGGTTGTACACCAAAGTTAAACCTTTACTTCAGGTAACCAAACACGATGAACAGTTACTTGCCAAAGAAGATGAACTTCGTCATGTTCGAGAGTTGAAGGAACGCCTTGAATTGGAAATCGGTGAAATGGAAAAGAAATTGGCCGCTGAGAGAGAAGAGAAAGCTGCTTTGGTAGAACAACTTCAAGCAGAAACTGAGATAGCTCAAGAAGCTGAAGATGCTCGAGTTCGACTTGCTGCACGTAAACAAGAATTGGAAGATATACTTCATGATCTTGAGGCTCGTATTGAAGAAGAAGAAGAAAGGAATCAATCTTTGACCGCCGAGAAACGGAAACTTGCTGTGGTCATTCAAGATCTTGAAGAACAATTGGAAGAGGAAGAAGCCAATCGACAAAAGATACAGTTAGAAAAATGTACATTAGACGCCAAAGTCAAGAAGTTAGAAGAGGACAATGCTCTTCTTGAAGATTCCAATAACAAATTAGTCAAAGAGAAAAAAGTACTCGAAGAAAGATTAGCCGAAATTTCCAAATCTCTCTCCGAGGAAGAAGAGAAAGCGAAACATTTAAGTAAACTGAAAGCCAAACACGAAGCGACCATAACCGAACTTGAAGATCGTCTCTCAAAAGACACTCAGGTAAATCACAATCACTCTTTTCCTATTGTCTTTTTTCCTATTGGCCTTTCTTGTCTCTCAATCTTTTCAACAATAAGTTTAGTAACAACAATGAGATGAAAGGGTTAACATTCACTCAGATTCTTAGTTTGTTAGTTTTCTCTCTGAACATGAAAAGTTTTTCCTTCAGGTTGTCGACCGAATCTATTATTTCCATGGAAAAGAAAAGTTGCTACTTCAATCTATTTGCTTAATTGTTCATTTACTTGAATTTCAGTTATCATATACAGTTGATTCACTAATTTGGCTCATAAAGAAAATTTTAACAATTTATTATCTAGGTTTTCCTCTTTTGTTTTAAGACAGTTTAGCAAGTTGAGCTGAAAAAAGATGAATTAAGGTCTGATTTCTTAATAATCTTCATTTCTAATCTCGTCGAGGTTTTTTGTTTCTTATCCTACTCTCTCATTTAAATTTCTCTTCCTTCTCACTCTATCCTTCTCACCCCTTAATTAATTTTTACATCACTTTCTATGTTCCCCCCCTCTCTCTCTCTCTCTCTTCTTCACCTTTTTGGCCTCTCCTCTAATTTTTTATCTCTCCCACTTGTAACCATAGATTCGTCAAGAATTGGAGCGAGTTAAAAGGAGATTTGAGACCGAGTTGAATGATGTTAAAGAACAGTTGAATGAGAAGCGTCTCCAACTCGAGGAGCTTCAAACGCAATTAGGAAAACGTGAAGAAGAATTGAGTTTAGCTTATTTACGCTGTGATGAAGAAAGTGTTCATAAGGGTGCAGCCCAAAAAGCTCTAAGGGATATTGAGTCTCAACTGGTGGAACTTCAAGAAGATTTGGAAAGTGAAAAAGTTGCCCGTGCAAAAGCAGAGAAACAAAAACGTGACCTTAACGAGGAACTTGAAGCTCTGAAAAATGAACTTCTCGATTCTCTTGATGTGACTGCAACTCAAAAGGAAATTGCCATCAAACGTGAACAAGAATTACATCATATTAAAAGTGCTATCGAAGAGGAAGCCTCTCAACACGAGACTCAAATTGGTGAACTACGAGCCAAATATTCAAAGAGTATCGACGAACTCAACGAACAATTGGACAATTTGAAAAGAGCCAAGGCAAATTTAGAGAAAGCCAAGGGTAATCTTGAAGCGGAAAACGCTGATATGGCCAACGAGATCAAAAGTTTAACTGCCATTCGGCAAGAAAGTGACCGTCGTCGTAAACAACTGGAAACTCAATTACATGAACTGACCACCAAATATGTTGACATGGAACGAGGTAAAGTTGAATTAGTTGAAAAAGCATCCAAATTACAAGCAGAAGTGGATAATGTGAATAGTCAACTTGAAGAAATTGAAAGACGAGCAATCCAAGCAAATCGTAACAATCAAGCTTTGGAAGCTCAATTATCTGAATCACAAGATCTTCTTCATGAAGAAACTAAACAAAAGTTATCCCTTACCACTCGACTTCGTCAAATGGAATCTGAGAAAGAAAATCTTCTTGAACAATTGGAAGAAGAGGAAGAAACTAAGAAACAATTAGAGAAAAAAGTTGCCGAGTTATCAGCTCAAATCAATGAATGTAAGAAGCGAACCGATGACGAGAATGACATGTTAGCCGCAAGTGATGAGATCAAGAAACGGTTAACTAAGGAGATTGAAATTCTTCAGCAAAAATTGGTCGAAACAATTGGTATTTCCGATAAGTTTGAAAAATCAAAGAAGAAACTTGAATCCGAACTTGAAGATCTTAATGTTGAATTGGAAAATCAACGGGCCAAGGTATCCGAGCTTGAAAAGAAACAACGTAAATTCGATGCCATGTTAGCTGAAGAGAAAGCAGCTTCTGAAAGAATCGCCGGTGAACGTGATAATGCCGAGAGGGAAGCTCGTGAAAAAGAAACCAAGATTCTGTCCTTGATGCGAGCCTTAGAAGAGAAAGAAGAACAATATGAAGAATTGGAAAGACTCAAGCGACAACTTTTAACCGAATTGGATGAACTCGTGAACAGTCAAGGTGCTACCGATAAGAATGTCCATGAATTGGAAAAAGCTAAGCGAACACTTGAAAATCAAGTAACCGATATGAAAGCTCAAATTGAAGAGTTGGAAGATGAACTTCAACTTGCTGAAGATGCTAAATTAAGGTTAGAGGTTAATATGCAAGCATTAAAGGCTCAATTTGAACGTGATCTGATAGCCAGAGATGAACAATCAGAGGAGAAACGTCGAGGATTATTGAAACAAATTCGAGATATGGAAGCAGAGCTCGAAGATGAAAGAAAACAAAAGAGTCTTGCTATGGCGGCCAAAAAGAAGTTCGAAAGTGATTACAGTGAACTAGAACAACAGTTAGAGATCGCTAATCGATTGAAAGAGGAGGCCAATCGTCAATATAAGCGCCTTCAAGCTCAAATGAAGGAATTCCAGAAAGATTCGGAAGAAACCTCTTCAATGCGAGAATCATTGGTTGCTCAAGCTAAAGATGCTGAAAAGAAGGCTAAACAATTGGAAGCTGAGGTCGCTCATCTACAAGAAGATTTGGCAGCATCTGATCGTGCCCGTCGATTAGCGGAAAATGACCGGGAAGAATTGATGGAAGAAATTGAAAATCATGTTAATCGATTCTCACTTATGCAAGAAGATAAACGTCGATTAGAAGTTCAAATTGCCCAATTACAAGAAGAACTTGAAGAGGAACAATCAAACGCTGAAATGGCCATAGACAAACTTCGTAAAGTGACCGCTCAACTTGAAGCATTGAATGTTGAGTTGAACAATGAACGAGCGATCTTACAGAAACTTGAGAACGACAAGTCGATCATTGAAAGGGCAAACAAAGAGCTTAAAGCTAAATTGGCAGAAGTTGAAACATCACAACGATCTCGAACCAAGGCTAGTTTTGCTTCCATGGAATCTAAGATTGCTCAACTCGAGGAACAATTGGACATTGAAGTGAAAGAGAAATTAGCGGCCACAAAAGCGGCTCGAAAATTGGAGAAGAGAAACAAAGAGATGGCAGTACAAGTCGAAGATGAACGTCGACATACTGACCAATTTAAGGAACAAGTTGAGAAAGCAAATAACCGAGTGAAAGGATTAAAGAGACAATTAGAGGAAATGGAAGAAGAATGTTCAAAGGAAAGGACACTTCGTAGGAAGACCGTTCGAGACTACGAAGACGCAGTCGAGGCCAATGAAAATCTAACCAGAGAAATAGCAAGTCTCAAGAATAAATTGAGGTAATTATTTTAATCTATTTTCCCTTAACTTTGCCAAACTAATTGTCAATCATGTCAATCATGAGATGAAAATTTCACACTTATCATCAACATGATTACCATGTTAATTTATGAATCACCAATGATTAACTTAACTAATTTGAATAAAATTTTCTTGTCCTTTCTAACAATTTAACAGACGCTCTGGTCCAGGCTCATCAGGAGGATCTTCAAGGGGCTACCTGGGTACTAAAAGAGGTTCAATGAGTGGTGCTGGAGGTGGAGATGATGGATCCATCGGATCGCCATTAGATGACTCACCAAATGATGATAGTCCGGCTTGATTTATTTTAATAACAAAAAAAACCTCTCACAATGAAAGAAACAGAAAAGCAAATCATCAAGTGTGTGTTGACCATAACAGTTTTTTTTGTGCGATTGGACTTTAAAAACAAACCAATTTTAAAATGTTAACTATTTTTATCAATGTGAAAAAAGCAACAAAGGAGAAAACATCAAAAAAATTAATTAATTTGAAAAACTGATCAAGAGGAAGGATTTAAATTGGGAGAAAAGTTTATTATTTAGTTTGTCAACACTCACACACTCGTACACTGAATGAGAAAAGGACATTTTTACCATTCCCAAAATTTGGCTTATTTTTATATTCTCAATGAAAAAGCAAAAACATCATACAAACCACAATCAATGAACAATTTAAAAGTTTAAACAATTACCCCGCCCCCAACAATCAACGTTAATTTCACCAACTTAATTTGATGGCTCAAGCCTTTTATGAAACAAAAAAAAAATTATTGATTCTAAGCAATTTGGTTTTATTTTACATATGCAAGCAACAGAAGACGAAAAGGATTTCAACAATTTGTTTTAATTACCATCAAGATCAATGAGCAATTAAGCTCTCAAAGTGCTTATTTGTGTGTTATCTTAATTTGTTTTTGTTCATCGACCAACTTACAATTTAAATCAACAATTTAATCAACGTTAATGGTCAACAACAACAACAACAACAACAACAACATCGTCAACAAAAGTCTCGCAGTATTTTGAATACCAACAATTAGAAATACATATTATTAACTGAAAAGGTTTTTTTGCCAGACAATTTATAATATTAATAATTAATTAATAATAAATTTACATTATTTACAATGATAATAATAATAATAATAATATTGATAATAATAAATATGTTATTAACATTGATAATTGGCTCGTCTCATTTTGATTGATTTCTCGGTTTTGGTAAAAAAAAAAAGTTAACAACTTTGAGTTAATTTGATTTTGAAATTAGTTTTCACAATTGATTGATTAATGTGATTTAATCATTTGTATTACACATTTGATGATTAAACTAATTACAGGTACAGTTAATTACGTTAATCCAAATGAATGAAATGATAATGAGAAGGTTAAAGTTGATCTTTTTCAATTTTAACTGATGATCAAAGTAAAACACAGACAATTATAAATAATAATAATTGAAGAATCAATGACAATTTAAACTAATTAGAGAATCATAATTAGTAATGAAGTGAGAGAGAAAAAAAAACTCGAACGTTATATTTATAGAATGGGAAAATAAGTATGAAGATGATTAAAGAACGAGATAGAAAATGATTATTAAATTGTCAATTTTCTCCATCGTTAATTAACAGAAGAATATAGAAGAATAATTTTGACAGTAACAATTAAATCTAATTGTAAATGAGAGTAAATTTCCAATGAGTTACATTGAGAATCCATGATGGCGGATTAGCCGGTAAGTGAGAAGATGAAGAAACTGTTTCCATTTTAACTCCAATTAAATGATCAATTAAATGTTCACTTTGCTTTCGATGAGTTCACGTAACATAAATTAGCAACAATTTAACAAGCAATTAACATGACAGTCGATGATTAGGATTGTGAAAGAAAATCAATTCAAACATCGAGACAAAATTTTCCATGGACAGCTGACTCATCCGCCCTTCTCTTTCTTTTCTCTTTTCTCTCTTTCTAAGTCATATGTTTTTCTCTTTCTAATTTACTGTCTTCGTTTCTTTCTCAGAGTTCAACTGTTCATATTTTTAGAATTGTTTTGTTTTTCTCTCTCTTTTTTTTTCTTCTTTTTTAATTAGAATAAAAGTTGATTTAGTTAATTAATTTGTTGATTGATTTACTAATTAATGGAATGGATACCAACAAATTACGATTTGAACGTCGAGCCCAAAGGAAAATAGATGAAGCCCGACTGAAAGCGAGACCAGGTAAGCCTTAATCTCTATGAGTCTCAGGCTAATTTTGTTTTCTCTTCGCTGATGATTGAATTAAATGTTAATTTCTTTTGATAAATCAACTTAATTACAGTTAATTGTTTCCTCAACATTACGTGTTTCATTAGTTGAATTGTAATTTTAATTCTATTACCATATTGGTTCTAATTGTCTTGTTTCTCTTCCCATTGACTTGCGGTTTTTTCTTTTTCCTTTTTTTAGCTTCTCTTTTTTTTGTTAATCAATTTGTTCTATTCTTTATATCCAAATTTAGGCTTTACTCTAATGATTTAACTTAAATTACTCAATAACATGGGAAAATAATTCCATTTTCAACCTTTTACGGTATTGATTAGATTGTATTCTCATAAGAATTGTTTGTTTGGGTGATTGTGTCAGTTTCTTTTTTATCATATTCTTCTTCTTCTAGATGGATTTTTCTTTTTACTATTATTTTCTCTTGTTTATCTCAATCAATTGATGACAATTTTATTCTTTTTTTCCATGTTTAGAATTGGCTGGTAACAATTTTGATAAATGGCGAATCCACGATTATGCCCATAAATTTACTCTCGATCCGACCAAATATAAAGATAATGTTGAAAGAATTGATGTTAGCAAATGTTCCCATGATACTTTTGTTGAGAAATTTGAGAAAATTTATAAACCTGTAGTAATTACCGGAGCCACCAAAGACTGGAAAGCTACAGCAAAATGGACACCATCAGTAAGTTTACAGTACATATACAGTATGTAGTTAATAACTAATCTAAATTTTGTCCTTTCTTTTTTGATTTTTCCAGAGATTGGCCAAAAAGTATCGCAATCAAAAGTTTAAATGTGGCGAAGACAATGAAGGATACAGTGTAAAGCTTAAGATGAAATATTTCGTTTATTATATGAATAATAACAAAGATGACAGTCCTTTGTATATATTTGACAGTAGTTTTGGAGAGGTAAGAGAGCGTTCATAATCATCATGATCCCTATTAACTCATGTTGGCTCTATGACAGCATATGAATTATGAATATCATATACTACATAGATATTATTACTTAATTTTGAGTTGCCATGTATCAATAATACCTTGATAAACGGATTAGATTGCACCTTCATTCATCCATCTTATTCCAATTGCTGGTTAGAAAGTTTCAATGTCAAAACAATCAATAGAACATGAGAAATATTTTCTTTCTCTACTTGTTTATTCAATTTCTCTCAGTCAATTTGCTGTTTTCCATTGATAAAATCATTTTACTGATTTTCTATCAGATTAGATTATTTCCTTTCTCTTATTTATTTGTCTTGCCAATCTTTTCTTTTTATATTTATCTTATTATCATGTCTTAATTTTTCCCCTCTCTTCTTCTTCTTCTGAAATTTATCTTCATTAGCATCCAAGGAAAGGTCGTCTATTGGAGGATTACGCTATACCCAGTTACTTTCAAGATGATCTTTACAAATATGCTGGTGAAAATCGCCGTCCGCCATATCGTTGGTTTGTCATGGGTCCACCTCGATCGGGTACAGGTATTCATATTGATCCACTGGGGACCAGTGCTTGGAATGCATTGATTCATGGTTATAAACGTTGGTGTCTTTTTCCTACTACAACACCCAAAGAATTGATTAAAGTGAAAATAAGTGAGGGAGGTCATCAAACTGACGAGGCAATTACTTGGTTTAATGTTATCTATCCGAGGACACAATCTCCTTACTGGTCACCTGAATATGCTCCCCTTGAAATTATTCAAAAACCCGGTGAAACGGTATTTGTACCTGGTGGTTGGTGGCATGTTGTATTGAATCTTACATCTACCTGCGCTGTTACTCAAAATTTTTGTTCTCTAACTAATTTTCCAGTTGTCTGGCATAAAACAGTCCGTGGTAGACCTAAATTGTCATCAAAATGGCACAAAATTTTGAGTGAAAAACGACCCGAACTCGCAAAAGTTGCTGATCTGATTGATGTTAACAGGGAAATCGGTGTTGCCTCTGATAGTTCAACTGACTCTTCAAGTTCAAGCTCTGATTCAGGTTCATGTTGTTCAGATTCTTCATCGGGAAGTGAAGCTGAAGATGAAGATTCTGGGCAAGAAAGTTTAACAGCCAAAAAACGTAAAAGGTAAATTTAAAATATTCTATCAATCTTTAAATTAATCTAATCTCAATACTTTTCTCTATAATTTCTAGAACAAGATCACCGAATCTGAAAGAGAACTCTCAAAATGGTTATAAAAATATGAGGCAATGTAAAAGATGACGAACTAATCATTAGTCAAATTGGGTCAACAATTAAGAGACATCTACCAACCATCTAAACAGAGATTCAATCATTGAAATGTCCCAACAATCAAGAATTTAACCATAAATCTACTTGCGATAACCAACCATCATTTTCACTACAATGATCTTTCCTCATTCATCGTCATCTCCCTTGAACTTTTTCTCTCAGGACAAACGTCTTGTTAAAAAGCTCAATGATCAACTAATCAAAAGCAAACTCACTGATCAACTCAGTTTAAATTTGATTAAATGGTCAAGCATTTTTTCAACAAAAAAAAATATTCACCATATAATGTCCACTTTGCTCAAGTTGAAATTGTTATTTAACTTTTTTTTTGCTAATCCAACACTTAAATGCATTCAAATTGTCCCGTTATCCTGACCCATCACCTACTTTCCAGCCTCTTCCCTGATGAATTTTTCAAAACATTTTACTTGCCATTGATAATTTTCTAACTGTATCAAATCATATCCATCATCTTCATCACTATCATCGTCAACTGTGTTCGATTAATTGTTCTTCATTCTAAAAAAAGTTATCTAAATTGAAAAGAAAAAAATTAAATTCAAATTGTTAATCAAGAGATTGATTAACAATCAAAATTAAAGAGACTTACCGAGGAATCCAAACAAAAGAGTTAAACTTGTAAATCGTATAAATGTGAGCTGAGACATTGAAATTAACGAAAAATATATTAATTCTTGAGAGAAATTTAATCAAACGAAATGTTTAGTTCGGTGCCTAAGGCAATTGTCTTTCTCAGTCTACGACTGAATCAACAAGTGGCCCTCTGAATCTCCCAATTATCGGTTCATTTTGATTGCTCGAACAATTTTCCATTCGTATTAACAATCAAATCGTTGAAGGAGAAATGAAATTGCCACAATTGTGAGAATGGTGAAAATAAACTAACAGATGACTCTGAGTCTCCATTCATGTGTTTGTGGTTTGTTTTGATTGTTCCTCTCTTTTTTTAAATTGTCTCACCTTTTCTTTTAATTGTATGGCATCGCGACGAGTTGTCATCACTGGGTTAGGAATTGTCAGTCCATTGGGTGTTGGTGTCAATCGATCATGGGACAATCTAATCAACGGAATCTCTGGAATCACTTTGATCAAAGGTCCAGGTTATGATAATTTACCTTGTAAAGTGGCTGCTTATGTGCCGGAGGATCAGTTACAATTGGAGGGGAAATTTTCACCCGCCGAGGTTAGGAAAATGTCCACGTCAACTTTGTACGCGTTAATTGCTGCTGATGAAGCAATTAAATCGTCACAATTAAACCTGGAAACAGTTGACAGATCAAGAATCGGAGTCACCATTGGGAACGGAATGTGTAATGTTGATGATATTTACGAACAGGTAAAAGTGTTCAAGGATCGAGGTTATAATCGTTTCAATCCGCATTTTTTGACCAGAATTTTGATCAACATGCCCGCTGGTTTTGTGTCCATTCATTTTGGCCTTAAAGGTCCAAATCATTGTGTATCTACTGCTTGTACCACAGGTTTACATGCTCTTGGCGATGGTTTTAATTTCATCCAAAAAGGATCAGCTGATGTTATGATTTCCGGAGGGACCGAAGCGGTGATTGGACCTTCATCAGTGGCTGCTTTTTCCCGTATCCGTGCACTGACCTGTGATTTCAATGATTCACCTTCTCGAGCATCTCGTCCTTTTGATGCTCATCGAAGTGGATTTGTTATGGGCGAAGGCGCTGGACTAATGGTGATCGAAGAGTTGAATCATGCCAAAAATCGTGGGGCTACAATTTATGGTGAAATACTTGGTTATGGACTTTCGGGTGATGCCTTTCATATAACCTCACCACCCGACGATGGTTCAGGAGCCCATGATTGTATGAGATCGGCCTTGATTGATGCTTCAATCGATCCATCAGAAATCAATCACATTAACTGTCATGCGACTTCAACACCTCAAGGAGATATCGCCGAGTTAACGGCAATTAAGCGTCTCTTTGGTCCACATGCCAATCAAATCGCCATCACAAGTACCAAAGGTGCCACTGGACATTTGCTAGGAGCTGCCGGTAGTGTCGAAGCCATTTTCACCTGTCTAGCTGTCAACAAAGGTCTAATCCCACCAACAATTAACTTGGACAATCCAATTGATACGGAATTAAATTTGGTCGCAAACAAATCAATAAAGTGGCCGAAAAAACCAATTAACCAGACCAATTCCACTTCTAATCAACCAACCAGACGAATCGCTTTAACCAATTCATTTGGGTTCGGTGGGACCAATGGATCTCTAGTTATATCCAATTTCATCAACAGTTAATTGTAAATCCAAAATGCTTGTAGTCAAATTGTTACAATTATATTATACTTAGAAAATCAAGAGACGAAAACATCACAATCAAGCGACAATCTAAATCGTCTCAAGACATTGAACTTGAACTTAGAAAATATTTTCTACAAGATTTTAAAATTAAATGGAAAACTTAATTTTCTTGTAATTGTGAATTCTTCAAGCGAAACAAATTAGTTACTATTAATATCTTTCCATAGACAATTTATTTGTCCGTTAACACAAGAAAAACGGTTTACTGTCAAATCTCATCTTCCATCTTCCTTTCATCTTCCTCCTCATCTTCCTCATCCTCATCCTCATCCTCCATCATTTCCTCCTCCTCCTTCAAACTAACAAATGGCCTCACGACGCTGGACAAAAATCGTAACCGTTTTAATGTCAATAGTTAACTGATTGTTTAGATTTGATTTTCTATCCTAAAATTTTACAATTTCAAAGTGAATTATAATTTAATGTTCCCTTGTTAAATTGGCAAGTTAATCAACCCTCAATTTGGTAGAGAGAGTAATCAACAATTTGAATTGTTTCCAAAAGTAGGAGGACACAATTAAACAACATCATCATTAACCTTTAACTTAATTAACTACTTAATCAGTTTGTTTTCTTAGTTTCATCAAATATTATTGTGTGTTGATTGTTGAACTTTAAATTAATTGTAGGTTTATTTTTTTTCAATCGTGGGATGTTTTCAATCATCATAATCAACTGATTATTTATTATCATTATTGATCAATTATTATGAAAAGTTTGAAATTGAGAGTTGATTGATTGATAGAATCAACTAATTGTGATCGTCATGTTAGTTAAAACAATGTTTCATTATTTTGGATTCCTAAGTAATTGGACAATTAACTTAATTACTTTGGTGGGTTATTTTGTGTTCTTTATCATCTGTGCTAATCAAGTTAATTGTGGTGAAACGATTAATTCTAATAACAATGTTGCCAGTCCAGTTAATCCAATTATCCGACGAAATGTAATCGATGAAATTTTCAAATCGGTCAAAAATCTTCGAGATGATTGTAATCAATGGACAAATCGACCGATGGCCGAGGAAACGTTTATGGACAGTTTAGCTGCTCGATTGAGTTTAACTGAAGCTAAATTGGAAAATTTAATTTCCAACAGTAAATTGGTTGATAATCAACGACAATTGGAAATTAAATTTGGTTTAATTGAGAGATTAATTGAGAATAACTTTGAACGTTTGGCGAAAAAATTTGAAGAAATCGCTGATACAATTAGAGGATTACAAACAATGGTGATAATCAATCACAATTCAACTGAGGAGAAAATTAAGAAAATTTTATCTTCGCTACTTAATTACAACAACAATCAAACAACACCTTCAATATCTGTTGATACAATTAATGAATTACAAGGTTTCTGGGAGCAAAAGTTAATCAACACCGAGAAATTAATCAATCGTCATGTTAATTTGGCTAAGGATGAAATAAAAGAGTTAATTGTTGGTGGTAATGATGGTAAATTAAAGAGTTGGACTAATGAACTAACTGATTCAGGAATTGTTGTTGATCAAATTGATCTAATTGGGACAATTAACTCAATTAAAAATGAAATAAACCATAAAGTTGATAAGGTTGATAATCAAATTAAATTTGCTGTTCAAGAGATGAACTTTAAACTGGACAATCAAATAGATGAATTAAGAAATCTAACCAACAATCAATTCTGTGAAAATGGGAGATTTAAAGAATCAAGATCAATCCAATCATCACCCTTACCCTCATCATCATCAACAACAACAACAATTAACAATGATCAGTTGATTGTAACAACAGAACCGATTGAAACAAAGGCCGATCAACTTTCCGCTAATCAAAAAAACGATCAAGATATGAACCAATTAGAGTTAATTGATTATTCCGATAAAATGAATCGTCGATGCTTAATTACTCCGAACAAAACATCAATGGTTAATTGTGAATCGATTCCTCTTAAATCAACCTGGAAAACCTGTGGCGATATTTACAATGATAATATCACTTGTGATGGCGTTTATTTAATTATGATGGAGCCGAGGCCATCAAGGGTTTGGTGTGATATGAATGATAATGGCGGTGGATGGATGGTGAGTTAATTGTTCATCGATTGCTTAATTACTATTCTGGTACAAGTATTAGAATTGTTGACAAATTGATTATTTGGCCTGACTTTAGGTTTTGTTATTCTTTCTCATGGTGAGAATTTGATTAATTGCTGATTTGATTTTCTTTTTTTTCTAAAAAAAATCTTTTCCAGGTTATCCTTCGTCGTGGAAACTTTGATTCCAGGTCAAACAATTTAATCAGTTTTAATCAGAATTGGTTCCTATATAAGTATGGATTCGGTGATCAAAAGGACGAGTATTGGTTGGGTAATGAACATATTCATCGGATAACAAATCGATTTGACCATTCACTTCAGATTGACCTTGAATCTTGGGATGGTCAATGTATCTCATTGGATTTCGGTCATTTTCAAATTGGATCAGAAGATGAGAGTTATAAGTTAATTGTTGCCGATGCCAGGGGACCTCATGCGATTATTGGTGAACAATTGATTATGTATAATAACAGCGCTTTTAATACTCGTGATAGAATCGCTGATCGGCAAACATTGAGATGTGGTCACTTTTATGGCGGCTGGTGGTTCAATGGATTCGCTTGTTATCAAATTTTCTTGACCGGCGAGTTTACAAGATTAGATGATTATAAAGGCCAATTACCGGGTATCCATTGGAATTCGTGGAAACCAAATCAACCATTGAAATCTGTTCAGATGAAGATCAGGCCAAAATCTAGAAATAAAAACAAAAACAAGACTTGAAATTCATCATTTCAACAATTTAAATCATCTGATTATTTGTAATCCTTTTACTTTTCCCTTTTCTTGTATTGTCCAATTGAAAATGTAAATATTATTATTTTGATTCAACAGTTTGGCATCAATATAAACGAAACAATTAATTCAATTTCGTTCATTCACGAAACTTACTTTTTCCACGTGTTAACCCAATAGGTGATCCCAAGTTTAAGTTTTTGAAATGTTCCTAATAGTGAAGAGTATTTGGAATCGTAATAATAATAACAAGATTACGATCGATTTACGAATCAAAGTGTCAGTTATTATTATCGATAATTGTTGTTAAAAATATAATCAAATCAAATTACAGCGAAACTACAATTTTTGCTTTTGATTTTCAGTTGGAGGGAAAAATTGACTTGTAAAAGTTGATTAAATCAATTTTTCCACATTGAGTTTCATGTTTATGAAAGTTTTATGTCTGGAAATTACTTCATCAACAATTAGAGATTCAATCTCCATCTCTGGATTAGGTAAGGTTATTTGATGAGATTCTTTTTCCGTTACAATTAATACTTGACTTTTTCGTGTGTGTAATATGTTTGCGATGACCAAATGATGACCATAACAGAGTAAAGCTTTTCTTGCTTTATCCAAAAGGATTGATTCATCAGTCTCGAGCTATTTTGATCAGTAGAGAATACGAAAGATTATCTAGTTAATTACTGTTTTTTTCCCTTTGGAAACTCGTATGAATTACCTTAAAGGAGACAACGAATGCAGAAGGGACCCAGAACTTGACCAACGGTCGTAACATTTTAGGAACCAATTCAAAAACAAGGCTAATTGGTCCGTTTTTAGATTGGATTTTATGAGTTGCCTGGATCAAGGTAAAGTAGAGGAAAAAGAAAAGGAAATCAACAATGGAATCAACAATAGAATGATCATAAGAAATTCATAAAATTTCCAATAGTTTACCATGTCAGTGGGTGGAATATAAAAGTCTGAAACTGCTGCTGCAAGATAAAGAGCTGCTTTCGGCCCCAAGGGCTGCATTGAGAATGAAATTTCCCTCAGGTAATAAAGATACTCAGCAAGGGTGGTGAATGTGATCATAAGTATATTCGCTTTATTTTCTTTGTAGATTTTCACAGTCTTGGATAAATTGTCACCAATAGATGGACCAACTAGAGAAAAATACAAGGAAAACAAGATTAAAAAGGTTAGAAAATGGCGGCAATTGATTTAATCACATTGAATAGAGACAACGTCATGAGGAAAAGATCAAATTTCATTGGTGTTACCTTGTGAACCAGAATCCGATGAGGAAAGTGATTCCATTAATTGCCAAACATTAATATGCCTTGTAAATGGTTCCAATGATTTTAAACGATAAAGGAAAATAACTTTATAACCTTTTTCAAGAAAATATCTAGAAAACAAAGATATCAAAAGAATATGAGAAACAAAAGAAAACTTAATGTTCACAGATGATCAACAGGTAGACATTAAAATTATTTGTTTTCCTTTTTCCAATTGACTTAATGTAGACTAATTGGAATGATTAACCTACTCAGCTGAAGCTGATCCTCTTGTTCCCGCTGAGAAATTATCCACAAATCGAACAGTATTATGCTCCATAGGAACTGTTGTTCCTCCAGACTAATAAAAACAACAATAGAATCACAACAATTTAACAAAAAAACAATTAAACAATAGAGAAATGGAAAAGCAAGAAGAGAGAAAAACAAAATTCCAAAATTAACCGTAATTAGGGATTTAACTTGGAATTAGGTTGTTGCGATAATTTTTATTTGACTTACGGTGATTAGAACTGTTGGATGATTGGTATCACAATCAATAAATTGTTTAACTTGAGAACGGATTTGATTCAAATTATTTGGCTCCAAGAAATTTGAGAAAAAATCGTCAGCTTGGTCTTTGTAATTAGTTGATTTCTTTTGCATGGATCCAATTGAACTACCGTCAACCTGATCAATGGAACTCATTTTCTTTAGAATAATTAAAAACACTTGTTAATAACAATCTTAATGAATTAAAAATGATTAAAACGTTTGTTAAATTAGTTGATGAAGTAAATCAATTAATTTAATTTCCAATGTTCTTTTTTTAACTGGAGATGGCGCTTTTGTCGATCTTTCTTCTTGCTCCATCTCTAGAATATAAGAGTTACTAAGTTAATTGTGGTTTCTTAATTGTGGTTTCTTAATTGTGATCAACAGGTTAACCCTTTTTCATTACTCTTTGATTTTGTTTTAATTGTCTTTGTTATGTCAACATGTATACACGAACTGGTTACTTTGAGGCTGCCGATCGTCACGATATCAATTATTCCAGGAATCGTGGTCAACGTAGATACAGAATGAGAAGGAGGAAATACAATGAGACACCAGATGAAATTGGAACAATTAATCCGGACAATTTAACAATTGTGAGGAATCGAATTGACAATAAATATGCTGTTGATCCAGTAATTTGGCTCCTTAAATTGATCCAGAAATCAAGTCGAGCTGGTAAAAGATGACAACCACTTGTTTTCTATTCCAAGAAAAAAATTCTATTCTATTTTTGGTGAGTGTTTACATTTTCCACTCGTTGATTAAATTTCTCATTTTTTTTCTATTTCTTTAATTGTAGTTTCAAACATCAACTACCAATTCGTTAAATGTGATCTGTAATAATAATCTGTATAAATGTGTCTCACTGTTGATAGAAAAAATCAACTCTTGATCATAAATTTCATAAATTCCGAATAAAATTAAGTTCCGTAGTAATTAGATTAATCATAAGATCGATTATGTTGATTTTAATTACTGAATGATGACAATTTGATTACAAATTGATCAAGAATTCTGTTGATGTGGTTAATCACAATTTTCTCTGTCTCGGTTCTCTTTCTTAGTGATTTGATTTAGTCATTGATTTAAATTCTTTCATCTGTTTGACTTTTTGTCAGCAATTAAAAGTTTTTTTTTCACAAACAATTAACCTCCAACTAGAATCAATGTTATCAAAGGTCAATTTATTTAGTAAATTGTTAGAAAACAAACCAATAGTTATTAGAAAATCAATGAGAGTGATGAGATGATGACCAATGTAATTTAATTGGTTAATTGTTTAATCTTGGGTAGTAAAAATTTGTTAATTGTAAAGTGATAGACTTCATATTAGAGGGAAAATGGTAGTAAATTAGAATTGAGCCTTTTGATTGTTTAATAGAAAAAAAGATCAATGGTAAAAATTTTGTACATTGGACGTTAATTGTTGACAATCAGGTTGATACTTACGTGAATTTATCATTTTTGGGTATCTCATTTTCGTTGAGAAATTTAGTTCGTGTTCCCGTTGTACCAATGACGAGGACATTGTCCTTTAAATCAATTGAGCATTGGTGACGTTTCAACATGTCCAGTCCAAGGAGAAAGTCCATCTCTTGTCCTTCCAAGATTATAAATGATGAAGGTAAAAAATCATCTCCAATTTGAATTTGACCTAAATGAACACGACCGATAATTTTCTGGGTTCCAACACCTTTAGCAATTCCTGACCATCGATTATCAATCAAATGGGTAACATTACATCTCGCCGCACATCCGGAGCTCATGATTGTCGATTGAGCTCCAGAATCAACAAAAGCCTTAATTGGATGACCATTGACTTTACAGTTGATGTAAAGCATATGAACTGAACCAAAACTTTCTGGATGAAATTCTAATGCAGTTTCCATGTTGGTAGCAATGTTCTGTCTGTTTATCTCTTCCTGGATTAACCTTTGAGCTTCAGCATCAAATGGATCAGCTCGAAGTAACCGTAATTGTAATCGATCTTGTTCCTCTTTCATTTTCTTTTGTTCATCCAACGCCTTCCGAAAGTCATCTAATCCTCTCTCTAAGGCAGTGGCCAAAAGTGGATTATTGTGCCTTAGTAAAGCCATTTGTTCGGGATTAGAGAGAAACATATCCCGAAGAACCGCAGGATCTTCACTTGGTCGACGATTTGAACCACCTGAAGAACGAGATCCACTGCTACCTGCCATAGTTCCAGGTACTACCACAGAACTGAAATCAAGCAAAGGAGCTGCAGGTAAACCTGCTGGTCGATTGGACGGAAATGATGAGCCGGAAGAAGAGGAAGAAGGAGCTTTAACTTGAGCAAGAACAACATCACCTTAAGAGAGATAGAATATCAACAAAAGAGAATAGAATATGATTAAACTAGAGAAATTCAATACAATTGTAATCAAATCTCTTACCTTCTTTAATCTTATAATGGCTCAATGGTTTAGTGTCATCACTTAATCTTGATCCTTCATATATAATATCCATTTGATTACTACTAATCCCGGCATCAGAAGCACAAGCTTCTTTAAATTTACCCAATTCAAGATCGGAGGCAACATCAAGATTGAAGAAAACATCACCACTTAAAGTAGTCACTGTAACTCTCATTTTGATAGTCAATTGTATCTCAAAAAATTCAATAAGTAAAATTAATTAATCAATCTGATTGTAATTAAGTGATTCAAATTAGAAAAAATTTTTTTTCCAAAATCAAAACAAAAAAATGACTGAATGAAAATTCATCAACAGCGCCCTCAATGTGAGTCTATGGTAACAGAAGCGCTTCTTGTTGGGACAACTGTTGATCAACAATTGATTGGTATTGAAAATTGTACTTTTAATTGCAGTTAAAATTTTCTTTTTTTAAAGAAAAAAAATTCACAAAGGAAAAAGGAGGAAGAGAGAGAGAGAGAGAGAGAGAGAGAGAGGTGATATTTTAGACAATGGAGATTTTTGAAATGATTAAACAATTGATTAAGTTTTTTTTTTGCTGATAGTATTTTGTTTCCATTGATAATTTTAAAGTGATTAGTACATTTGATGAGATGATGTTTGATCTTGTGCTATTTATATGATGAGGGTGATGATTGGTGATTGGATGAGTTATACAATTTAGAGGGAGAGACGATTATGATTATTTATTGCTCGATTAGAACCAAATATCTGATTCGTCTTCATTATCATTATCATTTTCGTTGTTTGTGTTTTCCGTTTTTTCCATTTCTTCGTCAGGTTGATCTTGTTCTTTGGAATCGATGTAACTTGGTCCAGCAGAAGTTGTATCTTTATCAAAATCGATGGAATAATTTGGTTCAGGTGAGGGTTGTTCTTGTTGTGGATCATGTTGAGGTGATGGTGGTGAAAGTGGTTGTTGTTTATCATCGGCAGGTTGAGCTTGAGGTTTATTGAATTTTTCTAATAAAAATTCTGATGGATCATAATTTTCATCAATTATATCTTCTGGTGCAACAGGTTGAGCTTGAGTTAAATTGATTGACATCATTTGCATTTCATGATTATCACAATCTTCATCACTGTTATCTTCACTTCCGTCAACATGTCGACGCAACAATCGCTTGGTACTGGCGGTGAAACTGCTTCGACTTGATTCATCAAAATAGCCCAACATGTCACCATCATCTTTATGGCTCATGGCGGCTGAACTATCGGGCCGATCGCTGACATCGGGCAATGAACTGGTCTCATCATTGGCTGGATTAGATAGACCTCCTGTCATCACAGATTCGGAATCAGCGGCATCCATTGCAGCTTCTTTGGTCTCTTTGATTGCTAGTTCATGTTGGGTCAATTGGTCAGCTTGTTCGTCGATCGCCACCTTAGCTGATTCATAAATTTCCTCCGCCTTTTTGGTGAATACACTATCGGCTCCATTGTAAAGAGCACTGTTCTTAAAGATCAACTCGACCTCTGATAAAAATTGATCCTTTGAAGTGTATTTGTGCTCTCGTATGTTAACAATAATTGTATCCAAATCAATTGGATTTTTAACTACTTCGTAATAATTTTTGACAAACTTTTTGTTCACTGGTTTATGGAAAGGCCAAGATTCCGGAATAGTTTTCAATCTTTCGGTGACAATATTTTCCAAGATGAAAGAGAAAGCAACTTGATCATTATCTAAAAGTGGGTTGATTGCTCGTTCCAACATGGCTATTTTATCTTCCTTTTCTTCCAGTCTTTTTTCTGCTGCTTCCAACATTCTTTGAGCGGCCGTGGTCAGTATACTAACTTTACCGTTATAAAGGACGGAGTTTTCATACATTAATCTTACATCATACAGAAATTGTTCACGATTTTTATACTGCTTGTCTCGAACTTTTTTCCTGATTGTTTGAATATCCATTGGTCTTTTAACGATATTGGAATAATCAGGTACTTTTCGTGAATTAACAGGTGTCCAGAATAATTCTGTTCCCTCCATCGACCTCATTTCTAGGCAAATGTTTTCCAAAATAATGGAAAGTGTAACCAAGGGGTCGGTTCGACGACGATTTGCACTTCGATATTCCGGCTTTTGAAGGTAATCACAATGTTCGGTTGTTCCAGCTCGGCGGCGACGTCTCATTCCAACAGCATCTTTGGGTATTTTTAACACCATTGCCTTTCGACGAACCTCTTCTGCGTGTTTGATCAATGATTTGGACAAAACGACACGAGTCTCATCAACTTTGACTAAATCATCGTCATCGAGACCAGTGTTTTCCTCTTCTTCCATTTGTTCATCAGTCATGGCCACATTGAGAGATGGATAACCATCGCTTCCTCTGTATAAGGGACAAGCGCGATTTGTTTTCATGTGACCTTGAGCACCACAAGCACCACATTTAACCTTAGGGTTATGTTTTTCCTTTTTAAACTTTTTCTTTGAAGGTTCATAACCTTTAGATGAAAGTGGAGAGGTCACTGAGAAATCAGCTGTGTCCATCGAATCTTGATTAAAACTTTTATCAGGTAAATAACTAGATGAACTTGACGGGCCCATACCGAAAGTATTACTCCTTTCGATCCCAAGAGCACTGAGATTTTGACTTCCACCTATGCCACCTCTTTTCTCAAGTCGAACATTTTCCCTTTCGGCATTTCGTTTTAATCTTCTCAGTTGTTCTTGAACTCGACGTTTTTCCCTTCTAAGGTCTTCTTTTTGTTGTTCATCTAAAGTGTTTGCGAATCGTTTAATGTATTCCGGATCTTTGGTTTCCCTTATTTTCACATAAGCTTCGATAACTGCTGGTTTACGAACTGTTTCAATTCGTACGTACTCTTTTCCTTGAGGATTTTTAAAGGTTCGATAAATTTTCAAAAGTCGACCTTTGTTTGCGGCCAAGTTGGAGAAATCATCGGCACCTTCATCTTTGGCATTCTTTGATTTCTTTTTTGATGATCGAGGATTTTCACCATCTAAATTAGAATCTTCGCCCATGATCAACTTGTGAAGTTCTTTACGTTCTTCCTCTTCTTTCTCGAGCGTTAATTCTTGACTCGTTTTTTTATTTTCAATAATGTTTTCGATATTTTTACCCATCTCTTCAATTTCCAAATCTTCCTCTTCAGATTCTTCATCATCGGTTGATAGAATTTCATAAGATGATAGAACTCGATTTTGTAGTTCGAATATTCTTTGACACTCTTCTTTGTAACGTTCTTGATGTTCAGCTATTGAGAATCGATTACCACGAGCGAATTTGGACATTTGTTCTGAACCAGCTTTTGCTTTTTCAGTTGACAGAGTTCGAACCACATCAATAACTTCCCAACGAGATAACTTTTTAATATCATCTTCAGGAACACCAAATTTACGAAGTAGATTTTTAGCTTGATTAAGTGGCAATCGACGTAAATCAGCATCGGTACCAGTGACTGTCTTTTTAGGGGTCGGATCTTTTGGACCATCTTCTTTGGATATTTGAGGCTTATTGGGTATACGGATGTACGAAAAACCTTCCCCACAACCTGTTGGATCTGCGACACCATTTAATTGAAGTAAACATTTTCCTTTCATGGCGGCAATAAACGCTCTTGTTGTATTCCAAGGTGCTGCCTTTACCTCATCGTCCATTTTTAATTGTAATTCTTCATCGTTTTCATCTTCTGCTGCGAATAGGGACTTCTCACCGTAACCAGCATCTTTGAGACGCTGTTCAGCAGCTAACATACTGTAATAGGCACAACATTGTTCAGGAGAAACCATCGCTCTCATCTCATCTTCAGTTGGCAAACGGAATTCCGGCTTGAGAACCCACCAGTTGGAATCGAGACCGTTACCAGTTCGCTTGAAATCAGCACAAAGTTTCAGCCGTTTACGAATTGAGCTTTCAGAATGTGAGGGAAAAGCTTTTTTGATATCTTCCATTTTGATTCGACGAGGAGAGTCAATACTTTTCCAGAATAAACGATAAATGAAAACTTGCAGAAAATCTCTGATAAAATTATTAGCTTTTTTAGAATTAGGACCAGGAACTTCAAACAAAGGAAGAGTTTGACCAGAGGTGAAAATGGTTTCTACTTCACGAACGAAATAATTATTTCGAGTTCGGATTACAAGAAAATCAGAATCTGGCATTTTATGCTCGTAAATCGGTGCACGGAAAAGATTATTTTCCAAGGCTTGGAGAGTTTGCCCTAAAGCTAAATTACCAAGAAAAGGTGAAGTGTGGGCATAGGCTAATTCTCCATATTTATAATTAGGAGTTCCTCCATCTTTACCAGGTTTCTATAGAGAAAGGAAAGAGAAAACATTAGAAAACAAATTAGAGATCAATAAAATTGTATTTAGATTCAATAGAAATGAAATTTACTCTTTTATAATAATTCTTTATCATAGTTGCCATTCCGACTTGCATCATGAGAGGTGGATGTTCCTCTGAGTGTTCACAGAGAATCAGATCACCATCTTTTCCCGATAAATCTTCAGGAGTTCGCATGAAGAACATTTCACCTCCTCCGGATGCTAAACGTTCTTGTTCACGTTGTTTGGCCTTTTTCTTCATATGTTTAAGCAACGGGATCACTCCGTGAGGTAAAGTATCGGCAATTACACCATGAGAAAATCTTTTCATAGGAGGACGATGGAAGGTCCGTAATTTGAAGGCATTCATAAAGGTGGGGAAAAAAGGTTGACGTAATTCAAGAGCGGGAATTGAATGTTGAATAAGATTACCACCAACAGTTGGCTTGAGAGCGGTGTCTTGGGTTAATTTAGGATTGTAATATTCATCGTTTGATATGTTGAATGGATCTTTTTCGGTGGTGGGAGGAGGAGGAGGTGAATCGGGTTCTTGTTCTGCAATTACACCAGCTTTTCCTAAAAGAATACGAGATTTTCTCAAATGATGTTCTTTCTTTTCTTTAAGTGGAATGGGTTGAGCTTCTTTGGGTCGAACTGCACTTGGATCAACGTCATCGGGAATTCCAAGGACAATATTTTCATCGTTAGGATCAAGGGTGAGAATTCGTGGCTCAGGAATCTTATACATCGCTTCAGCATCCCAAATAATATCATCTTCCCAAAGACCATAAACCAATTCCTCATTTTCGACTGGAAAAATCGAATACCAAGTTTCATCTTTTTCTTGTTCTTGAATTTCATTCTTTTGCTTATCCGCTCCACGTTGACTCTTTGAACTAACAGGAGTATTACTCAAGAGAGATTGTGGTTTAGGAATCGGTGTACCAATTGATGTACCACGAACTTGTTGTGTAAATGCAGATGCAGTTCGAGAATGACCACTTGGTACCCATCCGGCTGCGTGATATTTATCATTCAACTTGGCAAGAACCTTTTGTTTGATTTCTTCACCATTCCAGATGATTTCATCTTCCCATTGCATTTGAGTAACCATATGAAAACAATCATCAGGATCATCGGCACTGTTTCTTGAACTATCACCATTCAATGATTCACCACAAGAGTCGATATTTAATGAACGATTTCTGCGAAGATCTTCAACTGTTTTAAAACCATAATCAAATGTATCTCCTGCATCGGGAACACCAAGCATATCATACCAAAGTTGAGCTGGTCCATACCTCCAATCGGCGATTTTGGGTTTATGTTCATCAGAGGAACCATTTCCATCACGATTAGAACTATCTATCAAATCCATTGGTCCTTTGAGTCTTTCTTCATCATCTGAATCAAGTTGACTGGGGTCAATTGTTGTTGGAATAAGAAGTTGAAATTCTTTCTTCTTTTTCTTCATCATCACCGGACATATCTAAATCTTTCATGTCCTCAGAATTTTGCATTGCCATGAGTTTAAGAATTTTTCTACGATCTTTTTTACTTTTAACATTTTTCCAAATCTGTGGTAGATTTGCCAATTTCCCAGGACCAAATAAGCGGGAAAATCGTAAAACCTTTTTATGTCGAAATTCGGGAAATAAATCGGTCACATCACAATCTTCATAATTGGAAGGTAACATAGCAGCTAATGGAGTGTCCAGTTTCTTTTTACTGCTATTTGAAGTATCTTTGCTTTGACTATTCGGTGAAAGGCAAGAACTCTTTTCATTATCCCCTGAATCCTTCTCTTTGCTTGTAGAATCTGAATCTTTTTCATCGGAGGATGAATCATCATAATCATCATCTTCTAAAGGTTTAGGTCGTGCGATTGCTTTAACAGGAGCAGTGGGCATCTTGAAAGGTAATATATTAAGAGTTTCTTTAGACTTCTCTTCTTCATCATCAACCATTTCATTGATGTCTGAATAGTCAACAGCTGTAGACGATTTTCCCTCAAAATCAACATCTTCATCATTTGATTGTGACTTATCGTCTATAACAAAAAGAATTAAAAAAAGATGGTTAATTTTAAAACAAAGCAAGAAAAGCTTATCATAAAATAGAAAAAAGAAAATAAAATATCTCCAAATAACTTACCCTGTTTATCAGATAACTTTGATTCATCCGATTTTGACACTTTCTTAGATGATTTCTCTTCATCGTCTTCATCTTCATCTTCATCCTCGTCTTCGTCGTCGTCCTCATCATCATCATCATCTTTAATTTTGGCTTCTTTTTTCAATTCACTTAATAAACTTCCACCAACCCCAAGCTGTTCAAGTTGCCGCAATTGTTTACGAGTATCAGCGTCCAAAAAATCATCAACAAGATCACCTTTTGAATCAATGTTTCCAAAAAGAAAGTTAGCAAAACTCAATGATGGTCCATTATCATCATCTCGTTCACTAGAACTCATTTTGGATTTCGAACAACAAATAAACTAAATTAATTGAAAAAAATCAATGAAAACAAGAAAATAAACAATCTCTTCACCAGAGATCCACACAGCGTAATAACAAAAGAGAAATGAACCATTTTTATAGAAAAAAATTCTAAACCATAGGTGTCACTCTTGTTCCATCTTTTCTTTCCAATTGGAGGTCAATTCAAATATCGAGCATATGAATGCACGAACTCATTTGAAATAAATGATTTCCTCTGATGACATTTCACTTTCAGGGCAAATAGTGATTGAATAGGTTGTTTTATCTAAAGGTCAAGGTCATTCGCGTCATTGTATAAAGAAAGTGTTTCAAGGTCATCAGAAGGTAATATCGTTACCCTCCACATTTTTCATCAGCTTTGTCGGGAGATACAGTAGATTGTAGATACAACCACCGGCACCAGGATCATTTAAATAAGAAACTCAGAAAAAGAGAGAAATTAATTACAGAAAGAATTGTGAACAAACAAGCTAACAAGAAACGTTAACAAGAGATGAAAGAAAATCCGGTCTTGCTCTTTTGATGAAGACAATCTTACAAAATATAAAGTCTAATTGGAAATCTGATCAGAAGTACCCATAATTTAATAAAAAAAAGGTAATTCACTGAGAATTACAAAAAGGTAATTGTTAAATGATTGAAATTAAGAATAAATTTTATTTAGATTTGAACAAAGTTAATTGATTCAAAACACATGAAAGGTGGATAAATCACTTTTGCTTATCGTTTAACCTACTGCTTGATGAAAGAAAAGATGGACAATGTCTTTCTCAGCTAACTCTCGCATTTCATCATAACGGGGATCGAGATAACTCTCCATAATGAATAAGCGATAGGCCATAATGACTTTTTCTTGCGTCCATTTTACATCAGGATTTTCTTCTACACTTTCTACCATTAGACGCATCCCTTCTATAGGAGCCATTACATGACCTTCCAGCTCTGTTTCCTCGAAGATAAATCGAAAAAAACTTTCTTGATTCGCATTAAGATCAAATTTAGTGGTCTGTTGGTGACCTTGAAACGTGTTATTTTACCGATGACCTGAATGACCTTGATCTTTTGCTAAGACAACTGAGTATCGCTCAGACTCATACCACTCAAGTCTCGTGTATCTCTGACTCTTAATTGCTGAGAAAATCGCAAAAAAACATTGGTAAAAATAGCTGAATAGCCCTGTAGAAAAAAATGTGAATACTTCAGAATTTTCCAGCAATTTTATGGTTTTTTTCAATTTTTTTTAATCAAAATGTTAACCATGAGTTCACAATCGCTCTAAGAAATCTAACAAATCATTTTGCATATAGTTTACGAAATGAACGATTAGAAATTCCGAAATTTGGTGAATCTCTTTGTATCCTGGACCGAAGTGTGAACATTCTGATAACGATACAAATCTCGCCATAAGTCCACCTCCTCATTGGATCAGAGTCGTAAGTATTCATAAATAATGCAGTTCCGTGGGTGGTAGCTAATCGATCTATGGTGAGGAGTTTACGAGTTTCAGCTTCCAATTCTAAACCATAGATGTCATTCTTGTTCCATTTTTTCTTTCCAATTGGAGGTCAATTCAAATTTTGAGCATATGAATACACGAATTCATTTCCATTGGTGACATTTGGGCAAATATTTATTTAGATCTGAAGTAAATACCGAAGGAAATTCAGGGCTTGTAACGATCAAGGTCATTTAAGGTTACGTTCTAAAGGTAATGTGTCATTTATCATTCAGCTCATTTACCATTTGCACTTTTCACTTGTGTCTCCATCTGGTTGATTATCTCTTTTCATCACCTGATTGTTGTTGATTTGGTCTTTACAATTTTCAATTTGTTTTGGTTTTGTGAATTTAATTTTTCTTTTGATTTGGTGATTCGGTGTTTACCAGAATTGAACCATGAGCAATACACTGATGGACGATCATCCTAATTTGGATGCCAATAGTTTACTGAGTGAATTGGACAAAGGTTTGCGAAGTCAAAAGATGGGGGAAGAGTGTGAGGCCATTGTTGGTTTTCCTTGGCTTTTTATCCGTTATCCATTTCCGATTTTAATTAATTCGGCATCGCTCAAATTGGCTGATGTTTTTCGAAATGGTTCCAATTTTTCTCGTCTTCTCATTCTTAAAGTTATTCACGAGAGTGAGAAACATTTGGATAAGATTATAAATATGGATGAATTTGTTCGCCGGCTCTTTACCGTCACTTATTCTAATGATCCAATTGCCCGAAGTATCACTTTAAGAGCACTAGCAAGTGTTTCTTGTATAATTGCTGAGAGGAAAAATATTCATCATGTGATAAGACATTCTCTGGATGCTGAGGATAAAACTGAATCTCTTTCTGCGGTTGAAGCTGCTGCCGCTTTTTCAAAACGTTCAGTTGATTTTGCTCTATCCATTTATCCGAAAGTTTTAACACTCATGTCAAATCCGGAAACATCTTTAGAGAAAAAGATTCGATTACTTTCAATTCTTCATCATTCTCATTACAATTCACAAGTTGCCAAAGATGTTAAAGATGTTTGTTTACAATTTCTCTCGGAAAAGAAAAGCTCTGAAAAACTTGTATGTGCGATTCTCAACACTTTAACCTACATCGCAACCACTTCACTATTCGCTATACCTGATCACATTTCTCTTCTATTGAAACATTTTCGCTCCGATGGAAGACCAAGAGTTAAAATCTCTATCATCAAAGAGTTGACCACCATGGCTCGCACAAGTCCCCACCTTTGGTCCAAAGAAAATGTTCAAGATTTTCTTCAATCCGTGCGATTAGTTATTCCAATTCTATCCAAAAGACCATCCTTACTTTCTCGTATTATGGCGATTTTTGTGTATCTAGTCAAGTGTCCCTGCCTTCTGGCCGCTGATGTCAATTTTATCGGTCCTTTTTATCGGGAACTTGAGAAACTTTGTCTCACCGTTTACAATAATTGCCTTAAATCAACCGATATAACAGAGATCCAGAAAAACCTAAGACTTATCGCCGTTTCTTTTCAACTGATGAACGCTCTGTCTCGACACTCTGATCAAATCAAAGCTCAAACAGTTCAATATCTATTGGATTTCATTAATTCTCAAGCAACCCAAGAACATGATATTCCAACAAGTGAGGAAGACGAAGAAGCTTACAATATAATCTGTGTTTGTATCAAGAATATGTGTAATGCCAACATCGCTGTTTCGAATCAACTGGTGTCTTGTTTAGAATCCAAATTGAAACACAACACATTGTCGAATCGTTGGATTGGTTATACTTGTCAAATTTTCTGCTCTCTTCAGCATCTAAACGTTTCAAAGGATTTTTTGGTTCATCTTTCCGAGAAAATAATCAAACTGGCTAGTGATGAATCGATTGATGAAACCATTTTGACACAACTTGTTACACTTTACTTTCAAGTGTCAACTCGTCTTGATGTCAAATGCTCATCTGAATTCACCTCTCACCTGAAAGGGAAATCTCATTGGTTTTATTATAAAATTATTCGACAAGCAATGAGATATGGACACTATCATGTTTCACAGATTTTCTGTCAATTGTTACAAAATGCCGCTTCTTCGGAAAATGTTCATTTCTGGATGTTGGGACTCTTCAAAATCTCAATCGCTGAAAGTTTATTGGCCAATTCAAAAGAAGGACCAAGACTGACCAATGATTTAATTCAAGCGATAACTTTATACTCGGAAGCTCTTTCAGCATTCAAAGCTTCCGGTTCTGGATCTTATTGTATCATTTTCGCAAGTGAATATGTTCGCCTTCGTTGTAAACTACTTCGAGCTCATGCAACTTTAAGACAATCTTGTAATCTTGCGAGAACTTCACCTCCTTCAGCAATGGCCAGTTCGACGGCAACCGCTTCTCGCGATGAACTAATGAAATATGGATCAGTGGTCACCCAAATGAGAAAGTGTGCTAAAGATTTTCGTTTACTAGCCGATGCTTATTCTTGCCTCTATCAAACCTCCTTCAACGCCGATAATGAAACTCTCTCCCATCTCCAGTTAATCCAACACAGTTGTACAATTGTCGCTGAAGCAATTGAATCAGTTTTCCAGACCAATCGATTGAGTTCACTTTTCGTTAACAAAGACACTCACCTTGAAAGTGATCGAATAACCGATTCTCTCGAAGCCTCAATCGAATACAAAAAGCTCAACAATGCCTGTCATGAGATCTCGAAAATTGTTCGAACCTGTTTGAGTGATCAACAGAAAAATTCAATTGGAGGAGCAGCGATTGACTGTAAACATATTGCAACGTTACTTTCGCTGTCAATTAAATTACTTCAGGTGCCACTTTGTATTCCAAGATTATTTTTCCAATCGATTCAAAGTACTTGCATCAAATTGGCCATCTCACCTGTTCCCAAATCGGCCAATGATGCAATACAAACTCAGAACAATATTGCATTTGCCCTGAAGGTTGAAGGTGTTATCGTTATTGGCTCATCGTCACGGATTTTACGAAAAGTGTCAAAGGTTATGTTGAACGTAAACTCTTGTCTGGTCAACAAAACAGGAGCGGGACCTGTTGATTCACTTGGTAAACCTTTGGACACAAATGTCACTCTTCAATCATTAGTCACTCCTCACAATGATTATTTCCAAGAACAATTTTTACTCGAGTTAAAAACGGTTGGACTTCACGCGATTAACATTGAAGCTTCAATAATCGATGAGCATGAAGCTCAATGGAAAACTGGACCGGTTGTTAATTTGTCAGTAAAAGTGATGGAAGATATTTCAAAATAAAAAAAAGAACATTAAGAAAACAAATAACATCACATCAGAATTTTTATTTTTTGTATGAAAAATTTGAGTTGAAACTTTTGATGGCTGGAATGATTGACAGAATGTATTTGTTGTTGTTTGCTCTTTCATTTAGATTAATTTTTTGTTAACTATTGCTCAATTCCCGATGACGATTGTTCCGAAAAGACTCATGGCGATCATCATTTAAGATCTTTAGCTTTGATCTTGAGAAGATAATTGTTCCTGTAAGATCCGAGGTAAAGATCACCGTTGCTGGTGTCTAAAAGTGCTTCAGAAATTGATGGATGAGTTGATGAGCCGAGAATCCTTTTGGGTTTTCCGGTGTTTGCGTCGATGATTAAAACACCTGATGATGATGGAATTGCCTGATGAAGGATATGCCCATTTCTAAATGAGACACTCATTTCTCGTAATTTAGGATGTGGATAAACTTTCTCATGAAGAAGGGTCAAAAATCGGTCAATAAGATTTGATAAACGTCCAATAATTTTCCTAATCTTCGGAAGAGTTGACAGGTTGTCGATTATGGTTGAATTGCGTCGCAAAAGTGGTAATCCAATGTACAAATCGTTTCCAAAGACACGAATATTATCTGGCATTCCCGGTAAATCGTTGATTAAGATTTGAACACTTGAAACCGATTGACCAGTTTCAAGGGATTTCTCAATATCACTAAGATCAACTTTGAGAATCTTAAATTCACCTGTTACAGAAATCAAAAGTGAACTTTTATCAGGACTAATTTCCAATCCATTGTAGAAACGATGACCAGTCAATATTTTGTTAACTTGACCATTCTTCAAATTAACTGACAAGATGAATCCATCAGCTCTCATCTCTAAAAGTGACCAAATGATTGAATCCATTGTCCATCTACTCGAAGTAACCGAGATGTAAACAATATCCTCATTTTTGGGATCGAAAACCAGATCATTGTAAAATCCCTTATAATCAGCTGATGATTTAGATCCAAGGGAAAGATGATTTAGTTGATTAGTCTCCAAGTCAAATGAGAAAAGACCTTTGACCGCATCAACAAAATAAATTTTTCCATCAAGACCAAATCGCAATCCAAGAGGTCGACCACAGGTTGTTGTGTTAATAATCACGTTATCACCTATGAAAGAAAAAGAAATGAATTGTTTATCAATACAATTGATCAAATTGCCAATTGATTGGAAATCAACTGAGATAGAAAAGATTTTTATTCTCAAGCCATGAATTGAATTGAGATTTGGGTTGACCACTGGACAGATAATCTTGTGGTTGTTTGAATAGTGAATTTAAAATTAACTTACCACAACCACCGGCACCAGGATCATTTAAATTAACTAATGTTTTCACTTTCAGATTTTCCTTGTGAATGGCAACAATCCGACCATCACCTAGTCCGGTGTAAATGTAACTTGATTTGGAAATAATTGATTCTGGTCCAACTACTTGTGATTCAATCAAAGTGTCAGATTTGTCACTAATCAATGAATTCCATTTAATTTTGTTGAAAAATGAATCAGTTGCTGGAATTTCATAAGAAACTGGATCAAAGGGGAAAGATGGAAACAAATCATCAGGCAGATTGGGTAATATTGCAAGAAAAATGCAAGAGACAAGTGATAATCTCACTGATAGATTCCAAAAGAAGCTGAATAATCCCATGGTTCTTGAGAATATTCAAAGACAATTAATCTGATTTATCAACTATCAGAAAAAGAGAGGAATTAATTGTTGAAAGAATTGAAAACAAGACAACAAGGAATGTAAACAAGAAGAGATAAAAGAAAATCTGGTTTTCCTCTTTGAGCAAAACCCAAGAGCAGCTCCGTAGACAAGATTAACTTGTTTCTACCATTGAAACAATTTATTAATCACCTGAACCATTTTTCCATTTTTCGATGAAGATCCAAATTGTAGATTTTAATTGCTTTAATTTGGAGTATCTTTTCTCGGAAGTTTTCTCATATCTTCATTTTAACCTTTATTTTGAGATGAATTCAATTAGATCGAAAATCTTATTACAATTATTCAGAATTTGATAAAAAAAATTAACTATTGAATGATGACAACTATTTAATAATAACTGTAGAAATCGTTAATCACTTTAATTGTAGATGTAAAAAATTTTTGTAAGGAACAATTAAATTTCGATAAGGTGGTTACATATCAGATTTTTGATTCTCGTTTAATCGCAACTCCTTTACTTTAGTGACCAAATTGTTCTGAGCTGAATCTTCGAGGCTACTTGGTGAAAGTAAAGATGTCCAATGGGCAATGTCTTTCTCAGCTATTTCTCGCATTTTATCATAACGGGCATCAGGATACTTCTCCATAATGAAGGAGTGATAGGCCATAATGACTCTTTCTTGCGTCCATTTTACATCAGGATTTTCTTCTACACTTTCTACCATTAGACGCATCGCTTCTATAGGAGCCCTTACATGACGATGCTCCATGACGACCAGCCCTGTTTCCTCGAAGATAAATCGAAAAAAACTTTCTTGAGCCGGATTAAGATCAAATTTAGTGGTCTGTTGGTCAGGAGCAATCGCCATGTTGAGATCAAATAGATCAAATTTTCCCTATAAAGATCACAAATAAAGTGAGAAAGACCAGCTGATTGGATCAGTTTATTTATCACCTGAAACGTTAATCACAAACAAATAAAATGGTTATTTGACGCTTGTTATCAAATTATTATTAATATTTGATAGCTAAAAGTAAAATTTGATTCAAATACATAGCACCATCACCATAGTGATACTTGATTTTGATCTGAAGGAGCCGTTTGAGCCTCTGTGATTCGATGTATCGTTAGGATTTTGTTAGTCGAAAAAATATCGATACTTTAGAGTTTGCGAAGTTCAATTTCGAAGATTAAATTTTTGAATTACAATTTAACCGTTTTCTCATTTTAAAATTATACAAAAACATTTGAATAAGGTGCTTACACATGGACCTCACTTCTCATTTAACTGTAACTCATTTGTTTAAGTGTCCAAATGGTTTTTCAGCGGAATCACTGAGATTTTTTGATGATAGTAAATTTGACCAATGGTAAATAATATCCTCAACTTTCTCTCTCATTGCAATATCGCCTGGATACTTTGCCAAACAAAATGAGCGAAGAGCCATAATGACCTCCTCGTAGGTCCATTTCCTATCAGTATTGGTTTCGCAGCTTTGAAGCATCACTCGAACTGCAATTATGCAATATGGTTTTCGAGGTGGATACTCTGAATAACAGATAAAGTCCAAAAATTTTTTTTGAGGTTCAATAAGCTCAAATTCGGTGATCTGTTCAGAAGCTGTGGCCATGGTGACTAAGAGAAAGAAAGAAAGAAAGGAAAAAGAAAAAGAAATGATCAAAAAACGAAATCAGATCATAGAAAGATTTACTTACTCTCACGATATAAACTTAGGAAAATAAAATGTCAAAAAAATGAATTAATACTTTCGCAACTTTTCAAATGTTCAGCTGATTTGTTGCTCTGTAAACACAAACAGTGTCCGAATGTACTGACCTATCTAAGCGAATCAAGAAAACCAATTGGCTCGATGTATCGTTAGGATCTGCCATCAGGTTTTTTAATTTCGAAAATTGTTACAATTAAGTTAATCATTAAAATTGGAAATTTAAAAGGTAGAAAAAAAAAAGGGGTAAGACTCAAGATACTTTCGTCAAGTTTTATTAATTGTTGATCACTTTTATTTAGATGTAAAAAATTAATTAATTGAAAATATTTTTTTATGAAAACATTGAGTTACAAGAGTTACATTGATTTGGTTTGAGTGGTTTTTGATGTGACAATCAAGTCTCGATATGAATTTACAATTAAAATAATGATGATTGAATCATGTAAATGTAATGTTACATTAGGGTAATTAAGGACAAGATCTAATCAGCTTTGATGATTATGAGTGAAGGAGTTACAATTAAAATTATCTATCATCAGGTTGATCAATTTCAATAATTGTTACAATTAAGTTAATCATTACAATTGGAAAATTCAAAAGGATTTTGGTAGAAAAACAAAAAAAGGAAGTCAAAAGTATCCAAAATCGGTGTACTTGTTTAACTAATCAATTAACTCTCATTGTTAACCAATTAATGTTATTAGAAACACTTCAATTCAACTGATGATGGCACAGACAATCAATGACAAATTTCATTAACCACCAGTTAATTTTTGCAATTAAAACAAATTAACTTGAGGATCGGAAATGAGTCGAGTTATTTTTGCTTTGAGATGAAAGGAGAGAAAGTTAATTGTTGAATAATAAATATTTGATGATGTTGATTGATTTGAAAAAATAGATTTCTAATTATTTGTAAGATTAAATTGTCGATTAAAAATTTTCAAATTGGTGTAAAAAGTAGGGTAACTTTCGTTGTTTGTTCACAGATTCGCAGGCAGCGCTAATTGTTTGGGTCAAAGCGGTTGGTCCACAGCTGAAAACACCGACTTTACTAACCTGTTGATAGAAAAAAACAATCAGCAAACAATTAAGAATTAAAGTGTTAATTACTTACGTATGAATGCTGTTTACGAATGAATTTAAGGAAGGCATTCATGTCAGGTCGCCCGAAGTGGTTGATCGCTTTGAGTCCAGTGAACATGCTGCGATTGGATATTCTTTGGAAATGATTTTCACAAATATACTGGAAAATAAATTGTAACAATTAGTAGATTGAATTCCAAAGCTGTAAATGAAATTAGTTTGAGAGTTGATTACTTACCAACATGGTGGTTCGAAGATCAAATTTATGGAAAAATTGAGTGATAAAAATATGAACTTCGAGAACATTGGTAACATCTTTCGATTCAACATCTCGAAGTACATCAATGAACCATTCGAAGTGCCGATGAGAGGCACAGATCCATAGGAAGTAGACCTTTTTACAGGCCACTCCTGAGTATCGATTAGTTGATGTTCCAAAGACAAGATCATTAAGTATTGAATTGAAGGTAACACCTATTAACCGACCATGATAGCGATCCATGCTTGTACCAATCTTGATTTCACCGCCGAAAGGTCCTTCTCATTTACCTTTGGGACTGGTGCATTTGGTGAATAGTCCTTTGAAGGTCAAAGAAACCTGTTTGGTGAATCCAAGGTCCATGAGCTTTTTGAAGGGAAAGTAATTTTCAGTGGGCCGCTTGTCAGGTTAAAGAATGATACTCATTAGATCAAATAGATCAAATTTTCCTATAAAGATCACAAATAAAGTGAGAAAGACCAGCTGATTGGATCAGTTTATTTATCACCTGAAACGTTAATCACAAACAAATAAAATTATTATTGACGCTTGTTATCAAATTTATTAATATTTGATAGCTAAAAATAAAATTTCATTCAAATACAAAGCACCATCACCATAGTGATACTTGATTTTGATCTGAAGGAGCCGTTTGAGCCTCTGTGGTTCGATGTATCGTTAGGATTTTGTTAGTCGAAAAAATATCGATACTTTAGAGTTTGCGAAGTTCAATTTCGAAGATTTAATTTTTGAATTTCAATTTAACCGTTTTCTCATTTTAAAATTATACAAAAACATTTGAATAAGGTGCTTACACATGAGCCTCACTTCTCATTTAACTGTAACTCTTTTGTTTTAGCGTCCAAATGGTTTTTCAGCGGAATCACTGAGATTTTTTGATGATAGTAAACTTGACCAATGTTCAATAATTTTCTCAACTTTCTCTCTCATTGCAATATCGCCTGATACTTTGCCAAACAAAAGGCGAAGAGCCATAATGACCTCCTCGTAGGTCCATTTCCTATCAGTATTGGTTTCGCAGCTTTGAAGCATCACTCGAACTGCAATTATGCAATATGGTTTTCGAGGTGGATACTCTGAATAACAGATAAAGTCCAAAAATTTTTTTTGAGGTTCAATAAGCTCAAATTCGGTGATCTGTTCAGAAGCTGTGGCCATGGTGACTAAGAGAAAGAAAGAAAGAAAGGAAAAAGAAAAAGAAATGATCAAAAAACGAAATCAGATCATAGAAAGATTTACTTACTCTCACGATATAAACTTAGGAAAATAAAATATCAAAAAAATGAATCAATACTTTTGCAACTTTTCAAATGTTCAGCTGATTTGTTGCTCTGTAAACACAATCAGTAAGCGAATGTACTGATCTCTCTAAGCGAATCAAGAAAACCAATTGGTTCGATGTATCGTTAGGATCTACCATCAGGTTTTTCAATTTCGAAAATTGTTACAATTAAGTTAATCATTAAAATTGGAAATTTAAAAGGTAGAAAAACAAAAAAAAAGGGGTAAGACTCAAGATACGTTCGTCAAGTTATATTAATTGTTGATCACTTTTATTTAGATGTAAAAAATTAATTAATTGAAAATATTTTTTTATGAAAACATTGAGTTACAAGAGTTACATTGATTTGGTTTGAGTGGTTTTTGATGTGACAATCAAGTCTCGATATGAATTTACAATTAAAATAATGATGATTGAATCATGTAAATGTAATGTTACATTAGGGTAATTAAGGACAAGATCTAATCAGCTTTGATGATTATGAGTGAAGGAGTTACAATTAAAATTATCTATCATCAGGTTGATCAATTTCAATAATTGTTACAATTAAGTTAATCATTACAATTGGAAAATTCAAAAGGATTTTGGTAGAAAAACAAAAAAAGGAAGTCAAAAGTATCCAAAATCGGTGTACTTGTTTAACTAATCAATTAACTCTCATTGTTAACCAATTAATGTTATTAGAAACACTTCAATTCAACTGATGATGGCACAGACAATCAATGACAAATTTCATTAACCACCAGTTAATTTTTGCAATTAAAACAAATTAACTTGAGGATCGGAAATGAGTCGAGTTATTTTTGCTTTGAGATGAAAGGAGAGAAAGTTAATTGTTGAATAATAAATATTTGATGATGTTGATTGATTTGAAAAAATAGATTTCTAATTATTTGTAAGATTAAATTGTCGATTAAAATTTTCAAATTGGTGTAAAAAGTAGGGTAACTTTCGTTGTTTGTTCACAGATTCGCAGGCAGCGCTAATTGTTTGGGTCAAAGCGGTTGGTCCACAGCTGAAAACACCGACTTTACTAACCTGTTGATAGAAAAAAACAATCAGCAAACAATTAAGAATTAAAGTGTTAATTACTTACGTATGAATGCTGTTTACGAATGAATTTAAGGAAGGCATTCATGTCAGGTCGCCTGAAGTGGTTGATCGCTTTGAGTCCAGTGAACATGCTGCGATTGGATATTCTTTGGAAATGATTTTCACAAATATACTGGAAAATAAATTGTAACAATTAGTAGATTGAATTCCAAAGCTGTAAATGAAATTAGTTTGAGAGTTGATTACTTACCAACATGGTGGTTCGAAGATCAAATTTATGGAAAAATTGAGTGATAAAAATATGAACTTCGAGAACATTGGTAACATCTTTCGATTCAACATCTCGAAGTACATCAATGAACCATTCGAAGTGCCGATGAGAGGCACAGATCCATAGGAAGTAGACCTTTTTACAGGCCACTCCTGAGTATCGATTAGTTGATGTTCCAAAGACAAGATCATTAAGTATTGAAGCGTAAGGGGTAACACCTATTCCACCACCGACCATGATAGCGATCTCATGCTTGTACCAATCTTGATTTCCACCGCCGAAAGGTCCTTCCAATTTGATCTTTGGGACTGGTGCATTTGGTGAATAGTTTGAAGGGTCAAAGAAACCTCGAAGTTTCCAAGTCCAAGGTCCATGAGCTTTAACATGAACAGAAAGGTAATTTTCATGTGGAGCCGATGTCAAGGTTAAAGAATGATACTCATTAGCACGGAAAGCGGTACAACAAAGACGAACCCATTGACCTGAAAGGTACTTAAAGTTTGGTGGTCGAGCAAATTTAACTTTAGTAACATCTGAAGGTAACAATTCAGTTTCCAAAATGTCCAACTCCATGTATTTAGTTTGGAGGCTAATCACTTTATCCAAGGTGAAAAGTACCGCAGGAATCACAAAGAAAGCCCAAAATCTTGGAGTACCCGTTAACTTGGCCAGACCATGTAACAAGGATAATCCATAGAGGAAAACATAAAGACTATGAGTGGTCCAAAAGTAACTGTAAGCCTTTTGTCTGATACTTGGATAGGCGAAAATGTAGATTATCATAACAAGAGTGAACAAAATGATTCCCGTTATCCCGGTGACAGTACCAAAGATCCAGAACGAAAAGTTTGGACGCTGATCAGAATCAAAGTGCATCTCTTTGGTTAAGCATCTTAAATGTTCAAGAGGTTGAGTTGAGATGTGGTAAAAGTTGACACAATGTCCAATCGTGTGGACAAGGGTGAAAAAAAGTCCCGTCATGGCGACAAGTTTATGGAATTGGACATGAGAATCCAACGGGATATACTGATGAATGGCATATTCTCGTACCTTTGTGATCAAATTTCGACACATTGTTAAAAGTAGGAGAGAATAACAAAATGACAAGGCAGCCGCTGAACCTCGAGTTATGGCAATACCGGCGCCCATAATATGACGCAGGTCAGTGTGTTCAGTCAAATATGAGTAACTAAAGTAACGTTCAAAGAAAAGTGCAAATGTGATGACGAAAAACATGATGAGATAAATGATATGTTGACGATTTTCCTCCAAGTAGGTGATCAGTGAATTCCACTTTTTACGAATCCAGGAAGGCTCTGGTTCGGGAATCGAACTGATCTGGAAAGAGGTCATTCGAGCGATATTGGTCGAAGTATCCAAGAAATTTTGCTTCGCACCCTTACAGTCCAAACCGATAGCGATAAAATCTCCTCTGTACTCTTTCATCATCGTCTTGAAATCATCGTAATTCAATTCCTCTTTATCCTGTAATCCACTGGCAGCAAACATCCCTTGAATCAATTCAAGAACTTGTGGCTCACTAAGTGAATTGGTCTTGGCGATATCGACAAGTGAGGTCATCATTTTGGTCAATTCGGTCTTGTCAATTAGACCATTTCCATCGTGATCACACATGTCGAAAATGATTCGAACCTTGTCTTCCGTTTTACCTCTTGAAAAGAGAACAACAGTATCTAAGAATTCTTGGAATGATATTCGACCATCTTTATCTTTATCGACACAATTGAACATTTGCTTGACGAACAACGAATCAGGTTTCATTCCAAGAGCTTCGGCGAATTCATTTTTCGATAAACTGGTTCTCATAACCATAATAACATCATTCGAAACTGAGTCTATTTTACGTTTCTCGCCCGGTTTCAGGCCAAAGGTCAATGCATATGCTTCACGGAAAAAGTGCTCAAGTCGCTTTTGACGTTTCTCTTTGGTCTCGGCATTCGCTAACATGATATCCCGATAAGTGTGAATGATTTCCAGTGTTTTCTTACGATTCAATAAGAAACTTTCCAACTTTGATAGGAACCTTTTCCGTTCACTGAGATTATTAAATTGTAAAACTAGATCATGATCTCTAGCTGATCTAATAAGCACCATTGGTTTGGCTGAATCTTGAGTTACCTCAACAATTAATGAATTAACATTGATAAAATCAATTCTTCGCAAGGTTTCACCTTTACGATTAACGGTTGATAAAGATTCATCGGGTCCAATCTTGACCTTTACATATCGCTTATGATTCTGGTGGAGCCATTCACGAACATCTAAATGAAGGAAAAACAAAACGAAACAATTTACAATTTGATCTTTAAAAGTTAAACAATCAACTTACATAATTTATCGTATTCTTTGCCACCGGCCATTTCTTGACGGGCTTTTAATCGTCGACGGCGACGATTCTGTAATTTAATTACTCCATAACCAATAAGAGCGACAGCTAATCGAGAATAGAAAAATGAAATCAATTGATTGTTACCAATTAGTAAATAATAAAAAAGTGTTTCGGATCGCAAATCAAAATAATAATTCATTTGAAAGATTCCAAGAATCAAAGTTAATTGTGAAAATTTTACTGTTTCTTTTTGTCATGGTTTTTAGTTTGGCCTTAAATTGTCAAGTTAATTTGCATTAATTGTAATGAATATTAATTATTAAGTAATGGTACAAAAGGGTTAATCACATTGTCGCTAGCAGAAATTGCAAATTATCAATTAAAGAAAAAAAAAATGCAAATTAACTTGACAATGACGTCTAACTAACAATAAGAGACAAAAAATGATTAACTAATCATTATGATGATGACAATGATGATGAATGATGATTTATTGTAATGTTATTGATTACGTTTAACTTGTCATAATCAATTGTTGTCGTTAAGTAATTGAGTAGACTATTGTAACTAAAATTGATTACTTATTGTAACTCAACAATTGGTTCAAGATTTATGGTCACATTGGGTTAGTTAATCAACAATTTACCCTTGAAAATAAATGAAATCATAATTTTCATCATCCTAAAGATTAACTCACGCAACAGAATTAAGCTTAATTCCTGATGATAATAATAATAGTTAATCATGATTGAGGAAAAAAGTAAGAAAGTTTCAATTGTTCAGGTATCTAAATCTTTGGAGGACGAAATAAACACTGGATTAAGTCCATGAGAATCAAAATTATCTTAATCATGATCATAATCATCTGCGAGACGATTTGATTTGGGTTAATAACGATAAGTCAATTGAATTTTATGGTAATTAGTTAAATTTTCACATGAAATTGAAACAGAATTGATTAGAATCATTGATTTGCAATCTGATTGAGAGGGAAAGGGAGAGAGAGATAGTTAATGGACTAGTTAATTAATTGATTGTCTTACTTGTTGGAATGAAAATTAACAAAAGTATTACAAATATGTAAGGTAATTCACTCCCATGGAAATAGTCCCAACCCTTGAGGATTATACATGGTTCGAGTTGACTACTGTTCAATTGTCCGGGTTGTGGACAAGGGTCACCCTCTTGAAACCGGAACACATCTTTTTGTATGGCTGGAGGCGGAATTCCGGTTGCATTGACCAGAATATCCCAGAATCTGATTTTACGAATCTCTTCAATTTCATCGGTGGAAAATATTCCGTTTGCTTCATTCTCGAACCAAAATCTGTCCGCATCACGAATACGTTCAAATTGCTCCTTAATTATCCGTCGGAATAAAGGACCAGGTCGACCTTCCAATGGATTCGATTCTAACATTCCACCGACGTAAAGGTCAATATTGTCCACATCACCTTCGTATAGATCGTAAAGCCGTCGGATCACATCAGGTTTATTAGCGGAAAATATTGGATTTATTTCCGACCAATTTAACTTAGGAAGACCGAAAACCTTTCGAACCGTATTATAATCGGGCAGGCCATTATCTCGACCTCTCATTATATTTAATGCCGCTAAATCACGTCGACTAAAGTCTAATGGTCCAAACAATTTATCTGTAATAATTAGAGAGAAAATTGTTAAAGAAAATCATCAACTGGTTAGGTAATTGCTCATTGTAATCAAATTTGATTGTTTAGGTTCATGGAAAGTATGTTTAATTACTGTGAGTGTGCTAATTAACATGCAAAAGACACAAAAAACAATTAATTAATTGTCAAGGTAGTCAAATAGTATCTGTGTGTCCATGACCGTTAAGTTAATTGTCAAGTGAAAATCTTACAATTGTTGATTGAAAGATGATTACATTCATTGATAAGTTTTGCATCTCCCATTTAAATGTTTACAATTAAGAGACAATCTAACCTGGGAAGTTTATTGTTAATCAGATTAAACAGATAAACCACTTGTTGATCATAAATCGTGTTAACAGTTAACAACAAGGGTAAATCGATTGTGAAGGTTGGTAACAATTAGTTTAGTTAATTTTGTGTAGTTAAGAAAAAAAATATTATTGATTCCAATCGAAGGTTAATTTCAATTGGAAAAAGGAAAGTTGATTATTTTTTTTCTTCTCGTTAATTTCAATTAAGAGGGAACAAAGTTAATTGTACAATTTGATGCAAGGGCAACATGTTGGTTTGCATTTAATTGTGAATTTAAATATAACTATAATTCACAATTTGAATCATCAACCAATATGAGACATTAAATGAATCAAATATCAGAATTATGATTCAAATTGTTCAGTCCAAATAATAATCATCATATGTTACAATAATTAACTCTGACTTCTAATCAATTTTCATCTGCAATTGAATAACAGTTAATTGATGAGTGAATCTTTAAATTGTAACCATTTCAAGTAATTAATTAACCTTGCATTTGATTAGAAAGTTAAACCTTTTTGGTGGATTAAATTGTTGTCCTTTGAAAATTGTTAATCAATTAAAAGGAAATCAAATGATTTAAAAAAAACGAGAAGTAAAAATCCAATAGATGATCAATCAATTAATTGTTTCACCAGAATACAATTAGTAAATTGTTTCAAAATTGAAAGTCAATGAGTTGACACCCAAGTTCCGGGTTAACAATTAACTTGATTTGAATTACTGATTTAAAACGGAAACCGTGATAACTTTTCAATCAATGTAATTTGTTCAACTAATACAATTAAGAAAGGTAAACCTATTGAGCCAAATCATAATCGGAAACAATTAATGATAAACTGCTTTAATAGTTAATTTCTATTCATTAAAGTTAACGAGTAAAATTTAAACAAACGTGATCAAATTAACTATTTATATTTAGTTAATCACTTGACATTGAACCATTAAGTGGAAGAGGGAACTAAACAAATTCCAATAATAATCAATTGATAACAATTAAAGCACAACAATCAACAAGTGTTTGGATTTACCTTAATTCTTGACAACAATTTAGTATACGAACGTTTTTAGTTAATTGTTAAAACACAAGAATCAATCGCCTTAAAATAATCAAATTGCGTCAAGATACTATTGAACATTAACGATCGCGATTAAGTGCTCGTCGATAAATGACCTCAATGACCTTGAAAATTTCTACGTACATTTTGATCTTCGCGGTTCTCGACTTATAACTATTAATGAAACGTAATTAAAATGATGTTGATTAGCCCAGTTAAAGATTACCAATCAATAAATCATTGGTTATTGTTGCTGAAACAATTTCAATTAGATTGGGTAAATTTATTAATTGTGATTATTTTTCAAAAGTTAATTATGATAATAGGTCCTTGGAAAAGGTTTGATCATTTTATTATCACAATTAAAAGGTGATCTATTAAATGGTTAATTTACTTCAATTATCAATTCTGATCAAGGACAATTAAGAGTCTTCATCGTTATTAACTGAGTAATTGTCCCAATCTTAATCATGGTAGTTGGTTATAACAATTAACAAAATCTATAATTATGTTTTGGAATATTAATTGTTACTATTAACATGACAATCAATGAAACTAGAGTAAAATTGATTAGTTAATAACTTCTTATGGATGATTAAATCATATATCTTCTTTGATTGGTTTAATTAATCAATAATTTTTAAGGTAATTTAATTTTTTTTTACTTTCGATGATAATTTATTCAATTCTTAGGTCAAGGTGATGATGTTAATCATCATAATCATGATGATGATAATGATAATTAGATGGTGAAGATAAAACAACTTTCTCACCCAAGGTTAATTGTTACTATGATTAGTTGATTATTGGTTTTAAATTTTACGTTAAATCGTTGGATTGATAATTTGCTGAAAGGTTTGATTGGCAAAATTAGATTAAACTAATTGTCACTGATTAAAGAAACTTTTTTTCATACAATCTAATTGTTTGATTGTTGGTTGATTGTTAATTGTTTTATCTGTTGATCTGATATTGATTAACAAACATTGATTGGATATATTTTTCATCTGAATTGATAATTATTTTGTCAGAAATTAAGAAACCTGATTTGTTTTTTTTAATTGTTGAATTTATGATTTAGGTCGATGTTAAAAACCTTAAGGCAAATTGTAACGAAAGTGAAATTAAATTATTATAACAATTAATTGATGATATGAGAAACTTTTTCATGGTTAAATGGATTAATTGTTAATTGATTACAATTAAAATTTCAATATTCAAATAATTAAATCTACTCTGTGTGTAAACAAATCTATGTGGTTGAACTTTTGTAACAATTTAAATTGTTCACTATTAATCAATCATTAAAATACAACAAGGTAAGTACAAATAATTGACTTTCCGAGTTAATTGTTTGCTCTTTATCAGCTAAATCATCAATAACAATTAAAGTTTATATTATTAATTAGACAGAGAGTTAATCAGATCGTAATTAATGATCATACAAGCAGAGAGACAACAATTAATTGTGATGAATTGACCAACTGATGATTAATCAATAGTAATCAGTGAACAATTGATTTACAATTAACTAAACAATTTTCCCTTCAAAATTAAACTATTAATAAAAACCTTCACTAATCAATATATAAACTGAATCAAAAATCAACAATTAAAGTGAAAAATTGAAATCAAGAGCCTTCACTTGATTTAATTTAATTTTAATTATCACAACAACGTTTACCTTGTTGATTGTTGTTAAATATGGTTTATATTAACAAAATGGTGGGTAACAATTAACTCTGTGTGAAAATAATTAAAAAGGTTGAATGACAAACAAATTAACAACGATAGTGTTTTGATTATGATTAATTGTTATCGGAAATTAACAATTTCAATAATAATCTGAGCATTTAATTAGTTTGATAAACCTTGATAATCTAAATCAAACTTCAATTAACAATCGATACAACAATTTGCAGCCTCACTAATTAACAGCAATAATCAAGAGATTTTAATTGTAATTATAAACAATAATAAGAGAGAAATGTTTTTTTTTTGAATTACTATTGTGATTATATTGATTGGGAAGTAAATTAAAATAGCCTCGAGATTAACTTAGGGCAATTAGTTGATTTGTGGTTAAATTAAGACACAATAAGTAGGTGTATTGATAATTTGATTAACTGATAATCACAATTAACCTACAATATAAATTTCATCAAGGGTCTGTGAACAATTAATTGATTATTAGAAGAAAAAAAATTTCAACTCACTGTAAGTACATTAATCTATTGTGATTAAAGGTAAATCATCACGTCACAATTATGTCGGAATTCATGTAATCACAATTTAAAAACTAATCAAATTAATGACGACAATCAAATTAACAATAAGAAAACAATGATGTTACTTAGCTCATTGTCACGAAAACAATCATGATCATTAAATTGACTTTTAATTGTCAATTTAAATTGCAAATTAGAGTTTAAGTTAACGATGAAAGTATTTAATTAATATGTAATGTACTAAGTTTGTATTAACTCCGTTAGCTTATGAAGAGGGCAAAGAGTGTACAACAATTAACTAATTCTGTTACCAGGGATTCCCATTAATCATCCAAAGAGTTGATTAATAGTTGACAATAGTAAAAAAAACTACAATTGGATTAACAAAATTTTCATATGTACGAATTTGCAACAATTAAGAAATGAGTTGTAAATGGATTAAGTCTCCAATAACAAAGTTAATTAGTAGTGAAGAAAAAAAAAACTTTTCTTTTAAAGTATTAACAGCAAATTAAGACACTAATTACTCAACAATTAGCACATTGTAACCTTGAAATTGAAAATTATGAAATTTAATTGTAATCCACGATTTGAATAATGATTAACCATCAATGTAATCAAGACTGTTGGATTAACAATTTCAATGACAATGCTCAAAATTATCAAGTTAATTGTTCAACTGATCAATTTGATAAGTTGATGAATGAACAACAAAAAAATCAATAATAATTCAGAGATTAACATGATAATCAAGAAAAAAATGAGATGACAATCAATATGATTAATCTTAATTGGTCAACCCGTATTAATGAATACAATGGAAAGAGATGATTAAGAGATAATTGTGATTGACTTGTGAAGGAAGGAAAGAGAAAGTTGAGAGGAAGGAAGATGATTAAGTTAATTGTGATTATGATTTAGATGTAAATGACCGTGAAAACTTAAGGTTCTCAATGAGGGTGATGTTTAATTGTAACAACAACGTTTAATTGTAAAGATGATTAGATAATAAAAAGTGAAAGTTTCTTTTTTTTTCTTTCTCCTCTTTTTAGTAATATTATCAAATACGATTCTGAAAAAGATGATGATTAACCTTGACCTCAAGTTGTTGTTGTTGTTGTTGTTGTTGATTATGTCTGTTGATTAACTAATGTTGATTTGTTGGAACACGTTGTAGTTAAATGTTAAGCTAATTTATTATTAGTTGTTGTGCTCATTTCGTTAGTTAGGATAACGTAATGTTAACATTACCTTTCACCAAAAATATAATAGTAACAACAATCAACGAACCAAAAGTTAGTTAGTTGATTGCGAGAGAAAAAAAAGTTTTATATTTTTAACTGCAAATGTAAATTGTTTCAAATTGTAATCAAATGTTGAAAGTTGTGTCAAGGTAAACACAAAATATATTAGCTTTTGATTTAACAATCAAGGCTAACAATTATCTAAACTATATGTACCTTTACTTTGATAATAATCATAATATTTTAATTACGATGGTTAATTTTAATTACTTACCACGAACGTCTGAACATAATATTGAATCTTCACGTTCAGCGATTTGAGATGATAATCCCATTAATAGCTCTTCAAATCCGCTTTCTGGTATCACTTCCTAATTGTTGATTAAAGAGAAATTTAAAAAAAAAACAGAAACAAATTAATTAGATTAGATTGTAATTGTAATTGTAATTGTGAGTTGATTGTATAATTTAGGAAGAGATTTGTTGGTGTTCACTTGACTTGATTAGATAACTTCATCTATGCCAATGTCATCAACTATTGACCATGATTAAGATGATGATTGTCTCTTGATTATTAAATTATGAATTTTTCACAATTTCAATTGTTTCCAGTTAATTGTTATGCTAATTGTTGTTCTTACCTCAGATCCCCACCAAGTGGAGCATAAACGAATCCCATTGTGTCCATGGCGAGTTTTGATAAAATTACATTGAGCATCTCTAATTAGGTTAATTGTTGGTAGAATTGATTATGAAAAAGAAGGAGAAAAGATTACAATTAGTGAGAATATATTTTCGTTAATTGTTGATACATCAACACCTTGAAACAAGGCTACAATTTAATTGTTGATCATAAAAGTTTTCAAATCATCAGTTGGAAACTTTTTTTCCGGTAGAAAAACAAAATTAACTATTACAGTTTAATTAACTAATCATCATCACCTTTAATTATCAAACAATTTTATCAGCTTAATTGGGTATTTGATTGATGGTTAGTGGTACTTTTATTGGTTAAATTGTAACAATCAGTACTGTTGATTTGTTGTTGTTAATTAAAAGGCAACTGTATTGAAATTGTTTAGTTTTTTATGTTTTACTACTTGTTGATTGTTGGTTTAAATTTTTCATGTGATCAATAATCATCAGAATCATTGATTGTTATTGATTACAAGGGTCAATCAAGGTTATCAATTAAATTATCGATGATTATTTAATCATTTACAGTATGAAGAAAAAAACTAAGTTTTGACTGATTGGGTTTTAGGTGAGATATTTTGATTAAATTGTTACAAATCAAGGTACATTATTATAATCAGAATTAATTGACAGATTGAGTTTAATAAACAATCAATTGTCAGATAAAAAGTGAGCATGAAAAAAACGTAAAATCTTAATTGTAACCATCATCAATTAAATATCAAGAAAAAAAAAGTGTTGGTTTTGTTTCATTAATGTTGATTGTTAACCAATCACCTAGATCATGCTAAGTAACAATTTAATTAGTAATAAGAGATTTGATCAATGATAGTGTTGTTTCAAATTTGATATGATAATGAGGATTAAGATTCAATTACATTCATTAAACAAGACAAGATTATCCCTATGTAATTATCAGGCAATTTAATAACTTAATCAATCAAGGGAAGAAAAAATGGGTTTTTTGATTGATTAATGAAGTAAATCAATTTAATATCATATTAACTTAGATATAAATAGATTGGATTTCAATTGTCACTAATCAAAACTAAGCTATTATTATCAATATTAATTGAAAATGATAATAATATACTCTGTATGTATAACAATCAATAAGCTAATCAGCCTACACATTTAGGGAAAAATTGATTCATTAAAATTGTTTGAATATCGTAATCAAGGTAATCGGAAAATAAAAACCCAAGGTAATAAGTTTTCAAGTGTCAGAGATATTAAATTATTAATAATCCAATCAAAGGGTAAGAACAATTTGTTAACCTGTGATTAGGGAAACGATAATATGATGATAGTGATGATGATTAAGGTATAAATTAACAGATCTTTTTTTTTTCTTCCTCTCTGATTAGTTAATTATTGATAGAATTACCTTCTATAAAGACCAGGAGGAATCATTGTATGGCCGAAACGGAAAGCGGCTGACTGGAAAACATGACTAACACCAGGGTGAACATCGGGTTTATAACCAGAATATGGAGTAACTGGTTCATCGGAACCCAATAAGATTGGCAAATACTCGTATAAGATTATATTCTGAGAGAGAAAGAGAGATAAATCTTCATGTTAGCATATTAACTGATTAGAATAACAATTGAATTACCTGTAGACTAGCAATTACAAGGCGCCTGGCCCTTTGGAAAATATCTTCATCTGACCAATGAGGATATTCAGCTTGAATCCGTGAAGCTAATGTATTGTGCCAACGGAAAAATAATAATCCAAACGCTAATAAGGCTGGATTTTGATTGGATCGAGGATCACCAAGAACTAGAGAGAGAATGGAAAATTATTAGTAATGATTAAGACGATTGTTACACTGGCGAATAGTAATTTTCTTATTCTTCTGGGTTATTTACATGGGATTGTTTCGTTTGTTTGGGTTATGTTTTGTTTGGAAACTTGTTCTGAGATTTGTTACTGAAAATCCGCCGGTGGATATTCAAAAGGGTAATTGATTGTTATCTGTGTAATATTACTGGTAAACTATAAATTATTTGGGTCTGAAAATTAATCATTTCAAGAGTAATTTGGATACAGGTAAAGTTAAGGGAGGAGATTTTCTTTTCCATAAGAAACAAAAGATTTTCAAGATAAAAGAGAAACGATTTAAGATTGGGATGATTAGGATTATTCTTAGTTAATTCTCTCAACATTTTTGATTTATTGTTGGGATAATTTAGATTGCCTTGGATGGGAGGGAGGTGGATTAGGAGATTATATTATCCACTTACGAAACATTCTCTCTGGTGAAATCATTTTAATATGATGAGCTGGCGGTGAATTATTCAATGGGGCTCGCTCTCTATTCCGAGGTGGAAATAAATTATTCTCATCCGCTTTGAATGATCCATTCTTAAAGGATCTCATTGTATTCAACCAGGTTTCCGAAGTTGAATAAACGAAGCTTCCATCAATCCAACTGGTCACTTGATTGATCTATAAATTGATATGGAAAGAGAGAAAAAAAATAACTGTTAATCCGGAAAGAGAAAAGATTAAGACATCAAACCGAAAATCAACCGCTCCCATCAGCTGATGAGACGTTGAAATGTTAATCTTATTTTCCCTTTAATCCTGATTGGTTTTCTTTTGCTGTTCAACACTAAATTAACATAATCTAATTGTTTGATTATCGGTTATGGTGATGATGATTATGATTGAATAAACATGTCTCAAGGTCTTAATTGTAGAAAACAATAATAGGATTAAAAAAGTATTGGTGTTGATGTGATTAGTTGGACAAGTGAACAAAACTGGTAACACAATTTAGAACTTGAAAGGATCAATAATTTAACTTTCGTATCGTTGATTAACTAACCTTAAGTTAACCTTGACATAGAATTTATAAGAAGAAGAAGATCAAAATGACAATCAAACAATTAGAATGGAAAAAGATTAAAAACAATAAGAGATAAACAAGAAAATCTAAAAAAAGAATAGAATTTAACCCTTTTCGATTAGAAGACGATCCCTTGTAACGATTATTCAAAGTTCATTATTGACCATTTTGATTTTTTTCTTCTTTTGGATAATTAATTAATTCAGTTGTTTCTTAATTGTTTTTCTTCAATTTAGTGATTTTTGGAAAGCTTGGAGCCTATGGGTCATACTTGGAATGAATTATATTCTCTAACAAGTTCTCCTAGTTGATTAATTTAATTATTTTCTAAAATGTTCCAATCATCATTAACTCTAATGTTTCTTGTAAGTAAAAAATGTTTTTGTTTATAGATTTCTGATTAATTACCCTAATTCATGGGGGATTAATCTTTTCTTTATTTATAACATTAATTTGGATTAATCATCTGATGAAATATTTGAGGTAAATTTTTCATGTTTCTTATTTAACATGTAATTTGGAATTTGGTTTAATCTCCCAACAATTCAAATTGTTCTCTCTCTTCTTTAACTTTTCTATTTCCATCTCCACCTTTAGCACCATAACAATCACCACTCTCTCTCTCTCTCTCTTATATTACTAATTATTGATCATCTGAATTTCTTTTTTCAATCATGTATCTCAATCATTCTAATCCAATGACCTTAGACAAATAGAAAGCAAAAAAAAGAGAGAAAGAGAGAGAATTCTAATAAAACCTTGAAACAGGAAATTCTCAAAGCCTTGTAAGTGGTAATAATCATGTATTAGGTGCAAGAATTAAAGAAAAAGTTAATAGTGATTGTAACAGTAAAAAAAAGAAAAGAAAATTAAGTTAGGTGGTTGAAAGAGTACGAAAATTGTAAATGAATCGTAATTTCCGATGATCAACTAATTCAAATTGCTCGTTAACAAAGAAACATCATAAATATCCTTCACAATAAAATCGATTTCATCTCTTGATTAGCTGATCAACAATAACCGTTAAACAATTAAACTACAACTGATTAAATAAGGAAAAAAGGTTTTATAAGAAGCTCAACAATTTACCTGATAGAAAACCTTTATTGATAATCAATTGATGATAAGTGATCACTATCAATTACCATTACTTAATTATCTCCTTATTGACAGTTAAAAAAAAGAGTAGGAGTTGATCAATTTACTCTCTTTTCCATGATTTACTATCTTCCCTCTTGATTCCTTAATCTAATTGTTTCCCCACCAATGCAAAAGATTTAAATTATAAATATATTACCACAAATCTCTTGTAACAATTAACTAAATTACTCTTACTTTTACTCTCTCTCTCTCTCTTAACAAATTAACCTTGAAAATCAAAATTAAAGTTTTTTTTGCCAAGGAAACTTAATTTAATTTCCAATATATTTATTTACAATTACTTGTGATTATTGATTGACAATTAATTTGATTGTTTTCAATTTTGATTACTAAAAGAAATTAATTGTTAATCAGTAAGACACGATCTTTATTATCATTATCTTTAAATCAAATTGATCATTTCAACATGTACATTATCCTACCTGTTACAATGATGACTGATTAACGGACTGTAAACAGACAATTACAATTAAATATTGTTAATAATAATAATAATAATAATGTTTGATCATTAACTATACACAAACTTGACCATGAATTGATTTAAACAGTAACAATTTAATATCTTTACTTAACCAGACAGAATAACAATAATCAACCAAATAACAATTTAAGATCTTTAACTTTAATCACAAACGGAACTTTAAATATTAACAATTAACTCTTAATTCACCTTTTTTTTCATATTCCAATAAGAAATTGATTCTAATCTTAATTTAAAATATTCATTGTTAACAATTAACATTTAATTTCCTTTCCTTAATTTTTTTTCTCCTAATTCCCTAATTGTTATTTACTCAATATCATCGTTACAACAATTAACTCAAACACGATTAACTGATCTAAACACTTTTTGATTAGCTGATTCGCTTAATAACTTATAGAACTATTAATTTGTCTCCTTTTTTTTACATTGGAATGGAAATAATTTTGTTAATTGTTGTCAAACAATCAAAATTTACAATACGATTGATTGTTATTCATATTTTATATTATCGATATTATTGATTGGCCTTCATCTGAAATTCAAATGATTAACAGAAAATCAAATAATTAATTTAAATCTAATTCAATTATAAGATTTAGTTTTTTTTAATTTGCATTGATTAAAAATCTTTAATCAGTTTACAATTGAATTAATTTCTTTTCAATATTAATCTAAATAAGATTAGTAATTGCTACTATTGATCAACAAACAATTAAATGATTGATCGTTTATTAACAATTTAAACTAAATCACACAATAGATGATCAAGATAAACAATAATTTAGATATGTATACATATCAGATTAACACAATTTAAATGAATAACAATTAAAAAAAAACAATTTTTCTCATGCAATGATTAGTTTAAAAGCTTAATTGTTTGGAAAGTTTTGTATAATTTAAAGTTGTTAATACAGTTTGTAAATCTAATTCACAATCAACTTTATTAACAACTTGCTGTTAATCATGTGAAATTTTGCTTAATTGTAAATCAATGGTTTAAAGATTGAAGGTTAATCTCATCTCTTTCTCATTACTAAATATTAACTTAATTATCTCTGATTTTTAATCATCATTAGTTACAACATTATCCATGAAAAAAAAGGTTACCTTTTTAAAATTGGTCATCATGGTGATACGATCAACAATCAAGAGAAATTGTTGATTGTTGATTATGATGATTAAGTGAAGTGGATAATGAATTGTTAAAGAAAAGTAACAATAAAGAGATTGATTAATGTTGTTAAATTAAGTGGAATTACCAATCAAGCTTTAAATTAACCTTCGAACAAAAAATAAAATTAACTTAACCAAGAATAACTTATTTAACTGTTGTCCATTTGATGAAAACAGTTAAATATTAGTTAGATTATAATCAATCCTCAGGTAACACAACAACCTTTACCTGTGGACAATGATTAGAAAGAGACAGTTAATTGTTAGGGAATAACCCGAACAAATTGTAAATGTAAATATGAAAGAATTAAATTGTGATTATCAAAAGGAAGTATAATGGATTTGGCAATTTAATTGTTGATTCTTTTTTCTTTCATTTCCCAATTTTCAATCAATCTAATCATTTATCATTCACAACTTATGTACATATGTAACTTTATTAATATGATTCCTTGATTGTTGTTAAATCATTGACAACAATTTTCCTATGATTAAACTACCATTGAACTTTTCAATCAAGTATGAGAATCAATAAAGTTAATTGTTGTAATTTTACATTTGATGATTCCCTTGATTGTTGGTGGTTTTTTTTCACGATTCTCATTGATTAATTTTCTGACCAACAATCAATCAACCGGAGACACGTTTGTTTATGATTAACTTTTTCCATTCTTAAATTATTATTATCATGGGAATTAACTATTAATATCTAATAATAGGACAGTTTGTTCTTATTTTGGTTGATTAAATTATCGTAATTAGCAATAATTATAATGTTTGAATAACAAAATCAGACAAGGAACATGAAAGACAAATAATTATTACAATCGATTGATTGATTTTTTTTTGCTTTCCAAATTGTATTAATTTAAATTGCTCTTTTTTTCCTCTTTCTTGTTTCTAAAGGTTTTGTTGATATTGGTCAATGTTAATGGTCACTTACCTGTTCTCGAGGTAGATTAGGCGATTGTCCAGTTCGAGAGTCGTACATTGCCCGATGGAAGGGCATAAATCGGCCACCCTTACAGTCGCGATCATACATTTCGTCGCACTTTTCAATCTTAATCTTACTCATTTCAATTGGACAACCTGATTCACTGGCCATTAGTATTTCGGATGAAACAACTTGACCTGTTGGGAAAAGAAAGCGAGAAAGAGAGTTAAATCAAATTGAATCAATTAATTGGTACAAATTAATTCATTTATTATTATTAATTTAATTCAATGAAAAAAAAGGCAAACCAGCTACTCAAGTTTTGGTGCAAATCATTTTGTCTCTTAACTTTCCCAATCATGATTTTCAATCAATTTTTATCACTTAAATCAAATGCTAATTGTAAATTTGATATTTTAATCGTTACTTAATTGTTGACGATTATATCTTTCTCTGTTGTGTTTTAAATCATTCAAACAATTTAACATTGAGCAAAGTAAATTGTTTCTCTCTTATTATTATTTAGGTTGTCTAACTTAAATTACATGTAATCTACTGATTGTAACTACAAAACACCAAGGTTACAATTGTATTTACAACCAACAATGGTTAACATACATAACATGTACATAACAAATTAAGTAACAATTAACTTAAAACACATACACACATTATATTATTCATATATCGCAATTGCTTATTATGTTATCAAGTTAAATTGTCGATTTGTGTAAATGATATAAAACTTTCAAATTAACTGTTACATAAAAATAGGAACAAAATTTAAATTTTGAAATACTATCGACAAGCTAATTAACCACATAGAAGACAACAATCTATTATAACAATTAGAACTTAATTACTTACCAAAAAAGGCAAATATTGTTGTCAAATTACGTGCTGACGGAATCCCATCTTCACCCTTCATAACGGCCTGACTTAGGCTTCTAGGACTGGGCCGATCCTCGCCCGCCAACATGTAAACACCATCGGCATAAGATGAAGGTGCCTTACGAGTTAATTGACTTTCTGTGGAATTAAATTAATTGTTAAATGTTAATTTGTTCGGAAGAAAAGTTTTTCAAAATGGAGAAACAATCAAATACAAAACTGTCCTCGAACCAGTTTAATATCTGAACTAATCAAATGTCCACTGGTCACTTATTATTTTTCATTTATTACGATTTTCAGGTAATAGTAATAATAATAAAAAAAAGTGTCTCCTTGAATTAACTAATTGGTCACAATTGGCTGATTATCAAAGGTAAATCTCAGCAAACACTTAATAGTCTCCGACTATTAGATTAAATTGTAATATTATCTAATTGCGAGGTTAAAACATTGATGGTGTTTAATTTAACCAGGAAATTGGAATTGGAAAAAAAAATTTCGTTCTCAATGTTGGATAATATGAATTATCCTTGAATACAAGGAGGGGTTCGAATCGTTTTTTATACTCAATTCAAATCCATACAGGATGATAGTTCTGTCTCTGTCTCTCTCTCTCTCAGTCTCTCTTCCTACTTATCATCATCATCAATTTCTGATAATATGATTGCGATTTAGCAATTTAGGGTTTTCTATCAAGGTGATACTGTTAATTTGTCAGCTACATTGCCAACGATTTTTTATTTCAATTTTCTGTTGCTAATCATTGACTTAGAAAAAGTTAATTAAGTTAATTGTTGAGCTTACCTATTGATCCCCAGGCTGGATGAGCTAAATTGTTGTACCAACCATCATATCTTTGCATTTCTGTTTGAAACTCCATCCGTGGGTCAACACTGACGTTGGTAAATTGGAAGACATCTAATTAAGAAGAGCAATTAGTCAACAATTAACAATTAGTTAACACTGATTAACTATATCACGATTTGAAGTGTTTATTACCTGTGATTGTTGATGTTGTTGTTGTTAATTGTGATGAGCTCAATTGTATCCTTGTTGGAAAAATGAGTAAAATAAGTAGTAATTTAAATCTCATTGTGAAAATTTAATTCTAATTGTGATAATTTCTTTAAGTCTCTAAATGAATTAACAATTATATCTAATGTTTAGATTGAAATTTATAATCAACTTTCTCTAATCATCTAAAGTTTTTGGTTTTGTAATCACAATCGGATTTGTTGTTGTAATTTGATGATAGAAAACCAACACAATTAACTAATCATCCTGAAGATAATTAAGAAATTAGGAAAAATGGAAGACACAATTTGACCAAAAATGGACACAAACACAATCAGAAATTGATTTAAAGATGGAAACACAATCAAGGAGAGAGAAAGATTAAAATTAATCCTTGGTTAGTTATCTGTTTAAATCCATCAGAGTATAACAATTAACATGGAATGAGACACAATTAAAACAATTTGTTAATAGAACACAGAATTGACAATCAATTGATTGTTGGCAATCAAACCAAATTATGTAACAATAAAAGGAGTGGTAAAGGTTAACAAAGTATAAACAATAACACTAAACAGAAATACAATTAATTTGGTTATCGAAAAGCAAATTAACACAAACACAGAAAGAAAGTTAATTGTTCAACTGTTGATTAACTTGTTGCTTAATTTGTGTCTTGCTGATTAGTATAAATGATAACAATTAAAAGGTAAACGGAAATTTAGTATCAACGATCGAGGCGAATTAAATTGTTTCTCTTTCATCGTCTTCGCGTAATTTTAATTTTCGAGTAACTAAAACTTTCGATAATCTAACTTGCTCCCTCTCATATTAATCCATCCCACTCTCTCACTCTCTCAATACACACACTTACTCACTCGATCTCCCCCTCACCTTAATATATTTTATCCTGCTCACGATCTTATCATCATCATCTCTCTCCCTCTCTCTCTCTCTCTAATAGTCCAACTTAACCTTGTCCTCGTTACGAAAAAAAAATTTACTTTCTTTACTTTCTCACCTTTTACTTACCTTTAACTTTCACTTTCTTTTTCTCTCTTTCTTTTCTTTCTTTTATCATCATCATCACCACCACAACCACCTTACAATGAGCCTCCATGTAATAGCTTTAAAACGATTACCACTCCTCCTTTTACCCGGTGGAAAAATCTAATTTTGTTTCCACTAATTAGTTAATCCAAACATCTTAAACAATTAGAAAAGTTCATCGAGCAAATGATCAATTTCCTCTCTCATGAGAATAGAACAAAACAAATATTCGAAAGTTCGATGAAAAGTCCAACAGATCAAAACTCGAATAACGCTAATCAGGCCCAAAGAAACTACTTGTTAATCGGAAAATTTGTTACCAATCAAATGAATCACATTTTCTAATTATTAACAATAAATTACAATGTTATTAGAACTTAAGATTTGTTTTCTTTATGTATAAGTAGGATATATACTGACATTTTTACAACAATCAATCAATCGAAAAAAAAAACAAAATGTATACATTTATAATAGTAATATAATAGAAATAATAATAATTATTAATTAATAATAATAATAATAATAGTAATGATTCAGGATCATTGTTAATATTTTTATCGTGTTGTTTGGGTTCCTTTTGTGTTCCTCTTAAGCCTTTAGCCGTTATTTTTGGCACAATTATTAGTAATTAGAAGATTTAACTTTTTTTTTCTGTTCTCATTCAAATATTGTTGTTGGTATAATCGGTTGATTTGAGGATCAATCATGAAAATGATGATGATGATGTTGGTGGTGAAGATGATGATGAAGATTAGGTGGTTGTGGTGAAAGTCTTGTCTATTGATCACAGTCTTTAAACAAGGAAGATAAATAGTGCAAAGGATGGAGAGTAAAACAATAATAGAGATGATTAAGGTTTGTAGGAAAATAGACCAAGAAAAAGGAAAGAAAATTATCAAATTGATAAGATTTTCATTTGTAATTGTGGGAGGAAAGATGGATGATGATGATGGTAATTGTTCGGACTCTCATCACGAATTTATTACAGCAATTCGATTGTTTTTAAGTTTATCAATACGCTTTTGTAAATGTGCATTTGATGTTTCCAATTCTTCAATTCTGGCTTGAGCTTCTCGAAACTGGGGTGAGAGAAAATATATATAAATGTTATGTTAATTAATGACGACAATAATTAATTAAACAAGATAATCTTATCCAGCCAAAGAGATGGAGGAAAAGATTAAACCAATTGACGATGGAAAAGATGAGGAAAGGAAAAAGTGTTGATGGAAGTGAAATGGAGAAAAGCAAATTGATCTAAGAATCCAAGTTAAATCAGTTACCTCTCTCAAGATTTTCCTTTTGTCTGTTTTCAATTCGTCTTCCGATTTCTCCGCTTGTTCCAATTGTTTCTTGTACCTTTCGACTTGCATTTCAACACGAGAAACAGTATTTTGCAAGGTAATGATTTCTTGTTCGGCCTTTTTCAGTTTAAATTTATTGGTTCAAGTATTTGATGAAATGTCCAACAATCTATGTAAAGTTGCTGATCTTGCTGAGTTCGTTCGTATTGGTCATCCTGATTCAGCATTTCGTCTTGACGCAGCAAATGCTTCCATGAACATAAGTGTAGAGGTTGAAAAGTTAAATGTTAACCGGGATCTTTACAATTGTCTGAAAAAGGTTGTAATTGAAGGAGATAAATTACCGACTACCGAAGTTGATAAAGAAGTGGCTCGATTATTTCTCCATGATTTTGAACAATCAGGTGTCCATCTTGATGATGAACAACGGAACAAAGCGGTTAAACTGAATAATTTTATCCTTCATGTTGGTGGATATTTTGTCTCTCGTGTGGCCGAACCAAGTTTAGTTAAAAAGGAAGAGGTTCCAATCAATTATCGGGACAAATTTCCAGTCGATGGTTACAATTTAGCGATTCGTGGTCTTTATACCAACACACCTGATGAACAATTGCGAGAAATAGCATTTAAATTATTCTATAAAACTAATGATCATCGAGAGAAACTTTTAAAACAATTGTTACTTGGACGTTTTTCTTTAGCTAAATTGTGTGGATTTGATTCATACAGTGAACGTGCTAATCAAGTGGGAATATTTGGTTCGGTTAATCAAGTTAACACTTTTCTTGAAAATTTATCCAGTTTATTGGAGCCATTAGCAAGTAATGATTACAATTTAATGTTGTCAATTAAGAGGAAACTTGATCCAACTGCAAGAAAAGTTAATCCTTGGGACTCGCAATATTTAATTGAAAACTTTAAATCATCTAAATTAAATCAATCTCTCCAGGAATCAACTTCATATTTTTCACTTGGTCATTGTATGGATGGATTGAATTTAATATTTAATTCACTTTTCAACATTAATCTTGAATACTCTGAACCGTTAATAGGTGAATTATGGTCAGCTGATGTGATTAAATTAATTGCCTACAATAAGAACCGTCAAGAATTGGGTACAATTTATTGTGATTTCTTTGAACGTGAAGCTAAACCACATCAAGATTGTCACTTCACAATTAAAGGAGGTTGTCAACTGCCCGATGGTAATTATCAGAATCCAGTGGTCGTTCTTGTCCTAAGTTTACCAAAATCTAATTTACCTTCAACACCGACCCTTTTATCACCTCATATGGTTGACAATTTATTCCATGAGATGGGACACGCTGTACATTCAATTCTCGCTCGAACACCATATCAACATACAACGGGAACTCGATGTTCAACCGATTTAGCGGAAGTTCCCTCGATTCTGATGGAATATTTTATCCAAGATGATCGAGTTGTATCTACCTTTGCCAAACACTATTCGACGGAAAGTCCAATTCCCAAATCTCTTCTGTCCACTTGGATTTCGTCGAAAAAGTTATTCAATGCTTCCGAAACACAATTACAACTTTTCTACGCTGCTCTCGATCAAGCCTACCACGGAACCAAACCATTGATAGACAATAATTCAACTAGTTCAACATCATCGCAAATTTGTCAACAATATTATCCATTTGGCTACTCACCTGAAGTTGCCTGGCAATTAAGATTTGGTCATCTAGTCGGTTATGGAGCCAAATATTATTCTTATCTTATCTCAAGATCAGTCGCTCGGCTCATTTGGTGTAAATACTTTTCAGCTGATCCTTTCTCGCCCGAAGCTGGTTCCATTTATCAGAATAAAGTATTATCTCATGGTGGAGGTAAACCTGCTGCTGATATTGTTGAAGATATTTGTGAACATCCAATTGATCCAAATTATTTAGCCAAATCATTGATAGACGATATTATTGATTGTAATCAACGTTGTAAACAATTTTTATAATTTAACAACTTTCAAACTTAATTATAGTAGTAGTGACAATGTTTATGACCAATAAGCAAAACAATTATTCCTATTAAATTAATTAAATTAATAATAACATGATTATAACATTGTGATCGAATAAAAATGTAAATTGTTGTAAACTTGAATTTCTATCAACTATTAATTTAATTTAATTGTTGAAAGAATTAAAAATTAAAAATGGTAATTCGTTTATCTACTAGATGGCGCTGATCATTTTCCATTCTGAGTTGTGTTTACATCCGTAAATTTATATCAGCAAATTTTAATTCAGTGATTTTGATTAAAAATATAGAAATTAATTAACCATTTGTGCAAAAATTAGTTAAACTACGACTGGAGAACCTGAAGAAACAATAATATTAAGGTAAGATTAAAAATTTAAATATAAAACAAAGGAAAACAATAAACGGGGCGTATGCCAAACATTTAACGGACATTATTATTTCCTTTTCCGGAATTGCCACATGTTCAAATCCATTAAACACAAATTAATGAACAACATAACAGTTTTATTTAACAGTAAATTAATAATATTAATATTATTTTGTTCATATTGTTTTCATTTTTAAACAGTGAATAATTAAAGTCGAATATGGCAGTTACTTCGGGGATGATTAAAACCTTTAAACAAGATCTAACCAAGAAGCTTATCACCAAACAAGATTTTGATGAACAGTTGAAGAAGATTTCATTTGTCGAGATACTGGATCTGGCAAGATTATCATTAATATTGCTTAAATCGTCGGATTTGCTCAGAGAACACAGTTTGGGTCCAACTTTTCAATATAAAATGAAATACATAATCTCATGGTTGAAGAAACACCCACCCGCAAATATTAGTAGTGAAGAAAAAGTGATAATCAATGAAGTTAATCATTTTGATACAGCCAAATTGATCATCCCAATGGATAATAATATTACGACACTTGATGAAGAAGAAGATGACCAAGTGGATCCTAACTTTCAACAGAGAAATTATGGTGGAAAAGAGACAAATAATACCAACAGACAAGATGAACAACCGAGCACATCAAGGGATACACAAAGACTTTTGGTGGTTAATGATAAAATAGTTTCACCGAATCAGCTAGTACAAGAAGAAGTTCAAGTGAAACAACATCCACTTAAGCGTCAGTTTGTAAATTTTAATCTTCATGAAGAAAACATTCAAGTTACTTATGAAACAGCCAAAAAGATAAGGAAAACTGTGTACAAGCAAGAAGATACTCCGATTCCATTAACCTGGAAACCTTGGTCAGCTCACTTAATGGAACCAATCTTCTTAGTGCAACATTCTGAACTCAACCCGACACAGGTAAAAGATATTATTATTAAAGCGATTGAACGATCTGAACTTCAACCAATCATTGGTACTTTCATCACTGGAAATGAGGCTTTGAGGATTAAATCTCCAGATTCGATCACCAGGAAAAATAATATGGCTCGTCTCAAAGAGTGGCTTCCAGAATTGAAAATATTAAAGCCCAAAGTTTTTGATCCAAAGATCAGATTGACAAGAGTTTATTATGAAGGCTCATTGTTGGATAAAGATCAACTAAAACAACTAATTATTAATATTTTAACCTCATCGGGTTTCACTGAGGAGGATAAATATACAATTGATTCAGCTTACACTACGAATGTTAAAAATCACATTGATGTAATAATATCAATTTCACCGGCTCTAAGAGATAAAATTCACGATAAACGCGGAGTGTTGTATCATCTTGGAAATGAAATTAAAGTAAAGGATTACTTTAAAGTTACTAATTGCTCAAGATGCTATTCATACCAACACAAAGAAAGAAAGTGCCAAAATCAACAATGCTGCAAATATTGTGCTCAGCTTCACAACTGGCGTGAATGCAAAATTATTAATGAACCAACGAAATATTGTTGCATCAATTGTAAGGATAACCCGAGATCATTTAATCATGCAGCGGATGATTGGAACTGTCCAGTTTACCAAAAAAAGCTCCGAGAATCAATGCAAATGATTAACTATGAGTACCGGTGGATAATTCAATCTTTAAAAAAAAAAAAAAACTTTTCTCTTTATAATATGAAGAAATGAAATTTAATAATAATAATCTTTTCTGTTATGAATATGAATGATTAAGATTTTACAGAAATTGTGTGGATACAAAATGGTGGTAATCAAAAAAAAAAATAATAATAATAATCATAATTGATCATAATGATTTTTTAAACATATGATAAAATTCAAATTCTACAACATTTAGAAGGTAAATGATTGACAAAAATAAACTAAGAAATATTAATAATTTCATTTTTCATTTGATTTTAGCTTAAAGCTTCCCAAAAATTTAACTTTCATGAGTTTATCGGAAATGGCAATTTCCTCCTTCTTTGGGACCAAATTAATAATTGACTCTTTAGGAATGGACCGAAGGAAGTTACCAAGAGTCTCATACTGACTCAAACACCGATATTCCACCCAAACCAAATCAATGGCGCTTTTTATTCCAAAACGCTTAGACAAAAGCTTTAAAGTATCATCGGTGCTCAATCGTTGATCAATTTTTAGCTCCGGAATATTAATAATTGATCGAAGATTAAGAGTAACAACATCCACACAATCATCATAAAAGAACAATTTAAAATCATTCAAATTATTATTACAAACCAGTTGATAATCTTTCCTCTTAACGGCAATTGAGTCAAAACCACCAATAACATAATTATCAATCTTTGGCTGAACAGTATTGCCAATTTTAACACAATTTAATGTAGCGTTACCACATTTATTAATATGTTGCTGGAAAAGCCTCAGATTAAATACCAAATTGCATTTCTTACATTCGATTGTTGTTTCCTCATATAATTTTTTCTCAATATTACTCAAATATCGGAAATACGGGTCTTTAAAATCATGAGGACAACCACCGGGACATTTAACTTCGGTTTTTCGTGATGATTTGTTGTAATAATTATTAGTAGGGACATCAGAAAAAGGATAGCAACAGGTACTACAAAATACCTTTGTACAGAATCGGCGACGATTACCTCCATCATGTACCATGGGATCAAGTGCGAAATTGGAACACAAATTACATATAAAATCTTTAAACTTTACCTTGTCAACCACTTGATCGATAGTAATAATCATTTTCATCAATAATAATAATATAGATACAAATTGAATCAAAATTAAAACTTCAAGTAAACAATTATAATTTTCAAAAAATTAACTCTCCCTCTCAAAATAAAAGCCAAACGATAACCATGACTACAGGGACCGTTGAAAAATAATAAACAGCAAATTCTAAAGAGAACAAAAGTTCAAAAAGAACAAAATAAAATTATAAACCTTTTCCTACTAAATGGTAATGAAAATAAATAATAATATTAATAATGTTTAATGTTATACATTGGAATACATGTAGATCAACAGAATTAACTAATGAATTATTAAGTGTAAACAAAGATAATGAAGTGATAATCTCACTTAATGAATTACCAGCCACTTTTGTGATCGATAAACTTGATGAGATTATTGAATCAAATCAAACGATTAATATTAATTACATTAATTGGGGTATTTACAATATCTTCGTTGAAGGGAAAACTGCTATTTGTGCAACTAATAATTATAAAGTGAAAAATTTAAATATGAAATCAAAAAATACAGTTGGTGTGGAAATTAACCATCACGGACGATTATATAACTTCATCTCAATCTATGTGGAAATTGGCGGCATAGAAAAAACCAGGAAATTCTGGTCACTGTTTCAAGAAGAACTATCAACATTGGAAAGCCCGATAATAATTATGGGTGATTTCAATATCGAACACCCAATGTGGTCACCAAGAGTGACTGATTGCCGAGTTAAATTACCGGTTAATAATTTCAATTCAGTGTTTGTGCCAGATAATAATAATTTCACTTATGTTAATGGAGAAAAACGGACATTCATCGATGTGATTTTAGTACCAAAAAATACGATTATTTTAAATTCGAGATTATTACGGGTTAGAATCAATGACCACCTAATTTTGGACGCGAAAATTCTGGTTCAAGTGTCCAGAAAACCAGTACAAGCATCAAGTTTAAAGTGTATTATTCGTAAAATCAAGCAACCGAACGTTTCGATAGAAAACGAATTATCATCGGAATCAACTTTAATTAAAAATGGCCGTCAAATTATTAATTATCCAGAAGCAACAGGTAGATGGATTAACTTCACACCGAGCTTGACATCTAATAATCTTCGAAAACTACGAAAAAGAATAAAGAAAAAAGATGACTCCAGAATAAAACAGAGAATAAATGAAATAAGGAAACAATTCAATATCAATAAAAACATCAAATCGATTGTGAACAAGAAGGAAATACCAGAACAGACTCGCCTTTGGAAGGCTTTGTCTCTTATAAGCCGACCACGTAATAATAATATTTTACCGCAGAATTACCCATCGAATTATTCAAATGCAATTGAAGAATATATTAGGAGATTTTCTCTGAATAAACCAATTTTCAACGACAATGATTATCAGCCAATAAAAGGGACATTTAGGGAGGACCATTGGTACACATTGATAAACAAAATCAACTACTTCAAATCATCATTATCGGCGGATGGCTATTCCAAAAAGCAATGGTGTCGATTTTTCCAGCTGAATCAACATTTGATTAAAAACATAATAATAATAATTATGAAAACTTCATATGTACCAGCGTCTTTCCGTATCTTAGGGGGTGGATTCATACCCAAGAACAACTCCAACAAAGTAAGGATGGTAAAAACACCCAATTATCTCCTGAAATGTATTGATAAACTTATATCAATGCAATTGGCCGAAATTATTGAAGAATATGTGTTACCGGAACACCACTTTGCCTTCATCCAAGAATCAACGAGAGAACAATTTATATTTAAAGTTATTTTCGAAACAGATTTCAATAAGTATAACATAATACAAGCAGACATCGAAAAAGCCTTCGATGAAGTTAACATTCAATGTGTAGTAAACAGACTGGAATTGATGGGAAAAAATTCATTAGCGAGTCTAATTAAGAGCTTCTGCTCAACAAGGTATGTTAAAATCAGACATAATAATAATAATTGGTACAGTCGAGAAGAAATCGGAGTTCCCCAAGGATGTGCATCATCACCTTTACTCTTCTCAATGGCTTTGGACTCAGTGATCAGATTATTAAAGGAACGAAACATCAACATAATCTCATATGCAGATGACATTATTATAACCGTCCCGATACATGGAAACCAAGAATTAATAATGGAAGAAGTTAAAATGGTGTTAGCGACAATTAATCTCAAGATAAATAATGAGAAAACACACTCATTTACATACAAGACGCTGAACAAATTAACATTAGTTGGTTACAAAATATTTAACCCATTCATAAACACTCAATTGAAACAATTTACAAACTCAATAGAAAATAATTTTATGAGCAAATTCAAATGCCAAAAAGCAACACTGATAGCATTACCATTCAAACTTAAAAGACTAATCATTAATAATATTTTGTTCCCCAAATTCATAGCAACAGGTTTTTGGGTGTTCACACAGAACAAAGAACAGTATCTGAAATATATCGAAGCATCGGATAAACTTTTCTCTGTATTGGAACCTTCAACGATTTCATCAACTTACCTAAAAATAATATATGGTTTGGATCACCCACTAATCGACCAATGGATAAAAGTAATCGAATATTCAAAAAGGAAAGGAATAAAATTACCTGAAGATTTCCATGTTGACACACCCAATCTACTACGTACAACGAAAACTGAAATGAAAAGAAAGATTTTAAATAGATTTAATCACCCCAAGTTTGAACAATCAATAATCTATTATTATGAAGAGGATAAGATATTATTAGCGGTTAACAATAATATGGAAGCAATGAGATTTGATCGAAAAGATAACTGGCATTTGCTGCTGAATATTATTTATGCTCAGATAGTTTATCATGATAATAATAGAATAACTAATCCAATAATAATAATCCCCAAACAAATGACACTAAATATTAATTCTAAATCTCCTTATATTTTAGATACGTTTTCATTATTATCAAAAATAATTAATTTTCAATGGCAATGGTCGTATGGAACAATGTGTAGGAATCAATTCACACCTTTCATAATACACAATATTACGATTACATGGCTACCGACAAAGATCTGGAGATCAGAAATACGCGACATAATATTAATAAGACATAACAATTGGCTAAAAAATCAAAAATTCTCATGGACACGAATGGTATCAGGAGAGAGATTAACGAATTCATATGGATACATGGGAAGAACACCCTATTGGAAATTGACGAAGATGTGGTCGAAGTTTAATCTAAGGATTATTAATATTCCATGTTGCCCAAGGTTCAAAACGGAAAACCATTTACCGATAAATTGTGGAAAACTCCTAAACATGATCAATGAAGAATGGACAGAAGAAAAGGAACCAGGAAAAAACATAGAAGAATATATAAAAACGGCTGAGTTAATTACACGAGTCTCCAAAGAATTTGTTAATTATTCAATCAATGTTTAACAGAATCCAAATAATATTATTAATGTAAATGGCAACCTCAAAATCAAATTCCCCTCCCAAAATGAGTCGTACTCACTCATAACATCATCTCTTAAGATGATGGAGTCTTTGGAGACTCGCTGTAATGGCTTAGAAATTGTTTACATCCACACGTGGTTGGAAATTGTTTTCATTTTTGGTTATTAAATTATTGTTAATTTCTTGTGATTTAAATTAATTATTTACAATGGACGAACAAATGGACGAAATTGAGAGTAAAGTGATTATTGTTAAAAATATTCCCCATGGATTTTATGAAAAGCAAATGTTGAGTTTCTTCTCACAATTTGGTAAAGTTACCAGATTAAGATTATTGAGAAGTAAAAAGGTAAATGGTTAATTTTTTTTTCTAATTCTTTTCAATTGATTTAATTTTTTGTTTCTCTCTTTTATTATAACTGTGAATAGTATTTAAAAAGTAAAGGGATTGCTTTTGTTGAATTTGCCTTTGAAGATGTTGCCAAGATTGCGGCTCATACGATGAACAATTATCTCATGTTTGAAAAGTTGATCAAATGTAAGTAAAATTTTTCATCGTGTTTTGGTTTTCTATATTTTCAAAATTATTTTTAACTTTTTAATTTATTCTTAGGTCACCTTGTACCTCCTTCTAAATTACCAACGAGTGTTTTTAAATCTTGGAATCGTAAAAAGATATCTACAATTAAACGACACAAATCTGCTGCCTCTCGTATTCGCGATGACACCGAATGGAATAAATTAAAAGTGCAAAAGTTGAAAAAGATAAATGATACACTTAAGAAATTGAAAGATTTAGGAATAGATTATCAGTGTAATATGGCTGAGGAGACAACGGAAGCAAAAATTGTCGACTTCTTATCTCTTACTAACGGTAATGCTGAGGAATCGGGCGATGAATCTTATGTGACCTGTGATTCTTCACCGAAATCGCCGAAATCACCAAAGTCACTGAGATCACCGAAATCACCGAAATCACCGAAATTGCCGAAATCACCAATTGTACCAATGCCACGGGAACGAAATTCATTGTCTGAAAGGAAACTTTCCTTATCCAGATCTGGAATGAAAAGGAAATTATTTTCTCTGCCAAAATTTGTAATCCTAAACGCGGCCAGACGATTATCCCTTTAATTGAGTAAAAAAATGTTTCCTTTATTTTGTGTTTACATGAAAAAATAACTCAACACGTTTATATATAAATTTCATTAAGAAATCGATAAAATCAGTGAATTGAAGTTAAATCATTTGTCAAGCATTTGTATCCAATACTTTGTTAAAATTTGTCGGAAGTTCAGCTTGTCTCAATCTTATTACAGTTTTAATTTGCTCCATTTCAACATTAAGAGACAATGAAGACCAATCAGAAATGTAAGAATTAGATCTTTGATTGTTGTTAATGTTCACTAATCCATAATCAATTAGTCGACTAAGAACATGAAGAAATAAATCCTTTGAACTTGTTATTTGACTTGGAATATCACCTAAAAGCTGATGAATCTCAATGGGTCGAAATGTTTGTTTCTTTGTTTGATTTAATCTTTTGGCCACCAAACAGATGATAGCCAATTCCAGGTAAGTTATTGATTCTAATCTGTCAATTTTATGATCTTTGGTAAGTTGATTCTTGTGAATTTTTAAATTCTCATAATTGTATAACAAATCGAGAAGAAATTTCTTCATACTTCCTGGAGTCGCAGACTTTTTGTATTGCCAACTAACAAGAGATTTCAACAGATCAGCTTCAATGGCACCTTCAAGATAATTATTTACATAATCATAATAATCCTTATATGATTTAAAAGGTGTGGTAAGGACAATGGTCTTATACAGAATTCGAGATCGAACTCGCTTTTCAAGATAATCAGTACAATCAGTTTTAGCGGTTAAACCAACCAAACATAGACCATTAACATTGTGAATAGCATCAAACAAAGTGTACAATAAGGTTTGTTGTCGACGGCAAAAGACATCAATGTGATTTAAAATGAAAATGAAAGTTTTCTTTCTTGTCACCGATGAGATTTTATCCTGCAAGGCAAGGCCAATTTGAGAAGAATTAGTTAATTCAATTTCCAATACTTTGCCAATCACGGATAAAGCCAATGCATCAGTTGTATGAATCAATCCATCCAATCTAATGATATAAGATCGCCGAGTTGATTCACCGATATTTAATTTACTCAAAGTGGCCTCAAGTAGACACGATTTACCCGATCCAGAAGGTCCAAATATGATGACACTTTCCGATTCACCAGATTCAATTGTTGTTTTAATAACATTTTGTAAAAACGTTTTCTCTTCCTCATAACCAAACAGAAGACCTTGACCTGTGTCGACTTTTTCAATCAAACGATTGATCAACAAACTTTCATCAATCTTTCTACCTCGCATGATGAAAATTCACAATTAAAACAAATTAGTTAATTCAATTTCCAATACTTTGCCAATCACGGATAAAGCCAATGCATCAGTTGTATGAATCAATCCATCCAATCTAATGATATAAGATCGCCGAGTTGATTCACCGATATTTAATTTACTCAAAGTGGCCTCAAGTAGACACGATTTACCCGATCCAGAAGGTCCAAATATGATGACACTTTCCGATTCACCAGATTCAATTGTTGTTTTAATAACATTTTGTAAAAACGTTTTCTCTTCCTCATAACCAAACAGAAGACCTTGACCTGTGTCGACTTTTTCAATCAAACGATTGATCAACAAACTTTCATCAATCTTTCTACCTCGCATGATGAAAATTCTCACAATTAAAAACAAAATTAACCACAAAATCAAACAAAATTAAAAACAACAGGAGAGAATAAAAAATCACAACAATTAATGGATAAGTTTAAAAGAAAATTTAAAAAAATGTTTCCACTCAATTGTAACCATGGAAACGGAACGAAAATTTGAAGCGGGAAAAACAAACAGCGAATTTTGGGAAAATAAAAATTGAATTAATTTAAATTCGTCAACATCTTCAATTAGATTGTCTGAATTTTTCTGTCAATTGTTTTCTGATGATTAATTTTCAACAAGTTTAACTTTGATTCTTCTTCGTTGTCAACTGATTTGTCGTTTAATTAGTAATTTTTTTCGAGAGACTTTTTTTTTACAAAATATTTTGATAGTTAATCTTAGTTGATATAATAATTTAAGAAACTTTTTTAAACATATTAATAAGTAGAAATTTAAAAAAATACAGATTGGAAAGTAAATATTACAATGTTAAATTGTCTCACCATTTATCAGTGAATCTGATTAATTGGTTGAAATAATTGAAACAAATCAATACAAAAACCCACCTTTTTTAAGTAAAAATATTAATCGTAGTTTCTGATAATAATATTAATAATTATGTAAAAAAACATAAACACAAAATAATGTTGATAATATGAAATATGTTGATTGTTGATTGTTGGCATGATTTTGCTGGTTTTTCTGGTTAAAATGTATTATTTAAATTGTTGATGGTTAAACGACAGTTGATGATGATGATGATTGATGATTGATGATAATTATGACCACAGATAACAAAGTAATTTATAAAACGTGTATGATTATTTGTCCAATGATTACAATTAATTATGTTGATCTTCCTCCATTTTGATCTTCTTTTCGTTGATGTAACAAATATTCAGTTGAACTTGTGTCTTTACTAAAAGATACATTTAATTTTCGCTTAGTCTCACTGAGGGAAAAAAGAGAGAAAAAAAAATATTTAGAAAATATTATTAATCATAGAAAATAATCAACCAATTTAAAATAATTTTTCGATGATAATCTTACCTTTTAACCTTTTCTTTAGTTTCTTTCTTCTCGGATGGTTCATCGAACTCATCGTGTTCATATTCCCTATTATCTTCAAGCTCTTTAACTTGACCAGTAACAACTTTATAAAGAAGCTTAATGATGAACTAAAGAGAAGGTGAGAAAAGAGAAAAAAAAAGTCAAATTAACCAATTAGGAGACAATTAAAATTGTGAAGGTCAATTTTTCTCATGAATCAACTTACAGAGAACCAGTAGAGATTCATGGTAAGTAAAATGTATAGAAGTGAATTAAGGAAAAGTGGAAATGGAACTTGAATCCCATTCTGGTGAACATAAATTGATGAGATGAAAATATTTCTCAATGGGAACCAGTAAAGTCTAGTGACGAACCAAGTAACGGTAAAGAAGGAGAAACCAATGTTCGCAAGTATCTCAAAGAAATTGATATTCTTGTTGTTCTGTCGTTTAAAATAGAGACAAGTTTTGGTTCCTTCCAGGACAATGTCACAGGCATCATGAAGAAATATAGCAATTAAACCAGCTCGATGGCACCTGATCAGGTATGAAAGAAAAGATAAACAAAACAAATTGGTTGGATAAGTTTAGGGTAAGATTATTATAATTACAAACTGATTATGTTAAAAACCCTGAAATCAGCATCATCATCATGAAGGAAACTCAATTGTTTCAAGTTTGAATGTTATTATGGTGAATAACTTGACTTGTTCATCACTTAGAAACAAGTCTTGCCACTTTTTTCTTCCAGTATATTAAATGTTAAGGGCGTTCAACTTGATAAAGAAGAAGAAGAAAAAACAGTAACCAGGTCTCAATACTTAATTTCTTCCTCTTTCATCCTTAACCTGACTCCAAGTCTCTTTCATCTGATATTATCTTTATCATCAGAATCATGAATAAAATCATCATCATGAAAAGGTTTATGATTCAAGAATAGGGAATCTGCCCAATATCAAGATTTGGAAAACATTTCATCTTGTTCATCTTTCTTCCAGGTAACAACCCTAAAAGCCTCAGGGTAATTAAATGTTGTTGGAAAAGTCACATTAATGATGAGTTTGATTGCTGGTCAGGGGTTGATGATGTGATGGTACCGAAGATGATGACAATTATCTTCTTCTTTTTTCTTCCTTTAACGTGATACAAATACTAAATTCATACCTGATTGAGAGAGAGAAGACAAGAAGCAATGAGGTAACAATATGATGTCCCATTAAGACCAAAGTGTCGCGTCTCCAATGGTCAACAAATAAGGTTGCATAAAGAGAATGAAGATAAAAGCTTATTTCAATTAAGTAAATGGCGTAAACATCTTTTGGAACATCAAGTGACATCGAATAATCTGTTGGGGTAAACAAAGAAAATCAAATTAATCATCAAAGTGATTCTAGAAGGTTAAAGGAAATGACTAATAATCAAAATGGAAAAAGAGAAAAAAAATTGGCGGGTAAACAATTGATTCAACTTGTTACTAAGGTGAAAAAACTGTTTTGACTTTTTCTTCAAGTTTATTGTGACAATCAATTAATTGATTCTTTAAAATTGTTGTTAATTAAACTACCAGGATCCCAGGAAAATTATTCTAAAGGTAAGAAATAGTGAAACTGTATTGGTATTTAGAAAACCAGTGAAGAAAATTACCTAATTGATTTACAGTTTTACTATAGAATTGGATTGGATTCATTTTGTTTTTCTTTCTTTTTTTTTGGAAGAATTTTTTTTCCATTTTTACCTCGTCATTTGGGAGAGTTAATTGATTAACATCATTTGTTTCAATGGTTAATTAGTTAATAAGTTAATTACCTTTCCAAACATCGGTTGGTTTGTAGAAGTAATTTGTTCCTGATTGCCAGAGTAAAATATATGCAGTGTAACACCAAGTTGAAAGGTAGAACATGAATTTCCATACACTTTCAGGTAACTTGTCACCTTCTTGCTTTGGTAACCTGTAATAACGAGCAATTGGCTGAAAAAAACAACAACAACATGGATGATGATAAAAAAAACGGTTGGTAGAGAGAAAGAACAAAGAAAAAGCAAAAGATTAACGGTCAATTATTAATCCAGTTGAAAAGCAAACACTTTACAATTTGAATTTTACCTTAAAAATGTGACTGGTCAACAGATTTCGTACAATTGTCCAAAAAATGGCCAAGACAAACATGAGAATGTAATCATATCGATCAAGGTTAGTTAAACACTTATTTAAATCTTTAATTGTATCCTCAGGAAAAGAGTAATTGGTCACTAGTTGATTGAAATTATCACGAACAAAATTACCAGATTCCAATAAGAACAAAGAATAACTTGGTGATGGTTCCCATGTTCTATTTGAAGGTAACAATAAGGTAACCATAATGGAAGAATAATCAATTAAATGACAAATATCACAAAGAGAATAGAACAAAGAAAGAAAGAGAAAAAAGAATTTTTTTTTTCTTCTTTTCTAAATTGTGATGAGCAAAAATGAGAAAAACAATCGATGGTTAATTTTAAATTCTATTCACTTGTTCACATTAATTTTAAGATTTTTGATACAATTTCTTTTCTCCCCAACAACATGTACACGTTACCAAATATACTAAAAGAAGAAGGAAAAGAAAAAGAGAGATGAAGAAACTTAGGAAGAAGAAGAAGAAAAAAATTCTCCACCAGTTATAAGATGATCACCTTTTGGAAAGTTAATTGTGATGATCAAGGTAAAGAAGGACTAGTTTAAGGAAGAAGAGAATAAGTGAGTGAGCGAGTGAGAAAATGAGAGAGAAAATGATTGAGTGAGAGAGCGAAACTATTGGTTTGTCATCACTTCTCGAAATTATTGATTATCGATTGTGTACGAAAAAGACAAACAATCAACAAATTGTAATTTTGCTTTTCTTTTCTTTTCTCTTTTCTATTTGTTTAATTAACAAATGGAAAGAAAATTTTAATTCACAATTAAGGAAGAGATTGAAAAGGTCATTAACTTTTTTCTTCTTCTTCTTCTTTTTCGTTGATAGAATTTTTTTTTCGCATCTAATTAGTAGTTTGTTATTCATTCGTCTGTGCGCAAGTCAATCTGTATGAATACGAAAAGGTGATTGTGCTTTGCACGTGTTGTTCGTTTGGACGTTCAAAAGATTAGAACGAACTTCTCGTTTTTGTTTGTCGAGAGAATTTCAAATTCGATGGTGAAAATTTTTCGAAAAAATAAATCTCGACCTAGGCAGGATTCGAACCTGCAATCTTCTGATTCGAAGTCAGACGCCTTATCCGTTGGGCCACTAGGCCGATTCATACAATTGAAGGTCGAATTAGCCATTATAAAGATGCGTTCGAATTTGTTACTTTTTAATCAGCTAATTATTTCCAAGAAAAAGATTAACTGAATTCGTTTACGATCTATTCCGTTTCTAGGGTAGTGACTGATTCATTTGCATTGTTTTGTTTTTCTCCATGACCGAGATTCCAATTATTGTTCGTACCTTTTAGCGATTTTTTCTTTTCTTTTCTTTTTCATTGATGACAATCATTCTCATTCGAAGTTGTAATTACGACAAAGGGTAATCGCTGCAACAGCAGATTGAACTCGATAAATTGTATCTCTATCGATCTCATAAGAGTCAACACGAATATGTTTTGCATGGAATCTTTTTTCTGATGAGATTGAAATATTAGATGCTGAACTATCTTGTCTTCGGTGGCTTCCATGGTAGGGGAGGATTTTGAGGTGAAAATGCTGCTCTCAAATGGCAGCAACCTCATCAAAATATTCCGGTGTATGAAACTTTACCCAAATGTATCTTCTTGAAAATCATTTCGTTACGAGTTAAAGTTCCCGTTTTATCAGTTAACAGATGATATACCAAGGTCTTCAGGTATGGTGGTTGTTCGTACAATTGTTCCAGGAATTTCAATATCTCGCTGAATCATGTAAGAGTAAACAACACGTCCCATTTCTAGATTAACTTTCAATGAGAAATTTTGTGTTTTCATCAATCGAATTTACCGCCAAACGAATCAATGCCATCTGTTGGTGGAGAAAATTATTATTCTCCAAGGAGTAAAAATTAGTTCTATACTCTTTGTTATTTTCTGTATTTGATTTGTTTCTTAATCTCATGTTCACCTTTAATTAAAAGAAAAGGTCAAGCTAATGAATAGTGTTGGTGAAGAGTGTAATCATTTGAAGAGAGAGTACGATCAATGTTTTGACGGGTGGTTTACTAATAAATTTCTTAAAGGAATTGACCAGGACACCTGTGAACCAATATTCAAACGTTATCAAAAGTGTGTGCTCAATGCCATAAAGAGTAAAAAGATTGATATATCTATCGTTAATCAATGAAACAATCACCATCAAATCCTACAGGTGGTTGTAGCAATTCCTCTGATGATAGCCTAATTGAGTCCACTGAGAAAGATTCGCTGTTACATTCAAGGAATTCTCAATCTAGAACACGCCAACCAACGTACCTTTTTCCTCTTGGGTAAGTCTCTGTCTCTCTCTCCTCCCTCTCTCTCTCTCTCTCTCTCTCTCTCTCTCTCTCTCTTTCTCTCTCTCCTTTTGTCTATATGTTTTTATCTAAAGTTTTCTCTTCTCATTTTTTAATTGTTTATTCTATTCTACACTTGTTAATATGATATTTCCTCTTGACTCTTTCTCATACAGTAACCGAAGGCCCAGCTTGGGATCGGACCAACTTAATCCATCTGCATCTTTATTTAAACGTTTTAGTTTCCTGTGTTGCCTTTGTAACTGTTTCTCATCTTTATTCACCAAAATGGGTGGAATGTTTTGTCGTCAAAAACATTATGAAGCTCGTACTGTGACCATTGGTCGACCCAATATTCGTGATAAATATCCAACCAACATCATACGCAATCAAAAATATAACATTGTCACCTTTTTACCAGTTGTTCTCTTCAATCAGTTCAAATTTTTTCTCAACCTTTATTTCCTTTTGATGGCTTGTTCCCAGTTCATACCTGAATTTAAAGTGGGCTTATTGTACACTTATTGGGCACCTCTTGGTTTTGTTCTTGCAGCAACTCTAGCTAGGGAAGCTGTGGACGATATATTACGTTACAAGAGAGACAAAGCTGTTAACTCACAGTTATACAGAATTTTAACACCTGAAGGTGTTGTTGCTCTTCCCAGCTCTAAAATAAGAGTTGGTGATATTATCATTGTTGACAAAGATCAACGAGTACCAGCAGATATGGTGTTTCTTAAGACCAGTGAAAAAAATGGTGCATGTTTCATTAGGACTGATCAATTGGACGGTGAAACTGATTGGAAGTTACGGCTTGCTGTCCCTGCAACCCAAGAATTTGATTCAATTGAAGAAATATTTAAATGTGATGCCGTAGTTCACACCGAAGAACCTCGTCTCGATATTCACAGTTTCAATGGTAAATTCACTTTAAATGAAGCTGCTATCTCATTGGGAATCGAGAACACTTTATGGGCAAATACTGTTATCGCTTCCGGAACAGCAACAGGTGTTGTTATTTACACTGGTCCGGAGACTCGAAGTGTAATGAATAATTTAGATCCAAGGAGTAAAGTTTGTTTATTAGATATTGAAGTTAATGAGTTGACCAAAGTGCTATTCATGGCGGTTGTCGTTCTTTCCACCGCGATGATCTGTTTAAAAGGTTTTAATGGTCCATGGTATCGTTACTGGTTTCGATTTCTTCTTCTCTTTTCCTACATTATACCAATCTCATTGAGAGTTAATCTAGAAATGGGACGTGTTGTTTACTCTTACATGATTCAGCGAGATATTGAAATTCCTGGAACAATTGTACGAACAACCACCATACCTGAAGACCTTGGTAGAATATCATATCTGTTAACTGATAAAACGGGAACTTTAACTCGTAACGAAATGATTTTCAAGAAGATACATTTGGGTAAAGTTTCTTATACACCGGAATATTTTGATGAGGTTGCTGCCATTTTGAGAGCAGCATTTTCACCTCAAAATCAGCCCTACCATGGAAGCCACCGAAGACAAGATAGTTCAGCATCTAATATTTCAATCTCATCAGAAAAAAGATTCCATGCAAAACATATTCGTGTTGACTCTTATGAGATCGATAGAGATACAATTTATCGAGTTCAATCTGCTGTTGCAGCGATTGCTCTCTGTCATAACGTTACACCTTCATATGACAATGATATTGACACATTTAATGTTGCAGGAAATTCATCAGCCACTTTAGATCTTCTCGGTGAAAGTAATACCTCACTCTCAGGTAATCCATCTGTAGCAATACCACTTTCAATGAGAGGAATTTCTTACCAAGCATCGAGTCCTGATGAGGTGGCTTTGGTTCAGTGGACTGAAAAGGTTGGACTTGCTCTGGTTCACCGTGACCTCAACTCAATGAAATTGCGAAATCCACTTGGAATGATCATGAACTATGAAATACTACAAATTTTCCCATTTTCATCTGAAACCAAAAGAATGGGAATAATTGTTCGTGATATAGCAACAAAGGAGATTATTTTCCTTCTCAAAGGAGCTGATGCTGTAATGAATCAAATTATCCAATACAGTGACTGGTTACAAGAACAATGTGATAATATGGCTCGATCAGGATTAAGAACTTTAGTTGTAGCTCGAAAATTTCTAAGTGAAGATCAATACGCTGATTTTCAATTACGATATCATCAAGCGAAACTCTGTCTTCATGATAGAGCTGCAAGGATGAGCTCGGTTCTAGCAACTTTAGAAAAAGATATGGAGTTACTTTGTTTAACAGGTGAACAATTATTTACCGATTAGTGATAATAATCATGCTTTTTATCTGATTACTTTTATGACTCCTTATAATTTTACTAACGATTAGTCATTTTTTATCTATTTCTTTTCTGTCAATAGGCGTAGAGGATAGATTACAAGAAGGAGTTCCAACAACTTTGAAAGGATTACAAGACGCTGGTATTAAAATTTGGATGTTAACTGGTGACAAACTAGAAACAGCTCAAAGTATTGCTAAAGCATCTCAGCTTGTAAAGAGAATGCAAGAAATGTACGTTTTCCGACCAATAGAATCGCGAAGTGAAGCCAATATGGAATTGAATAACTTTCGCCGTAAAAATGATTGTCCACTTGTTATAAGAGGTGAAGATTTAGAGATTTGTCTGAAAAACTATCCACAAGTATTCATGGAAATCTCTTGTCAATGTCCTGCTGTTATCTGTTGTCGTTGTTCACCAACACAAAAAGCTGAAGTTGTTCGTCTTATTCAAAATTATACCGGAAGACGTGCCTGTGCAATTGGAGATGGTGGTAATGATGTGTCAATGATTCAAACTGCAGCCATTGGTATTGGTATTGTTGGTAAAGAAGGTCAACAAGCCTCACTTGCTGCAGATTTTTCCATCACACAATTTAATCATATTTATCGTCTTATCCTTCTCCATGGAAGATATTCTTATAAAAGATCAGCCCAATTATGTCAATTCATCATCCACCGTGGTCTTATTATCTCAACCCTTCAAGCTATATTTTCATCTATTTTCTACTTTGCCTCAGTTGCTCTTTATCCAAGTTTGCTCTTGGTTGGTTATGCAACCATTTACACCATGTTTCCCGTCTTCTCTTTGGTACTAGACAAAGATGTACCACCTCATCTAGTCATTCGTTATCCAGAGCTGTACAAGTTAATGAAAGGTCGCTCATTAACTTATAAAACCTTTTTCATTTGGGTTTTAATCAGCATTTACCAAGGAGGTGTTATTATGTATGGAGCAATGTTACTTTTTAACGATGAATTAATCCATGGTTTTAATCAGCATTTACCAAGGAGGTGTTATTATGTATGGAGCAATGTTACTTTTTAACGATGAATTAATCCATGTGGTTGCAATAACCTTTACCTCGGTCATTCTAACAGAACTACTCATGTTAGCTTTTACCGTTCGCACATGGCATTGGTTAATGATTGTCGCTGAATTTATTAGTTTATCCTTCTACTTGATGACTTTGATAATATTCCCACAATACTTTGACGAAACCTTCATCCAAACTCGTGCCTTCCTTTGGAAAGTCATTCTATTAACTGTTGCCAGTTGTTTACCCTTGTATATTTTGAAGTTTTTGCAACGGAAAATCGCCCCACCAAGTCATTGTAAATTGACTTAATTATGTATTAGAAAATTGTGTAGACATCGTAAATTATGTACCCGATGTCTTTTCCCTTTTCTCTAGTGCTTTCACTTTCTCCCCTCCCATTACAATCACTTTCAATCTCTATCTACGCATAAACAAAACATTCTCTCTCTCTCTCTCTTTATCTCTTTATCTCTTGCTCTCTTTCTCTCAGTTATTATTTTGTAAAATATACTTGAGAAAAGAAATCAAAACATTGGAATACTTTATTCTCCATAAATTTGAAAGCGTCAAAGCAACAAGTCAACTGGAATTTGAAACCAAAACAAAAGCTTTTCAAGCTTTAATTATTCATTTGTTCTGTGTAATCTGGAAAAAGAAATGGCGTCAACAGGATGATTTAACAGTTAATCAAAAAACTTGAATCACCACAGGATAACATCAATTGGAATCACCAAAAGCTGAAGCATTCGTTAACTGATGAGCAAAAAGAGTGAACCTTTTATATCAATATCATCATAATCACAATGAAATCACAAATTAAAAGCTCAAATTAACATCCAAGCAATCTAATAGGATGAAAGGAGATAATGAAAACATCAAACAGTGAAAGTAACAACAACTTAATATCTCAACTATACCACCATAATAGCAACATAACGGAAATAATGAAACACCGGAATGATAAAAAATCAACCAAGATAACCTTGAAAAAGAAATGATTTACATCTAGAGTGGAATGAAATTAATCACCTCTGTTATATTAGCTAAAAGAAAAGGATGGCAACAAATACATAAAAAAAATCAACCGAGAATAAGAAAACTCGTTCTTTCTATATTGTATATTTTGCAAAAAAAGAAAAACCAACACAAATCAAATCAAAAGCTTTTTTCTGTCTAAGGTTGATCGTAAAATTGATTTGATAACATTACTAAATTACTAAATCACGTTCGTTTCTCCTAATTTTCATCTTATTCTCCATTTTACACCCTTAATTTCCTCCTTAAATTTGTCTCTAAAACCCTTTCCTTTTCTATCTCTTCTCTCTCGTGTTTATTTTCTTCATCTACACTTCTTTTTCCTTCTTACATCTTTAATTCATATTTTTATCCCTTCAATGTGTTGATAAATTATCATTTTCACCTCTAATCAACATCTCATCACATGGAAGGAAACAGTAAAACAATTAATGGAGGAGATGCTAAGAAATGTAAAGAATTGAACAAAACGGATTAATGAAAATAATCAAATCTTAATCTCGACTTAATGAGAGGCAAAAGATGTAACCATGTTTATATTTTACTGTTATATTGAAAGTTAAAGAAATGAAAACAACAACAACAACAATTAAAACGACATATTTGGACTAGAATGACAATAATTTGTATTTCCAAACTGATTAACGTGCCAATCAGCCAAAAACAAGGTTTTATTGCGTATCAATTATTAATTTGATTTTCCATTTGAGAAAAGATTTGATTTAATTGTTTTATCCTCTTTCATTATATTGGCTATTAATTTTTGTCTATTTTGATTATGTTAATCATTTTCAATTCAGTGTTATTATAAAATAAGTGTAATCATAATTATCTTGGTGATGATGATGGTGATGATTATTGTAACTGTTAATTGTGTTGCTCAACTAAATGTCGAGGTAAGCAAATTTAACCACAATTATTATCACAGTTTAAACAGCAATTTAAGAAAGCAAAGTTAGTTAGTAAGTTAAATTGTTCATCATTATCATTACCATCTTTATCGCCATCTTCATCCTCTCTCATCCTCATCCTTATCTTCATCATCTTCTCATCATTATAATTAAGTTTGATAATAATCAAAGATGTTAATTATCAGCTGAAAGGATGGAAAAGCAAAATGTTGGGATTATGGTCAACTGATTATCTTGATTATCAATGATTCTAATCATTTAACAACACAAATAAACAATTAAGTTGAAGTTAAGGTTAACTTATGATCAAGTTAATTGCAGTTTCTGTGGTTAGAGGAAGTGGATTATTATTATTATTATTAATATTATTTCAATTGATTGAAATTAACTTTGATTGTTACATAATCACTGTGATATTATATTTATTGGCTGTGATAATTGAGAAATTAAAACAATGACAATTTAAAAGAAAACTAAATGACAAAATGACTAAAAAGTTACAATGAGAACAATTTAATTTTTGTTGAATGAAATGGTTACCGTTAAATTAAATTGTTCAGAAAGAAAAGTTAAAGATTAAATTGATGTGTGTTAATTACAATGATAATTTGATGGTGAAATTAACCAAGCAAGAAGCTGGAACAGAAAGAGGAACATTTCTAGACAATTTAGTTAATAACAATTAATTGTATTAAACCATTGTTGAGTTAATTGTAATGACAAATTTTCAATTAATCTTCAATAAGTTGAACACCGAGTTTTAAAAAGTCTTTGTAATTGTTGAGTAAATTGTTTCGAAAGCGAATCAATCTTAACACAGTATTTAAGATCAGATGACAGACCCAAGAGAGAGAGAGAGAGAGAGAGAGAGAGATGATGAGGATGGAGATGATGAAGATGATGAAGATGAGGATGATTCTGAAGGAGGAGGAAGAGATCCAAAGGAACCCGCCTCGACTTGGTGGGTTTAGAAGATGAAAACAAAATATTTTTTTGGCAACATCTTCGATCAGAGAAAAGAAACATCATCATCATCATCATCATCTTCTTCTTGGTAAAAAAAGATGATGATGATGAGGAAGACGACGAGGAAAAGACAAAGTTAATTGTATCTTTTTGTGTCTTGTTGATTATATTTAAAGGCCGTTTCGTTGTCAATTGTCGGTTATGGTTCAGCTGATAAGTCACTTAACATTCACGTACATTTTGATTTGGTGTCAGTTTGACAAACTAATAATACAGTTTAACATGATCAACATCATCTTTATCATCATCATCATCATCATGAGTAGTATCAATATCATTCATAATTATTACTATTCATCACAGGAAACAGGAATAAAAATTAACCCACTTTGGATGAATTAAGTTTTAGAAACAAACAAATAGTAGAAAATCAATTTCTTCAAGAAAAGTTTTCCAATCATTTGATTAGATTGTTATAATAATTAATTTTTATATCGTAATAGTTGTGATAATAGTTTTGTCTTTGAAAGGCTTATAATTGATTGACGTGATTGTAATTGTTTGTGTCCAATGAATTTGGTAAAGTTTTACACTTTTGTTTGGCCTGATTGTGTTTTGATTATTTTTGATTAGCACTTAATTGTAGTTTCACACAAACTCATATAAACCGATATCACAATCACAGCAAGAGACTTGAACATCATCAATATCAACGTGCCAACGAGTCAAAATTAACCTTATGTCCATAGTAGTTAAACTAACCAGTAATTAACATTGTTCATTTGCAAGTTTGACAGTTTAGAGGGAAAAAGGATAAAGATGAGGATGAAGATGAAGATGATGAGGATGAGGATGAGGATGAAAAAGTAGTAACAAGTGTAGAAGATGCAAATGAAACTGAAAATCAAGATCAATAAAAGGTCAAGTTTTTCATCTCAGTGGAAGGTTGAAGTTACTTCTTGACCTTTCACTCTCTCTCTCTCTCTCTCTCTCTCTCTCTCTCTCTGGTCAGTATCTCATAAATTGATGACCAGTGTGACCAGTAATTAACTATAATTAACTTACTTCAAGTAAAAAAAAAAAAGAGGAAAAAGTCAACTTAATTTACGAGACAATTTAAACTCTTTTGAATCTGATTCTTTTCTCGAGCAACGGAACAATAACAACAATTAACTAACACACAAAACAATTTATCCAATCGATAAACAAGAAAAAAGAAGAGAAAATTAAATCAAATTTCCAAACTAACAATTAAACTCCTTAAACTATCACAATATTATAAACTTTCTGAAAGTAAATCTCATCAATGAAACGATTGATTTGCAATTAGTAAACAATGAAAATGATAATCAACCAAAGAGTAATGATCAATAGAGCTTAGTTAGTGTCCCATTCTTGATTGCTCTTTGTAATCAACCCATCAAAGTTAAACAATTTAAGGTAAATCAAAATGACTATAAAGTTAATCAACGTTAATTATATCAAGAAATGTAATAATTATAATAATTGTTAAAGATTTTGCTGTTTCTCCGCCTCAAGTTGATGTTAACGCCTAAACTTGAACCATCTTAACCAATGGTAAATTGTTTGCAGTTAAGTTAATCAACCAATGGGAGATGTTTATTATATTATATATACAATTGGTTTGTACTGTAAACAAAATGATGAGGATGATGATGAGGATGGAGAGATGATGATGATAAGGAGGATGAAGATGAAGATAAACACAAAACAAAAAAGTTAAACTTAACAATTGTGACTTGGCTTTAAAGTGACTTCAATGTTACAAATACTTTTGAGGTTTTGTATAATTATTATGGTTTAATTGATGTTACAATTAGTTTTATAAACTTAGTTAGTGTTGATTGTGTTTAATTGTGATGCTAAATCTATGAACCATATAACCAAATCATCATCATCAGGAATCATCTTCATCTTAGTCTCAATCATCCGAACCCGTTATATTTGAATGCCCGGTTGATATTCAAACAATTTAAAGTAACTTGAGAAAATTTATTTTCTATTAATAATTTACTTTCTTTTCTATTCTTAATTGTTCAATTTATCTTCACCATTTTCACGAGTGATTAGTGTGTTTGTGTTTTTCTGTGACAATCAATTTAAATCATCAACGGATTTGGATTATCAATTGAGATTTTCTTGTTCGTTAACTTTATCATCAGTGCCTCGAGACTCAACAAACTTTTCATGTTTATGTGTCAACAACAATCAACTTCATCGTTATCATCATTATCATCTTCATCTTCATCATCGATTTCATCTTTTTCTTCAATGAATTCTATTGGTGAGTAATCTAATATTTGTTGTTCGTTGATTTCGAGATTTTTTTTTGTATTTTCCTGTTGCAATTTCTTTTCATTTTGGATATTCCATTGTCGATTTAATTGTGATTTGTTATTTTCTTTAGCTCGAGTTAATCAAATTCACGGGGAAGTTAATCAACTTGGTGGAGTTTTCGTCAATGGTCGACCTCTTCCAAGTGAAATTCGGAATAAAATCGTTGAATTATCTCATCTTGGAGTTCGACCTTGTGATATCTCTCGGAGATTAAAGGTCTCTCATGGTTGTGTCTCCAAAATCTTAGCCCGTTTTGCCGAAACAGGATCAACCGCTCCAGGGAACATCGGTGGTTCCAAACCCAGAGTTTCCACCAAAGAGGTAAATGAATAACTAATTTCTACTAAAATTTGACTAATCTAAATGATCAACAATCTATGAATTAATCTTTTCCAAATTCGATGAAAATTACTGAGAATCACTCGCAGATCTTACTAAATACACTCGACCAACACAATCTGTTATTTTCTCTTCCTGGGAAGAAATTATTTTCTTAGAACAGAAAAATCAACAACAATTATCATATTCGAAAAGCAACAAGTAGTAACAATTTTCTAATAGCAATTAATCAACAACATAATTCTCACATTTTCACCATAAGGAAAACTAAATCACTCATTATGTTTACTACCAAGATGAATAAACCACAATTAACAGTAATCTGCTCTCTAGGTGAATTTTAAACAACCTAATCAACTGATTCTCAATAAAAGAGCTAAAAGTTTCTCTATGTAAAGTTTTTTTTCTAGAGATTTACTAGGAAAATTAAATTTTTATTCTTTATGAGGTTTTGTGGTTTAACTTTTTCTGTGGTTCAAATGTCGGTGTACATGGAAGCCGAAAATAGGACTCAAAGAGACCTCAGTGTTTGTAGAAAAGCAGCAAAAACCAAGCGCTAACACTTCACTACACTGACCTTTAACCTGAGAGTTTCAGAGTGGAAATAGTTTGACCTCTAATTGCGACAAATTTTCATCTCATACAATCAACGTAACGAAATATTAATAGTACATTTACTTTTTTCGTAATCGTCGAATTTGTTTTCTTGTTTTTCTTTTTCTCGTTGACTGTTGAATTGTTTTTAATTCGTTACAATTTGTTAATTGTGTTGTCAGGTCGTTGCTGCAATCAGACGATTAAAGAAAAATGATCCTGGAATATTTGCCTGGGAGATTCGAGAGGCTCTTCTCAAAGAGGGAACTTGTCATCAATCAAATGTTCCCTCTGTAAGTAGCATCAGTCGCATCCTGAGAGCTGAAAAAAACAGTTTATCTTCATCTTCTTCATCATCTGTATCATGTTCATCACCTTTATCAACCTCAACCACTACCACTAACCTTTCATACACCAATGGTTACGTCAATTGTAAACGAGGCCCACCGCCAATAGCACATCATCATCCTCACCATCACCCACACCACCCACACCATCATCATCACACTTTACCTCTTCAACATCACCCCCACCATCACCATCACCATCATCATCCTTATTCAAACAGTTTAACTCATCATCATCATCATCATCCATCAACAGGCCCACCAACCAATTCAATAATTCACAATAGTCCCGAGTCTCTTTCACCCTCCGGGTCGAGTCCCTCCTCGTTTTACAACACCCTTTACTCGAGTTACACTTACCCTGGTTCGGGTAATTTAGCTCATTCCATGGATTCACCCTCCCTGTCCACCTCATCGCCGACGACTCCACCATCGTCCATTACGACCTCTGGTTCAAATCATCATCCAAATTTATCCACATCTTCAACCTCTTCCGCCTCCGGTCATCCAGGTCAAACAGTTTCACCCTGTTCACCTTCAACTGTCTCACCTTGTTCATCGGCTTCAGCGGTCGCTGCCACCGCTGCTGCGACAATCGCTTATCACAATATGTCCAAAGCTTTTTCAACCGTTGAAGCTTCAGCTCTTTACACACCAGTCTATCCTGGGTTCACTTGTTCAGCCAGTGGGGTGGCTGCAGCAGCCGCTGCCGCTGCTGCTTGTGGTCACATTCAGATACCCAATCAACATCCCTCAGGCAATTCACCGGACACAACTAACTTTGCCTTAATGAATAGAGCTTTTAATTCAGTTGATTTGGCAACAGCAATTAGACATCCTTGGACCTCTACTCATACAGTTACCAATCTATTGGCAGGTTAGTTTAAACAATCAAACAATTAACTCTCGAAACTTTTTCAAACTTCAATTATCATTCAGCTTTTCAATCAATTTAATTGTTGTATAATCGCTTAATCTAAATTATCTGCATACAATTTGCTTTTCCAATCAATAATTAACCTCTTCTTTTTCCCCTCTCATAATAATTATTATCAATTCTCTTCAATATCACTAAATTGTCAATACAATTAACTTTCAAATATCAAAGAAAGAAGATAATTAAAACGTTAAACTAATTAGTTATTAATAGATATCAAGTTATCTTAATTTTTTTTTCTATTTCATTAATCAATCCAAAAGAAACGAGAGAGAGAGAGTGACAATTAATTATTAACTGGTAATTGAATGATGATAATTATCATTGGAAATAATCACAATTTACTTTGTTATTTACTGTTAGTTAATTAATTTGATTAGTCTCAATTTTTGAATCACAAACGCAATTAAATTTAAACTACAAACAAAAAACTTTTAGTGAAAATTTTTCAATTAACTTTTTTTTTCCTCTTTGCATCATTACAATCAATTTTAAATTACAATTAACAGTAATATTGATACAGTAATTTTGTTAGCAATTAAATTTGATAGCAATAATCACTTAAATAATAATTATGAACAACTAAATTAATAATTAATATCAATCTTTTCTGATCCATTTAGATTTTCAATGAAATTAAAACTCACAATCACAAACCCCAATTCAACAAATACAAATCAATTTTAATGTAAAACAAAATGCAATGTTAATTACAATTAATAAATTGCCGCAAACAATCAATTAATTAACTAAATTGTTTCTCTAAAATTACTTAATCACTCATTAATCCAATCAATGATATTTCTTACAAAGCCAATGGATACAAAACTACAAGAGTTAACCACTTCTAATACTAATCACAATTAACTTGAAGCGATTGACAATCTTATTTTAAATTTGATTGTTATGATTAACTAGATGATGATTATGATGATGATTATATAGATTCAATAGGAGGAGGATTAAGAGGTGGTGGTGGTGATGGAGATGAAGGAGGATTAACCAAGATAAGAAGGTGTGGATTAAGTTGATTATAATAGTTAAAGTTAATGATGATTAACTTGGCTTGGTGACAATAAAGTGAAATTGGTTGACAGAAACTGAATCAACTGATTACCATGTTGAAATTAAATATAAAAAGCAAAGCCAAAGATTGTTAAACAATTTGTGGTTAATAAGTGAAAATTTGTTGAAAGAAGATGATGATTTAACTTGATTCATATCTAAATCAGTTTCTTTAGGTTAAATTATTACAATCAATCAGCAAACCACAATTAGACCATGAAGACTAACAACAATCAAAGAAAGGAAAAAATTTAATCAATCATAAAAAAAATTAACTTCCAAATAATAATAATAACATTAATGATAATCAAGTCTCTCTCTCTCTCTCCCTCCTTATCCAATTGAAACAATTTACTAATTGTTAATCAATCGTCTTTGGTGGTGTACAGGCTTGGATAAGAGACAATTGATTCAATTCTATCATTACAATTAAGTTAATTGTGAACCACCGACGACGATTCTAAATAAATGATTACGACGATTTATCAATTGTTTCCATCATTAAGGTTAATAAGCACTTCAACAGTTTCTTTGGGGGATTTTAGTTTTTTTTACTTCTCCTTAATCATTTACAATCTAACATTGATTAAGACAAGAATTTAGTTGTTACGATGATGAAATTGTACTGATTAAGATGATGATTAAAACGGAAGCTAAATCTTGTTAAGATGGTGCTGATAGAGGAAAAAAAATCCAACATGAAAATATGATGAAGTAGATGTTAGATTGAGAAACAAAGGTTATCCATTGATGATTAAGATGAGAAGATGATGATTATGATCTATACAAAGAGTTTGTTTTGTTGATGATGATGAGAGGATGAAGATTAAGATTAAGATTAAGATGATGACGAGAAGAAGAAGATACTTACAGGGAGAGAGAGAGAGAGATATAAGAGGCGTGAAAAGGAAAATATGAGCTTCCGAAAGCGTCGGAAGAAAAGTCAAAGATAAGAAGGAGAAAAAGAGGAAGAAGATGATGAAGATGATGAAGAGAAGATGATGAGGATGAGGATGAGGATGAATGTAAAATAAGAAGATGAAAATATCTAGATTAGCCCAAGCTGAACCCACAAAGAGTATAAAAAATGATCTCTTCCAATGGTTAATGTTACCATGAAAATGTTTCCGTTTTCTGTTTGTCTTTCAACTAGAAAAAAAAAGTTTCTGTTTATTTTTCAATCTCTTCCCTAATGTGTCCCAATTAGATCAACAATTAAAAGCTCAATCAGCTACACACCGAGAGAAATACAGACAATTAAACATGTAACAATAGAGAAATCAACAATTAAAGTTAATTTGATAATCCTTTGAGTCTCTTACAATCATCATCATGATTAGAGGATGAAATGATTATTATTGAAAAAGGATTTTGATTGTGAACTTTATGGATTTTGATTTGATATTTTTATAATTTTTTCGGGAAAAAATTATTAACTAATAATTTTTTTTTTCTACTTCTACTACATAGACAATAATTTATTACCATTTTAATTGTTATTAATTGTCGGCTTGTTTGTTAGGACCAAGATTGTTGTGAGTATTTTGTATATTATATTTACTCAAAGAAAATGGGAGTTAAGCTTCCGTATGTTAATTCATCCGAATCAACTCCTCCGTAGTTAGTTAATTTAGTTAATTTCAAACACAATGATATAATTCATTTTCTGGTGATCATCAGAAAGCCAGCACAATTTAAACGACGGCAATTTCCAACAATTTATAAATCATAATAATCATAAAACGAAATGATAATAATTCACTTTCAGTTTTTTTTTCTTCTTCTAATTTTGTACAAAGGCTTTTTTTTGCTTCGTACTGTTTTTATAATTATCCAATGATTATGATTAGTTAACAATTAACTAACTAAACCTCAACCAAACTCTGAGAGCCGTGCCGGTGAATGTTAATTATTATTACAATTAAACTAACTAACTAACTCTTTCGCTAAAAATATATTTATTTATATAAGTTACTTAATCTTTTACTCAGTTGATTTCATTTGTTTTTCCTCATCACTTTTGTTATTTTACCTTAATTGTTGTTGTTGTTATTGCGATGATATTAACATTTAATTACAATTAACGTTTGCTGTTAAAAGGTAAATTGATTCTCTTATTATAATTGTTGTTGTCATTAAAATCCGTAGTAATTAAAAACCTGAGTAATTAGATGGATGATAATTTGATATAGTTTGAATATACAGATCATTTAAACAACAATATAATATTTAAATTACATTTTTGTTTTAATTGTCTTGTTGTTGATTGTTGGTTAATCAGATTTTCGTGATGGTTAATCAAGAAACACTTCTCAACAGTATTAATTTGTTTATAAAAAAAAGAGTTGATTGTTGATGTTGCCAAAATTAACCACAAATTAATATTAATCATTTAAATTTACAATATTCTTGGCAATTATGATTAAAAATATTCATCATTATTTCACAACAATTTAATATGATTAAGTTATCATTTGGAATAATTTTTTTTTCGTCTTCTCCCATTTAAATTGTATAGTATTTGTATCTTGTCCTAGGTTAAATTGTTACGATTATAATTAACACACAATTAAGATGGAAAGAGGAAATAATTAGTTTCTTTGTAAGTTATTCCGTCCAATCGATCATATGAAAAGTGTATCATGAATTAAATTGTTGATTATTGATTGTTGACTGTTTTTAAATGAGATTAACTAATGTAAACATGTGTGTGTGTGTGTGTGTGTTGATATGATCCGTCAAGATAATTGTGATAGATTTAAATTGTTACATTCGGAAATTGATGTTCTCTTGATTAGTTTCATATTCTTTCACTTCTTGTCTTTATCCTTGGATTTGTGTTGATCTATTTTGTTTTTTTCTCTGTTTCTTTGACAATACAAAATGTTTCACTTTGATTGTTGATGAATTTGTTGTTGATTGTCAAATTTTTTGAATATTTTATGACACACAACCACACATATATGAATACATAGAGACTGAGAGATACATAATATACCAAAATAGATTGTGTTGATTGTTGATGTTTAGTTAAACACGAGGAACATCAGAAAAAATGTTGAGAAAAAAATTTCATTTCTTTTCCTTCATGGAAAAGTGCATTTGATATTTTCTTTTATATTATAACAGGAACCGAATCTTTTCCTTTTCCAACTTTAGAACGTAACTTTTCATCGATTAACCAAATTTCAAATGATTGATTCTCCTTGATTAATTCACTCGATCATTAACATCTTTTAAATTGTTTGGTTTCCTTGATTAGAGTTTAAATGTTTCGTACCGATGACATAACAAGGGATTGGATGATTAACAGATCTTGAAGGTAAGAGAAAGAGAGAGAGAGAGAGGGAAGATAACAATTAAGATGAAAAATAATATAAATGAGTATATGAACCATTGGATGCTAATTTTTATAATAATAATTGTAATAATATTAAGATAACAAATAAAATGATAACTTTGATAGCAAAGGACAATAAATTAAATTTCATTTTGTTTGCGTTTTTTTTGTGGTTCATTTGGGAGTTGATTTGTCATTTTTGCAACATTGTTTTTGGTTTTTCTTTTGAGTTTCCGATTGTTGCAAGTTGGTGGTTTGATTAATTGTTTGACGAGTTGATTAACTTTTACTTTTTATCCATTAAGTTCATCTCCAGATCGTAATTTTCTTGCACTAATCGTTTGTTTATCCATTGTTTTTAAATTATATGCCAATCCAAGGTAAGCACAAGTATCAATGAAAAGTGTGGTTAGATTACATTTCCAGCCCCATTCGGAGGTTGAATAATCTTGAGGGAAAGTGTGATGATAATTATGAAATCCTTCACCCATCGCCGTTAACGCAAGTCCTATGGAATCACGGGAATTGATTTTATTATCATATGGACGTTGACCATATAGGTGAGCAACACTGTTTATACAGAAAGCGATGTGAAGGGAAATCACATATCGTAAAAAGAAACAGGTAAAAACGGATATTATCAAATCTTCGGACCAAAAATAATATGGTATGAAAGTTGGAATCACCAATCCTATTAGAATCACCAATGGAATATAAAATCTGTCAAAAAATGTAAATAAAAAACAATTAGTTATCCAAAAAGGAAATTAAATTGAGGCTTATAGGGAGGAAGAGATCAGTCTATATAAAATGGTGAGTATAATCTTACTTTCTTTGATACCAGACAACCGGATCTGCAGAAGATCAGAGTAATCAATTTGTTTGCTTTTAATTGCAACTGCTGGATGTTTAGTTACAATTAACCAACCAATGTGACTGTAGAAAAATCCTCTTCTTGCATCATGTGGATCAGCATCGGTCTCACAGAATTTATGATGAATACGATGGTCAAGACACCATTCATATATGTCTCTTTGTAATGAAAGTGTTTGAAGAGCGGCTAAAAATATACGTAAAGGTAGTTTAGCTTTGTAAGCTCGATGTGACCATAGACGATGAGCTCCAGCAGTTACACCAATTCCACCAAGAACAATTAAAAGATAAACTGTAATGAAGGAGAAGAAAATAAAAAACAATCAATAAATTACAACGAAAAGAAAAATAAAACAATTTGACCAAGAATCGAATCAAAATCTGTACAATTCGAAATCATCTCACCAACTACCTTCTTAAGAATACATAAACTGGACCAAAATTTGTAAATTTAATAAACTGGGCAATCAAAATTAATCAATTTCTAAACTAAATTAATTCTAATCAAAAGATCAACAAAAAAAAATTAGAAAAAAAATTTTTTCTATTCGATTATTTTTCGCTCGATTGTCGCTCCATCTGTTGTTATAAATTCTCACTTTTCGATTATAATTTTTTTCTTTCGATAACTGAAAAAGTTAATCATCTTCTTAATTAATGATGGAAAAGAATCATTTGATTGACATTTTGTTTGCTCTTTAATTGTAACAATTAAAATCATGATCATCATTTTGATTTCTTTTTCAACTGTTTAATTATTTTCATCTGAATATCAACATTGATCAATTAAATTGGTGCTTAATCATTGTTTCATCAGAATCAGGTCAAGATCATTTAATCAGAACATATTAACAATTGTAATTAAAATTTGCTGAATCACATTATGTAATTGTATTGGTAAAAATTAGCAAATCAATTCTGAACAATGAACAATTATTATTAAGGATAAACAATTAACCCAAACCCTGAAAGATATAAATATTAAAAGTTATTAAAGTGAAATCTTTTCTTCCGGATTTAATCAACCATCAAATGATTTAACAAATTAATAATAATTTTCTCACGATATTAATCAGATTATCATCATGGTAATTACCATGATTAGAATAGGATAATGTAATAGTCAACAAGATATTATCATGAGATAATCAATGGTTATAAGATTGAGACAATTGGTAAACAATCAGAAATTTGATTGAAAAAAGGGAGTTGATACAATCATCATTTTCATTTGATTGTTACAATCAAATCACGCTATTTAGCCCTTAAATTGTGTAGACAATCAATCAAAATCTATTCTTTATGATTTAAGATAATTTAACATCAGAAGAAAATGATTAACCAAAGTAATCATTCAACTAATTGTTTACCTTTAACCTTACAGAGCAATTAATTTAATCAATACCAAGAGAGTTCAGAAAACCCTAATTAATTAACTAAGAGATAACTAATTGTTCTTGATTGTGATTTATTATAAAAGGAATTACAATTACAATCAACTAATAACAACTCGATTGAGCTTTTATGAAACTTTTAATTTGATCTTTCGAGATAATTAACAAATGATGTAATGCTAATGACAATTAACTTGAAAGGTAAGTAAAGAATTAGTTAATTTAATGATTGTCTTTTTTACATCGTGAAAACGGATTAACTTAAATCTTTACACTTAAGTAATAATATAAAAGATGAAATCATTTTAAAGATTAACTTTAATCACGAACTGGATTAAGACAAAATGAGATTTAACTTATTTTTAGAAATATTAATTTCTGATATTCTAATGAGAATCAAGTTATTGAAATAATTGATTTTCCATATGCAACAAGATTTAATCACTTAAAGGTTGAGATTAGAGGATCAAATTGTCAAGCTAATTGTTGCCAATTCAAGTTGAATAGCAGTTAATTTTTCCACTAATTGTGATTACATGATTATAACTCTTCGTTTTTCCGTCACAACAATTGAAAAATGAACAAAGAAAAAATCAAAGTCAATCAAATGATTAACACAATTTCTGGTCAAGTTATCAAAATTCATGGAAACTATGGAAAGTGTGATATCAACATGATTAATTGATGGGCTTGATTATCTGACCTCTTCTTAATCATCTCTCTCGTATTATTACAAAAAAATTCAACCTAATCATCAAAATAATCAACATCAGGGTAAGAAAAAAACTCCATTCATGAAAACCTCTCATTCGAGCTCAGGTATCCATAGCGTTTTGGGCGTTTTCCTTTTCTTTTTCTCTCTCATTCACTTTATTACAATTCCTCCTTCATCTTCTCAATAATATCACAAAATTCATCATCATCATCATCATCATCATCTATTACACTGAATGTCCTCCTTTCCTCATGTTACTATTCAATATGTAAGCGTGTTCAGTACTTGCGATTAGAATAGAAAAACAAAAACATTGTAACAAAAATGGGAAAAAGTAAGAAAAACCTAATCAATTGATCATGAGAATATAATGAATCACAATCGAGTTAATTAACCGGCGAAATTAATCAAATAGTTGTGATTTTATCAGGTAAAAGAATAGAAAATTATAATCACAAATTTAGTTGATTCGATTGTTAGTAAATTCCCAACGATTAATATTATCATAACTACTTATTTATGATGTTTGTTTGCTTTTTTTTCTGATTGTTCTAATCAAATTAACTATTGTGATTTCCTTGATTTGGTTTCCGTTAATACTTACAACAATTACTTTTACTATTATTATCTTTCATGTACTTTGGATTATTAAAATTTACAGTTACTTTTTTAGTCTCAATTTTGTTTTCTCTTCCTTTTTCCTGGACATCATCATCTCCCATCAACAAATATGGTTACTCATTGGGATTTGGGTGTGACATTGGTAAGATGAAAAAGGTTATATCATTGATTTAATATTAAAGGATAAATTATTAGTTGGTCAATCATCATGTCCATTTCAGCACTTTCTAACAATATTATCATTTTTTGCTCTTACTTTTGTCTCTCTCTCTCTCTCTATCAAAGATCTTGTTCTGATTAGTTTCAATGGGAAAATTTGTCTCAATGGCTTAATTACAATCGTTGTCAATATTATTTATATATAAGATTTTCTATCATAATTAAGATAATCGTATTTCAGGTAATGTATCTGAGAGATAATAACAGAAGTAAAAATAATTATTATACCAATTGTAATGTTCATCATTTGATAATATGTTATATGTACTTGAATAGAAATGATAATGATAAGTGTTCATTCAAAATGAATTATTGTTCAACTAAAAAAAACTCTGAGAATATGATTAAGCTATTGCGATGTACTAATTACTATGAATTAGTTAGAAATGATTGAGAAAAAGATACTTAATTGTTACCGTTGATTAGAGTACACACATAGAGAGTGAGAGAGAGAGAGAGAGAGAGAGAGAGAGAGAGAGAGAGAGAGAGATTAAATTAACCATGTTAATTGTTGTGAAACAAACTAACAGAGAGAAACACTTACCTGTAAAATGAGTTTGTCTTGGCATAAAATGATAAATAAAATCCATAGGTAGAAGCTAAATGAATAATTATAAAGAAAATAATCATTGGCCATATTAGTGAAGGTTGATAATTAGTAGTAGTAGAATTGGTCATCTTAACATCGGACTTGACCATTTTAATAGAAAACCAGAGAAATTAATTTTGTGAAAAGAGAAAAAAAAAATTATCTCAATCGCGATCGTGAATATTAGATGACAATTAACTAATGATGATTGTGATATTCGTCGTTTAATTTAAACTGTCATTATACTAAATGAGTGATAGAAGAAGAAGAAGAAAACAATTTGTTTGGTTAAACAATCAACCTTAATGGTGATGGTAATTGTGTCGTACAAGCTTAGTTAATTGTCTAGCAAAGAGTAACAATTTATAACCTTCCAATACAATATAATAATAATAATAATAACAATAAACTAATGATGATTGTGATTTGGTTTTGATGGGAACAAACCAACTAACATAAACAATAGGAACAAAAATAAAACCCTAGGTGAACCTGAAGGAACTTGACTTTTATTTATTACATTTAATTATTATAATACTTATCATGGACTACAAACGACATCTATTGATACGAACTAGTCCAAAAGGTGAAATAATAACCCACACATCGTATTTAATTGTAAATAAATGATAATAAATAATTGATTAATCATTGTAAAAGGAAAGTGATTAAAAATGATTCCTAGTCATGATTGTGTCAACAGAAAATGTTAACAATCATTACAGTTACAAAAGAAACACGTATCTCAATAAAAAAAGACAAAGTAACATTGAGAAATAAATAGTTACCCTTAAACATAGACACATATTCGGTAAACAATTAAATTAACTGACAAATAATCTAAAAAAATGCCAAACAATTAATAGAAACAATTTAAATTGTTCTTACCTTTAAACAACATTCGCCATCTTGGATTGGATTCCCTCCTTTTCACTTTGATCCATTTTTCGTTTTCTTTTTCTTTTCCTTGTTGGTTTTTTCCATTACACTTTTAACAACCAACTTCTCCTTAAACTTTTAGATTAACCAGTTCTCCGAATAGATTAATTATTAATCACTGATTAATTAATAAATAGAATAGAAAATTAATTGAAAACAATTGATTCTTATTCCCAATTGTTTACTTTTCGAATTACGTGTCGCCATCTATTGGTGACGAATTCTACTAAAATCAAACATATGGTTTTCGGTTTAATTTTTTTTCACTTAACATTTTTTTTGATTCTCTTCATTTAATTTAATTGTTATTGTTTGCTTTTGATTTAAAAGCTATGTTTAAATTGTTGCAAATCCAAAGGTAAGCAATGACAATTATTGACTATTACAATTAGTGATTATCTATGCGTCGATTGTATGTTTTCCTGTAATTCGGTGTTTCATCAACTAATATAATTTATTTTTCTCTTTTTTCATCACCATTGAAATTTAAATCTCTATTTTCTTTATTCTTATATTTTCTCTCTCACTCTCTCTCACTCTCTTTTCTCTCTTTTTTCTTTATTATCTTGATTTTTTTCTTCTCCTCTTGTTACTTTGGTTGTTCTTCTTCCCATCAAAACTCTTTTTGTATTCTATTTTTTTCTCCTTTTATATTGTTCTCTCTTACATCTCATCTCATCTCATCTTTCTCTCTCTCTCTTTCTCTCTTAATCCCTTTTGTTAACATTATCGCCATTTTTTCTTGCTCTTCGTATTTCTTTTTCTTCCATTGGTTATTTTGTTACTACTCTTCTCTTTGAATCAATTTCATTTCATTTCCATTTTAATTTTCTTCCATCTATTATATAATTTTTAAAGATCTTGTGGTTGTAAACATAGTTTGTTAACTTTAACCAATCTAATCAAATCACGTGGAGCTATGATTTCAACTGGACCATCCGGAATTATGTCATCATTTAAAGCTGGTCAACAAATACATGGTTATACTTTGAAAAAGATTGAAGATGTACCCGAATTATTGGCCAAGGCTTACTTTTTAATCCATGATAAAACTAAAGCTCAACATTTACACTTATGGAGAGAAGACAATAACAATCTACTTGGAATTGCTTTTAGAACAACTCCTTCCAACAATACTGGTGTTCCTCATGTTCTTGAACATCTTGTTACCATGGGCTCGTTGAATTATCCATGTCGTGAGATATTCATGAAAATGACCTCACGTTCACTGTCAACTTACATGAACGCTTTCACTGGACCCGATTATACATGTTACCCTTTTTCAACCACCAATCCAAAAGATATGGAAAATTTATCAAAGGTTTACCTTGATTTCGTTTTCAATCCAACTCTTAAAGAGATTGATTTCCGTCAGGAAGCCTGGAGATTGGAACATGCTGATGTTGACAACAAGGAATCACCAATCAAATTTAAAGGTGTCGTTTTGAATGAAATGAAAGGAACTCATGTAAGTTTTTCCTCTCATTCTCTATACGATTGATTAATAACCTCGTTCTGTTTAATTCTTGAATTCCCTCAGTCAAACAATTCAACTCTCTATTATCGATCAATCCTACAAGCCGTTTTTCCCGATGTCGTTTATCAATATGACTTTGGAGGTGATCCATTAGATATTCCCAGATTAACTCATAAAGAGATGACAGAGTTTTATTATAAATATTATCATCCAAGTAATGCCAGGTAGGTTATTATTACTAATTACCCTGATTAATTTCACATTTATATCTATAGATTAATGTTATTAATAGTAATGAATTAATTTGTCATTTCATTTGATGTTTTCTAATCACAGATTTTTTAGTTATGGTGATTTACCTTTGGAAAAACATCTCAAATTGATTGATGAAAATATTTTATCCAAAATTGATCATAATCCAAATGTCAGAGAGATTTCTAAAGTGTCCGATCAAGAGAAGTGGAAAAGTCCAAAAGAAATTGTCACCAAATGTCGACCTGATCCAATGACCCCTTTCCCGGATAAGCAAACAACCGCTAGTCTTACTTATCTTCTCTGTGGTATCGATGATAACTACGAATCTTTTGTACTTTCTATCATTGGGAATCTTTTAACATCCGGCCAAAATGCTCCCTTCTATGAATCTCTCATCAGATCTAATTTAGGAATGGACTATTCGTCTGGAACTGGTTTCTGGGATTTCACCAAACAAACTCTTTTCTCAGTTGGTCTACAAGGAATTCATGTTAACGATTCTGAGAAAGTGAGAAAAGTCATCTTGGAAACTTTTACTCAAGTTGCAAATGAAGGTTTCCCTCAGGAAAGGATTGATGCTCTTCTTCATTCAATTGAACTTTCATTGAAACATCAACCTGCTGATTTTGGTTTACGCCTGTTAATGGCTATTCAGGCAACTTGGAATCATGATGGAGATCCAGTTGGTGTTCTGAGAATCAATGAGAACATTGAACGATTTAAAAAAGATCTCTCACAAAATCCAAACTTCTTGAAGGATAAAGTGAGAAAATATTTCCTCGACAACACCCATAATCTATTCTACATTATGACTGCATCAGAAGATTTTCTGAAAGAATATACTGAAAAAGAAAACGCCTTACTAGAAGAAGCATTAGATAATTTGTCACCCGAGGAAAGAGAAAGTTTACCAAAATGGAATAGAATTGAAAGATTATGTTGATAAAACATGGACGCGTCATGTTTACCCTGTTTAGATGTAAACACTGATATTCCTCGAGAAATGGTTACTACCAATCTGAATAACACCCAGATTTCATCAATTCCTGTTCAAATCTCACCACAGCCGACAAATACAGTTATCTATTTCCGATCAATCATCCCACTTGCTGAATCAGATATACCAGCTGATCTGAAACCATATTGGCCCATTTTCTGTGAACTAATTACCAAATTGGGTGCAGGCTCTCGGGATCATAAACAAATGGATCAAGAGATTAAGATGAGAACCGGAGGATTAGTAGCTCGATCTCATCTCAGTGAGAGTATTGATACACTTAATGAATATAACACTGGTGTCCTCTTGTATTCTCACTGTTTAGAAAGAAATTTAGATCATATGTTAAAACTGTGGTCTGATATTATGAATCACATTCGTTATGATGAAGATGAACATTTACAACAATTAGTTAAAATGATGGCTTCCGAAGGAGCAGAAAATTTAGCTCATGGTGGTCACTCTTTCGCTATGGTTCGAGCAGCTTCATCGCTTAAAAGTTCAGGCGCTTTTCGTGAAATTTGCTCCGGTTTATCACATATTGTTTTCCTTAAAAAGTTGGCTGAAAAGGATGATATCAATGATCTCAGAGAGAAACTTATTTCTCTGGGTAAACTTGTCTTCTGTAAAGACGCGATGAAAATTTCAATTAACGCTGAACCTTCAATTATTGATAATTCATTGGTTCATTTGGAAAGTTTCATCAATCAATTACCACCCGGTGGATCACCAGGTCTTAATAGATCGAGTGAAATTAAATATCCAATCGAGAAGGAATTGAAAAAAGAGCATTTTGTATTCCCATTTAATACCAATTTCGTCGCCAAATCAGTTTTAACGATTCCATATGATCATATCGATCATCCTAAACTACGAATTATGGCCTCACTTATAACATCCAAATATGTTCGTGAAGAGATTCGTGAGAAAGGCGGTGCCTATGGAGCTGGAGCGTCGATCAATCAAGGAGGAATACTTTCTTATTATTCTTATCGTGATCCAAATGTTACTCGAACTGTAAAAGTATTCGATGAATCTCTGGAATGGATTAAAACGAACGATCTAGTTAATCAACAATCACTTGACGAAGCTAAATTGTCGGTTTTCCAATCAATAGATAAACCAGTTACTCCAGGTAGTCAAGGTACTAGAATTTTTCTCGACGGTGTTTCCGATGAAATGTTTCACAAATATCGACTTCGATTACTTGATGTTACCCTTGATGATGTTCGAGAAGTGGCTCAAAAGTATCTCGGACCCGAAGCACATCAAAGATACGCCGTTGTTGGACCTAAAAATGATGAACTTAACGAAGACAATGGTTGGAAAGTAATCACTAACGCCGACACAATCATTTAAAATCCAACTAATTAAATCCCTATTATCATATAATGCTAATAATAACATTGAATCAATATATACACAAACACACTTATATAAATATAAATATTAATTGTACTAAATTAATTTAGTAACGTTTACTATTAAAACCAAATCTTTTCATTTCTGAGAAAAAAAAATCTCAATTGATTGTAATCGTTGTGAAATTGATCAGTTAATTTTTATTTGTAACAAAATGATGAGGAGATTTGGTTTATTAATATTAACAATTAGGATAATTTTCAATTTGATTTACATTAATTGGTCAGTTTTGGTGAATTTAATATTTTCAATAGAAAGCAATTAAGTAACTAAGTTGATTTTGGTCGGAGAGAAACAATTAAATGTAACAATTAATATTTGATTGTGATTCCAATTATAATCTAGTCTTGATTTGTTAATTGTTGAGCTTACAATTTACAAGTAACAGTATTTAGATTAGTGTAAACTGGTTGATCAATGACTAGATTATAATTTGGTTTAAATTGTTCTGGTTTCACTGATGATTGATAATCAGTGGTCATTGGAGTTACATTCATTGAGAGATAGTTTGACCCATCACCACCCCCATTATCGTGATTAATTAATTGCTGATGATTGTTGATTAGTTTGTTATTTTCCTCGTAACAATCAAAATGAATCATCGGAACAATTTCCATTGGACTAACATGATTAGGCTCAAGAGGACGAATTGAAGTTATTGCATCATAATGGTCGAAAGGGTCAGATGAAGGTCGGTTAATTGGACCCATGTTCTCATAATCATCTGAAGGTCCACTCATGGCAAGATAATTAATCTCATCGTCATTCTGTTGACCATTAGTTTCATCTTCATCATTGACCATCGCTTTATTTGCCTCTTGATAAGGATAATTAAGCTCAAGGTAATAATTACGAACCGAATCTTCAATTAAACAACCAAGCGAATTAGCTAATTGTGTGAAACTTGGCCGATGGGCAGGATTTGATTGCCAACAATTAATCATCATGTTGTAAACCATTTGTGGACATTTGTCCGGCTGCTCCATTCGATAGCCTTTGACCAGTTGCTCATAAAAGTGCTGGTCAGCCGGAATTCCTGGATAAGGTGATTTTCCCAAAGTGAAAATTTCCCAAAGCAAAACGCCAAATGACCAAACGTCCGATCTGATTGTGAACACCCGATCGCCAATCGATTCAATCGCCATCCATTTAATTGGTAAAGGGGCATCGCCCTTCTTCACGTAATTGTCATCTTGTTGAATGTTTTTAGCTAAACCGAAATCGCAGATCTTGACCACTCCTTTTTCAGCGACCAGAACATTTCGAGCAGCTAAATCCCGATGGATTAACTAAAAGTGAAGAGAAACCAAAAATCAAATTCAATTTCTTCTTTGACAATTAACTGATTAGATTTTCTTTTTACCCTTTTCTGTTCTAGATATTCCATTCCTCTGGCTACCTGGAAGGCGAAAGCGATTAGATCACAAGTGGTCACTTGATGATAATCTCCTGGGTCCATTTTATCGTTGGAATGGTCATCGTGTTTACCATTAGAATAAGTTATTCGAACTGAATTAGAATCGCAATTATCTTGACCTGACGAAACATTAGCATATCGAACACCCTCAACTTGAAGTAATGGCGGAGAATTGAAATTATTATTCGAATAATATGGATTATTGACCATTCCACTTTCACCTTGACCCTCGATACTATTAACACCAAGATCGACATCTTCCATTGACTTTGATATGTCACTTTCATCTAATCGTCGGAATCCTCGCTTTCGATCAATTAATCCGGTAATTGGATCAATCTGATCAATGAAACCTTCTCGTCTCTCCCTCATGTAATCCCTTAAATTACCGTATGGACAATATTCAACGATGACCATTAATTTACCGCGATCCATGTTTTTAGTAACAGCACCTAAACAATTAACGATATTCAAATGACGACCCAAGTGAATTAAGATTTTCAATTCAGCAATTAACGCTTTCTTTTGAGCGTAATCAGAGTTTGGCTTTAACATTTTCACTGCGACCATTTGAGATTCACCCGAATCACCAAGTCCAACCGCTTCGGCCAAAATGACCCGACCAAAAGCACCTTCACCCAAGGTTCGAAGCATTTTCAATCGATTATCGGGAAACTCCCAACGCGAATCATAAGAAAGTAAAGCGACCTGTTCATCGAACGGCAACTCAGGATTAAACGATTCCAATGCCGATGGATTGAAAAGGTTGGCCGTAAAAAATTCAATTTGCCTTTTACGATCTTCCCTAATTCGTTTACCAATTGCGAAAGCAATAAACACCAAAACCAGTGCGACCACAAGGAACGTCGCAATGGCCATAATATTGGGCAAACTTAGGCCGTCGTTTGAATCACCGAGAACCTTAAGAGACGAGTAAACATTTACAACTCCCCCACGATTTGATATCTTACACTGATATTTGCCCGAATCACTGCTCACCAACCGATGGATAGTTAACCTTTGTCCATCTTCTGTCAGGTCAACACCAAACATGCCGCTGGTGTTGAAATTTTTACCATTTTTCATCCACTCGATATGAGGCTTTGGTTTACCTTGAGTGAAACAATGAAATTCATACATTGTCGATGGATGGACGGTAACCAATTTATCAATCATATTGGTCTTGATAAATTTCGGTGAAACAATTGATTCAACTGAGACATTCAATTGTTTAACTGAAAAGTTTGTTGGTACCAATGAATTTGAACCATTAGTGACATTACGTAAAGTCGCATTACAATAATAAACACCCGAAGCGGTTCTATCGACCTTGGGGAGTAACAATTTACTGATTAGTGTAGACTCATTTTCAATAAAGGTTGAGATGATTATCCGATCAGTTTGATTGTACAACATTCGTAACGATGAATAGGCCTCACCGGTCGGCATTTTGTACCAATCAATTTTCGTGTAATTGTAAAGTGAAGCGAAACAGGTGATCATTAGATCATCTTCTTGAACCACTTCACTTGCGTTTATTTTGACGGCGAAACCTTCAGGTCCAGCGCTGGTCACGATGAAATGTTTATCCATATGATTAGTGCCGTTTAGATTTTCACCATAGCATCGGTAGATTCCACTTTTCGAAGCGTTTCCAATGTTCAATGTTGATCTGATCGTGAAAGGTTTGAATAGATTTGAGTTGACACTTTGGTTAGTTGATTCAACTATTATGGATTCATTGTTGACCAGGTCGATTAGTGGATCGACCCATTGACCATAAGCAGATGAAAGTTTTGTGTATTGACCGCAAAGTGATGGCTTACACGGAAAAAATGACCAATTGATGACGGGAAGTGGACTGGCCAAAGCTGTACAGGTTATATTGTAAGAACTTGTTGAATTGTAAAACTTTTCTCGACTTGTGATCTCAACAAACGGTGAACCTTTGACCTCAACAGTTATCGATATCTCGGCCGACATGTCAGTAGTATTACCGACCAGGGTATAAACACCAGTGTCCCTCATGGTCAATTTATCGATGGTCAGAATTGCTTGATTAGCGTCGATTTGTAATTTAACTGAACTATGAGGTTGAGATGTTAACATTGGATTGATTGAAGTTGTTTCGTCTTTATTACCTGGACCTAAACTGTTTCCGTCCTTAAACCAAAACAATTGAACGGACGATATGTCCGGTATCGCGTGAACATTGACCACTAATTTCAAAACTTCACCGACATTAAGTGAAAAATGAGTTCGACTCAAAGCGGTTGAAAAGTTTACCGACTTCTGGAAACTTTGATCGTAAACGGTGATATATTTAACATCGGAATAGACTCGACCTTGAGCATCGGTGACATTACAATAATAGTAGCCCTCGTCTTCCGGTTTCACTTGGGTAACGGTCAGTTTACGTGCGACAGTTTCCGTTTGATAAGATCCTTCGCCCGATTTTTGAGTGATTGAATCGCTCTCAATGACCCGATCATTTGACTGGCCATCGATTGAAAAAGCTGGTTCAAAGTCACGAGCGGGATAGCTCCAAGCAACGGTGATCAAAATACCCACCTCAATATGGACAATGCAGGTCAAACTAAAGGTGCTATTAATGTAGGCAAATTTAGCCTCATCGGCATTGATTATTGGCCTTATACCATAAGTAGTAACGATTGTCCAGTGAATATTGACCGAAAGTTTTTCCTCTTGTTCATTGAAAACCGCTCGGCACTCTAACGCTGAAGACTCCGAGTCCCATTTTGGATGATCAAAATGAAACCCAAGGGTTGGATCAAAAGTGACCCCTGACCCTTCACTTGTATCAATCATTTGTGGTCCACCCTCAGTATGAGTCTTCCAAAGGGTGACATTGATCAATGAACTCGTAGGCAAACACGGGATCGTAGCGGGTTGTGATTGAATGACCGATATTAAAATGAACGAGGGATTACCTTCATATGGAACCAATAAATACTCAGGGTCTGAGGATAAAGAAATCGTATCAATAGTAATAAATTTTTAATCGATTCGAAAATGAAAAGTTCTAATCACTAATCAACTTTTACCATTGATAAAAAAGTAAATCGATTTGCCTGGTGATTGACTGTTCGCATAGTAACAAGTATAAGCACCGGTCTGTTCATAGGTCGCGTTGCTAAAGGTCAGTTCACTGTAGCAAAGTTTTTTCCCAGGTCGATATTGGTCAGGTCGACATGAGTCGGTGATGTTGATTAGATTTTCCATCAAAATTGTTTCTTCCTAAAAGTAAATCAAAAAGAAAGATCTAATTATGTTCTCGTTGGAGTTTGATTGTTGTCGATTAACGTTAATTATTGTTAACTGTGGGAACCAAGATAATAACAGAATCATTATTACGGCGGATAAGAAATCGCTGGTTACCTTACAGAGAGTTGATACCTGTTGATTTAATGGTTCACTGATTGTCTCGTATGAAAGTTAAATTGTTTCAGATTAATTAATAGTTAATTTAGTTGCTCGTATTGGAAAAATTTAGTTTATCTCAATTGGAAAACAATTTGTTGATTGTTGAAAAAAAAAGGAAGCAACTATTTCCTATTGAGGTGAATGAAGGTCAATTGAATTTTAATCCGTTAACTTTTTCGGATTAAATTGTTATTATTACATTTGGATTGGATTATCTGTTGATTGTATTTCAATTATCTGATTAACTGTTAAATTGTTGATTAGAGGTGATTAAGGATGATCAGATTTTTTGTTTCGATTGTGATAATTAAGACTAAATTTAGAGTAACATTGACATCTATTAGTTTTAATAAACGATTGTCAATTTAACAATGAAAACGGAAACATCCATCCGGTTTTATCGTAATTAACACAATTACAATTAGAATTAATTTCGATTTTTTCTAGTTCTAATTAAACTGATATTCTAAATATAATAATTATTTAATTTTCATCCTGTTTTAATCACTGGAAATCATTTTCATCATTCAGTAAACACATAATCAAAACAATCAGATTAACAAAAGAAGAAAAAAATATCAACTCAAAACTAATTGTAACAATTTAGTTAATTAGTTGACAATTAAGACCATAGGTCATTGTGATAAACAGCAAAAAGTAATACGCTTAACCATTTGTGTTACTGTTAATCAAGATTAACTAATTGTCAGTTAATCACAAAGACACATGGAAACAAAAGATAAGACCAGAAAATCTTAACCTTAATTAAGTAAAACGGAAGCTAATTAACAACTAATTGTTACGATTTAAACAGATCAATATAGAAATTAGAATTGATCATAATTGTATTGATATGTATTCACTTAGAGATGTTGTTTTTCTTACCTTAACAATTAACTAATCATTGGAAAAAAATTTTTCTTCTCATCACTTACCGAATGAAAATTGATCGAAATTTTCAAGTTAATTGTTTGTAATCAATTCTAATTGTTAACTTACCACAATATTTTCAGGATATTTCCATGATAATGGTTCAACTCCATCACAACGAAGGTGAACTTTACTTCCAGCAGGAATATCGGTCGAGTTAATTGTTGATGATTTAAATATTTTCCATGAGTTAATTGGTATCGAAGGCTCAATAATCCTTAAGTTTGGAGCAATCGGAGGAAAACCTGCGATCACAATTAGTTGATTGTTGTAGAAATTAGATAAGATCAAGGTGACAGTTGAAAGGTAGAAAACCAATTTATCCATATTAATATCAATTCTAATCACAATTAATCATTAGTTTCTATTAAAATCACTTCGTTATCATTGAGGAAAAAGTCAATCACTGAAATTCATTACTTGAGTTGATTCATAAAAATTAAATTTTACTCATTGATTGTTGTCGATTAAAAAAAAAATGTGTACATCAAGTTTTCAATTGTTGTTGTTTCTTAATTACAGGTAAATTTTGATTTAATTTATATATAAGTGTTACAATTAAAATTTAGGTTTCTTCTGATTTTGTAAACCTTTGCCATTCACACAATTGAAGACTGGAGTTGGTTAATTGTGGATTTTTTTTTTGATTGTGAAGATTGTAATCAAAAAGTGATAGTAGGCATTGTTGATGATTGAGTTAACAGTTAATGGACTTCAATTGTGTTTACACAGACATAAATATGAAAACAAACAGGAGGGAGCGGAAAAACTCATAGGAATCATATAAATATCATTGGAAATTATTATGTTAACAATAATATGTGGACTTTTTTTTTACAAACACAAGTGATTACACAAAATTTTAGATTAACTTTTGTTGTTGATGTTGTCGTAATGAAGACAAAGTTTTGTGTGAGAGAGAGTGGGAGACAATCATCATACTTCCTGTTCTCTCTCTCTCTCTCCCTCTCCCTCTCCATCCTATGTTGTTGTTGCCTCATTTCGTCATTGGTGTGAGGTCAAAATTGTCTACAGGAAGGGAGAGTGTGTGTGTTATTATGAGATTTTGTTTCGTCTTCCGTTATGGTCATTTAACTGTCCACCCAAAAACCTTTGAACAATTGTTTCTCATAAGCGTCTTCAAGAACTTCGCGCCGGTGGAGGATCGCAATTAAGATTATCAGAATAAGACAAATGGCACAAAAGGTGTATAATGTTTTGTTGATAAATTCACTTGGTGTTAACCAGAATTGAACTTTCCATCTTTTAGGTTCATAAAGTGGATTGGTGATTATTACAATCTGAGAATCGGGAACAAAATCTTCTTCAACGTGCTTTAAAATGATACTTGTATTACCGGCGGGAACGGTTGCCGTCAAACGTTCAATATAATTGGCATAAGGTCCAAGCCCAAAGAAACAATAAGGCATTTGAAGGGTAAAATGAGCTGATTGGGATAATTGGCCAGCACAAGATTCCATCGGTTCACCTTTTGGATCTAAAAACGAGGTGCAAACAGTTGGCCCAGGTCGATTGGTACCATAGGGAACACGATATTTATCAATAACGTAATAATCTTTACCGTAACAATTACGATCTGTACAAAGGCCAGAAGTAACTAAAACTTTAAGAAAATTGGAATCCATTCCGGTTTCATCAACTTCACCAAAAATTTTCATCTTTGAAGTTTGTAAAGGTGTTGACGGAGGTCGAGTGTGATTGTAAAGTGGCCCAGTGTTAATTAGAATGTCAAGTTTACCATTTTCACCGATATCAAAGAAAGTGGCCAGTTCAGGGTCACCAGCATTGGAGAGACTTTTCCTTGGGGGAACAACAGTCGGTGAAAAATGTCGACCAAATGTATTATTGGATGAAGCTTCATTCTGAAAGATGACAACTTCATTAAGGTGATTACCAAAACGCATGATTGCAATTAGATCGGGATAACCATCCATTGTGATGTCTCCAGCTCGAACGGAAATCGGTATTTTAAAGTTAATATGATCAATTTCAACAAATTGATAGGGATTACCGTCGATTTTAATGTTTTCCAGTAGAACGATCCATTCATGAGAGCCCGAGGTGTCCCATGAAAGAGCATAAATACTACAAAAGTAATGATTACAAACAGGAAGTAGATGATCAATTTGTCCGTCGGCATTTATATCAGCGAAAATAGATTGGCCAATTTTAAGTTCACCAATGGACGACACAGGATAATTGAAAGTGTATGTTGGTCCTGGGTAACCATTTTTATCGGCAAACCAATATTGTAAATCTTTAGTAGTGGTGATGAAAATATCAGCTACTCCATCTTTGTTGAGATCTATGAAGGCATTTGAATGAGGTGATTGCATGGGTGTGGGTGCAAATGGATGATAACCCTCTCGAGAAGGTGGGAACGGGATCTTCTCTGGTAGTCCGTTTTCAGTACCAATCCAGACGAAATAGGCCAGATCTTGAGATTTATCACTCTGAGCTAAGAAATCAGAAATCATGTCACCATTGTAATCTAAAAGTGCAGGATGAGAACCAACGGTTGCAAAAGGAGGTTCATGAAGAGGAGTACAATCAATAGAAGATCCATTGGGTCGTAATAGCCGAAGATTAAATGAATCAATAAGATCACTAGTTGATTTGGGTGAACCTGAAACAACTAGAATATCCATCATGGCGTTACCAGTAAAATCACTTGGTATCAGTCCAACGATTAACTCATCTTCTGGAATTGTACATTTACGCTCAATCTCAGTGAAAACATTTTTATCCTGTGCTAGTAAAACACCAAAAGATTTACCATCATCAGTAATCACAAAAATATCAGTTAATTTATCATTATTTAAATCTCCAAAGGCAGTTAATAGGCCTCCTTGGTCAAGTAGACTTTGTGACAAACAGGCTGTTGAAAATAAATAGTAACAATAAAGTATCGGCAAAAATATTTTCCAAAGATAATTCATGTTTGAGCAATGAGTGTTTGTCAAATTGTCAATTTGTGAGATATTATCAGGACAAACAAGTCCAATAAGGCACCAAAAAAAAAAATAATAATAACGATGATTGAATTAATTGGGAAGCAACAGGTTCTTCTTCTGTATCAACTTGAATCTCTTTATATTTGAAGATCTCCAATCAAAGTAAACCTAAAATATACAAAACAACAAAGACAATGGAATTAGTAACATGAACAATATAAATTAATCTAAAATTAAACATTAGGCCTGAGAAGGTTTAATATTTAATCATATGATTAGAGTGAAAACTTACCATCAATGACCGACACAAAGGATGAAGGTTTGGCTTAACTTAACAGAAATCACATTAATAAATTGATAACAATTTTTCTCATGTAGTAACGGTGAATAGGTGTAAATAAATTGATAAAGTTGATTATGTTGATTATGTTCAATTACCAGGGATATTTATGATATAGTTAATTGAGGCTTGAAAAGTGCGTATAACAAGTAGTTGGATGTCAATTTTACTTCATCTTTCACATACAGAAAAGAAACTGTAGATTAAATTGACTTGTTCAACCAAACTGATAACCAAAATCACTTGTAGATTGAAAATGGAAGAGCACAAATTGATTGTTTGTAAATGAGTGGAAAACAATTAAATTGATTGACCAATAATACCAGGGGTTCCAATGGAAACGTCAACATGAAAAACAGGATCCAGACAAAGAAGACATGAAGATATGGAAGATCTTGTTTCTCAATAAAAACCAAAGGGTTTTAAGTATTCAAAGAAAATGGTGAATAATCAAATTGTAATACGATTTACTAATAAGCTATTAATATGATTTATTAGTAATAATATAAACTGAGAGAGAGAGAAAGTGATAATTATCACAGAGACAAATCATAAAAAAGCTCTGAAGAGCATAAACAATGAAGAGAGAAAGACAAAGAGAAAGAGAATTTTTTTTTAAAGTGAATTGATGAGGGGAGAATCAGAATGATTTAGCAAATTAAACATTCTCACAATGGTCACAATTTACTCTACAGTTTGTTAACTGAATTAAAGAAATTAAATAAAACAATAGAAACAAAGGAAATTAATTAAAAAGCAATCGAGAAAAAAAGAGAAACCAAAATAAACGAAAGAGTAACAAGTGAAACATATGATCGAAAGAAAGAGAAAAAGAAAGAGAAAAAGAAAGAGAAGATAAAAATTCTTTTTTTCTCTCATTTGGATTTGGAAAATTTTCTTTCCATTGGCCAATTGATTTACTAATATTCAATCGTTGACAATTAACAAATTCTGACCAATTAATTAAATTTTTTTCGTCAATCACAAAATCACAATCATCGAAATCACTTCAATTGTTATATAACCTTGATCTAAATTGAAAATCTAAATGTCTACTGATTAAAACGATCGTTAATTGTAAACAATTAAATGTCTACTCAAATTTGGTTTACATTTTCATAACTAATCAATTATGATGGAGAAATAATTTCATGGTTACAGTTTTCATTAATTGTTCTAGTCAAATGATTGGACAATTAGTATTATAATCAAATGAATGAGAACTGGGAAAAACCCTATCGATTCAACTAGTTGACCAGTTAAAGTTTTTTGATTGTTACAATTGTTAACAAGAGTAAATTAATTTTCATCAGTTGATTATAATTATTCAAATTATTTTCCATTGATTAATAACAAATGATTATTAGGTAAGTAGAGTAATGATAAAGGTGAAAACAACATATATAATACAATACTAATGAGAGAGGAAATTTATTATCATTTGTGTATAAATGATTATATTTGCCTCTCGTTAACAATTTATCATTAATTTAATTATTATCTTGTTCTGTTGAATGGACAATCAATCAGTTAACCTGATTCATTTTTCCACCCACTTTGGTTGACTCAGTTTCATCATGAAAATCGGGGACATGTTGGAATAGGGACTTTCACTATCAACCAAGAGGAGAAAGTGACAATCAACAACAATCAACTAAATTGTAGTCAAATGAGTTACACGTGAAACCATCAGTTTAACATAAAATACTTAAATCAATCCGTTTAACAATCAGTATAACTTGTGAACTATTTGACAAAACAATTAAGCAAAGAGAGAGAGAGAGAGAGAGCAACGATTGTCTTTAAATCAATCAATACGAATACCCTCAAGCTAATTAGAACCAATTCTTTTTAATCAGCAATTATCTTCTCTCTCTCTCTCAGTCAGATTTAAATTGTTTAAATTCTAGTTGATTAAAATCAGTGAATGAAAAAACCACCAACCACCAATCATCAATCAACGATCATTTTCACTTTGTTGAAATGAAAATCACTTGGAATTGTTTTCATTTATTTGATTATTTAAACCATCGCCATTGTCGTTTAAACCTTGAATTCAGGTCGTCGGTTAATTGTTGCCGATTAATATGTTGTTTTCCTCTCCAACTGTTTGTATATTCACGTTAATTTGCTTGATTATCGATTTGGTTATATGTCAAAAGACTAAACCGATTGATTTTTACTTTAATCGCGGCGGAAGGGTCAATATGGTTCAAAAGGATTGGATGTCCAGTTTAAACGATTCCATTCATTTGAATCATCTCTCCATTCCTGGAACCCATGACACTATGGCTTTTTATGGTGGTCCATTTGTTCAAACTCAAGTATTGTCACTCGATATTCAATTGAGAGTTGGTATTCGTGCTTTTGACATTCGCTGTCGCCATGTTAACGATATTTTTGAGATTCACCATGGACCAATTTACCAACGATCAGATATGGACAAAGTGCTCCAATCGATGGTCAACTTTCTGGGCAATTTCCCATCGGAAGTTTTATTGGTTCGGATAAAAGAGGAATCAGCTCCAAGTGATAATTCCCGATCATTTTCTGATACCGTTGATTATTATCTTAATAAACCAACATTTCGAAGTTACATTTGGACTGGTAATTCAACTGTTCCTCTTGGTCATGTTCGAGGTAAAATTGTTATCCTACGAAATTATCCTTCCAAACAATTACTTGGTGTTCCATGGGATAGAACATTGATTCAAGATGATTATATTGTGCCAACAGTTTTCTCCATTGGAAGTAAATGGATTAAAGTTCAAGAACACTTGGAACGAGCTCGATTATCGGCCTATCAATCGGATACTTTTGTTATTAACTTTCTCTCGGGCACATCACCGGGAGCTTATCCTTGTACAATTGCCCGACGAATCAATCGTTACATCTTGGATTGGCTTCAAAAGTATCAAGTTGATTATATTGGAATCATTTACATGGATTTTCCTGGAGAAGGATTAATCAGCAGTATAATTCGTCTCAATTCAGGAATTCATATTACCAATGGACTTGGAGATGATCAATTAGATTTCACTTGTAATGAAGATCAAGAGAAACATCAACTTAATCCAATCAATCTTACCAATATTCAAACAAATTAAATGGTAAAAATGTTTGTAAATTTTCAGTTGGACAACGAGAAGTATTTGTCACATTACAATCAGGTAATGAAGATTTATTCATTGATGATATTGGTTTATATCGATTGAGAGATGATTCCACTGAGAAACAAGAACTTTGCCGATGGAAGAATCAAATTGTCATGACAAATTAAATCACACCAAACATCAGAAATGTTGTATTGTCTTCACCTAATCAAATGTCAATCTTATTTTGACAACAATTTACTAAAAATCCAACAAATTATTTATTAATCATTCAACTTGAACAATAAACATTCAATCTAAATCAAAACTAAAACAGAATCCAAATTGTCAAAAAAAAATGATCAAGTTTTCATTGGATAAAAACAATTAGATAAAAGTTAGAAATCGACAAGTAAATTTAAGATGATAATTAATCAGATCTTTTTAAGTTCCGTCAGTATGGCCGAGCGGTCTAAGGCGCCAGACTCAAGATTAACTTCTTATCTCATCTATGAGATTATGAGCGATCTGGTACACGTATGTGTGCGTGGGTTCGAACCCCACTGCTGACAAATTCTTTTGGCCCCTTCACCTTTGTCGAAAATCTTTTAATCTCAGTTAATCTGCAATTCGAATTGTTTAATTTTCTCTTGATCGTCTTTCCCCCAATCCCTTTAAAAGGGTTCGATGTTTACTCTTAGTTACTCGGTTGTTATGAGAGAAAAATTTTCATCTTCAGTTGTTTGTTTTGTTTTGTTTTTCTCTTCATTTCTGGTTAACTTGTTTATCTACACATTTAATTGGACAAATTGTCTCTCACTTTTGTTGATTGTGAAAAGTTAAATATGAATCAAGATAATCAGGTAAGAATTAATTGTTCATCGGTTTCCATGAATTTCTAAAATTTTAATTTTCTCTTTCAAATGTTTACCAAGATGATACAAGAATTGAAAGTATTGGAATATGAATTGAGAACATCAAAAAAAGATGTAAGTCTAAATTGTTATTTGGTTGTTTTTCTATTCCATTTAGAATATTGTTTGTTTTTAATTCTAATTAATTGTTGTTCTCATTTTCTAATTTAGAAAGTGTATCAACGTTTACCAAATTCTTCAGTGTTTCTTTTAAAGGATAAACTCTTTGTTCTTGGTCAAGTGCGAGGTAAACACGTTGACTTTGTTTTTCATTTTTCTCTTTTCTATTAATATGGTCAACTAATTGTGATTATTTCTTTCTAATTATTTATATTTGCAGGTCAATTGAAAGAATCGAAAGCTCAACCATTCAAATAATTGTTACAATTTAAAGTGATTTAGTTGATTTGTTCTTCTCATTTAAACAAAAATGGATTCACTTAATTTGGATAAATTAATTTCCTCTATAGAATTGATTCTATATAAAAGCCTAAAAGAAAACAGTGATGACTCATATTCCCATAAGCTGATTGATCTTGTTGATTATGTGAAAGCCGAATTAACTTTAGATGATCTAAATAAATTGTCAACAATTGTGACTTCATCTCTTAACCATGAACTGCTTTAGATGATATTGAATTGTCAACAGCGTTTAAATTGATTGGTACAATTGTTTCAGATGAAAGGATGATCAAGGAAAATGCTCATGTTGTAATTACCAGTTTTACTGGGATAATTAAATTTGATCAAGTATTGAAAGATGAAGATAATCCTCATTATGATCTTCAATACTCTTTCCTTAAATGTATCAACAAATTTTGCTCAACTCAATCTGGTTGCCAATTGTTGGCACAAAAAGATGAACTACTTTTAATTATATTTCATCTTCTAACCAAAAGTCAAGGATTTTACGTTCAAATGGAAGCTCAATCAGTAATTACACTTTTATTGACCAATATTCTGGACCAAACTGACCTCACCCATCGTTTATCACCTTATCTTCATCAAATGTTACTAGTTAATTGTAAAAGTCACATGGAGTGTTTGAATGGACTGGTCAAGAATACGAAAATGCGCCATTTTTTAATCAACCGATTCAAATTGGATTCCATCCTGATTTCCAAACTAAATTCAGCAATTAAACATGACGAAAGCCTGTTAATTATATTCTGTCAAATTCTGGCGACCTGTGAACCTCCCAAAGAATCAATTGATTGTGTCATCAAAACCTTATTAGAATCTAAAAAGTTAAAATCAATCATTGCTTTTTATTCAACTTTAATTCAATACCATGGACTTAATTATCTTGATGGTTGGAAATTGTTTACAGTTTATCCTCTAATCAAATCAAATGACCATCTTAGTGGACTAATTGTTGGAGATGAAGAGATGAAAAAATTAATCCATTTAAATGTAACCAATGGGGAATTGATGTTCATCTTTCGCTGTATAACCGTTGAAATAATTGTCAAATTACCTCAAGATGACAATTTACTTTTAGTTAATTGTGTTGGACATTTTTAAAAGAATCAATTGATTTAATGGTCCCAAGGAAATTGTTGTCGGAAAGTTTACAGAAATTTGATCTCCTTTGGAAAACCATTGATGATCCGATTCTCATTCAACGTTCATTGGAAATATTTTTACAATTAGTTGGTCAAATTTTCCGTCAACAATCAAGTAGTATTGGTAATTTTAAGCTGATGATTTTCTCATTATTAAAATCAATCAGAGAGATAATTAGTTGCCACCGGCATCTTTTACCGATCGAGATATTGACTGATCTCTGCTCGAAAATCAATAATATTCTGGTATCATGTTCATTGGAAGATAATTTCGACCTCATTGATAGTACATTAGAAATCGTTATTTCAATTCTTCAATCAAACGGAGAATCATTTGTCACCCTGTGTCCCGAACTTGTTGACAATTTTCTTAATCAATGGACTAATTGTTACCAATCATCCAATGATTCATCACTAATCTCTACTTGTCTTCCAATTTTACTCTGTCTTGATTTATATTCATCGACCGAACAATTGTTTAAACATTCAATCATCAAGAATCAAACAATTCCAACAATACTGAACAACTATTTAAACGAAGGAGAATATCTTGTCCGTGATTCGGTGATCAAATCAATTGATTATAATTTTCCAACATTAATTGCATCCGATCTTTGGAATCATCAACAATTTTCTGAAATGTTCACACAATTTTATGGTCTTCCCATGAGTCAATTGATTCTCAGTGAAATTGATTCCGAAGTGTTGTCAATGATTTTGAAAATTTGGATAACAATTATTGATTTAATTGGATTGAAAGCTAATCAAGATGATCGATGTAATTTAATCTCCATGTTATATCAATCTGGTTTATTCACTTCTCTCTGGTTACTACTTAAAGATGAACTTGTCATTGGAACAATTAAAAGTCAAGCCTACCAAGCAGCTAAAGCGATCTTTAAATCGTTTCAATCAAACAATCTAACGGAAAATGATTTAATTACAATCTTTTCTAATCAACAAGAGCCACAATTTTTCATTACCGTTGAACATTTTACCGATGGATTAACTCATGAGAACAAAAATCGTGAACAAGTTATAGATGAAATTTTTAAGGAACATTCAACTTTACCAACTCAAGATTTAATTAACGTTGTTACCGAGAAATTAAATGGGAGCAAAAAATTAACTAAACGTAAACGAGAAATTGGTCAAATCTCAGTTAATTTAATTGCTTCTTTTTTCACCAAACCAATTGAACCTTTTGAATTAATCAATGAAACAAATGCCAATCAAACATTCAACATTTTAGATGATATTATTGCAGCTCGTTCATTCAACACTCGAATACCATCTGATTGTTATTAACAAGAACAATTAAATGATTTACTAATGAAGAGAGAGAGAGAAAAAATCTCGAAAATCGATTAATTTTCAGATTTTTTTGTAAAAAGAAAAAGAAATCGATTAAAATCGAAATGATGAAATGCGATTCAACGAATTGTTTATTTGATTGAAAACGTGAACATAACATGTGAGATTCAATGAGAATTGAACATTGTCTTTAATTAGATTGCTTATTTTTCTAGTTTTTTAAATTTTCCTTTTAATTGTTGAGTTTTTCTCCTAATTTTTACCGTTGACAACATGAAGTATATTCTTATAACCGGAGGAGTAATTAGCGGTGTCGGCAAGGGAATTATCTCTTCATGTATTGGTGTCATTCTTCAAGGGTTGGGACTAAAAGTGACCACCATCAAGATAGATCCTTATATCAATGTGGATGCTGGAACATTCTCACCCCATGAACATGGTGAGTTTGACCTTGTTAACTTCTAGAATGTCATGATAACCAAAGGTTATTGTTTTCTCCTTGGAATCAACACTTTTTTGGTTTCTCACTTTTTTCTCTTTTTCTTTTGTTCTTTTGCATTATTTTCTCAACTAAAGGTGAAGTCTTTGTTCTTGACGATGGAAGTGAAGTTGATTTAGACCTTGGTAATTATGAAAGATTTTTAGACATCCGGTTGAATAGTGAGAATAATATTACCACGGGAAAAATATTCCAAAAAGTGATCTCAAAGGAGCGGAAGGGTGAATATTTGGGGAAAACGGTTGAATATGTGCCTCACATTACGGACGCAATTCAAGAATGGGTCCAACAAGTAGCTGGAACAAATATTAAACAAAATGGCGGTGATACGATTAATCCGGAAGTTTGTGTCATTGAACTTGGAGGAACCATTGGTGACATTGAATCAATGGCTTTTACCGAAGCATTTAGACAAATGCAGTATAATGTTGAGAAAGAAGATTTTTTAACCGTTCACGTGTCGCTCATTTTAGACCCGAAAGCGACCGGGGAACAGAAAACCAAACCCACCCAAAGGTCAGTCCACGATCTTGGAGCATTTGGCCTCACCCCAGATCTTGTAAGTAGTTGGAAACATTTTCTTTCTTGTTCTAACAAGAAAAACAAGAAACAAGAAGTTCTTGTTTATGTAGATTCTCATTTTTTTTTAATTTCTTTAAAAGCTCATGTGTCGATCGGAAAAAAATTTAACTCCCGAAGTGATTAAGAAATTGTCCAAAATGTGCAATGTTCGCGCTGAGCAAGTGATCTCCGTTCCAGATATGGCTCTTTACTCAATCCCTCAGCATTTAGTTGATCAAGGAGTAATCAAGGTGATGTTTAAATTGTTAAATCTAAATTTACCAATTCCACCTAATGTAGTTTCCAAGTGGAATAATTTAGCCGAGAAAACGAGAAACTGTTCCAAAGATGTGACCATTGCATTGGTCGGTAAATATGTCAAATTTAGCGATGCCTATGCATCGGTCAACAAGGCCTTAGGTCATGCAGCTCTCGCGTCAGGTGCTAATTTGAAATTAGTTTACATTGAAAGTTCTAATCTGGAAGAAGAGACGAAAATTTCCAACGAAGAAAAATATAATTCTGCTTGGTCAGAATTGAGGAAAGTAAAGTGAGTGACATTTTTAATTTTCTCAATTCTCAATCACTAATTTAATTTTCTTCATCTTCTTCTTTAAAGTGGTATCATTGTTCCCGGAGGGTTTGATAAAAGAGGAACCGAAGGTAAAATAGCAGCAATCAAATTCGCTCGAGAAAATTTGGTTCCATTCCTTGGAATCTGTTTGGGCTTCCAATGTGCTGTGATTGAGTTCGCTCGAAATATCCTCAATTTGACCGGTGCCAATTCAACCGAGTTTGATGGTTCAACTAAACATCAGGTTGTCATCGATATGCCAGAACACAATCAGGGTATCATGGGTGGAACCATGAGATTAGGGTTGAAAGAAACTCATTTCCATGATAAAAGTTCAAAGATTTACAATTTATACGGAAAAGTTGATGCAATCAAAGAGCGACATCGCCATAGATATGAGGTTAATCCCGCTTATGTTGATCAAGTTGAAGGTCATGGATTGACCTTCGTTGGAAAGGATTCAGAAAACATTAGGATGGAAATTTTTGAATTGAAAAATCATCCATATTTTGTTGGAGTTCAATTTCATCCGGAATTTTTATCACGACCAACTAAACCATCGCCACCGTTTGTTGGTCTAATTACTTACTCTTTAAATCCTTTAGCTTAATTATCACCAGTAAATCAATTGTTTTTCCTTCTGGCGATGATAATTCATAAATCTCTCTATATCTCTTTCTGTAATTGAATATCATCATGTGATTACTGAAAATGAGATAAAGAAAAACAAGTTTCAATTATCAAATTAAACTTTTAATTGGTGTTTTTGTTTCATAATTGAATGGGAACGTTTTCAAATTTTGTTGATCTATTTTTCATTTGAGTAATTTGTTGATTTCACACATTAAAGATGATGATTGTTTGATTTTCTCATTGAATTTGGTGAAATCAACATAGGCATCAATCTTTTCAAGTGGTTCCGAGGTTTCTGATGAACAAGATGAAGGTGGATCACTAGAAGTTGGTGAAGGTGATTCCGAATTTTTTTTGAAGGGCCAACGTTTCAACATTTTGATCGGTTCCAGAGTTTAGATGGTAAAGGTTATCAAAGGCCAAGTTGATGGTGATAATTGTTGAGAGAAAACGGAGAAACTGTTGAAACAATTAACTATTGTAATTTACACGACATCGAAAGCAGAGGATCAAATGATTGAATCTCTTGAAGAAACAGGTGAGAGAAGGAAATGAAAATTTGAATTAAACTGGTAAAGAAAAAAGAAAAGAATATTTTTTTTTAAATTGATTGAGGAAGAAGTAAATTGTCTCTCGTTTTGTGATTGGTAATTGTTCCCCAATAAGTAACAGGTAAGAATAATAATACTTCCTTTAAGATGCTCGATCTCTTGATTTGTAAGGAATATTTCTTGATTTAAGTTCACGGTAAATTGTTTGTGGTAATTTACCAGAAACACTAATCGCATAAGTACCAGGTTTAAATTTAGGAATTCTTAACCATTTAGCAGCCCAACTTTCATCTGGCTGAGTGACACCAATTAGACCATCAAAATTAGACGAAGTACAATCAAAAATCATCTCTCTATTACCTCTCATACCAAGAACAAATTCACAATTATCACAACCATCAACCTCAAATTGTTCAAACGATTTAACCAGAGAACAAAGCAAACAAGCACGAAGATTACGAAGACCTTGTGGAATCCTATCAACCGGAATATCCATAACTTCAATGAAACCAAACAGCAAAGAAACAAAGAAACAAAAAACCCAAAACCAAAAAATCAAAAATAAGAAAATCAAATCAAAACAACAAAATTAGAAAACAAAATCACCTGTTCAAAAATAGTTACAAGAACCCCACCAGATGTCGCCAAAACAACGAACAAAAGTTTAGAAAAAAATCCAATCAACTAAAAGACACACAATTCCAACCAATGAGAGCAACTTAATCTAAATCAGAGCAAAATTTTCACCAACAACAATTAGTAAATACTCACATTCACACACGATTGCGCAGAAGAGGAAGAATCGTTGATTGTAACGAGCAACATGTAAGCCTTAAAGCCACCGAACGGCTTAGCAAACGACAAAAAGCCGACAAGTTGAAACGAACCCTTACCCATCTGAACTGGTCACCAAAATCGACCCTTTTAGTAACATTGGTTTCGTAGTGTAGTGGTTATCACGTTTGCTTTACACGCAAAAGGTCCCCGGTTCGATCCCGGGCGGAACCAAGAGAACTTTTTGATTCATCTCTTAACTGTTACTCTCTTTTTGTCTCAATTTTGTCTTCTCTCAATTTTATCTTCATCTTCTTACTCGTCATCAACATTTGATTTTCTTGTTTTCTTTTTTACTTATTCACCATCAAACCATCATCAGGATAAAGAACAACTTTTTTTTCTGTTCTGTTCTTTTTTTTGGTTGATCTTCTTCTTCAGCAGTTTTGTTTCTTTCGGTGTAATAACATGTTGGTTAATATTCGGTTGAAATTATTTTCTTCCAATCATCAACCATCATCATCATCATCTTTATTGATCGTTTCAACATTTACTCTAATTTGCTTAATTGTTCTCACACTAAACACAGTTAATTGTTCGCCTGCTTATTCAACTTCTTCTTCATTGCCGATAATCTTTCAAAATCCATTCAACCAATTGAACGTTAAGAATAAGATCAATTATGAAACATCATCATCTTCATCTTCATCTTCATCTTCACAATCTAAAGTGTCACCATCTTGGTCTCTCGCCTTACCCCTTTTATCGTCTTCATCTTCATCCCCATCCCCATGGAACTCATTCGATGCTCTAGGATCAGAGGAGATTAGAACCATTTCTACAGGTGAACCATCATCTTTATCATCATCTTCATCTTCATCTTCTTCTTCCTCATCATCATTACCTCAAGAATCAAATATCTCACCAGGAAATGAAACCGTTAATCTTTACTCTGATTCATCTGATGGTCGTCCAATGACTTCTCCCTCTTTCCGGACAAATATTTACCGTTGTGATAAAACTTTGGCCATAATTGATTATATTAACGAGAATCGTATATTTCGTTGTGAATTTTTTGACCTGGAGAAAAGGTTAACCGAAGCAGAGGAAAGTGTAGCCCAACGTCAGGTCGCAATCGTTGACGTTTCCTTTTCCGATCTTCATAAACTCATCTCTCGATGTCAAGACTTGGAAAGATTCACCATTCAAAATGGACCTTCGTTACCAATCAATTTACAATCAGACGAATCCACTGATCGTAACAATACAACTTCCGATACAATTTATGGCTTTTGGAGAGGAGTTATACCAGGTTAGATTTAATCACCTCTTAATTGTTGGAAATAATTTCCTTTAAAAAAAAAAGTATCAAACTGATTAGATCGCAATCAAAACTCATTTGCATTTATAATGTTCAAACTTGAAACTTGTTTCATTTGTTTTACCAATCTAATCAATTCTATTTTCATCTCATTTGATTGTTAATTGTTCAATCAACTAATCAGGAACCAAATGGTGTGGACCTGGTGATATAGCCAAAGATTATTTCGATATTGGTCAAGTTTGGGAGATTGACCTTTGCTGTCGAGCTCACGATCATTGTCCTTATCGATTGAAAGCTTTTCGACATGGTTATGGTTTAATTAATCTCGCTTTCTACACAAGGTAACAATCAGACAATTAACTAATTATTATTATCTTGTATTAATGTATATTAATAACAATTAACCTTTATGACAACTGTGATTGTTTTCATACCGTTAATTGTTATCAACCGTAATCACAAACTAATTTATTATTATTTCAAGTTGACAAAACTTTTCAAACGTAATAATCATTTTATCAGCTTGTAATTTGATTAATTAAATTATTACAAGTTCATAATATTAGAATATAATTAACTAACCCTTTATTTAATTGATCATCTTCAATCTAATGATTAATTGTGAATATATTGATAAACTGCTGGTTTGAAAATTTGCTTGATTAACAGTAGACAATCATTCAATTATAATGTTGATTAGCCTGATAGTTTATTAACTATTACAAAATTAGATTTAATTGTGATTCAAATTGTGTATCCATTATAACTTTTCACATTGATTAACATCATAATCAAGATGATTATGTGAGTAAATATAAATCCAGTCTTTGCTAATTTTGATTATAACCATTTAATTGGGTCGTTAATTGATGATAAAACATTTATCCTAAATTGTCATTTAAAAGTGACCCAGAAAATTAAAATCAACAGTTAATTGTATACAATTAAGTTAATGATGACCCAATCATTATGTTTGTTTATCAACAATTACAAAAGCAAAAAGTTTCAAAGAAAAAGTAAAAATTTGATTTACATTCAATTAACTGTTGATCGTTTACAATCAAATCAATTTAATTGTAATCATATTAACCTAAATTTATTGGTTGATTATCAATGATCAATGTAAATATTATCATAATTTTCATTGATAATAATCAATTATTTTTCTTTGGCGGGAAATAATTTCAACGTTGGTTAAACTTGTTGTTGTTAAATCATAATTGAAATTATCAGATTGAGACCAAGGTGACAATTTAAGTTTCATTGTAATGACAATTGTAGATTGAGGCAAAAAAAAAACAACCAACAACAATTAACAATTTAATGTTCTTACAATTTAGTTATCATTATATTTTTGTTTTCCTTAAACAATATCAAAGAAAATAAATAAACTCTAATTGTTATTTTCATTTCGAAGACCATAAATTGTGATCAATATGATTAATTGAAATCTTCTTTTACTGATTAATCGTTTCTAATTGTTTCTAATTAACAGATCTCATTGTGATTGTGATGAACAATTTTATCGATGTTTAAAAAAAAGTAACAACAATTTAGGATCCGCATTGGGTAATATTTATTTCAATGTAATTCAAGTTCAATGTTTTAAAGAGGAAGAAGAAACTAATTGTGTTCGTTCAAGGTAAGTTAATCAATTGTCGAGATTAACAATTAGATTGATTAATTTCGTGACAATCAATTAACTAATTGTTAACCTTTTTCTTTTGTTTTCCAATTTAGACTCAATTCCAATGGACAAAAAGAGTGTATTTCTTATGCTCCCAATGGTAATCGAAAAATGGTTTTCGCTCAACCAAAACCCTACAATTAACAGTTAATTTAATTGCAAACCAATTGGGTGATTAACTTATTACCTGGTGACGAAACTATTAATTCCTTAATTGTCCAAGACAAATCAATCAACAATCAACTCTCCAAAGGGTTTCTAATCAAATTAAACCTTGAGATTTGTGTATTGATATATTTTTAGTTAGTAAATTGTTTCTCTTTATTTTTTTTTCATCTGACAATCAAATCTAAATTTAATTGTTCCCAACAATTATCTATTTTAATTACAATCGTATATATGTGAGATAAATCACTTGTCAATTGTTTTATTTTAATTGTTTGCGCAAAATTTTCATTTTCAATTGATAAATGTGACACTTGATTGGAATGATAAAAATAACAATTAACTTTTTCTTTTAAATTGTAATCTTAATTGTTCACAACCAAAAAGATGAACAATTTTTCTGATTAAGTGAAAAACTTTTACTAATCAAACAATTTGTTTGATTATTAAAATTGGTGTAAATCTTTAATTTGATCAAAATTGTGATAATAACAATAATGTTTATCATCGTCTTCATGATAATTAGTCTTAATCATAATCGATGATTGTTGTTAACAATTAAATCCATTACAAGTGATTAATATTAATATATATTTATAGATATAAAATAGATAAGTAATTTGAATGCAAAAAGTTTATATTACTTTCTCTGTATGTGAGATTAATTGTTTTGATTAAAATTAATCATTTAGCTAACTAATCTTAAGTAGTGTGTTTGTTTAAGTAACAATTAAATCCTTTTGTCTGAGATGTTTAACAAGATTAAAATGATTAAGGAGATATAATCATCATTAATGTTGAAACAAAAAACTATTGATGATTGATGATTAACATAATTGATGAATTTTTGATTGAACAAATTAAATTGTGAGAGAGAGAGAGAGAAGAAACAAAAATAACAATTAACAGAAATGACTAATTATATGTAAATAATTAATAAGGTTTTACACATTCACTGGATATGGAAGGAAGGGGAAAGAAGACAATTAATTAATTGCTGGCAGAGATTCTGTTAAATTGTTTAGGTTTTAAAGTTTTTCCGATAATAATGATAACAATTAATTAACGATCAACATTGGTTACGACAATTTAATATTTCAATGTGATTCAAGTGGAAGAGGAAAAAAATTGAAACTAAATTGTGCTCGTTGTGAGAGAAAAGTAAGTTAATCAATTGTGAAATTCTGAACAATTTAACTAACTTGACAAGCAATTAATTAATTGTGAACACATTGTTACCCTTTTTTTTTCATCTGTTTCTCATTTAGATTCAACTCTATTTGGACGAGAAGAAAATAATAATAATAGAGTGTGTCTAATCCTCTCCAATGGGTAATCCGTTGGTGGGATTGTTGTTTCACTCAACCCAAACCCCCCTTACAATTAACAGTTAATTTAATTCACGATTTCAGATCTATTTTAAATTAACTTGTTCTTTGCCAAACAACAGGAAAGTCGCTACTTTTTTAATTGAGATGTGTAAAAATTTTCTTGATCCCATTCAGCTTTAAGGGATAGATTGAACATAGAGTAGGCGGGATCATCCGTGACCTCTTTTACTATCTTGAGAAATGGTGGCAAATGCTGACGAACTTCATCTCCCGTTGCTGTGGTATAAGTTTCGAGTAAAATTAATCCGTTACACCGAGAGTGACAAGGTGGTTTGTACATATCCATTTGGAAATACATGTGTTCCCATAAAAAACAACGTCGAGTCTTATAGACAGTATGATGACTATAATCACGTTGTGTAAGATAATTGTTATAATCACGAAGATTAATTTGTCTCCTAATTTCAACCACCTGATCTTGAGAATCACATCGACGTGTTGTATATTGATAACTCCAAATACCATTTTGTCCTCTCTTTCGAAGTCGAGATTGGACCTTAGGATTGTTGGTAACTAGGTAATTGTGAACTACCTCGAAATCTTGAAATGGTGGGAGAATGTTTGACCTTGGTTTACTTTCGATGAGAAATTTAAGTTTCTGTGAACCTTTGGAAAGACGATCTCCGGTGTCAATTCCAATTCGTCGGCAAACTGCTGCAATCATGCGTCTTAATTTGGTCTTAAAATCGGTTGAATTATCAATCACGTCAATATAAGGATGACCAACCCAGGCTTCAGCTGTTGACCGGTCAATTTCACGAGCATAATCAATCCCTTCGGTACGACAAGGATTATCTTCAGTATTGTAAAACTCTTCTGCACCAACAGCCGCGGTAATCAAATGGATAACTTGATCATATCGATTATCTCGAAGTTCAACCGTATTCCAATGATTTTTAAGCAAAATTTTATCATATGATTCTCGAGACATGTAAGCAGCAGCATCAAGGGTTCCTCGATCACAAATAACTAGACAATTTTGTTTACTAGTTGCAGCAAGGTCGAAAAAGGTTGTCTCAATGGAGATCATGGTTTTTAACAGATTCTCTTGAAATTTATCACCTTGTTCTTGATCAAGATCAGGAAAACGTATACCACCAGCGAACAGGGTTGTTGCTGTTTCAGGGACTCGATACACTTTCCATCCAAGATTCTCAAAGAAGGTAGATAATTGTGCCTGCCCAGTGGTTTTACCGCTACATGGTCCTTATAGGTGAACAAATTCACAGAGAACATAAGAAAATAAGATACAAATTGAAAGAGAAAGTGAAAGTGAAAGTGAGAGAGGGAGACAAAAAAAAAGGAAAAGAACAAAAATCAACAGTGAAAATTAGAATCAATGAAAAGAAAAGAAAACGAATTCAACTAACCTCCGGTGAGAACCAGTTTATAGACCATTGGTCGAACCATCTAAATGTACACAAAGTAAAAAGATAGACGAATGAAAAAACCGATCACCATGAAAGAGAGAATGAAACAAAACTGATCATTACAAACGAACGAATGAAAATAATGAAAAAAAGAAAAGAATTTAAGTTCAATAGAATAACCGCCAAGTGTCGCCACCGGTAAAGAGAAGATTAAATTTCATCTCTTGGTTTTTTTCTCTCTCTTAATTGTTGATGATTAAGAGAGAAAAAAAACAAATAATTAACCAGAAACATTTACCGAACCTTGGATTAGCTTTTTCAACGTTTCTATTTACCAACACTATTGTTATTTGGCTTCAACACTGATACATTGATTTTCGGGAGGGAGAGAATAATTTACATTTTTTCACTTTGGTTTTCTATTGGTTTTTTTTTCGTTAATTGCGAAAAAAGAATAGAAAATTACATATATGTAACCACTAATGCTCTACGATCATTGGTGGTTAATATTTCCATTTTAGTTGGACATTTAAGAATATAGCTCAATATTTCTTCGGTGTATCCTTGAAGGAAGTAAAATTTTGATGGAGCCAAAGATTGATGAAATAAACCGGACAAAATGATTTGGTTGGCTCGACGTTTGATAATTAGTTTACCAATTAGAAGACGATGCCAAGTACCCTCGATAAATTTTCTTATGAACATATCTTCAATTGCGGTTTCACCGGAACGAATTTCACCCAATAAATTTGAAGTGTTAAATGAATTGAATCCCTTTCGAACGGAGATAAAATGTGGAGGTAACAATTCTTCAAATGTGATTGGATTGGTTTTTTTCTTTGACGCTTTAGGTCGGGCAACAACCGTTCTAAATAGAGGGCTAGATGTTTGAAAATTTCGAACAAAATTATTTCCATTCAACCCATGTAAAGATGGTGATGATAAATCATTGAATGTATTCAGTAAACATACCTAAAAGTAAATAGATTTACAAATACAAAAAGATTTAGATTGAGAAAATGTTGAAGAGACAAAAAAAGATCAATTGATCTAAACGATGGAAATCTATTCACAATCTCAAGTGAAACTACTTACCTTTAATTGTGTACTAAATGGTCTAGTAAAAAGATAATTTCTAATCATGGTAACAATTAAATCACAATTAAATCAAAAAAAACAAAAAGTAAAAAATGTAAACAGAAAAAAGAAAACATGAGGTAAAAGGGAAAATCTCCTAATCTACTTTTGTACTTTTCTTTCTTTTGGTGATTTTGTTTTTGCTTCTTAATTTCTTTACGAAAATTTAATTAATTGTTTGTGGTTTGTGGACGAAATATTAACATTTTAATCAACAATTCGTTAGAATCTACGATTGATAAAAGAATTAGATTGTTGATGAGTTTAGGTGGTTTTTTATTAGAATCACATTTCAATTGAAGTTGAATCGATAATCCATTACAATTTACTTGGAATGATTAATTTAATTGTAAGAGAAAATTAAATTAGAATTGGATTTGTGCCCACAATTAAATAGACTGGAAAATTTTTAATCATGATTATAAGATTTGGTTAATTAATTAACTCTAATTGTTGATCATCTTTTTCTCAATCCAGTTTACAATTTGAATGTTGTTTGAATTAACTTTTTTTTTTGCTGATTTTTCAAGATGAGGATAAACAATCAGTTTATAAGCAATTAGTTGATTATCAGTTAATCAAATGATAAATAAAAAGAAACTAATTAAAATTAAATATTTGAAAATTTATCACGTGAACGTTGATTGATCAATTCTGATTAATGATTCTGTGAATCCTTAATTGCCCAGATCAATAATGATTAAGATGATTAAAGTAATCAACATGATGATGATTATTATTATTATCAAATTAATCAGTGTAATTAAATTCAACCGTTTTCAACCCAATCAACTAATCAAATTTTCAGTCTGCAAGGTTAAAGTGTTTAAATTTCAACGTTGAAAGTAAATCAACAATTTAAATTTCACAGAAACTTTTCCAACGATTTCAAGCAATTTAATTACTTTCATTAAGATCAAGTAACAATTAAGATTCTAATAATAATTAGTCTCGATTTTGACCATTCAAATATTCAAATCGAAATATAAAAAAAAACTTTTCCATTCAGAATTTCACTTGATCAGATTATTTAATTCAGTTCATGATTTAGTAATTTGAACAGTTTAATTGTTACAATATTCGTTAATTGAGTTATTTAAATTGTATAAAAAATGTTGATTACAAAATCTAAATTGTTTCCAATGATTAATTACTACAGATAATCAGTTAGATTTTTGATTGATTTTTTGTTCTGTGTTACAATTGCCACTAAATTGATGGATAATTGTTTCACAATTACAATCAGATTAGTTAATTGTTGTTCAATAAACTCTGAAAATGAAGATGAATGAATAAATGAAGAGGATCTCTGATTAATCCAGTAATCAGATTAACTAATTAGTCACATTGGTGTTAATTGTTGATCGTCTTTTCCGTCCAAGAACAATTTTCCGCTGTTGTTTGGGTACTTGCTGCATGAATGAAACAATTAACAATTAGTTGATTAATCTTGAGAGAGACAATTTAATTTAGTAACTTACCTGAAGGCAACTGCTAATCAAACATAAAGCTTGATCTTGAGTAGTTATATCAGGAACCTTGTCCTAAGAAAATTAGTAAATTGTAACAATTTAAATAAAGGAAAATGTAACAAACATTTAATTTAATTTCACAAAAGAAACAATCAAAGCCGATTGAACCTTAATTGTTATAATTAACGATACAATCAAATACTTACTTGTCCAGTGCATTGTCTTGACTTTATTGATAATCAATGGAAATCAGGATGACAATTAAATTGTTACAACGACAATTAATCACAATAAAAGGGATAATTGAATTGAATTATTTCCGTTCTCGAATTAAACTTTTTCCAACCAAATTTAAAGTAACATAATTAGGATGATTTAGTTAATTTTCTAGCAAACTGATTGTTAATCATTGTGATTATAATTAGTTGATGTTTCCAAATTTAGGTAAATTTTGCTATTCAATTTAAATTGTTACGATGAAAATGATTAACTAATTTAGGGCAAGGTGTCTAAACTTCAATTCTAAATTGTTAACATGTTACTTTCAATTAAATTTGATTGTCAATTGAAATTAACTACTTACCGTATCGGTGAAACGACGAGAATCACAAATGACACAAGTGCTCTGTTGATTAAATTGAGTTAATTGTTCATTAATTAGTTAATTGTTCTTTGTTAAACTTTTAATTGGAACAAAAATTAAAACTTTAATTTTCATACAAACACAATCAGCTGATTAACAATTAAAGTCTCTATTAGTTTGATATCATGTGAACTCCTACTGATCAGTTGTTTTAGAGGATTAATTGTTTGCAATTAAGGGCTAAATATCAGTTCAAATACTCAATTTATTAATTGTTTAATGTCATTATCATGGTTGATTAAATAATTGCTTTGAATCATTATTTACAATTAACAGGTAAGTCAACTAATCAACTATTAAAACACTTGATGAGCAAATTAGATAGTTTAATTAATTTTATATTTGAACACTTAACTGTCAACAATTAAATCACAAATTCTGACTATTAATTGTACAAAGGAAACAATTAAATTGTTCATTTAGTTAATTTCTTACCTTAATGTTTGGTTGATCCGAGTTGACACAAAGTTGTTGAGTTTTTTGCTGAAAACACAGAATTAAAATCCCAACAATTAAATCAATTGAATGACACAAAATTAACCAAATAATTAATTGAGATAATAATCAATTTATCGACAATTAAAACTTACCAATGATGGGAAGAAAATAGCATCCGAAAAACTAATTATTCCCATTAAGGTGACAATTAAAGTTAACAATTTAAAGCTCATCATGATGCAAGTTAATCACAAATCACTGATGACAATTAACCAACAATCAACATGAAAATATCAACAAGACAATAAAAATTAAAATAACAACTCGATACAAAATTAATCCAAAGGATTAGTCAATCACAATCACAATCACAATCAACTTACAACTGAGATTAAATTGTTAATTTAATTGTTGATATACTATTTAAATTGACCAGTAAGTAAGGGAGAGAGCTAAAAGTGAGCCAACTGAATTAAATTGTAATCAAGGGAAAGGTTAATTGTAAAGGAATAGGAGTTAACCAACAGCAATAACAATTAACCAAAACTTTGATTGTAAATCCAACAATTAACAAAGCGATTAACTTTTTTTTTCACCAAGGCTTAACTACTCAATTAATTTAATCATTCCCACTTCCCTCTCCCAATCCAACCTTATATTAACCACCCACTTTTGATTATAATTATCCTGATAATCCAAATGAATGGATCAATGATGATGGTTAATTGTGATGATTAAAAAAAGATCGAGATGAATGAGTGTTGATAAAAAAACGTGTGTTAATTGTTAAGTTGTAAATTAAAAGCTTCGGTAACAGTGGCCTCGTTTTTAACTAACTATATACGTCTAATTGTTAACAATTAATAATATAATTCTGTCAACCAATTGATTACCAAAGGTTTACAATGCTAATTGTGGTTAATTGTCATCTAATAGTAACTGATTGTAATCACATTGCTTCAATTTTGAACATTGTGTTATTTAACTCGAGGTTAGAATTAACTTTCAATTTTAATTGTGTTGATTACCTTCCTAATTTATTATTTAGAGAAGGACAATCTAGTTGACTAAATTTATTTTCCAACAATTTAACTAATTGTTACAAACTTTAATTCTTTCATTTTCTCTCTGATTATTTTATTATCATTAGTAAATCATAGACCATAATCAACATTTTCTCTGTGTCTTCAACTAACAATTAACTTTCACACACAATTAACCGGTTGTTAGTTTATTGTTAGTTGTGTTAATCATTCCTATTGTGATGAGACAACTTCACAATTAACTTGATTATCTTATTCTTAAAATCAATCTAATAGTTAAATGATCATGTTGTTAACAAAAACTCTTGTTAAATTGTTTCCATTTGTGTCTTTATAACTAATTGTATCTAAATTGTTCACTAATTGTAACACCTTGTTAATTTTATTAAGCACTTTTAAATAAGGTGATTGTTGACTCAATTAACTAACTAGATTTTCCCCATTTTAATTGTTAAGTACTTTCCAATTATCTCAATAACAATTAAGTGTAAATATTAATCATGTATCATTGGTAAATACAATGGAAACATGATTAACAATTTATTAAAAAATGATTTTCAACAAATTTGATCATTTGCTCAGTCTGATTAACTTAATGAACTTAATTAACCTTGATTTGACTTTCATCTCAAACTAAAAGAAAACATCTAAGAGTTAATTGTTTCAATCTACACAAACAATTCAACTAATCATGAAAATAAATCGTTACCCTTCAAACTTCAAGTAAACTTTTTAACAATTAAATAATTTCAATATTGATGATCATTTGATTGGAATTAAATTAAATTTCTTTTTATTCAAATTGTTTCTATTCGATAATTATAACAATTAATCGTCAGTAAATTACTTGGTACATCTTTTAACCAGTTAGCTGATTGGGTTAATTGTCCACAGACTGATGAACTATAATGCACTAGTGATATTTGATGCAATATCCATCACGACAGGTACGCCGCCTGATTGCTCGGGTGCCCCTGGGATATTACGGCCCATGATGACAGCACAAACGACCAATGAAAAAACAACACAAGTCGCAATCAATATAAATGTTGTCAGACTCTTGGATCTCATGGTGAACGATTTCCTTTTCCTCTCTTGATTCCTTTGATTTCTTTATCCTTTGGAATTGGAACCTTTCAAGTATCTAAAAAAACGCTTTTTCACCTGTAAATTAACAGTAAAGAAAAAAAAATCATTAATTAGACGCGAAGATCAAACTAATTAGCAATTGATTAAGAATCAAAATGAAAGGTATTCGTACGAAATGTCACCTTAAAACAAGGAAGATGAAGACAAAAGGTGAATACATGGAATAGTTAACTGTAGATAACCAGCATTGTGATGATAGAAATTTAAACTTTGTTAATTGTTCCAAGAAGAACATTTTAGTTGATCATGTAAATCAGATTCGTAATCAACCCATAAGACAATTACATTTGAATAAATTGTAATCATAGGTACTAACAAATCAATCAACTACTGTTGAATTTTCACTCTTGATTGATTTCATTAATCGAGTATTGATTGATCCAATTTGCTGCCATGTACCCTGTAAATACATTGAATTGAATCAGAAACATGACAAGAATGGAAGAATTTTCTTAACTTTATTCTTAATTTTTGATTTGCATCTAAAGCAATCAAGGTACAGGGTATCGAGAGGGAACAAGTTATTATTTGGTCACCCAGTAGTTTAGTCATTCTCATTGTAATTTTGATATTTAGTCTTAATCAATCTGAATCTAATTCTGATGAGATGTTGATCAGATTTAGGGGTCGATTTTGATGATCAACAATTGATTATTTGATCAGCTTGATTGACTTAATTAACCTTCATTTTGTTTTCATCTTTGAACCAAAAGAAAACAGTAAATTGTTAATTGTTTCAATCTAATCAAGTAATTTAACTAATCATGCAAATAAATTGTTATCCTTCAATCTAAGGGCAGACTTGTTAACAATTTAAAATCAAATTGTAAAACATTATCACTGATGACAATTAAATAGTTTCAATGTTGATCATCATCTGATTGGAATTAAATTTAATTTCTTTTTATTCAAATTGTTTTAATTTGATGATTGTAACAATTAATCGTTATTATATTAACTTGGTAAATCTTTTAACCTTGTTCAATTTGATGAGGTTTAAATTAATTTCAACTATCATTTGGTAATTTAATTATTAAATAATAATTGACTTCCAAAGTCTTTGATTACAGTTACATTGATTGTAATCATACACGTAATTTATATATACAGTATTACAATTAGTTAATTGGTTTGGCTTGAGACAAAAAGTGTAGCCTTGACACTAAAAATATAAATTGTTCATGTTTTTGGATTTTAAATTGTAACAATTAGCTCTAAATTGTAATCTCAATTGGAGAGGTACAAAATATTAACATGAAAATCTTTGATTCTTGCGAGCAATTGATTTTTTATGGTTAATTGTTGAGAGATTAATGATTATCCAGTTTATTTCGTATAAGTTGATTGTCCTAATTAGACTAAAAAATCAGCATAGAATTGAAATAAAAATTTGTCTCATCGATTGATTAATTATGGGAAAATATCAGGATTCCAATCGTAAGGACGAGGAGTCGGAATCGGAGTTGTTGATGGTTCAGATTCTGGTGTAGTTGCTGAATGCTTGGTGGTTTTATGACCTTTGGTGAACTTTGTTGATGAGGGTATTGGTGTTGTCGATTCTGTTGATTTAGTCTTTGATCGAGTGACAGAAATCAATGGAAAACTATGGCCACTCTTTGATTCTGTGGTTGATTTGGTTTTGCTGTCGATTTCTGATTCTTTGATTGTTGATTTATCGGTTTCATCTGAGGTCGTGGCTGTTGTGTGATGTCTATGGGAATGTTTTTCCTCGAGTTTCGATGAAGTTGATGATGTTGTCGACATTGGGGTTGTGGCCTTTTCGTCGTGTTTGTGGTGTTTATGGTGTTTGTGTTTTGGGTGCTCGTCGTGTTCATCTTTCTCTAGGTCATTTTCTAGATCCAAGGGACCTAAGAAAGATCCGATTGCTGGTTCATCGTTTTTCTCATCATCTTCCTTAATATCTTCTTTGGGTTTATCGGTTGTTTTATCGTTTGATGCTAGTGTGGTCGTGGACTTTGAGTGTTTCGGTGTAGTTGTTAAAGAAGAAGACTTGTCTGTTGTTGTTGATTCTTGTGATTTCGAATGAGATTTAGTTGAGTGGTCGGTTGTTGGTGCGGTTGTTGAAGATTTGTGTGATTTAGAGCCTTTGGTTATCGTAGATGTCGATTTATCTTTATGAGAAGAGTGTGTACTTGAATGTGATGTAGATGTGGCTGGAGACGAAGTTGTCGAATGGGATGAGGAATCTGAATTAGAATCATCTTCGTCTTCATCATCATCTTCCTCGTGAACTTTGGTACTAGTTTTATCTTTGTCAGAGTCACTTACTGTCGTTTTATCTTTGCTCTTGTGCTTGGGACTTGGTGTCGTTGGCTTGATTTTGGACCACCACTTAGATAACGGATTAGTAAAGTGTTTCGATTTACTTGATCTAGTTGTAGATTTCGGCGTTTCAGCTTCATCATCATCATCGATTTCATCCTCATCAATTTCCTCTTTAGACTCAACTGGACTTACGGTTGTTTTATCTTTAGAACCCGAAGTAGTCGATGTTGTCGATGTTGTAACGTTAACTGAGCTCAATTTCCCGATTAAATGTTTTCTATCATGATCTTTACCTGGCTTACTTTTATTTGAATGTTTGTTATCCAATGAAATCTTAGTCAGTTTTAATTTCGTCTCTGAGGAAGCAGCATCATCAGCATCTTCTTCATCATCATTATCCATCAATACTGGAATCAATAGTTCGGATGATGTGTTATCGTCGGAATCCTCGGATGGCAATTCAGAATTCAATCGTAAAACATCAAAAATATTTGTCGCTTCTGGAATGGAATCGTAAACATTTCCAATGTAAATGTTAAAAGGGTCATTCTTATCTTGACCATTGATTTTACTGAGTTTTTCCTTATTGAATTGACCGATATCTTCAAAATTGTCCTCTTCATCTATGGGTAACAATGGCTCTGGGACAAAATTGGCCGGCATCAAATCAGTGTCAAACTGATCATCGTCCTGTTTGATTGTTGACTTGCCTCGTGAACTAAGACGATCATGGAGATGGGAACAATTTACCGATGAAATAACAGCACAAATTGTAATCAAAGTAATTGAAGACCAATTTTTGGATCTCATGGTGACCGATTTCCTTTTCCTCTTCTCACCTGATTCTTTCTTTATCCTGTGATCAGAATTCGAAATCTGTTGAATTGAACAATGTAAAAAGACACTTTGACCTGTAAATTAACAAAAGGTTATCAAATTAGAATAAAGAAAATAATATTTATCGATTGGTGAAGAGACGAAATGAAAAGATATTCAAATGAGATTTTATCTTTATAAAGGAAGATGATATCAGGTGAATATACATGGAATAATTAACTGGAGATAACCTTCAATTTGATGATAGAAATTTAAATTTTGTTCATTATTCCAACATGAACAATTTAGTTGATCATGTAAATCAGATTCGTAATCATTTGGAGTGATAATCAACCCACAAGACAATCAAACTTTGTTTAATCAATTGTGTACAAAGGTGAAGGACAATTTTCCAGTGATATCACAGGTACTGATGATTCATCAATTGTTTGATTTACTAGATGTAATCAATTGAACAGATGAACAAATCAATTAGTTAATTAAAATCAAAACTATCAACCAAAGAGTCAAAATTACTTCAAAAACATTAACAACTTGATTATCAACAATTAAGCTTACATATTAATCTCTGGACATCTTTCATTAATTCAGATTGATAGGATAAATACAATGTAATTTGCCAAAAGATTGATAATTGATTGGAAATCAATTGATTGTTGAATAAGATTTTTGATTTTTTGATTTTCTTTTTTAATTTTGTTCTAACTTAGGGCGACATCTGGTGTCGAAAATGTTATGTAACCAAAAAGAATAATTTTTTTTTCTTTTCTTTGCTTTTCTTAATTGTAAACAATTTCTTTCAATTGTACTTCTAATTAATAGACAATTAAGATTAGTTGTTGAATTTTTTTACTGTTTAATTCGTGATTATCAGCTTTTTTTGGAACTTTCGTCAATCATCTACATATTGTAAAAAGACTTTTATTCTTGTTTTTTTTCATCGATTTTTCTGGTTTCATATAAGAAATAAAGTGATTGTGTGATTACCTAATTCTACTAAATTAAAGGTAAGTTTATGTTGAAATTGATTCTGTTCATCTTGCGAATCAGTTGATTGTTATCGAAATGAACATGAACATTAGGTAGCTCATTTCAATTAATTAGACTTAATTATGATATGTTCAATATGTTGTTCCATATATTTAATCTCTATTGTTTGAATATTATGATGTTTTTCTTGATGTAAACTTGATTATTTTTCACTGATAATAAGAGAAGAATAATCTTAATTACTATTACAGTTATTGAGTTGATAGATTAATAGAAAAGAAAAATCGAGATCAATTCATAGCCGCCGCCGAGCATTTATCAAATTATTTCTTTTCCAACTGGCTTGGGGTTTCTCTTCATTAAAAGTCACCATTTCTCTAGAATTTAGATGCGCATTTTCATAATTTCTCAGTAATAATTTAGACTTTATTTTTATTCTATTGATTAGAATTCTATTCTTCTGGTGATAAGATAAAACAATAGTACAACAGTTAATCTCCTAATAGTTGACATATTGAAACTACACATGAATTATCAAACTCTACAAAGTTAATCGTTTAAATTACATTTCCATTCACTTAGTAACTTGTAATGTGTTCATTTTAATACCAAGGTGATAAGTATTTCTATTTCTAATTTTTTTTTTTCTATTAATATTTTAGTTTATCTTTTAATCTAATCCAACTAATCTTATTTATTTGTTATTTTCTCTCCAACAGAAAGCACCATTTTTGTTTTCGTCTCACTGGCCTATCAATTTTCAATCTTCAACTGGTGACATAATCATTTTTGGTGACATCTACAGATTTTCATGATTAGTGATTTCAATTTATATATTTAGTATAAATACTTAATCAACAAACCAATCAAGAAACAATTGTTACATTTACTTGACGATTATAGACAACATATTATGCCTTAAAATTTAATTGAAAAATGGCTTCGATGCAGGTAATGGATCATTGAATTGTTTACATTTCCTCATTTTTCAATCTCCCTCTTCCACTACTCTAATATATTCATCCTTTTAAATTAATCATAACAATACACATAATCAACCACCTTAATCATTTTCCTCTCTCAACGTTGCCATATACAAAAATATACATTCTCTTCCTACCTCTCCTTTTTGCTCTCTTTCTTTCTTTCTCTCTCCCTCCCCTCTCTCTCTCTCTCTCTCTCTCTTCGTCTCTCCTTAAAATTTTTCTCTATCTCTATCTTATTGTTTGTGGTTCTCCTTTTTTGTCCACGTTCTACCTAATTAATTGTCAATATTTCTCCTATTATCATTCAGTTTTAATTCAATGACATGACCAACATTTATTATAATAATCTATTACAGAAAAGATTACAGAGAGAATTAAAATCAATTCAAACTGAACCACCACCAGGAGTTAGTATTAATCAAAATAGTATTGGATCAAGCTTAACACAGTGAGTAAATCCTTTTATTGTTAAATCATATCTCTTGATATTTTATTCTAATCATATCTTTCTCTTTTTTTTACAATTCTTCCTGATTCATTGTTAATTGTTCACCTTCTCCATTGTCTATTTACCATTTCTACTGTTATCAACAAAACCTAAAAACCTTCAATTATCATTGGACAATTGAATCAACAATAACAACAACAACAACAACCTACATTTGGACCTTAACTGAAAACTGTTTAGATGGACGGTTGATATGGAAGGAGCTTCTGGGACTCTCTATGAAGGCGAAAAATTTCAATTACAATTTAAATTTAGTTCTAAATATCCTTTCGATTCACCAGAAGTTACTTTCATTGGTTCCAATATCCCAATTCACCCTCATGTATATAGTAATGGGCACATTTGTCTCTCCATTCTGACCGAGGATTGGTCTCCAGCTCTTTCAGTTCAATCTGTTTGTCTCAGGTTGGTGGTCATCTTTAAATTACCTCACCCAATTCTCTCTCTCTCTCTCCCCCCTCCCTCCCTCTGTTTTGCTACTGTGTGTGTGTATACTATTGATAATTTCTGTTCGGATAATCAGATCAATCAAAATCACAGCTGATGTTGTTATTGTATCCAACTCTTTGTTAGTGATTTCCTATCTTCCATCTTTATATCAATATTTTTTTTTCATTTTTAAGATTATCCTTGATGGTGATAATGATTCCAACGTAATTGATCAATACAATCAGCTCTATTGATTGTCATTAGTCAAAAATCTTGACATTTTATCTCCAACTCCTTATCATTTTCACAATTATTATTTTCTCATTTTTTTTTCTTCTCCAATCTTATTAGCGACACAATTTGTTATTCCCAACAAATGAAATACTCCCATTTTGCCATAATTGTTGTTTCTTAATTTACATCATAATTATGTCAGTATATTTGTGTTCCAATGTTTCCCAAAAGTCATTATTATCAATCTATCAAATAACCGGTTGATTTTTTTTTCTTCTTGTGTTTGCTTTTTCTTTCCTGATGTTCACTGAATCCTGAGCATGATGATCATGAACATTTCCAAAGCTTTAATTTTATCGATTTTCAGTTCACTTTCTATTATTTTCATTATTGCAAACATTTTTCTCTCCCATTTCTTTTTATCATCATCATGTTTAACCGAAATAATCGATTGTTTCATCGTAAACCTTTCATTCTTTTGTTAGATCAGTTGTTTTTTTTTCTCTACGCTATTAGATTTCTCTAGATGTGTTAGTTAATATTCAAAATATTATCTCTCTCTCTCTCTCATTTTTCTCCCTATTCGTTTTTATTTCTGTTACCAGGGTCTTCACTTTTCCCTCTCTTTGTATAATAAATATACAGAATCCGATTTGATTGTCTTGCTAGTTATCAAAATGTTACATCGACAAAGCAATAATATTAACAATCAACTGTCCAAAATTAATAGAAAACAAATCACGACCGTTTGTTGTTAACTATTATTAACTAAATTATAAATAACATAATTTTATTAGCCAACTAATTCATTTTTCTTAAGTAATAATATATTATCAGACTAACCTGCTAATTAATTGTTATTTAACACTTATTGATGCCATGTTTCTCCCTCTGTTTTATCATATTCATTTTAAGCAATTAATTTTTTTTTGTATCATTTTACTAATTGTTATACTGATCAAGTTAAAAAACATCGTCATTATCAAAAAAAAAAAAACTAGTACATCTCTGTGAAACATATTGATTTGATTTGCTATCTGATTATCACTGAAGTTAAATACTAATTTTCCCTCTCGTTAATTAGACATATAATTTATTGCTTCATCTCATTGATGTTAATGTAATTTAATTATCTTTTTGTTTTTCTCTCTCTCTCTCTTTCACACATAACAGTATCGTCTCTATGCTTTCAAGTTGCACGGAAAAAAAGAGGCCTCCGGATAATTCGTTGTATGTTAAAACTTGCAGTAAAAATCCAAAGAAAACAAAATGGTGGTATCATGATGAGAAAGTTTAGGAAATATAATTGATTAAAATCTTGCAAACAATTAACTAATCAATTACCCCAATCATTTACACTTGTAGATGGACAAATATGTGTAATTTGTGTTCTTTGCGTGAAAATCAAATTTTTCAACACCAACATCTCAAATTTTCACCCTAACTGTCAATCAAATGGCTTAAGCAGATTGATAATTAAATTTGGATTGGAATTAAAAGCAATTATAATGAGGAACATATTATTTGTTAACAATTAACGAGTAAAAATTTGAAAGACAAGTAACTTGATAAGCTCACATACATAAATATACACAAACACACACATACACACACACCGACACATAGACTTCATTAATTAATTATCACCAATCAACAAAACAGTTGAGAAAAGGAATTGAAAACTATTTCTTTTCTGTGGATTGTATTGAAATCACCATTTTCGTCATTATCATCAAAATAATCAACAAGAAAAAAAATATTACTAATTATCATTAACCATCTCTATCAAAATAACATCGTAATTATCATCGCCGTTAAAAAAAAAAAAACATCTAACGACAGATTAAAATACATCAAATAAAATGAAGATCCCGTTATAATAAACAAGAAATAATCCGTATCAAGATAATATAATGATGATAATCTTAATTTTGTTAATAATCGATAGAAACAATTAACATGGCACAGGCAACTTTTTCCTCTCTCTTTCTCTGGTTTATATTGAATTCGCAATTTTTGTCACCAAAACTTTCATGTTGTTTTCATTTGTAATCCATTTTCTGGGTTTGTTTCTTGAACTTTTTCCCCTCAAGGAAAATATGATTCGGCTTTTGATTAATCTAAAAATCTGTAAAATGACAATTAAAAAAAAGGATTGAAAGAGACAGAGAGTTTTTCAAGAGAGGGAGAGAAAAAGCAAAGAAAATGACGAAGTAATAAAGAAAGAAAATAGAAAAATTAATTATATAAGATTTTAAATTAACCACTTCTTGTTATTGATAACGAAGATGGATAATCATTGTAACAATTTGTGGAGAAAAAAAATTATAACGGAAATTGAAATTATCATTTCGTCGGGAAAGTTTCATTTGGAACCGAGTCCAGGGTGGAAACACTTAGCATATCAGTTTCGTCCATGAATCTTTGCTCATCGACTCCATCTTGTAGAAAAAGATCTGGATAAGAGGTAGAAGTTAAATTAATTGAATTAATGTCTAATCCGTCGATTGAATCTCTATCTAATTGCTGATTAGATGAATCTCGAGATAACGATGAATTAAGAGCCTTTAATTCTGATTCATTACAAACACTTCCTCGTTCTCGAAGGTTACGACGAGATCGTGAACATGTCGATTCAATGTATATCGATGTTGGAGAATCAATTGATTTGATCCGTGATTTTGATTGGGCCGGATGATGATGATGATGATATTCAGGTTGATTATGATGCGAATAATTTTCTTGATCAAGTAATTTAACCCTTTCTTGATCTTCGTAACTACTTTCAGGGGAACAATGTTGAGACCATAGAGTAAGTGATTCAGAGCTTTTTACATTTTCTTTTTTTCCTTTTCTATTTTCACTTGAACTTCCTCTTCTTTCCGATCTTTCAATCGATGAATTTGCCATCATTAACAGTTTTGATTTAGATATTGACTTGGAACGATAACCCAATTTAGGACTAGATGATGATGATGGAACCGAATAACTTATATCAGCTAAAGAGGAAAATGATGGTTTCATGTGATGATGACGCCAAGAATGTTGATCGCTATTAGTATTGGAACTATTTGTTGATTCGTTGAATTGCCTTCCAATGTCTCGAGAACTTTTTGTTAAAACCATTGATTGACTACTACCACTAATCGATTTTGTTGTGGCTTCGATTGATGCCAACGGGGCAATATCATCGTCATCAAAACTACTGTGAAAAGCGTTAACACCAAATTCACCAGGACGAGATGAAGATGAATGTATTAATGTTGGACCATTGAGAGCTTCAATTAAAGATATCGACTCATAGCCCGATGGAATGTCACTTTTAGTATCTCCTCCGTTAGTAGTTGTTGAATTGGCGGTGATGTTATTATTGGTTTGATTAGAATTGTTGTAAGTAATGGTGACAGTAACAATTGGACGTTCTGATGATGTTGGAGGGTTAGATTGATGATTGATATTTGATGAAGATGATGAGGTATTTAAAGGTTCGGTTGTTGGTTGAATGACACCAAGCGTTTTCTTATTTGATTTGGTAACAGTTTGAGCATTATTGATGATCTTACGAACTGCTCGAAATTGTAACAAGGCTCGAAACGGTGATCGACAAATGGGACAATTGTTGGCCTGATAACGAAGTGAATCAGCACAAGCATTACAAAGGCACAGATGACGACAAGGCAAAATCAGAGTGTCCCTCGATTCGGACATACAAATAACACATTCTGATCCATTATCTTCAATATCTTCATCCGATGAATAAAATGAAGCTTTTCCTCCATTACCAGTAGATGAATGGATTGGATTCTTATTCTCAATTCCATAAACTTCTTGAATTAGATAAGCAAGTCCATCGATGATTATTTTCTGTTTAAAGGGTTTTATGTAAAATTGTTTCTCATTGTTTCTTTCAACTGTCGCAATTAGTGAATGTGATTGTCGAGGTTCAGATCCTTCTTCAGCATTTAACTGTATTACAACGGGAAAAGGTACAGTTGGATCAAAATTACCAAATTCATCGATAGCTCGATACAAAAGGTCATCTTCATTGAATAAAGTTGGATTAAAGATAAGTGATGGTTGTGAGAAAATTTGACCAGCGCCTATGGGATAATGGTAAGTGGCCGTTTTGTAGGTCGGATCTCGAGGGACATAAATATTACCACTTGGAGTTGATTCTTCAACTGCAAGGTAATAAATTGTTACGGAACATTTAACATCCGAATCAAAGGTAAACTCAATTGTATACAATTGATCGGGTGATGAGGATGTTGTTGTTGTTGTTGCGGTGGGTGATGAGGATGAGGTGAGTAAAAGGTTGGTTTCTTCTTGGTTTTGAGCTGGTTTGGTTGATGAGTTTAATGAAGACATTGAAGATGCATTGGATTTTGTTGATTCTTGTGGTGATGATGAAGAAGAGGTTGTGGGTAAAGCGGCAGTTGACAGAGATGATGAGGGTAATGTTTTCACCTCATTAAAATCTGTGGGAATTAGTTTAATTGATCCATTACTGGCTAGTCTTCTATGGGAGGTTATTTGATTACTATTGATGGTTGATGAGCTGCCACAATTGGTGGGGATTATGGTATTGGTAAGAGCAGTGGTGGAAGTGGTAATTATATTGGAAGATGTATCGGCTTGAGTAAATTCATTAGCTATTGTTGGAATTTTGATTAATCGAAGTGTCTCTTTACGAATATTAACTAATGCTTGAAGAGATCGGGTTGGTTCATCGGGTAATGGTGCCAGGTAGGGAAAAGGTATCGGCTTAGGGCCTAGGAAATTAAGGTCCATATTATCACCGAACAGGTAAGTTTCCGGTGTTCCTGTTTCAAATTTTTCAACACCCATGATAAAGTGACTACCAAAGTAGAAACCTGATCGAGGTGGGTAAAGGTATCCATGGTGTCCATTGAGGGTAGATGACTGGTCAACTGATTCTTCTTCTACCTCTTCATCTCTTGATCGATCCAAAATGTTACCCATCGGTTAATCATCACGAAATGTAACCAAAATTCACAGAAAAATTTAGATATGATGAAATAAATATACCAAGGAAAAACGTAGGCTTCGCTTGAATATTTAATGTTCTTGTGATGATGATGATAAATTTTGTCTATTTAGCAAATTAAATTGTTTCATATTTACTTAGACTTGGAAACTGTAAATGAATTAGGCCAATCAACATGATGAAACATGAACCAGTGACATAAATACAGAAACAGATTCTTGATTGATTATTTAGATTCGGTTTGAGAAGAGATGTATAAATGAGAGAGAGAGAGAGAGAGAGAACGAGAGAGTGAGTATGTTGAGTGTATTGGTAATAACTGTTGTTGATGAACATAAAACAGGATTGATGAGAAGAATTAGAAACAACTGGTTAATAATTAAAGTTGATTATGATTCTGATGATGTTGATCTTTTGTGATGTTGATTTCTCTCTTTCGATAAAAGAGAATAGAAGGAAAATTAAAGAAGAGAATAGAATTTATGAGATTTAGAGAAAAAGGAAAAAAAGATGATGAGTTGTCTTTAAGACAAGATTAATCAAGAAGAATATAATAATAAAAAAGCTCAGGCTTTATAAGTTAAAGAAGATAAGAAGAAGGGAAGTAAAGATGATAAGTTAAATAATGATGATGATAAGATGATGAAGAAAAAGTGATTTTAAATGTCGATGTTGATGAAGGTTCAAAGGTGACAATAGGTAAAAATATTATTCACTTGGAAGGAAATAATTGATAGAAATAAAGATCAAGTTTAGAAAAAAAAGAAACAATCACAATTTGAGACCAACGATGATGATAAGATGATTAATCAGGATTAAATATGATTAATAAAGTACTGAATTAATGCAAGAAACAAATGATAATCAAATGAAAATGATTAAGTCTTTTTATCAATAGAAGCAAAATTTTTATATGTAAACAAAAGCGAGAGAATAATTTTTCTTGATAAACAATTTAAACTATTCAAGTATTTAAAGTTCTCTTGCCAAATACCAAATAAGTATTCGGTGATTATTGAACACTTAACTAATCAACTGATTATCACTAATTAAAATCAAAGTAAGAAACACAATCAATTAATCACAAGTCAAAGTCACTTGAATCTTTAAATTGAGCCAACAAATTTCAGGCCTTCGATTAGTGTCAACATGAGACAACAGATGGAGCTGCGTTCGAACTCAATCAAACTTAATTACAATTTGATCGCATCTTAATTAGTGATTAACTGATTAGGTTAGAAGGACAATTAAGTGAGAAAATGGTTTACTATCAGTTTAATTGGAAACGAGTCTTTTTGTGTTGTGATTTGTTGGAGTTTTTGTTGAAAGTGTTTTGAGTTAGTTGATTTGCTTTGTTTTAATTGTTTTGGTGATGAATGAGAAAGTTAATCATTTGGAATTAAATCAATAAGGTGATGAATGTAAATTTGGAATATCAATTGTAGTTTTAATTTTAATTGTGAGAGTAAAGTTGATGATGTTAAACAACAACAACAACAATAATAGAAACAATTTATCGATGTTACTTGATTTGCGTTTTTTTTTGGTTTGTTTGTAATAATTTCAATTGTTGGACAAGTGATTAAGGATTTCCAATCAACGTGATGTGAGATGTGGTTAAATTGTGTATTATAAGGCACTACTTTTTTTCTCAATGATTAATGTACAAATTGTTTGATAAAATTTACATTTATGAAGATCGTAAGTTAAGAGTAATTATCTTCCTCATTGTAACTGTTACAATAAACGACACACGAAATTTTTGGTCATCAGATCTGAAAATTAAATGAAAATTGAAGATAAATGATTAGAATTAGAACAGATTTTAGTCAGTAAATTGTTCCTACCTTAGTGTATTGCATTAATGAGAATATCTTATTAGATTAAATCTCAATTGTCTTGAATATTCAAGAGAAAAAAAGTAATTATATCGAAACTTTTTTCTCTCTCTCATATATTAATAATAATTTAATATTCTCGATGTGAATTTTTGAACAGTTTGAGTATTTCTTGGGCACCGAAGCGATTACTCAACTGTCGCTCAATGAAACTCGAACAGCATCTTCATCGTCAAAGCTACTCTGAAAACCATGATGATTTGATTCATCGGGACGGGATGAAGATGATTGAGCTGGACCATTAAGCGCTTCGATCAATGGTACTGGCTCATAACCTGGAGGTGGTTCACTTTTTGAACTATTGGTACTTCCCGAAGTGGCATTATTATTATTGGGTATTGTTGTATTGGGACGTGATGATGGTGTTGAACGAGTGGATCTGAGTTTGTTTTTAGATGATGACGATGAGGGTTTTGAAGGTTCGATTGCTGGTTGAGTGACAATTACTTTGGTGTTGGTTGAACCGTGAGTATTATTAGTGACCTTACGAATGGCTCGGAATCGTAACAAGGCTCGAAACGGTGATCGACAAATGGGACAATTGTTGGCCTGATAACGAAGTGAATCAGCACAAGCATTACAAAGGCACAAATGACGACAAGGCAAAATCAGAGTGTCCCTCGATTCGGACATACAAATAACACATTCTGATCCATTATCTTCAATATCTTCATCCGATGAATAAAATGAAGCTTTTCCTCCATTACCAGTAGATGAATGGATTGGATTCTTATTCTCAATTCCATAAACTTCTTGAATTAGATAAGCAAGTCCATCGATGATTATTTTCTGTTTAAAGGGTTTTATGTAAAATTGTTTCTCATTGTTTCTTTCAACTGTCGCAATTAGTGAATGTGATTGTCGAGGTTCAGATCCTTCTTCAGCATTTAACTGTATTACAACGGGAAAAGGTACAGTTGGATCAAAATTACCAAATTCATCGATAGCTCGATACAAAAGGTCATCTTCATTGAATAAAGTTGGATTAAAGATAAGTGATGGTTGTGAGAAAATTTGACCAGCGCCTATGGGATAATGGTAAGTGGCCGTTTTGTAGGTCGGATCTCGAGGGACATAAATATTACCACTTGGAGTTGATTCTTCAACTGCAAGGTAATAAATTGTTACAGAACATTTAACATCCGAATCAAAGGTAAACTCAATTGTATACAATTGATCGGGTGATAAATCTAAAGATGATGATGATGGTGAAGATGATGAAGATACAATTGAGATTGATGATTCTTGTTGTGATGATAAAGATATGGTTGTTAAAGCGGCAGTTGATGTAGATGAAGTTGGAAACTCTTTCAGTTCATGATCATCTGAATGAATCTTTCCAGTTAATCCATTACTTTCTAGTCTTTTGTTGAAGATTTTATTACAATCACTGTTATAATCTGTAATTGTAGAGCTACAATTTACTTTGGCTGGTTTAGGATTAATTTCAATTGTTTCAGAAGATATGTCAACCTCATTTGTAGCTGTCGGAATTTTGACTAATCGTAGGGTCTCCTTACGGATGTTGACTAATACCCGAAGTGATCGGGTCGGTTCATCTGGTAATGGTGCCAGGTAAGGAAATGGCATCAATTTAGGGCCTAAAAAATTAAGATCTGAGTTGTCACCGAACAGGTAAGTTTCCGGTGTACCTGTTTCAAATTTTTCACCGCCCATAAAGAAGCTACTTCCAAAATAGAAACCTGTCTTAGGTGGGTAAATGTATCCATGGTGTTTATGGATAGTTGATGACTGGTTAACTGATTCTTCTTCTACCTCGTCATCTCTCGTTCGATATAAGATATTACCCATCGGTTAATCATCACGAAAGTAAAAATTCCAAGAGAAAAAAATCAAATAAACTTCAAAAAGGAAGAGAATAGAACAAAATAGAAAAATCAATCAGAAGAAGAAAAAACAAACAAACAAGAAGAAGAAGGAGAAAACAATCACACTGGTATATAAAAAGAAGAACCAAATTTCGGATCACAGATCAATTTTTGATTAACCACCAAATAGAATTAAACAATTGCAAAAGAATCACTTTAAAAGAAAAACCAGACAAATTGCGAAAGAAAAAAACAAATTTAGAATAGAAAATAATAAGAAAAATGTAGGAGGAAAAAAAGAGAAAAGAAAATGAATGGTGACGATGACAAGGAACAAAGTGATAACTCTTTCTAGGTTAGAATTTAACCTTACAATTTTAAGTAGAATTTAATTCTAATTACTTTAATTGGAACACTTTGATCAACAATAAAAGAGGTAAATGTTAACACTAAATAAAGAAAACAATCAAACTAATCATAAGTATAAATCTAATCAACTTGTTAATCAATCGTTTCAATTGACCAACAAAATTTTGTTTCACTAAACAGATTTTCACTTAGATTATTGTGATGCAATAGATGGAGCTGTCAGCGGCCTTCAGGCTAATAAATTGGCGACAATTAAATGATAATCAGTTAATCACTTGGCAATTTAACGTCATTACGATTGGTTTATGGTACATTATGCAGTTGATATCAATTTAGATATAGATATATATATATGTATTTAATTGAAAGAATACATTATAATTATACTTCTCATTGATTTTCGGGTGTTGATTAATACGATTTGTTTGTTAATTTTTCTGGGCCAATCTTTTCACGTTGATTAGTTGATCGCCTTTTTAAATTGATTCCGTTTGAGTAATTTAGCTTTTTCTTTAACAAGGTCTCTAGATTAGATAACAGGTATATATATATAGGTGTTAATTATTGTTAAATTGTTGTTTACACCCAATTTTTACCTTTGTTTTGTTTGACTAAATAAACGTAAATCAAAGTAAATTATGATTTGTTTGTTTTTCGTTTGACAAATTTAATTGTCTCTCTTTATATTGGGTTTTCTCCTCAAATTAGTAGCCGATTGTGCGAGGGATTGATGATGACGATGATGGTGTTGATGATTATGATTATTATATGATTAAGATGATCAAGTGTGTATAAGGCACTCGGTTAGTTGATTCTTGGGAATTGTGAAAATAAATGGTCAAGATTAATTATGTTAATCAATTTTATGAGGATCTTTTGTGAATTGAGTATTTGCCTCGTTGTAATTGTGATAATGATACACGAAATCTTGAATTATCGGACTTTTTAACCCAAATCTGAAAGGAACAAGGGAAAATATCAATAAATAGATCAAGTGATTAGAATAGATTTTTTGTTTTTCTTCTTGGTTCGTTTCGATTTTAACTAACCTCAGTAAATGATATCGATGCGAGGGTTCCACTGGTCTCTGTGTTTTCTTGGGTTCTCAGGGAAACAAATTGACCCCGATGGAACCATTTTCTCTCATAATATAATTTACCATCTTCGATACGAACGTCAATTGTATCGGATTCTTGGGCATCAGAATGTTCTTCGGCTGTTCGATTAAACAACAGGAAAGAGACAAAAGCGAAGGGATTTGAATTACATTCGAAGAGGATTTGGTGTTTTTTCTCGATAGATTTCAACTTTTTTTTCTTCTTTTAGAACTTTTTTTCCTTCTCTCTCTCTCTCTCTCTCTCTTTCTTTCACTTTTTCACTCTCCCTTTCTCTCTATACCTTTCACTCTCGTTCTTTGCTCATTAGGTGTTGACTTTGAAAGAAAAACACTGAGACTGGAAAAGATGTGAAGTTACTTGTTAACGAATCTTATCGGATTAATACCTGGTCTATTGATGGCTCTCAGATCTTCGATGATTAAATTTTCTTCCAGGAGACAATTCAATTGTGCAGGTGAGCCTCGTTTTCTTTTCTCTGGTGCTGGTGTTGGATCATTTGGTCTTCTCCTTAATTTCCGGGTAACTGTTGGCTTGTGTTCCACTGAATCAGAAGCAAGTTCTAGATTAAGTCTCTCTGCTTCAGCTATTTTTTTCTTCTCTTCTAAATCGGCAATCAGAGTCTCTTCCAATTCAACTTTTCGCTCTTCAAAATCCCTTAGAGCTGCTCTTTGTTCACTTATAAATTCTTTCTCAGCTCTTTCTGTCTACAAAATGAACAAAATAGAAATGAAAACATTTAGAAAACTGAATATTCTAATCAACCAATAGAATAGAAAAACAAAACAAAACCACTTACCTCATAATCTAAAAAAGCTTCATTTAAAATTAATCTATCATCATATTCTTGTTCATACTTCTCAAGTCTCTTAATATAATCAGGATGAGTTCCATCTTCTAATTGTTTCAATTGTTCCTTAAGACTTGCCAATTTATCCTGGTACATTCTGTGAAGAATATCTGACCTAAAAGAAAAGCGAAAATCAACAATTAAAACTCTCAATTAACATCAAAACCCATAACATTATGTCAGATCAACTGATTACTTACTGTTCCTTAATTTCAAGATAATCACCGTCATATCTTTCCATATCAGCTGCAACCTCAGTTTCTGAAGCATCTTCGGTATCTGTTGAATAGTAAAAAACCAAAAAATTAACATCACAATTAAAACAATTGAAAAAGTAAAAATCCAAACCCAAAAATCCAACAGAAAAGGTAAACATAAGTAGAGATGAGTAACTACCTGGACAATTATCATCTTTCATCAATTAAAAGACAATTAAACTTACCTTCATCTGAATCATGTTCCTCATGCTCTGGTCGATCATTACTCTCATCATCGTCGTAATCAAATTCCGACATTTTCACTATTAACTCACCACACAAACCAGATTAAAATCAACAACAAACAATTTGAACAAGAAAATAAAATTGACAAAAAAAAAACAAAAATGGAAACCAGAATGAGTTAAATTTTCTTGACACCAGATGGCGCTCGAAACAATTTTTCGAAACTTTTTCTTCATTTTTTTAATTAGAAATTAATTTTGATTATGATTAACTAAATTAACTCCAATTTTTAAAAGTAATGGAAAAAAATTGATTAAAGAATATGGAGAACAAAAATTCTATCTTATTTTTCAAAGAGTTTATTGTATTTAATGGTTTTTGTTTTTTTTGTGTGTGTTTGTGTTGATGGAAATTGTTAATTGTTGTTGGTATGAAGAGACAAATAATTTATGTCATTTATCAATAAAGAAAATTGCAATTAAGTGTTAATTACAGTTTACAATTAAAGAAGATAATGGAAGAGAAGTAAAGTCTTTATCATCATCGAGAATGTTTTGTGTATTCTTTTCATCGGTATAAACTACGATTCTCAAAATAGTGAAAAGAGAAATGAAGAGAAAAATTAATCAAAAAGTTGTAACAATTAAACGTTATAATAAAAACACGTTCTTATGTTATTTTATTGATTGATTAAATTTGTTTTTCTCTTCTTCTCTCCATCGATTGATCAATGTTGTCCATTTTGCATTCTTAACCCGGTTGTTTGTTTGAAGATGTTGATTCCTGCTCCTTCCGATTGGATTATTGTCAAAAACATTATCATCATCGTCATAATAATAATCATCAGTCAATTTTACATAATTAAAGATGATTAAATCGTTTTGTTTTTCTCTCTCTTCCAATCAGTTAATAGCAACAAATTGATTGCACTGGACCAGTAGTTTATATAACTGATTGTCAAGTTGATAAAAATGATAGTGGCGTTGATCCTTATTTAGTTTTTCTTATATCATTAATCAGTTAGTGTAAAAATCTGATTCATGTTAAAATTTTATCCATTTGTTGTATTAATTGAATCACCATAATTTAGACAATAATGAAAAAAGTTAATCATCACAAATACAAACAAACAACAAAGTGCTTGTTCTCGATCTGATTTCAATCTTTTTGCATCCTTCCTTGTTACGAGTTAATTGTTGCTGTTTCCTGGAAATCCGTCCAATAGTTAACACTTTGACCGACGGAGTTTACGTAACACAATCAAGGTCTTGATCACTTTTTTGTTTGTTCCATCTCGCGAAATGTTAATTAGAAAACAGACAATTTGGCCATGGTATAAGTTTCTAGTTAGAGAGAGAAAGAGATAGAGGGTATTTAGAGAGAGAGAGAGAGAGAGAGAGAGAGAGAGAGAGAGAGAGAGAGAGAGAGAGAAAAGATAAAGGTGGGAATAAGGTTGAAGATGAAGAGAAACATCAAAATCCCAGATGATTTCAATTCTCAGTTTCTTTTTAGTTTTTACTCATATACAAGTAATATATCAACAGTGTGTATGATAAAGTCTTTTAGTGTAGTGACATTAATAACGCCACGCCTGTCAAAAAAGGGTTAGAGGGTCAAGGTGGGTGATGAAATAGTTAAGATGATGATAAAGAAAAAGAAAACGAGAGCAAGAAAGAGTAGAAAGGAAAAAAGTGATAGATAGAGGAAGTGACAGAAAGAAAAATCTTGATCTTTGGATTTTTTTTTGATTGTGAAAAAAAATCGACAGAGATGATGAATGAAGATGATGATGATGAAGTTGTTGTTGTTGTTGGTGGTGGTGGTGGTGGTTGTGTTGATGATGGTGATAATCCGAAGAAGTCTTTAAGTTTTCCTTTTTTCTGTACAATATTTTTCTTTTAGTTTTTTTCTTTAACAATATTGTTTCCATCCTCCATGAAAATTTATCCTAATAATTAGTTTCCTGTGATTAGGAATATTATTCAATTGGTCATAGGGCAGCGTGAGTGAATGAACTTGCACTATTACTGTGCGCCAAACTGAGCATACTACCGGAAACTGAGCTATCGTCTCTTATTGATTCACTTGCTTCGGCAATCGCAAGTGAATTTAATCCAAGTCGAGCGGTTTCTTCATCGAAAGTTTGAACTTCTTGAGCTTGTCGATCAGTTAATAGTCTTTGTCGTTCATTTCGCTCTTCTTGGAATCTGAGTTTTTCCATTTCCGTCTAAAAGGATAATACAAATAGCAATTGTTATTTTTAGATTATTAACTAAAGTAAACATTTCGATTAATCATTTTTACCAAATTACCTTTTGCTCTAATAAAGCTCTTCTATGGGAAACTCGTTCTTCCAATTCTCTTTTCTCTCTATTTCGTTGGGCTTCAGTTTGCATTCTAATTTTACTTTGGAAAGCAATCAACAGTTCAAGTTCTTGTTGTAGGTGATCTTTAAGCTGACGATCTTCAGCTTCCTGAGATTCATCGAGTCTAATCTGTGGAGTTAATAAGAATAAGAAAATTGTTAATTGGTGATAATAATAATGATTTTGTTCGTTCCAATTGAAACTTACTGATTGTTTTTGAAGCATTTCAGCGATACTTTGTTCATATTGTTCACCTAAAATGGCAAGTTTCCTCATCTGCTCTTCCTTCAGTTTTTTAATAACATTTTTCTGTTCTTCTTTGGGTGTGGATGCCAAAACATGAGCTTTCCATACTTTATATTGACGTGTTTGAGTTTTACATGTTTCTCTGAATTGACGTCGAATTTGTAACTCTTTTTGTTTCAAACTTTTAGGTTGTTGTTTCAATTCAAGAGCATGTTTCTTGGATAATTCAGATAATCGACGTTGATTGTACTCTTGCTGATTAGCCAATTCGGTTTGATGTCGTTTTCTTATCTGATCATCTCTCAGCTGATGAATTGCTCTTTGCTGACGATATTCAAGTTCAACGGATATTTCATAGTGTCGAAGTAACATAGCGTGAGCTTCTTCTAATTGGTGTTGGCGTTTATTCAATTCTTCACGGAGTAAATCTCGTTCCAATTCATGGTACTGAACCAATTTTCTTCGCTGAAATTTACGAATTTCCGATCTAAAATGTTCTAATTGACTTTGCTCTAATGAACGCAGATTTCCAGCCTGAGCACGTTGAAGACTTTCTTTATGTTTCTTCAAGGATTCCGGATTATTGGCAAATTCCTGTTAAAGTTAATATAAAACATAAAACAAACACATAATAATTAATTTCAATCCAATTGATTTAGATGTTTGAAGAAAAAAAATAAAATAAATGCAAATGCAAAAGGCCAATGATAATCAATCAATATTCAACCCCTTAATTAGTGATATTACATTTTCACAAATATAAATTGTAATTCTGACCTTGATCTAAACTAAATTAAAAACAATCATTTCCGTAGCTTTAGCAAATTAAATGTCAATTATTGCTGATGCAACCAAATGAAAACAACAAGGGTAAGCAAAATGAAGCTTCAACAGCTGAAACCTATTGAGTGTTTAAATATTATAACAACAATCAAAGAGTAACAAAAGAAAGTAATTTGTCAAGTGTTTTGATTGAAATTAATTCCAACTGTCAAACGTTGATCAATTAGATCAAAACTGATAGTAGATGAGAGAGTCAATGATAAACAAGAAAAAAAACATTGATACAAGAATAAAAGTTAAAAGTTTTTTTTTGCAAGAGATAAGAGTAAATAAAGATTATCTAATTGTCAGCGGGTTAATTGTTATTACAATTAGCAAAATAGATTAACTTACCAATTCAAGTTTCTCTTTGATATATTTATTCTCGTTCTTTTGCTGTTGAAGTAATCGTTTTCTCTCCTCTTCTTGTTGTTGTTTTATGGCTTTACTTAAACGGTTCTCGCAATCAAGATTGTGTTTTGACTGGAAGAAAATTAAGAAAATAATTAGAATTAATTGTTTCAAAGTGGAGTTTTTTCTAACCAAACAAAAAAGATAAGGTAACAAATACCTTTTTCTGAAGTTCTTTTTGATGCTTATTTTGTAACTTCTCCAAGTCTTTACTAAATGAACTTAATAGATTTTCATATTCTTTCTCAAGTTTTGTTTTATGTTCTTCCAATTCTTGTCGACATTTAACTTCCAATTGAAGGATCGCTTTTTGATGCTGTCGTCTCATCCTCTTATATCCGCTCAGTTGTTCGTACATTTGATTTTCCCCTTCGTGCTCTTTAATTTGCCGACTAACAATCGATGTGGTCCTGAGAGTAGCAAAATTATTAGCACCTAATTCAGTGCTATTCAAACTAGCAGATGAATTCTGGAAATAAATAAAATGAAGGAAATAAGTAGAAAGAGAAAATTAAAATCAAATTATTGTCAATGGATAGAAAAAGGGATAAGGAAAAGTGAGAAATAAGAAAAATCAAAGTGTTAATATGAGAATAAAATTTAATTTGATACTCACCGAAGGACTAATACGACTCATGTTGCTACTACTTTGACGTCGAGCGGAAAGTGGACGCTTATGTGAGTCATTATTCTCGAAGTTGGTTGGAAGACTACAATTACTGCTACTATGACTGCCGGTGCTAATGCCTTCACTTTGTTGACTGGCAATACTATTACTTTTACTACTATCTCCCAATTGATCATCCTCCTGTTAGAGAAGAGGAGAAAAAAATTTAATGAATCAAGAAAAAAAAAGATGATGATGATGTAAAAAGAGAAGAGAGAGAAAGAGAAAGAGAGAAAACTGAAAGTTTAATTTCATTCATTTTGTTTCTTCTCTTTCTTTATTCTATATGTATGATATATTACCGTTGAATCTCCTTCTATTTCACTTCCAGCTCGCTCTAATTCTTGATTTTCAATCATTAGAATTTTCTTCATACGTCGATAATTTAGATTGTCCAATTCTCTAACAGCAGCTTTCGTCCTATTGATCAGATCATATATAACAGTTGAAGGTCTAGTTCGAGTGATGTATCCATGCTAATCCAATGTGGTCAAGTAAATGATAAAATCCAATGAGAATAAAATAATAAGGAAACAATTCAGAAAAAAAAACAAAGTCCAAGATGAATGGAGAGAAAAGAAAATAAGAAGAAAATCAACAAATTGATGGAATTTTTCATGTTAAAAAGAATAGAACAGAAAAAGGAGAAAGAAAAAGAGAAAGAGAGAAAGGGAGATAGAAACAGAGAAAGGAGGAAAGAGAGAGAGAGAGAAAATGAACGATTAATATTTAGTTGGCTTACTTTAAGCATTTGAGATGAATTAGGCCTATCATAAGGATTTTTCTGAAGACAAGAGTCGACAAAATTTCGGAATAGATCAGACCACTCAGAATGTGAGCTTAAACTTGGTGAATCGTTCTGAGCGATATGATATAAGGCACTCATTGCATTCATATTAAAGTATGGCGGTTTTCTTTCAGCAAGTTCAATACAAGTGATTCCAAGAGACCAGACATCAACTTTACCATCATATTGTCCTTCATCCATTGCTAATATAACCTCAGGTGCCATCCAATAAGGTGAACCAACAAAAGAATTTGCTGGACAGGTCATTGAAGAAGAACCAAAATCGGCTAATTTAACTGTACCATCTTCCGTTAAAAGAATGTTACCTGCTTTAACATCTCGATGTATTCGACCTAAACTGTGAAGATACTCCAAACCATCTAAAGCATCATGACATATGGCAGCGATTTCATCTTCCTTTAAGGGTTTCTTGTGAACTTCGATAATATCCGATGCTGAACCAAGACAATATTCCATCACTAACCAGGCTGTATGATCCTTTAGATAACAACCCTTATACTCTATACAGTTCTTATGATTCAAGTTGACTAAAAATTTGACCTCCTTGATGATATCTTGCCATTTTTCGGCCGACTGTTTACCGGTAAATGACATCTTCTTGATGGCCACAACTTCATTATTAACTGTACAACGGGCATAATAGACAGCACCAAAGCTTCCATGTCCAATTTCCCTTAAATCGTTAAAATATTTCTCTGGATCTTCTTTATCAAATAGGGAAGCAATTTCTGGATCTTTGATCAATTTAAACGAATGCATGACAAGTCCTCTTTAACCAAAGAAAACAAAAATCTACACAAGCACAAAGACACAAAAAAACACACACACAGCCGATAGCCCCCAAACACACTAGTCCACTTACATATAAACAATATCAACACATACACCACCGACTACTTAATTATAATAATTATAATAATAATAGAAGATGAAAAGAGAGAGAGAGAGAGAGAAAGAGAGAAAGAAAGAGAGAAAAATAAACAAACAAAAACACTCAAAAAATGAACAGACTCACACACACTCACAAAGTATAAAAATTTTACTATGATAAGAATTAGATTTCGATGAATAATCAATTAATACCAATAGAATAATAATCAATAATCAATATTAGTAATGGTATAAAAAAGAGGACCACAATTATAAGTAAGTAATCAACAAAAAAACAAAAAAAAATCAATTTAATTGAGAAGGAAAAAATTTCAATCCATCGAAAAATAGAAAATCAAACTGCCATCTGGTGGTTAGAAAAAGACTAAAAGAGAAAAGCGGGTAAATCAATTTTTTAATCGAATTTAGGAAAAAAAAATTTTATTAATTAGATTAGAAATAGAAATCACAATTAATTATAATCAACTTGTAATTCTTTGTAAATTAATATTCTATTACCAAGATTAATAGGATTACATGGATAATCCTTTCTTTTCCAAAGTAGATTAGGATAAAATCTCTATCGCTTTCTAATCTGTCTCTCTAATCTGATGGATTAAATTGAAGAATCAAATTAAATTGTTTTCTTCCAGTTCGATGATTAAATAATAATTTTTTCTTCTTTAATCGAATGTAAAAATTTTCTCTTCTTTTTTCCTTAGCGAAAAAAGAATTGAAAAAAACGAACAAGACAGAAAATCATCAATCTTTTGTATCTCATAATAATAATCTCTAAATTGTTACAATTAAGGTGAGTTTTAACTGTTCCAATTGATTTTATATCGACAACAATGATTTACAATCACCAACAATTTATCATTTACATTGAACATCATCATTGATTGAAATCGATAACAATTACAATATTTTCCAAATGTCATTACAATTAGTTAATGGTCTGTTAATCTCAATATTTAGATCCTATTATAATCCCAACAATTAAGGTCAAAATATAAACCACAAAGCCGAAAGGTAAAATAAACCCACAGTCAACAAATTATGGCAAATTAAATAAGAGTAACAATTAATTACTCACCCAAGTGATTAAATTTCCAATCAGAAAAGTTAATTAAAAATGAGAGTAAAAATTTTCCCTCTTTTCAAAAAGTAAACATTTAAAATCAAATGATATTCATGATTCAAATCTTTCTGTCCATTGATTAACTCATTGTTACTCATTTAAATTGTTGAATTGATTGATTCTGATCAGGAAAATGTAATTGTTATATAATAATTATAATAATATCATTCCAATGGGAGTGTCATAGATTAGTTATAATCCAATGGAAAGTTATTGTTACGCCTTCAAAGTATTTGAATAGACCAATGAAAATCAAGTTGATAATAATAATAATCATTTATCATGATCAACAACAATCAGTGAACACAATCAGGACGATGAACAATTTAATATTCAATCAGTTATCTTTGATTTTTCATTCTAATCATTGATGATCAGTAAAGTTATTTTTTCATCTATAATAATGTTGATCATTTGAAATGATTATTAAGAGTAAATAATTAACATTGTGACAAGGAAATGAATCAAGAGATTGATAAAAATATTATTAAATGTTCATTATCAACAATTAACAGTTCAACAATTAGTTCAGAAAATGTCCTTTGGAATCAATCAACTGACCATTCAAACATTGTCTATGAAATTTATAAAACTGATAATTTTCAACTAAATCAGGTTAAATTGTTAACTTCAGGAACAATGATTAACTCTTGTGATCATCAGTCTCAACAATCAACTGATTTAAATACCCTTGATCATGATAATGGTAATGAAATTAATTCAAATCGTTATTCAATCCTACGTGATGCTGATTCAACTGTAGTTGACAATTATAACTATGATCAAACAGTTAATCATCACAACAGTAATTTAACAACAATTTATCCATCATCATCATCATCATCTTCATCCTCTCGTAGCAACATAATTAACAACAATCAACCAGCTAACCATCAAAATGATCATCATCAACCTTATAATGTAACTAAATCATCACCATCGTCATCATCATCATCCTCATCAACAACAACATCAGCAACAATTAATGAAACAATTAAACGTAATCATCAACATCATACCAACAATTTAGGTAAATATAAAATATAAGATAAAACCATTGATACGATTAAAAAACTAATCACTTGAATTTATTATCGTAAAAAAAATCACAGCGATTGACATAAAATCTCATCATCATTCTAATCACAATAATCATCACCATCAACTGAATCAAGTTAATCAACAGCAACAATTAACTCACCATCGATCTTCACTTCGACCTCATTCAACTCCAGCGACACTTTTATGGCTCGAGGAAAACTACGAGATCGCCGAAGGCGTTTGTATACCTCGAAGTGCTTTGTACATGCACTATGTTGACTTTTGTGCTCGAAACTGTATCCAACCCGTTAACGCAGCTTCATTTGGAAAGGTAAATTTGATCACAATTACTAAATTGTCCCAATAACAACAATCCAATCAATTGAAATTCCCCCAAACAAACCAACACAAACTCCAACATTTAACTTTCCTCAATATTCATTTGATTTTAATTCTGATTTTTTTTTCTTCTTCTTCTTCTTCTCCTCTCTTTTAATTGTATCTCGTTAATTGTTCACAATTTATTTATCTAATTGTGATTTATTGATTAAACAATTTATCTTTTTAAGATAATACGTCAACAATTTCCCCAACTAACAACTCGTAGACTTGGGACTCGAGGTCAGTCCAGGTAAGAACTTCAATCTAAATATTTACTTTATGAATTAAACCTTTAACTCGATGATTTATTAATCATCAACAATCAACCGAATCAAGGAAAATACATAATAATGATAATGGAAATTGTAATAATAATATTTAGATTAGTGACCATTAGAGGTTTAACCATTTGTAACAACAAAAACTGACCATTGATATGAAATAAGGATTAAGGTCAACGGGAAATTGGGAATCAGATTAAATATTGATAATCAGTTTAATCATTTGTGTGGATTAACATTAAATATATACACAGGACAATCTGTTATTGATTAAAAATCCACCATCAGTGTAACAATTAGCATATAGACCTTTGAATTAATCACCAATTTAACTTAGTTAATTAATTTCTCATTCATTTAATTATTAAGTTGCTAAGGATTTGGAGAGTGATTAACATTTTCCTCCAGTGATTAAAAAATTAATCCACTAATCATGATCATGAATCTAATTAATGGTTGAAAGTTGATTACAATGATATTAGTAACTCAGGTGATTAATTAAAAATCATAATTAACTAATTGTAATCTTGTTATTATCAAAACAATTAAAAACAAGACTTTAATTCAGGAAATGTTTATTATCAACGGTAAATTGTGATAACTTTAATCGGATTAGATTAAATTGTTTCATTTTTTTTACTCATCATTTTAAATTGTTGTAATATTGTTAATTGTTTACGATTAATTGTTCACAATTGTCTAATTGATTCATATATATAGATATCATTATTATGGAATTGCAGTTCGGGAAAATTCAACTTACTACCAATTGGCTTATTCCAAGAAAGCGATTACAAGGTTAGTTTGATTATCTAATCAACAATTAATTAACTGAACTTTTGATTACTGATCAACAACGATTATTAAATAATCATTGATCAGGGAAATCAAAACCGAGAATAGTTTGTATCGGTTAACCAAATACAATCAAGTTGATGATTGTCCACAATTACTAATCAAAATTAATAATCCAAGGAATCTGAACAATTATTAAATTGGATTCCCTGATAATCATCATAATAATGATAATATTAAGATATTAATAATAATCTTGATTCATTTTCATCCTATAATCATGATGATTCTGATTCTGTTGATCATCATCATGAAATCTATTGATGATTAGTACTCATGTCCAGTATTATTAATAAATAGCGATTATGAAAATGGAATGATAATCAAAACTGAATCGAGAATTGAAAGATAAACAATCAAATTGGAATTTAATATAAAATGATAACAGAAATGAAAATTTTCCAATTTTTTGTTTTCTTCGAACTTGTGGAAAAAAAATTCGTACGAATCAAATCAATGAATCTCATGATAATATAAAGATAATTTCGAGAAGAATGTGACATTTGACTTGTTCGAATTTGTGAATATAAGAATTTCGAAAGAACAAAAAAAAACTCGAAGCAAAAGAAAAACGAAAAATTGAACTTATCTTTAGATTCGATGATGTGTATTTATATATAGATAAGAATTAGAACTTTTTTTTCTTCTTCTTCTCCAGGAATGATAATATTATCATCATCGAATGATAATACGCTCGAAATATTAACTCCCAGAGACATGATGATGTTTCGATAAAATGTCAGAACTTACAGAGAAAAAAAGTAGAGAAAGTAGAGCGAGAGAAAAACTCGAAGAGAAAAAAGTTCCAACCAAATGTTCAAACTCGAAGAAATAAAAAAAAATCTTCTATTCTTTTTGTCTCTTCTCTTTTTCAAAGTTCTAAGTTCTAATCGTAATAATAATAATAATATTCAATGACTTCGAACAGAAAAGTTTAACCTGAAATCGAATCAAATTAATCACCAATCATCAATTGAATCGTCGAGCATAAATATAACCATAATAATCTGATAATCATAATACAATTTAAACATTGAGATTATTTTTCATTCTAATTGTAACAATTAACCAATATACACGAATGCTGGTTCATTGTTGTGCTCAACACGTGTTGTAACATGATGATTGCATGATAATCATATTTATCCGATTATTAAATTGCTTCAGCACAAGATTAGATTGTTTTGATTGTTGAATAAGATAAATAATTCTTACATTGTTAATACGATGATGATGATGATTATCATCATCATTATATTGTCATGAAGATGAGGGGGTGGATGTTTTATCAGTTCTTCCACCACTTTGACACGTTTCCTTTTCCGTCTCCGCACGTGAAACGTTTTATATCCTTTTCCTATTTGATATTGATTCGAGAGGTTAATCCACTCTAACCTTTAACATGTTATTGTGTGAAAGGTTAATCAAAAAAAAAGTAAAGAAAAAAAAATCACCAAAACTTTAGTATTCTCGTTGATTGTAGTTGGTTAATTGTTGGAAGACTTTTTTTTTCTCACACAATTAACATTGGATTTTTTTTCCTCACTTAATCTTCTCATCATATTTTCTATTACTCTTGTTTTATTTAACCTTTTCATCACCTTTTCAATTGTTGATTAGATACTTAATCTAATCTTCTCATGATTATCGTGTTAATTGTTTGAATATCAACAATCAACAAAAGGAAAATGATACTTGAGTTGATTTACTTGTAAATCGAAATGTTTTTTCATTCCAATTCAAACGTTATTCCAATTATATTATCCTCGTTAATCATGAGAATATCAATCTCAATTCCTATTCCCAAGCAGTTAACTACAATTAATTAATTTCTCCTTAATTAGAAATTAACATAAATTCATTTTTATAGATGGCGCTACTTTTTTTTCTTCCAATGACCAATCACATTTGTGGATCATTTTTGATGATTGATTTTTGTTTAATTCATTTTCGTTTCATCATTTTAATTGTTTGTTATTTAAGTTAATTGTTCATCTTTTTCTTATTGTTAAATGTTAATCTAATAGAGAATATAAGAATTATTCTATTCTTTTTAACCGGATATTCTCTAAATACAATGTGATATCATTTTCTCTTCTGTGTAATGTTGATGGTTTGTTTTTATCGGTGATTTTTTTTAACAATTTAAAGAAAAAAATGACTAAATAGTTGATTGTTATTTAACATTCTCATGTTACATATTATATTATACTGTCTATTACAATAGAGAATCAAGTATATTATGTATTATAATCTTGGACAACGCTCTTAGGGTTCTCTCTATTGTGTTAGCCTCCTTTAGATTTTCCTCTTGACACAAAAGAGAACATTTTTATTTTTCTATTCTTTTTCTCTATATAACAAGTTGCCTTTTGTTAAATTCTAATATCTTGTTTTTTTTTCTACAGTAATCTATCGGATTCATCATCGCGACTTGGTGATGGTTCAAATCAAAATGGAATCAAAAATTCAGTGAGTAAATCCCCATCAATCCAAAGTAAATTGATTCGGTTTCAAGCTCTATTAACCTTGTCTCTTTTTTTGTTCACTTCTCTCTTTAAGGATCAAGTAAACTCTCACTCATTACCAATCAATACTCATGGAAATGTTGGTAATTGTCACCCTAACGTAAATACTATCAACACCAGTAATAATTGTGGAAATCATTCAGCTATTAACCATAACTCTAATGGTACTAATTCCAGTGGCAATCGTAATAGAGTGGGAACAGTTTTACCTGATTTTCCTTCACCCAATGATTTTAAATTACCACCAAATCTAGACAATATAAAGGTAACACTCATATAGAATATTAATTTCAATCAATTTACCCTTATCATCTTTTAAATTTTTCTTTTCTTTTCAACATTCAGACAGCAACATTTTTGATGATGTACCGAACTCACTGTCAACGTATATTGGACACAGTTATCAGAGCGAATTTCGATGAAATTCAAACTTTTGTTCTATATTTTTGGCAAGGTATTCCTCCTCATCTAACATCAATATTAACCTCTAATGCTTTCATCAACTTAATTGGTATATGTGATTCCATCTTATACAAATGTATGGCCAGTGTTTTACTCCCATCAGCTCTTCAAACTTTCCCTGACAGGTAAATTACCTTCATATCTATTTCTTGTTTCCTCTCATTTCCAATAATAATCAATAACAATAACGTCAACATATAATATCATATTACGTAACCTTTAATTAGCATTGATCTACTCGTCGAGAAATATATCACATTAATTAGAAATAATTTATTTCTTTTCAGATTAATGTCCATTTGATCATATTTACATTTTGATGTTGGAATTTATCAACAGAATAATGGTTTATATTTTTCTTTTTTTTTCGATTTTTTTTCCTTGATAGTTTGATCCAAGTTATTCGCAAGTTTATCCAAGAATTTGAATGTTGGCTTAAAATGGCTTTGTACAATTTACCTGATTCTCTTAAATCGATTAAGATTGATCTTTCCCGTCATCTTGGTAATTTACTTCGTCGACAAACATCAATTAGTCATCTTATCCAAGCAGCACGAATGGTTGTTAATAATGGAGATGTAACACCTCAGATGATTTGCGATTGGAGATCATTATCAATTGATTTAATTGCAAGGGAATCAATTCAAAGTTCACACAAAAATAGCTCAGTGTTTACCAATATCAATTTTGATTTTATTCGAACAGGTAAGTTTTTGAGAGAAAGAGAGACTCACTCATCTTGATAATTATTCTTAAGCTTTTATAATCAATTACGCAATTTTAATAACAATCGTTATGATCTACTTAAAGTATTGTTTTTTGAATCAACAAAATTAAGGATTTTAGGATTACAAAAATTAATTCCTGCCTCTTTTGTTAGTTAATTGCATCATCATGATTCTCAATATTTGACAACAAACTATAAAATAAATTCTTGTTACAATTAGTGAAATACATTCCATTGATACACACACACATCCAATTTATGTCTCTCTCTCTCTCTCTAATTGTCATCCTCATCATCCATTTTACTGCATCCTTTTTTTTCAAGTTGACATCAACAAGAATCGCAGCAATATCATTAAAGATAATTTCTGATTCTGTTCATTCCTTGTACTATTATCATGATGATGATAATGATTACTATTATTGTTAACATTATTATCATCATTATCATTTGCCTTTTTGGGTCCTTCTAGTTAATTCTTGTTAAATGATTATTGTTGTTGAAAACATTCCTGAATGTAAACCATTTAAACGGTTCCATTCACATTTTGATTAAGTTACCAAGAGCAATATAAATGTCAATCTGGTATTCATCTAATTTAAATACATTTACCATGATATTTATATGAATACACTTTAAATGCAAAACGTCATCCATTGATTACAACAATTTATTAGTTATAATAATAATATACAATATAGAAACTGTTGTAATGTTGCAAATTAATATAATTTAATTGTTTTCAAATTTGATTCATAATTTCTTAATCCACATTTTTAATATCATTTTATTGCTACTAAAAATTCAATGTCACATAAAAGATTAGCTTATTATGTATTTATTTTAATTATGATATTTTAACTTTTGATTTTCTCTTAATTGTCTTGTTTAGCATTACGGGATTTTGGTCGATTGTTGGAAGATGAATCTCCAATTGAAGCTTATTTTGATTGGTTAAATGCTTTGGTACAATATTGTATCATCAATGTGAGTAATTGTAAAATTTTTTGATTAGAATTGGTTAATTGTGTTATTTAAATTGTTTGATAATTTCTTTAGACTTCAAGCAATCTGAGATATACATTCAAGGAGAACTCAAAACAATTCCTATCAACATGGTCAACATTTGCTTCTCGAATAATTCATGAGCTCAGTCTTAATTCAGCGCCAAGTTTTGGTAATTGTTTAAAGTCAACTTTTTGAATTTCTGTCATTCTGTGTAACAATTAAAAACTTTTCTCAATTATTTAGGATCCTTTCACCTTCTTCGGCTTCTTTTTGATGAATATCTACTTTACATCATGGAGTATTGTCAAATCGATGAATATATTATGGAGTTAATGGCAAATATCAATCATGATTTACCTCCCCAACCATTGGAAGATAATTACTTAGGTAATTTGATTACACTTTATTATTAAATTTCTATTAACTATCCGTTAACTATTTTAATCAGGTGAATCAACTGACGAGATTGTTGAAAACTATCAATCAACCAATGGTTCAGATTATGATGTGGAAACAATAAATCATAACCAAAACCAACAACAATTAACTGACAAATCTAATCAGGAATTTAGTCGACTTGCCGTAATTCCATCAGATGAGTGCAATTACCATCACCCTGTTGATTATTATCCCAATCACCAAGGGTAAGTAGTGACTGACTTATCTTTTAAATTGTAATTTTTGTCCTTCTTTCTTAATAATTTAGTGATCTTCCTGTTCACCACAATTCCAACATTCAAACAAATAATCAATTAATTTCTGAGGAATCAAGAAAATCATTTACTTCCTGTTCATGTCCAGAGGAGGAGGAGGAGGAGATTATCATGACCATGGAACAGCAATTCCATCAACCTGTCAAACCAATAATTACTCTCGTAATTACCTACCTGTTGTCGATGCTACTGATCAGCAAAACAATTTATCAATTAATGAGATTTCAATACCTGGTCAAGAATCAACTTCATTACAATCAATATCTTCAACCATGGGGTCAGAAAATCATACTAATAACAACAATAATTTAACAGAAGATATCCAATTCCCTTATTGTACCAATCTTAAAACTGAAGTTTATCCCGAGTTTTGTTAAATTCAACCAACAAACTAATTATTAACCAAAAACAAAACTTTAAACTTAACAAAATTAACATATCAAATTAATCACAAAATAAATATTGTCTCAGTGTGTATGTGTATGAATGTATCCACCTATTCAACATTCATTAATCTAGCTCATATTAACCATATTAGTCGACTAAAAACAATTAAAATTTTCTCTAAATTTTATCAAATAATAATTTTTAATCATTTCCCACAATTAACACTAATCAACAACTCGATCAAATATCCAATCAATTTGAGGAAAATCGAAATTCAAATGACCCGCGTCTCGGATTCGAATCTTATCAGATACTTGAAGTATTCGATAGAAGAAGTTGAATATCTGCCAAGTGTCTCTGTCTCTTGGGTCACCTTTGGATTAATTTGATTGAAGTTAACCTTTAATTGTAATTGTTTTCCTTGTAATTTAACTTGTTACGTTTTCTTTTTGTTTTTAATTGTTGTTGTTCTTTTAATTGTTAACTATGGCTTTCAATAAAATTGCTAAAGTCGCCGTTCTTGGTGCCAGTGGTGGAATCGGTCAACCTTTGTCTCTGTTATTGAAACAGAGTCCGTTGATTAGTCATTTAAGTCTTTATGATTTAGCTCATACTCCTGGTGTTGCTGCTGATTTAAGTCACATCAATTCCCGTTCAAAGGTTACTGGTCATATGGGACCAGAGGAATTAGGTGAAGCTTTAAAGGGTTCGGATGTTGTATTGATTCCCGCTGGTGTACCAAGAAAACCTGGTATGACTCGAGATGATCTTTTCAATATTAACGCTTCAGTCGTTAGAGATTTAGTTAAAGCTTGTGCTCATAATTGTCCACAGGCTTCTATAGCTATTATCTCTAATCCAGTTAATTCAACTGTTCCCATTGCCGCTGAGGTATTGAAAAAAGCTGGTACCTATGATCCTGCTCGTCTTTTTGGTGTAACCACTTTGGATGTTGTTCGAGCCAATACTTTCGTTGCTGAGGTTAAAGGTCTTGATCCAGCTACAACCAATGTTCCCGTTATTGGAGGTCACGCTGGTATAACAATTATACCCCTTTTATCTCGAGTTACCCCATCGGTCAATATTGAGGCTGATAAATTGGATGCACTTACAAAGCGCATCCAAGATGCTGGTACTGAAGTTGTTAAAGCCAAAGCTGGATCCGGATCTGCAACTCTATCAATGGCCTTTGCCGCTGCTCGTTTTGCTTTCTCACTTTTAGAAGCCCAAGCTGGTAGAAAGGATGTCATCGAATGTGCTTACGTACAATCAAATGTTACCGATGCCGCTTTCTTTGCCACTCCAATTCATCTTGGTAAAAATGGACTTGAAGCCAATCTAGGAATCGGAAAGTTATCCGCTTACGAGGAAGATTTAGTCAAAGCCGCCATTCCCGAGCTTAAAGCCAGTATAAAGAAGGGAGAAGAATTTGCAAACCAGTAAATTTAGTCGAATCTTAATTTAGAAGAATCAAATACACCAGATGATACACACTTGAAGAAGAAGCAGAAGTAATTAAATGGAAAAACAGTAACTGATTAAAAGAAAGTTAACAATTTCTTAATCATCAACCATAACTTTAACTACAATTACCGATTGAAAACCTCACCCTTAAAGAAAAAGTCTCTCCAAATCTAATGTAAATCAACTGATAATTTAAAACCATAACAGAATCACAATTAGCCAAATGGAATATAAAAAAAACTGCTAAAAAGGGAAATGATTAAAATCGTTGACAATTGATTGATCATAGAGAAAATTGAATTTCAATCAATTCCTTATTAACTTCGGAATTACTGTTTTGTTGATTGTAAAAATTTTCTTAAAACCATATAATTGATTCACTTATTGGGTCAGTTAGTGTGATGTTTAAACGACAATTAACTTGATCCACTTTGATGATTACAACAAATGGAAAACAGTTAGATTAGAGTTAAAATCAAATTAGAAAAGGATACAATTAAAAGACTAAATTTAACTAATTAGTTGAGGTTATTTGAACTTTTAAAAGCCAATTGAAAGTTTATTGATGTTACTAAATAAATAGATGAATAAATTGTAATAATTTAAGGAAGAAAATAGATTTTAACTAATCAATTATTTTAAATTGAACCAATTATCTAATTTAAACATGTTAATCAATTGTATCATCAATTAAAATAATAACCTGTCTCATTAGAGGTGTGTTTAAGTGTCTTAATTGTGATTGTGTGAAAGTTAATCAATGAATAACAATCAACAATTAAAAGAAAAGGGTTTTCAATTTTTATTATCTTAAAAATCATTTATTGATAATTAAGTAACTGTAACAAGTTATCACAGACAGTTGATTAATTTAGATGATTAAAACAAATTAAGAATACAAATGATGACAATTAACAACAACAATTAACATCGGTACAAGATCACCAACAATTAAACAGAAAATTGTTGATCAACATTTAGTCTTATTAACTAATAGATAACTTTAATTATCATATTAGTTACTCAGAGATTGAATTGTAGAAACACAACTGATTAAATTAAAGTTTTCATTTAATTTAGTTGAATGTTGATTAACATTTTACTCAATTCACCGTTAGATGGCGTTACTATAACGCCAACAATTAGTTAATTGTTACAACAGTTGAAATGTTAGTTAACCGAAACCAGTAAGAGTTTCTTAAGATTTTAGTTGATTTAAAATCTTTCCGACTCAACATCAACACCATGTTGTTGAGATTAACAATTACAATCACTGAGTAAGTTATTATTTTTTTCCAGCAACAATTTAACAACAATTAAAAAAGTTTATGGTAAGTTTTTCGTTGTAAACCAAAATGAAAACAAAATATTGTTCAAGTGTTTAAGTGAATATGATAAACAATCAACTCTAATTACAAAATCATAACAATTTATGGTTTCAATTAAATATATTTGTGATGAACAAGTTAATTGTGTTGGATTAATTATTAATAGTTAATTGTAAAATCCAATGGACAAAATTTAAAGTGAAATCAATTGAAATTGAAACAAGAGAAACAAAAATAAAACAAAAACAATGATTGTGATTAACCAACAACAAACTGGATATAATAATTGTGATTTAACAAGAGTGTCAACTAATCATCATCATAATCGGAAATCAAATCAATTAATCAACACGAAACGTGTTAATTACAAATTATCGGATATGCATAATTACCGTTATCAGTTTAATTGTTTATCAACATTTTTTGTGTCCAAAGTGATTGTAATATTTTTCATCTTAATCCCGATCATCTTTAAATCACCAATAGTTAATGGAGAGAGGATTAGTACAGGTAAATTAACAAAAGTTAAATCGATAATCAGTAAATCAATCAATAACCTTTTCTTGATCCTCCAAAAGGAAAACCTAACCAAATGATTAAAGAGTAAATTTTAAATCAACAGTTAACAATTAATGAGCCTAGAAAATGATTATTAAAATAACAATAAAAACGTCAACAAAGTTAATCCATAATCTGTAAGTTGATTATCCTCATCATCACCTCCATTGGTAAATGTCTCAGGTTTATTGAAAATAACATTATCAGGATAAGGATGGATGATAATGATTACTTGATTGTTGGTAAATTGTCGCGGTTCACCTTGATATGATTAACTAAATGTTAGTCAAACTTTTTCAACTGGTGAAAATCAAGTCTTGATAATTTATCGAGTGAAATTGAAAATCAACTAAAGTATTTGAATACATGATAAATTCATGGAAAAAGGTGATGAAGACAATGAGAGAAAGAAAGAGAGAGAGAGATGAAGATAAATTGATGAGAAAATTTACCTGAGTAAAGGTGAGATGATGATGGGAAACAAGGTCAAAATTCAAATGGAGTTTGTAATATGAAGTGAAAAGTTTTTTTCGAAAAAAAAACTTTTTTCTCTTCTGTCTATTAAATCAACTTACATTTCCATCTCATCATCATCATCTTCTTCTTTCATTCTCTCTTTCTTTTACATCAATTTCCATCATCTTGTTTTCTTCCTTTCGTTGCCAGTGCCATACACAAAATGGTAACAGTTTGAATTGATTCAGAAATTCAGGTAAACCATCATCACGATTTGGCATCATCATGGTTACTTGATTGCTCGAATTTTTTTTTCTCTTCATTTTCGTTTTATTTAAATTACTTTGTCTCTCTTTTCCTCTTTCTTTTCTGTCGACATTTGAATCTTCCACCTTAGATGATAACCTTTTGCACTATCATCATCTTCCACCACCAACTTGATCATCATAATCAAAACTCTCTTCCTTTTAATTGTATTACCTCAAGCTCAATAATTTGATTTAATTTCATCACAGTTTGATTTCAAACGACACCAACGATGATTAAATTACCTTCAGTCCAACGATGTTGAGGATGTTCAGCAATCGCTTGATTGTTGCTAGTTAATTAAATCTCATCTATATTCTGACCAATTAATTTACCTGAATAATAAGAAGAAAAAAATAAACAAACAAATTAAATGAGAATCATGACAGAAAAATAATTCTAACAAAACAATTTATGTTAATCAACAGGAGAAAAAAAAATTGTTATTAAGTATCAACAATACTGATGATAATTAAGATGATGATGTTGATAATAAAATCAGGATCAGGGTTAATCTAATTGAAAAATATTTGATTAACTACATATAATCAAACTAATCAAGAGAAAATCGCAATAAACAATCAAATTTATCATCATCAACAACAATAACAATTAATTAGTGGAAAATAAATGAAAAAGAGGTTCGAAAACTTTTATAACAATTAACAATTGGAAAAGTTTACGAAATCACTTTTACAATTAATTTCGATTTCATTTTTCGAAAACAATTAATTAACAAATAGAAATCGAATGAGAAATTTATCCTTTCTTTTCATTCTGATTGTATTGTTTTACTCTTGTTGATTGTTGTTGATTTTTTTTACACCTCAACCTGTTGTCTGCATTGTGTATCATCACCAATCAAGTTTATTAGTTGATTAGATTGATTTTTTTCCTCGCTGTTTCGTTTATCAAACAATCAGATAAATCTAATTCTTAACTGTTAATCCAATTCCATATTCTGTTGTATTTATATTTGCTCTTAATCAATCCAATCTTTTCCCATCTTCTCTTACCATCCAAGCTTAATAATGATTAATTTTTTTTCCATCAATCGATTCATCCGCTGGTTTCACTATTAATCCAATCACTTGACTCCTGTTGATTAATTTACTGATTATTGTTTTACTTTCTTTAAATCCTCCTTCTATTGTTTCATCAATATAAATAAATAAATTTTCGCTTTCAGGTTGTAAATTTTATCCAATCGGAGAGAATCGTAGGTTCGAAAGGGTCGCTGAGAATCTTCAAGTCGGTAAGTGATCTTAATCCAAAATCCATAAATCAACCTCGATAATCCTGGATAATAAATGAAGAAGAAGAAGAAGAAACAAAAAATGATTATAAATCTGCGATGACAAAGTTTCAATTACCACGATTCTTAATTGTTATCAAAGTTGTGTAACATGTTAATAGTTAAATAACAAATATTATTATCATGTTAATACAATTTAAGTTCATAATCTTGTTTACAATTTAAAACAATTAGTTGAATAGTAAACAAGTTGAATATATACTTACATGTTTGTAACTTTTACTTACGAACAACAAAAAAATAGGTTTTGAAACGGAAGAAATTAAATTGATTATCATTGTAGGCGACGAGGGGTCATCCTAATTAATTAACTAATTGTTTTGTTTCCCATTCGAATCCATTTTACTTTTTTGATTATCCTAAATTGTAATGAAAAAAAAGAGAGGAGATGTTAATGTTTACATTGTTATTGAAGACGATCCTTAATCATTATCATATCTGGTTTAACTTTTGATTTCTTTGATTGTTTTGGTGAATTAGTTATGATGATGATGATGAATTAGCAATCAAAGCGACATTAAAAGGTTAATTTAATTTAATTGATTAGCATTGAGGGTGTTTGTCTTAACCTGTATTTCAATTAAAAATTGAAAACCAAGAAAACAATCATATTAATTTGATTATAATTCAATTCAACACGGGATTGTAATTGTTGAGGAGGAGGAGAGAGAAAGAGTCAGTTGATTGTCAGCGTTTTAATTCTTGATTTTAAATTAATCAGACTAATCATAAATCAGGAATTAAAAAGTGAAAACCATAATAAAGGAAATAATTAAGTAACGATTAACTGAAATTAGAAAGAAAAATAAAAAAACAGATTGACCAAACGATGGACAATAAACATGATAACTTACGATTAATACACTTATATAATTGTGAACACGTTTTCATGATTAACAGTATGAAACTTAAATTGGTGCTAATCATGTTCTCAGGTACCAATTAATCACCAAGAAAAACTGAAGACCAAGTAATTAAAAGGAGCATTAAATCCGATTGTTCTATTGATTTTTTAACGATAGATTTTGATTTTGCCCAAGTGAAAGTGAATCAAAAGAGAACAATTTAGAAAAGCTGAAAAAAAAGATTCGATTCTGGTTTAGTTGATCAACAGAACAATAAAACAAAATCCAACATGAAATCTTCTCTTTCTTATTAACTGATCAATTGGTCGATGAATTAATCGTCTGATCGGTTTATTAGGTTTTTTGGTTCTTCTTCTTCTCCATCTTCTTCTTCTTCATTATCATCTCTTATTGGCTTGAATAGAATAGAATAAAAGAATAACAGCTAATCACTTCTCTTTTTCATCTTATTCTATTGTAACTTTTTTCTCGGTCAACTTGTGATCATCAACACCGATTCTTCGATTTCATTCTTGTTCATGTTGGCTTGTTTTCCATCACAATTTGTTACTCTTTTGGTGGTGATTTACCGGTGATTTTATCCAAAACCACAATGGCAATGATTCTGAATGGAAAATAAAAAAAATAAATGAAAAAAAAACTTAAAAATAATCACCCAAACACAATGGTAAAAACAAATCACCTTTACAATCGGATGCCCACCAATAGGTCATGAGGTTTTCAGGGTAGAAGTGCACCCACGGATGGAGATTAAATTAGAAGCCGTGGACAATAGTTTAAGTGATATTAATTATTTCAAATATGAAGAATTAGATGATAAAACTGTTGCCATAAAACTTGCTCATTCACTGGAGGATCTTGTTGATCGGGTAAGTGAAGGCCTAAAAAAAATGGAGACGAAAAATTAACAAAGAGAAAAGAAAACAACTAAATAGAATCACAATCAAATCAACTAATCAATTGAACCAAACGAAAACCAAAACTTCACAGTCACATTATCTGTTGTTCATTAACAGAATAACATAAAAAAAACAAAAGAAATTACAATTAACTAAATTAAGGAAAAGAAAAATTAACAACAACAATTGAGAGGGAAAAATTATTCTAATTAACAGATTAAGCGAATTCGATTATTACCCGAGAAGAGTAAATTCCGCTAGCGAATAAAAAATTTTCTCTTTGTGTTTTCTTTTCCATCTGATGACAATTAAACTAAATTTGTTTTTCTTTTAATTAACAGAGAGATCCACAAAGTGTTCTTAAATTTAAATTAACCTGTCGTGGACCTAGTGGAACGGTAAGTGATCTGAAAATACGTTAATTCTCAACAATTAGTTGACATTTTCCTAGTGAAAATCTTCATCATCGTTACTGTTTTTAGCTTTTAAGAGAAAAGAATTTTTTTCTTCTCTTCTTTTTCTATAACAAATCTTTTGTCTTGAAAATTGAGTTAATTGTTCAAAAGGAGATTCGTTAATTAACAAATTTCTATTCATTAATCTACTCATCACCTTCCATTTACCACGAATCATCAATTATATTCCAAAATAATGTAAGTATCTCATCTTTTATATTTACCTTTCCAATTGTTTTGTTTTTTTCTTTCCTCTACTAATCAATTCTATTATTTAATTTCTAATCATTTCCACTCCTTCCAATCATCACCATCATGATTATCCCTCTAAATAAACACTTTATCCAATCACCATTACAATAAGAGAAAATTAAATTAATTGTAATAGAATAAATTTCTCTCCAATTTGTAACTAATCCCTTTCAATAGATTAGATTAGAACATGCAAAGTGATAAAAAGGCAAATTAGTTTTTCTTTTTTAACATTTCTCTCCTTTTTGTTGATAATATATTTTCCATCATAAAAAAAGACAACATCATCATCATCACCACCATCCAAAAGCCTCCAGGCAATTGGAAATTGAAAAAAAAACAACAACATAATAATAAACAAAAAGGAAGAAAATTAAATCATTTAGATTGAATAAGAAATGAAAACATTATTAAAGGATTAACGGTAACCCTGATTTACCTTTAACTCTCTTTTTCTCAAATATTGTGATGTTGGTGATAATTTGATTATGATAATTAAACCCTTAATTTATTAATTGTCTAACCCGTGAAAAGAAAAACTGATTAATTAATAAAATAATTGTTCTCTTTTCTTTTTCCCTCTAATTAGGAGTCAACTGAATGAGAGATTTGGTCTACAATCCAAGGAAGACAAATTTGTGCATAAAATATCACAATCAACTGTTAATCTGATTCTTTTTCCACCATCAGATTAACATGACACTTTGAAGGTTCACTTGGGAGCCAAGTCAATCCTAATTCTTTGATGGCTTACATTTGTTTTTTTATCAATTATCTCACAGTCAAAGGTCAGGTTTGACCAGGTCTCTTGTGAAACCTTCAAAAACAACAACAACAGATTAGCAAACAATCAACAACAATCAGACAGGAACAATTAACCTGTGATTTTGTCCCTTCTCTATCAAGTGACACTGACATTTCTTTCATCATAAATGCTGATAGTTTAGGTGAAATCTCAGCCATTGAGACCATCTAATCATCATCATGATTACAAACAAACTTCATTGATTAAGGACCTTAACTACAAATGGATTTATCAACAGCAAAAAAAAAGACAACAAGTTAAATTATCAATTGTTTAGACAATTACATCAATTCAGTACACATACTGACCACTACTACTACTACAATTTACTACTGACCAAATGATAACCTTTCATTGAAAAGTGATACCTTCAAAAATGAACCTTGATCTTGGTGAAATGATAGTGTTTTAATTACTACTAATTAATTGTTTACCAGATCAGGTATTCAATTGTGAAATTTGATCTGATTATGGCGATATAATTATTAAGATAATTGTAATGATTTTGATTTGATTGTTACATTAGATTTTTTGAAAAAAAAATTATCCATCAATGGATTAAATTTACCTTTAACAATAATGTAAGTAGTCATGATTAACAATTTAATTTAATTGTTAATCATGTAACTTGAGATTAGTTATATCATGATACCAATTTACACTTATTTCATTTTGAGTGTTAATTGTTAATTGATAGTTTCATTTGACTCTCTCATTGATTGTTCTGATTATATTATCATACAAACTTTTAATTAACTATTATATTGTTAAAGAAAAATTTGAATGATGAATTAACTTGTTAACTTTTTTGATTATTTCATGGAAACATGAATTAACCTTAACCATGTTAACCTTTACAACGTTAACAATTAATAGATTGTGATTAATTTTGTTTGATTTACAACCAACAGGTCAATATATGTATATTCATACACACATAACAATCAATTTAAATTGACAATTGAGATCAACAATTAATTGTTACTAATTTTTTTTTCACAATCTCACCTTTCCTTTTTTTTCACCTTAACAATTAACTATTATCATCTTTTTTGATTATTATGAATTAATATGATTAACTTGATTTACTTTCTACCTTCTTCTTGATTAAAGTGCTACAATCAATCGTGATTTCGTGATCAATGATGATGATTTTTGATTGTCTATTAAACAATTAACTCTCACGTTTTAGGCATAAATGTTGATTGTAATTGTAATTGTAATCAAACAATTAAACAAAATCATAAACAAAAGCTCAATGTTTGTTTATGATCAGCAAAAAGAAGGTGAAATAAAATAAGTTAATCATATTGATTAACAATTAAGAATTAATTTTTCCCCCTATCATTTGTTTTTTTTCACAATAACAACAACTAAATTAACTAATCACAATCGAAACAATTTAAGTTTGAAATAATTATGTGAAATCAATGATAAAAATACCATTATAATGATGAGTTAATCTTAATTGTTAACATGGGAACAATTAACTAACCAATTTTAAAACCAATTATTACCATTAAGTGTTTAATTTAATTGTTATGATTACTGAACTTTTCTACTTCATTTTGAAACTTTGAAAATAATCAACAATAATTTTTCCCAATTCTTGTTGATTATTTAACTGTTTTCACAATCATTTAGTTAATCAACGACCGGGAATTGTTGTTAACATGGTTCCCAAAGTTAATGATTATCATAATCATGACCTTTCATTATAATATAATTACTATGAATTAACATTATTTTTCCGGTTTCCATCATCATCTTTAATCATCATCATTTCATCATTGGTTTTAATTGTGAATGAAAAAAAAAATTAGGTAACTATTATAAACGATTAACAATAACAATCAACAACAATAATAGATGTTGATCATCAACGGGTGTGTATGTTTGTTACAGTTGACAAAAGGGTTCCCAAGATGAATTAAGAGAATCAAATTTAACAATCAAATCAACAATTAACAATCAATGTTGATGATGGTTGACACAACAGGTAAGAGTAAACAGAAAATGTTGATTTTTAAAGTTAATTCACAAAATGTGTGTCAATCTAATTTTAATCATCTTCTTAATTATCATCATAATCGTCATGATTATACTGATCATCTTTACTGTTGAAAAAAAAAACATCACAATTAATTGTAAAAGAAAAGGATAAATATAAACAATTTATGATTGATTAACAATCAAAGGGAAAGTTAATTAAAAGGTGAAAGTTTTTACACTTAATTGTAAACGGAAGATTAATTAATTGTCCATCAATTTGTGAATTAACTTAATCAATAGATTTCAAATTGATTTACTCTAATTATTATTGATTGGTAATCGATTATGATGAAGATGAAATTTGAATTAATTGTTTAATTACAATTGAAAATTTTTCTCGCCATTTAATTTTCTCAACCATTCTCACGGTTAATATACATAAATTGTATTATTATTGTTCAACGAATGATCAACAATCAAGTTAATTGTTGTTGATTTAAAAGAGTTGAAGAGTTAAATCAACTCTCCGGAAACCAGTTTAATAAATTGTTATTAGTTTGATTATTATTATGATTTAGTGACGATTGATTGTTAATTGTTTCGCAGATTTCAACCTCTCTCTTCATATATAAGAATTAAATTGTTAACGATTTTTGTTTGTTTGTTAGTTAATTTAATTTACTTGATTAAGATGAACTTTCTCTTAATCAAATCAACCCAATGAATTTTAATTCACCAAATAAATGATAAATTAGATGATTAACAATGTAAACAATCAAAAAGCATCGAGAAAAAAAAGGTTGATTACAATTTAGTCTAAATTGTTGTTTAATTTAATTTCTTTACAAAATCATCGAGCTGTTAACAAGAGTTAATTTGTTAACACCTTTTGTTAATTGTTGATAGTTAGTAACTTTCATCTTCATCATTTAGATCACATCAGCTGTTGGATACAATTGCATGAGAAATTAACAAATTAACAACAATTTATTGGTCAATTAAGACACAATATTTTAATTAACTTCCTAAATCCACTAAATATAAATCATTTTATTTATACTTTTACTTTTTTTTTGACGATTTTTTTGTTCTTAATTACTTGTTGATATCTCGTTGATTTGGTTACATCTCAACCGTTAATTCAGTTCTAATTTAAGAATTGATTGACTCTTAAATTAACCAACACAATTTAATAACCAATATTGGTTTTCATTAGACTTTGAAGCTTTTTCTCATTTTCTAATTAGAGATGATCACTTGATTATATTTCCAATTGATGATCAATTGATTGTGATCATCAAATTTCGTGGCAGTTACACATCGTAGTGACTTCGTTGTTGTTGTTGTTGTTGATTTAGTATTTAAAGTTAGTGCAGAAAAAAAGTTCCAATACCAAAAAAAGGTTAACCAGAAAAAAAATCTTCTAATATTTAGAATCAATAAATTAACTTCCAATAGTTTGATTGCGTGATTAACTGAAGATAATTTGTTCTAACGATTTAGAGATTCGATTAACATGGTTTTCCATTGTTATTGATGAATCTTGTTGTTGATTATCATGTTGATCATGATAATGATAGAGGTTAAGAGTTATAATGATTCAATATGATTGAGTTTTTGATGCTGATGGTTTGGACTTCACTTTCACTTTTTGCGATAAGTTGATCACTATTACGACAAAAAAATCACTATGTAATCGTAATTTACTCTTGATTAGCTTGATTGTAGTAACAACATTTAGGAGGAAGAAAAGAAAATCCAATTTTCATTAACTAATATCACCAATTAACCAAGAAAATTGGTTTTCTTTGTTATTCACAACAGGATGAAAACGGAAATCTATCAACCATTAGATGGAATAGAAAAAAGAGAAATGATGATATTAATCATCCCCATTGCTTGATTGTAATTGTAAATTCTAATTGTTGTGTGTAAATTTTCCAATTTACAACAATTAAATCAAAGAAGAGGAAAAAAAGATCACCAATATAAGGAAGAAGTTGTTGATTGTCGATCTCTATTATGTTAGAATAACAAATTTATATGTCAATCGAAATTTTTTTATTCTTTTTCAACATTGGAACAATTAGAAGATAATCCGATATTCCATTAGTTCCATGTTCATTCTAAACTGAATAATAATTAAATCGAAAATGGATTAACTAATTAGAGAGAAAATAATTAACAAGAAAATCGCTAATTACCGGCGATGAGAAATTCGGTTAATCTTTTCCGCTCGATTATCTATGTAACCGGCAAACAAAAAATTCTCTTAATCTAATTAACCCTTTTTACTAATTAAGTTTTCTCTTGCTAATTGTAAGTAATTTGATTGTTTTCTAAATTCTTTCTTCGGTTAATCAACTCTAGAACGACCAGTGATCAACTCTATTCAATTGGATTAACAATTAATTTGAAATTCGTCAACAATTAACCTTTTTTGTTTCTTTTCTCCTTTCAAGATGATGAAGATTTTCAATGTTATAGAATTTTTTTGTTCTCTTTTTATTAATTTTGGTGATTTATTGATGTTTTGGTTAAACAGGAAGACGCCTTTCTACCGATTACTGTATATGTTCAAGATGTTAACGATCACGCACCAGAATTTCAAAATGTCCCATATTATTTAGAGGTTGACGAGGTGAGTGTTTGTCGCCATTTTCCTTTACCAGTCTACTTGACATTCAATTGTGTTAACCGCCATTTTGAATCAATTGTACAAATAAGTGGTCAGTTTTGTCCTTTCTTCTTTTGATGATTGTTTATCAATCTTAAATATCTTCAACTCAATTGACTCTTTACCATTGAATTGATAATCGTGACCCACAAGAGCAAAGGAGAGAAAGAGAGAAACAATAACATTAACTAATCTGATTGGGGATAATCTCTTATCCTAATCTTGATCTGTTATATGATCAACATATTGCCAACTATAAACAGTATATGAGACATTATGAGACAATTAAGATGACGATCAAGATGGAGGAGAACAAGGTTAACAATTAATGGATTTACAAAAAGCATTTGAAACTTGGATGGAAAAACAAAACTCAAAGCTCATTGAAAGTGAAATGATTGGAAACCTTTTGATTTTCCAGCATCGTAATCAACCTTATCAATGTTGACGGTCATCATAATCATCGTTGATAACATGACATATGAAATGTCATCTTGAATCAAGACAAAATCTTCATTCATGATCAATGAGTTTTTCTAATCATGAAAAGAGATTCATTGTATTGACACAATCGACCGACAAAAAAAAACCTAATGTGTGTTCACCTTTCAATTGATCATTTTCACTTAACCTTTTTTACCCATCGTCACCCTGAACGTTACCAGATCACCTTAAATGATGATGATTATGATTTTTCCTGTGTGATGTTGCTGATCATTGAACAACAATCAACAAGTGAATTAATAATCAACCATTGGAACGATTTTGGTGACAGAAAAAAAGACGAATCGACAAAAAGACTGTCAACTTAATTTTTCGCTGTTGATTTATATCATATTCTTACATGTCCTTTCATCATTATGATCAATCTTCATGGGATTTCATCTAATTGTTGTCACCAAAATCAAATTTAACAATCAGCAACCTTCATCTAATTTAATGATCAATCATCTGTCAATAGAGATCAAGAAATTTGATCAACCTTCTTTGTTCAATATTTTTGTTACTTGATTCAATTCAATTCAATGAACACCACACACACACACATACACATTATTATTATAATTGTAACAATCAACTAATTGTTTACTATTTTTTGTTTCTAATTGCACAGCTTACACCAATTGGATTAACAATTTTCCGTGGTATCCATGCCATTGATAAGGATAAACCAAACACTGCCAATTCTGATATCACCTATTCAATTGTGGTAAGTTGGATTAACAAAGACAATCAAAGGATATGCAACAATTAACAACTCCATTGGATTAAACAATTAGCCATAATCTAAATCCATACACCAATAAGTGAATACAACTTTAAATTATCCCGAGTAGAGACAAATATTACTTTTGATTGAGATTCTGTTTTTTGTACTAATTAACTGATTGACAGATAAAGTGTTTGTGATTAGTTAATTGCCATGTTAATCATTGAATGTACTTTACATGATTTTAAATTCACTGATCAACATCATGAGAAATCAAGATACATGAATGTAAGAAAAAAAAATGAGTTAATTTTAATTTGAGTTCCAACAAATTGTTAGATGTTGTTCAATGAGGAAGACAAAGTTTGTCTCCCATTTTTTTTTCTTGTAATTAGTTTAAATTCAGTTGTCATGTTGATTTAGATTTAATTTCATGTTCCACAATTAATGATTAACATAATTTAACACATAATGATGACAGAAATAAGAGAAAAAAAAAGTTCAGGAAGAGCGATAATAATGTTTACTGTTTTAAGTCCAAAAATCGAGATCAATAATCAAGTTGATTCTCATCCTAATCATCATCATGAACCGAAAACAACTATTAGTTAACTAACCATACAATCAGTTAATCACCAATACACTGAAACTGATTGTAAATATAAAATGTGTATGCAAATACATGTTATATTTTTCAGTTAATTTGTATAATAATAATATATTTTGATCACATTTTACTTGATTGTAAATTGTGATACTAATCAGCAATCAATTGTAAAATTGTAAATATTAATACAATCAAGTTAACAATCAGATTACAATAATAGTTAACACGGAAAGAGTTTTAATTTTCTAGGTTATCTATTGTAAACATATAGCATTTTAATTGTGACAATTAACAATTCAACTGAATAGATAATGTTTTTAGGGTCAAATAATTTGATTAGAATCTTTTTTTAATTATGATTAAGATTTTATTTATCATGATGATAACAGTTAATTGTTATCACTATCATTATTATATTGATGTCATTGAGATTATAATGAAATCTAATATTAATAACAAATTGCTTTCTCATATTATTATTATTACTGTTTGATTGTTGTTGATTAATCATCTTGCTACTTTATTTATAGTTAATTGTAATTAGTTATGAAATAGTAACATCATCATCAACGGGGTAATATTAATAATAATATTAACAATCAACTAACCATCATGATTACCAATATTAGATGAGAAAAAAAAATTTCCAAATCAAAACTTGTTCTCATCTTAACAATTAATCTTAATCATGGTAACAATCAATGTTTACAATTAACTAACAGTTGATTATATTTATTTGTCAAATGTTTGATTGTTTCATGATTAAAAATATGGCTAATTGTTGATCAACATGATGATGGTGACAATTGTTTTTGATATAAAGCCAAAAACAGAGTAACCCAATCAACTAAATCAATGATTTTCAATCAACTAACTAATTGAAAAATATATAATTGTTATAATTTACTGATTCTTATAATTAAGATGATATTGATTGTTTAATTTTACTTTTTCCGTCTTCTTGATTGTTATACTTAAACTGGTAACAGTTTGATCCAATTTTTAATTAATAATATTGTCCAGGTTATCGTACCCATTTTAGACAGTTAATTGTAACAATTAACACACTGACGATTTAATTTCACTATTTTTAGTAATGTTATTAATTACATTCAATCAATCCAATCATCATGGTTTAATTAATTATCCTCACAATCAACTGTGTCTCCGCAATTTAATCCGGTTCACAGTTAATGGAAAACTTGTATATCCCTAATAACCACCCAATAATCAATCAACAATTAACTAACCAATGTTTCTAATTAAATTGTTTCTCTCTTTATCATTCAGGGTGGAAATGAAAATAATTCATTTATATTATCGGATCCAATTGAAGGAATCCTGGTTGTTAACAAAGCTCTTGATTACGATCATGGTATCCGAGAGTTTAAAATTCAAATTCAGGCCTCAGTAAGTTAATCACAATTTAAATTTAATTACAATAATATTATCCTACTAACCTGTAACTCTCTCTCTCTCTCTCTCAAGTTCAAGGAGTCTCGAAACACCAACAATTAACTAATAGCTTAATTTAGCTTATACGATTTATTAATTTAATCTCTTAATTGTCATTACATATTACAAAGTATTAGTTTGTATATGTTTTAAGTCACATCATTTGATTACGATTAACATTTATAATCCACTTGTAATCCCAACAATTAACCTTGCCATCAACAGATTATCAGTATTTCCTTTTAATTTACTTTAACCAACGGCAATTAGTTAATTGTTAATATTTTATTCACATGAAACATGCTTTTATCAATCCAATCAAATGTAGTTTGATTATTATTATGATTATTTTAATCATTTCATTTACTTAAGAGAAAATGAAAACCAACAAATTGATCTATTAAACCTTTGACAAGTTAATCATTTGATTGCGTGGTTAGTTGATTTAGTTTTGATTATCAAAACAACAATTTAAACAACCAAAACTGTTTTAAAACATTTCATTGTCAAAAAAGGTTGATACGATTAACTAACTGTACAATTAAACGTGTTGATTAAGTGTTAAGAGAAAATCAGAAAAAGAAAACAAGACTTTGAATTTAAATTCTCATTGATTGTTACAATTTATAGACAATTGGTGAGGATGATGTTGATTAAAACGATGATGATGATGATGATGATGAAGATAACAACAATCAAAATAAATTACAATCAATACAACCCTTGACCTAAATTGTTGTCATAGTCATAACCTTATTAACACTTTGGTTATAATTATAACCATTTTTAAGAAAATGTTAACAATCAAGAAAAGAGGATTAAATTTAATCACAATTAACCTTTCTATCTACTTAATTACAATAGGATCATGGTGATCCAATCAGCTTATCACAGGTAACAACAATGACGATTAGGATTAAGGATGCTGATGATCAGAATCCAGTCTTTACTCAAGAGGTTTATAAAGCCAGTGTATCGGAGACACCAACAATTACGGTGAGTACAACAATTAACAATTTAAATTGAATCAACGAAACAAGAATCATCAAAACTAATTGTATAAACAATTTACACTTTTAATTTAGCACAAAATTTGATTCTCAATAAATGATTATTGAGATGAGATTAGTTTAACTCATCAATATTGTAATTAAAAATTTCAATTACATGAGTAAGCTATAAATTGTCAATTAAAAACATGATTAAACAATTTTAACTCAACAACAATTTAAATAATAGTTGGTTAAAATAATTTAATCACTACCAGTTAATCAATTAAATCATTTGATGGTCGATTAATGTTTAAATAATGTTAATCTAAACATGATGATTTTAATTTAGATATGAACTGATTAACAAATTACCATGATTAATGAATTACTTGATTAATAGTTGTCGAAGTGAAATTGAATTAAAACATCTCTTGATTACCATCAACAATTAACTAATTGTTATTTCCCAATATTAAAGGGACGACAAAAAAAAATCATTCAACAACATTGATTGCTGATCATTTGATATTAGCTAATCATTTTATAATCATCACTCACTCACTGATTGTAATCATTAATCATTAATCATCTTAATTTCCGAATTGATAATCAACAATATTATTGAGCTAAATTTAAATTGTCACCAATGAACCTTCAATTTATTTACCTTTTGAAATGCATGATAAGTAGACCCGTTAACATGATGATGAAGAGCAAAAATGTCAACCCAACATTAATCATCATGATTAACATGAATATTAGTTAATCAGCAATTTAAATCACCTTTGAATAGCATTTCCATCATAACGATTAACTTGATGATTATATTGTATCTCTCATTTTTCTGAATTAATTGAGATGATATTGAATCTAAAAATGATTTGAGATTAAGATTAGGATGATGATCAAACTAAGGAATTGACAATATCATTGATCCGATAAGTTGGTTAGCTAATTGTAGCTTTATAACCTTAGTCAAATAGTGTAACAATCAACTGTCAATTATGATGATTATCAGCTGTAAGTGCATCATAATTAACTAATTACAATTAGTCTCTTTCCTTATTGCTAATGGTTGAGTATTTACCGTTAGATCACAATCATCTTGTTACATTGTTTGATTTTTTTGTTATTGTTTTTTTTAATTGAGACAATTAAAAAAAAGATAAACAATACTTTTGTATTAGTTAATTGTTGTATCATAATTAGTAACCATGAACAATCAATTGATCAGTAGTTAGCCAAAAATAAGTGAATCACAACTGTAATTAGAAACTTTAATTTAGTTATCTCATTTTGATTGTGATCAAAGTTTAAAAAAGTTTCGAAAAGTTTATCAACAATTAATTAATTACTTATTGATAATTTTTGTTAATCACTAAACCTTTTTGTTTTTCTACATCAATTAACTGTCACAATTAAGTCTCAATGATGTTAGTGTACACAAGTTAATCAATTTTTTACATCAATTAATTTGATTCCGTTTGCTAATCAACTTACTAATCAAGATTAAACATTCAATCAGGTCAATCAGTCATCGAGAGTGTTGATTAGCAATCAAATTGAAATTAAATCACTTTTTCTCATCATCATCACAATCAGTAAATTGTTTACCGCGAAAATAACTTCAAATGATGAATCAAATCCATGTTAATCCTTTTCTGTTATTTGACCTTCTTTAACTAATCCAAAGTTGATTTAATCAAATTATTAACTGATTAACTTTCATGTTTTTATCCAACAATTTGAGACTCTCATATATGATTTAAGATGATTAAATTTGATGATGATGAATAGTCTTATTTGGATTTCACCTTCAACTTACATTGAATTTACATGTTAACCAGTTTTTCTTGACCAAAAGTATCCCAACAATTTAATCCAATTTAATTATTATCCAAATTATAATCTAGGTCATTTTCACTAATCAAATGATAATGAAATTAATTTCTTCTTAAAGGATGATCTTCATTGTTTACAATTAATTCAATAATTAGCCAACAATCAAGAAAGTTAACTCATCATAATAATAATCATGATGATTTAGAAACAGAATAACAATTAAGACTTTTACTTTCAATCTGATTTTAATACAATGAATACAAATCAATGGTTGATGATGATGATTTTTAACATACACAAACTAAATTAAATGTTAATCAAATTGCCCTGAAGGTTGGGAGTGTTAATCAACATACAAGATTATGCTAATTGTAACAATTAAATTAACCTTGACTGTTGAACTTACATATTGATTTTGTTTTAATGTATCATTTGTTATTAATCATTTAGTTTCATCAACAATTAAAACCAAACAATTAGAAATGAAACTTTTTCTTTACCAATTCTCATCATTAAGATTGTAATGATTAACCAAAATGAACAAAAAAAATTGAAACAACTTTCAACATCAAGATCAACAATCAACAATTAACAATAATCAACATCTTAACCATAGTTAACCAACTGATTTAATGTACCGCAATTATGATTATCATTTGCTGATTAACCCGATTCGTGAAAACTGTTTAATAGTTGATAGTTGTGAGTTAGAAATTAAATTTAATTGCTAGAGAATGAAATTGAGAACATCAATTTTGATTAATAACCATGATTATGATTTAATTTAAATTGGACACTAATCATATGTTTGTCCATCTTTAACTAATCCTGTTGACACCTATTTCTTAATCTTGACAATTACAATTGTTATTTCATTAATTGTGATTATCAAGTTTCTTCCTTCCGTGATTAACTCATTCCATTAACAATTTGATATTAATTTTTTCAAAGTTCCGGATTGTAATTAACTAGCCTTGCCCTTTAATCACATTTAATTGTTGTAGTTGTTTTAATTCATTCACACACTTCACAAACCAACTATTAAATGAATTTTGTTTTTACTTTTACAAACAAATTGAAACGTTTATATTGTTTTAATTGTGTTACTCTTACCGTTAATTGTTTGAAAGTGAAACACTGGACAATCAAAAGTTTGGACACACACGAAATTTAATAGTAGTGAATGATTAACTAACCAGTAACCACAATGATTAACGCAAATGAAGCTAAAATTAATAAACAATTTACAGATTGTGATTTTAGTCTTGATATTGAACAATTTAATCATTTTACAATTTTAATTTCGTTCTGTATTATCTTAATCCAGTTTAAATCATTTCCCTTTTTATCACATTCTCACTCTGCTCTGATTTTTGTGATTAAAGTTAATTTGATGATTTATCTTTGTGATCAACCAACTATTCCTGTTGATTGTTGTCAAGGTTTTTGACATTAATCAAAGAAATCGTATTTAAATTGTAATGAAAACGCTACAAATCAGGTGATGATTAAGTTAATCACTTTTACAAAATCTTTTTAGTTTGTTGAATATTTGCTCAACACCAACAACAATTAACTGTTAATATTTAAACACTAGTGCAACAATCTTGATTGTGATGCCTTGATTGTCGTATAAATTGAACGATTAAAAACTTTTTTCCTCTAAATAATCAGCAATTAACGATCGTTAATTATAATTCATTAGCAAATTAACAAAAATATTTCACCTCTTTCATTTAATTTGATGATTAAAATTCAAACCCACACTCAAATTACAATTTAAATACCTAGTTGATTGATTCTAAATCAATTCTAATTATCAGTTAATTCAGTAATTTACCAATAACACAATTCACTGACAAGTTACAATTTAGCTTAATTTTAATCTTACCAATTAAATTAACTACTTTTTTTTTATCACCAATGAATATTGAATGGGTTTTTTTCTGGTCTCATTCAATTAATATGGCCACAAAGTTAATTGTTATGATTACAATTAAATTGACAGGTTAATTAAACATTATCTGCACTTATAATCTTGCTCATACTTATACATAATCAATATACACATTTCTTAATTACTATTACACTAATTATGATCATAATTGTTAACCAAGTCTAATCAGAGATATAAAAAATATTTTTCCTGTTAATAATCATGATAATTACTGTTGGATGAAAGTGTAATTTAACAAATAACAATCAACAATCAAAATCATCACCAGTAAAAAAAGTTAATCACAATAATTGTTGTTGAATTAACAACCTGATTAAACTAACCAAGTTATAAGATGCTCATTTAAGGTCAACATTTCATTTAATCATCAATTGTAATCATCTGAACAAATCTAGTTTGTTAATCACAATAAACGATATTTAATCATCTAACCTTGATTAACTACTAACTGTTATCAATAAATTTAAACTGGAACAATTTAACACAACAATTTAAACTTTACCGTTTTAATGTTACTGGTGTCACTTTGATTGTTGTTGTTGAAATTAACTTAATTGTGACAATCATAAATGGTCAATTTAATTTTGATTACCATTGTATTAATTAAGTTTATCAATTTACTTTGACAATTTGTTATTTTGTTGATAGTTGATTGATTGATTAGTCTAATTGTTGTGATTGAAAGTAAATCATTATTTATTATTATTCATAATTTAAACTTATTATTAAATTTAATGATACAGAAAACAATTAATTATATTGATTTAATTGTATTAATTCAATGAAAGGCTAATATAATTGTAACAACAATCAATTAATTGAATACAAAACTGAATTAAACTTTTAAGGAAATGGAAATTGATTTAATTGTTGCTCGTTTTAATAGCGGGAAAGTTTTATATCACTAATTAATTGAATTTGATTTAAGAGAAACAAATTGATTAAACTCAATCAGGAAGATTAGTTTAATTTAATTGGAAATTAAAAAAGTTATTAAATAATAAAAGATGAAATTAATTTTATAATAATAAAATATCACAATTAAATCAAAATTAATCATTGAAAGATATTGAGTAAATGCTTAATTATCAATTGATTTTGATAAAGCAATAATTAAGATCTCATGAAAAGAGGAGTAATTAAAGTTACCAAATTAGTAAATTGTGAGCAATTAATAAGCTAAAGCTGTTGATAATTACAATAATTAAGAAGATCAGAAAGTATAACAGTTAATTTTTTCCAAAAGTAATCATCACAATCAAAGTGAAAGTGTTTCCATCACCATCGCCTCGAAGGGTTGATTATAACAATTAACAATTACGAAAATGAAATGACAATTTAAATTTTCTACACTCAGAATAAGATTAATCAAGAAAATAACCATTTAAATTAATAATTTCATCTTAATGATGAATCCAATTTATATTTAAATCTGTCCCAAGAATTAGATAGAGAAACTTAATCGTCAACAATTAAGACCCTTTTTCTTGGCTATTTAACTCCTACCGTTTGACCTTAATTTAGTTTCACTTGATTTAATAAAGTTATCCCATACTCACGAACAATCAATTTCAACTGATTTAACAATTTGAATCATTTTACTTGTTATATTATTAACAATTAACTATTCAATTTGGTTATATTATTAGTTAGGAAAATTTTTTGCTTCTCGATAATCATATTTAAGTATTAATAGTAATAAGCATACAAAAGGATCAGGTTTAAATTGTGATCATCAGGAAGGCGATTATTTTAATCACAATCAACGTTGAGTGAAAGAAGCAAGAAAAAAACTTGAATGATTTAATAATCATCTTAATTGAATTAATCATTGATGATGAAATTCATTCACTTGAATTGATCATCATCATCATCATCATAATGATAATAATAATAGTTAACAACAATTAACTTTCACCAATAAATCATCAACAATCAATTGGTAATCAATAAATGATTAGGTTAACCACCAGGTAGTAGTTATATTAAATCACAATTAATTGTAACACGATTAACTTTTGATTGTTGTTGTTTATTTCGAGCAGAATAATTTAATTGTGTTCATCATTATCATTGATCAAATAACCAGTTGCGTAGGAACTTTAATTGTAATCATTGCAACAATTATAATCAATATTTTAATTTTTCATTCTCATTTTGAGATTGTTGGTAAACAAAATTAGATTACAAATTAACAATTAAAGTTAATCTCATCATCCAGTCCATCTAAGGAAGTAGATTAACCTTTTAATTATTATTTGTTACAAATCAAATTTAATCCACTTGTGATAATAATTAAATTGTAATAATAAATAACAACTAACAGTTAACTAAATTTACAAATATATAATAATAATTGTCGATTGAGATATTGAAACAAACTATCAATTAGATTTACAGATGAAAACGTTAATTACAATCAGTTTGATTAAAATATTGACAGTAAAAGTTGATTGTGGTTATTTGTACAAGGACAAATTAACTAATTTCTAGTTGATTATCAAACTCTCCGTTATTCAACAATCATAATCATCTTCATCCAGATCAGTACTTCCCGGTAATGATGATGATTAAGAATCGATGAGCGTGTTAAGCCAAACCACGCGTTTCAATTGTGAGCAATCAAATCTAATGAACATTTGAAACTATCTCTTCAGCTGAAAAGATGAAGAGAGGAAGAAAGAAAGAAAGAAAGAAAGAGATGACAAGAGAAAAAGTTTATCTTCTTCCTCTTTCTTTACTGTTTTTATCGTCATAAAGTTAAGAGTAATTTCCAAGTTTCAGGAAGAATGAATTTACCTGTAAAAAGAATAGAAGAAAAAAATTATTAAAAACAGTTTAAAAAGTAAGTGATAAATAGTGAAGATGATGGTTAAAGATGTAGACTTATAATTGGACCAAATAATGATGATGATGAGGATGATAATGATGATAAAGAAAAAAGGTAATTCCAAAGTTACTCAGTTACATGTTTTCCGGTATCGAGTTTCAAGTTGGCATTAATACAAGTTAAAATGTACTAACGATTTTGTCATTCTGTCAACGATTATATCGCCAAGCCTTTATACACATACATAATTGTGTTTATTTATCATCATGATGATCATTGTCATCTTCCTAATTGATCCGAATCATGATCATGATCAACAATCAACATGATCCATGTAATATGAATCCAAATCACGCAACGATTTCAAGTTTCATTGACGTTTCCATGTTGACAAACTTTTCCTTTCAATATTTACTCATTTTCAAATAATATCGTTACAATTAGTAAATTGTTGATGGTTATTCATTTATGAAAATGTTACATTTACAATTATTTTTACAAAAATCATCATCGCTAATACGTGAATGTATTTTAATTGTTACAACGTTCAACTTAACTTCCTCTTGATAATCAATTTGTACCAAATGATTGTAATTAGTTTTGTCACAATCAACAAATTATTTGAAGACATTTCGTTTCCTTGTTGATTTGATTCTTAGTAGATCTAAAAAAGATAGCAAATTATTACCATTGATCAACTTTTCAAGGGTAATAACAATTAAGAGAAATGATTACAAGAAATTAACTGTTTTGTTGAATTTTTTTTTCTTAAATTGTTATTGTAAGATGTCACTGTCCATCTATTATTATTATGAAGATTAACTAATTAACACAGTAACGATGTTAATTAACATTATCATTAACACAACATCATGATGATCATGATTGATTCAATTACCTTTACCATTCATTTGCCACAATTAGGTCAAGTTATCAAGCCTTTTGATTTAATAATGGGCGCGGGAAGAGTGAGAGAGAGGCCGTCAGGTCAAATTGTTGTTCTGTATGGAAATGATGATCATTATGAAGATGATCATCATCAACACCATCATCATAATTATAATCAACAGCATTTGCAACGGATGCCTGTTGGTTAGATATTGAAAAACATTGGCATAACTTTTACATTACAATTAATATTATTATTACAATCGTGCTGATATTTTCCTCTCAATATGATTAACAATTAACATATTAACGGTAATGTTTGTTAATTTTTTGATTTTTCTTCAACAAATTAAAAGAATGAGCTTGATTAACATTATCCTTGTTAACAATTTAACCTTATATCAAATTTGATTTAAGCGATTGTTTTAATCATTCTCCCTCTTCAATGCAATTAGTGGATTGATTCTGGTGGTTCATCTTCATCATCTTCATCTCTCTCTCTCTCTCTTTTCAAGGGTCATCATCATGAATTCGGGTTTGACCTAGAAAACAAAAGAATAAGAAAAAAATGATTAACTATCATGAAGAAAGTAAATTAATCTTAATTGTCAATAATTCACACAATTTGAATCATTGATTGTTGGTGAAAGTTTTCTTGTTTACAATCCAGTTTATTTACTATCCATAGTTAATCAACTTACGATTTGTAGTTAATCAATAAATGAGTGATTTAATTATTTGATATTTTAAATGTTGTTGTTCAGTTAATTGATAAATTTTGTTTAACCTTTAAGATGATAATCTTTTAATCTGGTAATCATTTGATTACACAGGTTAAAATTGATTTTTGATTGATAATTAGCTGTTAATTGTAAGACCATAAAGGAAGGTAAAAACTAAATCATGTCAGTTCACAATTTAATCAAGTAAAAATTGTATCAAAACAATTTTTAATCATGATAATTAATGAACTAATAAGCATTAAGTGTGACCAATCCTTTAAAAATTAATATTGAAAAAAAATAAACTTCAGAAAAAGTCAAAGCAATGAGTTGATTTTTTTTCACAAAAGTTGATAAAATTGAAAAGGTTAATTAGTTCATTTGTAATTGTAAATGATTTAAACGAGTCGTCAGGAATTAAGAAATGTTAATTGTGTGAAATTTGATGTTCTCAATTGCCTGGGGCTGTTTTACAATTAAATGGCCACTAAAAATGTAGTATTTATATGAGAAACTGGTCAATCAATGGTCAAGTTTGCTGATAGTAATCAAAGTGTAAACTTGTACATCATTACAATTATTATCATGATTGAGATGATAATCAAATTGTTTTCTGATGTTAATCAACTGATGACAATCATGAATGGAAAACATTGTTTTCCCAATAATTATCATCACGGGTGGACACACACACACACATACACATACACGTACGGAATTGTAAATATCATAATAATTAAAAGGTTAGAGAATCAAAATTATTGATTAAATTTTAAAAGCTTTAAATTCAACAATTAACTGTTATCTATTATCTATTGCGTTGATTGATTGTTAGAGAGTTGAAATTAATTTCTATCAATCAGGAAATGAATTAAATCAATAATAATAACTTTGATTGTCTGAGATTTAAACTCTAAAATTGTATCACAACGAGTTAAGGTCAGTTTGTTGTTATTTTTTTCCAACAACAACAACAACAACAAAAAAGTTCGAAAACTACTGACCACTAACATTATTAATTTAATTTTCGAAACTTTTTTTTTCTTCATTGATTCAATTCGAGGACGAGTTAATTATAATAACATGATAATAATAGTAACCTTGTCAATAATAATTTAACTTTAATTATTGATCTTGGTTTAACCATCTATTAATATGTATTAATCAGTAGGATCAGAACTTTTTTTCCGTTGTTGCTTCTTGATTGTTAATCATGCTGTGAATTAAATTTCATTAATATTATCATGTTAAAACATTTAATCAACTGACCATTAACTGTTAACGGTAAAAAAAATAATATCTTACATTTGATTAGTTGGATGTGAATAATTTTTTTCAGGTTACCTGTTATTTACAGTTACTCTGATTTACTTTTTTTTGATGAATTTTTTTTTTCATCTATTTGTTGGATTCCTGATGAAATTGATGATGTTGATGATGATGATGAGAATAATTATCTTCCTTTTGTATTATGATGATATTGAAGACGATGACCTCGACCATGATTGGTTATTAGTACTTGAAATGTTATCCTTTCGTTAGATTTTGATTAAATATTGATCGTTAATTGAAATCAATTGCGAGGTCACAATTTTCCTTAATCATTGTAACTTTGTTTCTTTGTATCATTTTTTTTGCTTGAATTTTCATCTCTTTCTCTCTCTCTCTCATTCATGAATATCATTGGTGTGGTCTCTCTCTCTCTCTATCATTCATCATGTTATTGATTAATGGTTACTGATTAATTTCATGTTTAGCTGTTAAATTTTGATTTGTCCAATTGAAAATTTACTCATTTATGATTATAAATGTTGATGATAATGATGATTATCAAGATAATAGTCAGAATGATTTTGATGAGCATGATGTTTTTGAGTAAATTGTTCACATATTCATGACAACGTATTAACTTGAAGCTGTAAATTAATAGTTTTCACGAAGTGCTGATGAAATAATTGAAAACTCAGGTCAAATTTTGTAACACAATCAAATGTTGATGAAACCTAAATTTTTTTCGCTCTCCTGTTAAAATAATGATGCTGATGAAGATAATTATGATTATCGACAATGTAATGAGATTGAGATAAATCTTAACGTTACCAATTGAATGTTGAGTTGATGACAATCAGTTTTAGATAATTGTTGACTTTTAAATTATCTTTTCTTTTGAAACTTTGTTGATGATCCTGCGAGATAAATTATCCCATAACTGGACAAATAGTAACATGATGATGACGATGATGATGATGAAGATAATAATGAGAAGGCGTTTCTCAATACTGGCAGCAAATAACTTATCAATTGATGCTATTATTAACTGTATATAATCATGTCCAAGTAAATAAGTTATTATTATTTGGCTACTTACTACCAGCAGCAACATTTGCAAAAATACAAATCATGATGAAAATATTGATAGTGTTAGCATATTAATCATGGTAATAATAATCCCCAATAATCATTATGATGATGATGATGATGATGATGATGACAACTGTAATGAAAGAGAGTAAAATTAAAGTAAGAAAAGGTTCCAATCTTATATAAAGCATGTTGTGTATGTGTGTAATTCAATTTTGAACGATTCAGTGAGAACTGAATCTAATCAATAACAATGATAATCAGATAAGAAACTATTTGTATAACAATTTGATTCTGATTTAATTTACTGATTACTCTTCATTTCGTGTGAGTAATTGTATTAATTGTGTAATAGTAATGATAGAATGTTAAAAAAGGATTGACTAACCTTTTAAGATTACCTGTCAATCGGTCGTCTCTCTCTCTCTCTCTCCCTTTTCTCTCTCATAATTATATCAGTCTAACCAATCGGACAGTAAAGATAATCAATAATTATTCTCGATTGATAATCATTTTGCAGACTGACCCAAATTCAGATGATTCTGGTTGATACAAATCGATGATAAATATATTTGATATCTAAGAAAAATCAAAACAATTGTCAAAATTATTGTTACCTTTTTTTTATCAAAATATATACTTCAACCTTCAAGGTTCAATTGTTTATTTTTACCTTTTATCTTTATCATCATCATCCTCATCATCTCTACTCTTCTTTGAGTAATAATCATCCTCATCTTTTTCACTTCATCTGCCTATTCTGGTTATAGTAGCATCTTGTGATAAGTATCATTCAGTATAATACATTAACCACTGCTGTGTATTTTTAAAAGGTATCAAAAAATAACCTCTACCCTCAGCGGGTAATGTTTGGTGAAAAATTATTTTCACAGTTGAGGTCAATTGCAGGGGAAAAGGTAGTAATCAATGACACCAAAAGTTGTACCACCAGTGCCAATGTTTGGTGATTGTGTGTATGTGTGTTTGTGTGTTGATTAGTTTCTGAATCAACCATGATGAGTTTGATACGTGTTTAAATATAAAACCAATTGATTGGATAGAAAATGAGATTTTCTGAAAAAAAAAGAGTAACGATAATAAATAACAAATTAGATTCTTGTATTACTATTATGATTGGAATATTGAATTTCTTTTCATTATGAAAATGAACTTTTTTTCTCATGATTCTTTTTTCACAATTGAGAAAATTGCAATTTTTTCTATCAATTATTACCTTTTAATTTAACTTCTATTACTGTCCATCGGTAAGTGTAGATGTATATGAGTGTTTAGGTCAGTTAAGGTCACCTAATACAACTAAAACTTTTCTATTGAAAAGATAATGAGAATGATTCTCATGACTTGTTTTCGATTTCAATTTTCCAATTCTTCGTCACTTTGTACCTTCGGTTCCCAATGATAACCATAGCAAATTAATTAGTTTCGAACTTTTTTTTTGTTCTTTCATTAGTTCTCTCCATCATTTACCGTTATTTTCGCTCTGTTTTGACCATAACAATTATAAACCATAACCAAAATCAACCAGAAAAATCCAAACAATTAAAATAATTTGGTAAACAACAGTTTCCCCTTATTCATGAGATACAATTGTCCTAGAAAATTTTGAATGGAAAGAGAATGAATTAATTAATTGTAATCATCATCAGGTAAATGATGATGAAAGGAAATTAAGTAATTGTTAGTAATAAATGTTATTATTACAATGGGAAAGAAAGTGAAACGTGGGATTGGAAAAATAACATTTCTCTCTGACCTTTACTGGTCAGTTTGTATGTAAACAATTTGATTTGTTGTTCACTAATGATAATGGTGATGATGTGATGTGTTTCCAAGCAAATGATTAGTTAATTAAATGAAGATGATGGTCATCGTTTTGGCGATGATGGGATAACGCGATTGATTGTATATGATAACAAGGGAACCAAGAGCATCTCATTTACCTGGAGAAAACAAAAGAAAAGATGAGAAAAATAAGATTAATGGTCATTAAGATGATTAGTTAATTTTGAGAAAAAAGTTTTTTTTTCTACAAATTAAATCTAATTTGTTACATTGTTCATTCTCAATGTTTTCGTGTGGTTTTACCTTGATTCTTGAAAAGCTTAATCATAATTAGTGATCTAATTGTAAGTTAATCATCCTGAGCTTCTGTTTGTCAACTGGGTCGCGGAAGAGATAAATTCACTTTCGCTTTTCAAGATGACATGAACATGATAATCAGCGAAAACTTGAGCTTGACCAGAATATAAAAAGTAAAAGGTTAAGTGATGATTAAGAATAAAAAAATTGTTGATAATCCTTTTTACTTGATTAAACTGGTAAATCTCTTGTTTCCTTAAGTCTTTTAAGTGAGTTACCTTTTTCATTTGATTTCTCATAAAAAAATGTTCGTTTTATCAAATTCATATTTGATTTAAAGATTAATTATTACTGATGCTTAGATGATCTTCTCTCTCTCTCTCTCTCTCTCTCTCTCTCTTGGTGGATTATCAGGATTAGTCAGTTGAAAGAGAAAAGAACCAAATTATCGGCCAATCGAAATTGACAGTTGAGATAATACACTTGACACTTGTAATCATCGTGACCGAATTAAGATGAGAAAATGTGATTAAATCGACTGATTTGATTTGATTAGTCACTAGAAATGATGTTATTAATAAGTCAATGGCTTTTGTTTAGTATAAGTAATAGCTTGAAAGAGAGAGAATGATCCAGATTCTTAATTGAATCAACTGACCATTAGTTGATTTGATTGTTGACCAGCACATTTTAAATGACATTATGTTTACATATTCTTCTGGATTCCATGTGATAGGTTTTCGAAGTCAATTATCATCAGAAAATCTAGATTATCATGCGAAGAAATGAAAAAAAAAATTAATGAATTTTAACGGTAAATTAAAAGAAATGGCGAAAGGAAATAAGAAGGAAAATCAATCAAGTTTAGAAACATCTAATTACATTCTAATTAATCAACTAATGAGAGTAATAAGTGTTTGTAATGTAATACTGATAGTGAACTGATTAATTGTTGAAATTGAAATATTAATTAAGGAAAAGGGAGGATTGAGATTTGTTTATAAACAAAAGAAACAATTTATCAATAATTAAAATTGTTTCTTTTCACAAGATTGGTTTTACCGCCAAAATCGTGGTTAAGTGAGAAAGACTGATCAAGATGAAGATGAAGATGAAGATGAAGATAAAGAGAGAAAGAGAGAGAGAGAGAAGAAGATGAAGAAAAAGGTAAACATTTAGAAATCAATGAATCTTTTTCTCTTCTTCTTCTTCTTCATCTTGTTGGGTTAATCTTTTGAGAAAAATGGTGATGATGATAATCGTTAAATCGTAATCAAATAAAATAATCTTTGTTGATGATGATTGTTGATGTTGTCTAATCAAATGAATTATTTCCGAGTTTAATCAACCAGCAATCAGGAAGAATGACCAATAACATACAATAAGAATACACGTTAATGATAATAATAAATAATATCAAGGGCGGAACACAATAAGATGATGTTAAATTAGAGAGAGAGAGTGAGAGAGAAAGTGAAAGAGTGAGTCAAGATTAAGATTAAGATTAAAATGGGAAGAGCTTAAAAGTTGATTATGATCGGGAATCCATCACAATGAAAGTGAAAAATCAAATCAAATGTTAAGAGAATAGAAAAAAAAAATTCTTTCTATTTGTCTTCATTGAAAATAGATTAATTTTAGTGTGAGTAGATTAATTGATTACAATCTCTTCTTGTCTCTTACCCAATTTATTAACTGGTTCATTAAATTGATTTATTGATATAATTAGAATTGAATTAGTCATGATGATGATGATGATGATGATGAACACACACAATGATGATAAAAGAATAGTTTAAATAAAAAGAGAAAATGAAAAATAAGAATAAGAATAAAAATGGCCGACCATCTAATGGAAAGAGTAAAAGTCACGATAAGAAGAAGAAAAGAGAAGGAGAGAGAGAAGAAGATAATCAAAATCAATCGATTAATTGTTAATTTTAATCTTGGATTTCAAACAATTAACTGTGAATAAAAGTAAAACAATCAACAATCAAGAGACAGAATTTAATTGTTACCCCAAAGGCCAAAGAGTAACAATTGACTTTGGAAAAGAAAAGGAGGGAAAATAATTAATCTTTTATTCACCACTGGCGCTCTAGTCGATTTTTGATTCTTGTTCAAGTGTTGATTGAATTTCGGTTGATTAAAATTGGATTAACTTTGGATTAATAATTTGTTTCTTCTTCCTCTTGGTCATTTTATCCATTCATTAGGGTCAAAGGATTAGGGAGAAAGTAGTTGTTGACCCGGTTGTCCATGCATTTGATTTGGACCAAGGAATCAATGCCAGATTAAGATACAACATTATTTTGGGTAAGTAACAATTTCGGTGATTTTTTTTCCTAATTTACTAATCATGATGTTGTCCTTTTTTTATGTTTTACCATTTAATTTAATTGTTATAAGGTAAATTCGATTAATTTTATTGATTATACATGATGTACATTAAGTATTTGCTTAGAATATTAATATCGTTCAACTCTTTTAACCCTTTTTCTTTACCTTCTTCTGATTATATGGATTAGATATTCAACGATTCCACCATCTTGATAATTTTTTTGTTCTTTTTCTCTTTTGTTCTATTCTTTTTTCCTCAAATTCTTTTTTTTTCTAAATTTTATATATTTAAATGTAATACAACATATTATTAATTGTCTATCTTTGCTTATTATTTTATCTCTATCAGGTAATGAAGGTGGTTTCTTTGAGATGCACGACCAAACTGGTGAATTGTTCCTGGTCCGAGAAATTGATTTGGAATCACTACCTAATTCAGTTCTTAGTCTACAAATTCAGGTAAGATTAAAGGGTTATTTGTTTTTTCTCTATTCAATCGTTAATATTAATGGTGGACAATGAGAGAAATGTCATTGCAATTATCATTGAAAAGTCGCCGTTTTATCATAACCATGAATCTCAATTTAAGTATTCAAAGGATAAGGATAATCATCACGAGTCAATTCAACTGCTATTCAAATTATTGTGAGATTGATTACTGTTGATTAGTTTTTTTTTGTGTTCCGATAATTAAACTGCACTTGATAAGAAAAGAAAAACCATCCATTATGATGATCAAAGGATTAAAGAATTTCTGGTTAATCGATTACTTCGTGATGTGCTGATGGTCAAAATTCATTCTTGTTAACGGGTTAACGTCATCATATCTTCAGTTCATTTATATATTTTTCTATCTGGAATATTTCTGCGAATATGCAAATTTCTTAATCGTCATCATCACATTAAGTTGGTCAAAAATTAATCAACATAATACAATTGAAGCATGATTAAGTTGCCGTCAAAGATGTCAAAGCACTTTGATCGTCATCATAATGAGATGTTGATTCAATCATCATCATCAACCTTTCACCTTTCGCTACAATTTATTTTCATTTTTGTTAATTCTAAAATCCTCTCATGGTTAATTGATTGTGTCAAAAATAGGGACAAATTAGTCATGAAACTGTCAACAATCATTTGTAATTGCTCCTTATTTTTATCTGATAATCACAGATTAACGTGATTATTTTCACAATCACATTTTTAAAGTTTTGATGAACATTGATAATGTGATTCTTGAATAGCCAACACACAAATTAATTGATTAGCTTGTTGATAATTAACCATTATTAGTCCACCTATTCACCAATTAACAGAACTAGTTTATTCAGTAGTTAATTAAACTAATCAACCAACTAACAAGACTAATCAATTGAAATCTCTCCTTCCTTCCTTCTCTCTCTCACTTAATTATTTTCATCAAATTGTTCGAAAAAGATTAATGTTAATGAAAAATGTTCAATTTTGTAAAGGTATTTAATTCAATCCCCAAATCGATAAAAGCTTAACTAATTGTCACAGATACCTGAGCTTATCGAAGTGTTTCAAACAACCGAAATTGGAGTAAAAAGATGAGAGTGTTTCTTTTTGATTGGACTGGATTAATGGAATCAAAACATTTCGTTAATCCGATGATGCGGAAAACAAAACACATCCTCATCCATTCACATCATCAACATAATCAACCAAGCTCTTTACCTGAAGCCATTTTTTACCCAATGGAGGAAAAGATGAGAAGTTGAAAGGACACAATGATTGAATTGGATAGTCACCTAAGGGTAAATTGTAATTTGACGAACAAAATGGATTAAGGAAGCAATTTGACCGCAAGATTAATAATCTATTTGACCGGAAGGTGATCCCTGTAATTGGCTACCAAATTAATCATCAATCGCTGTTGAACTATACTGAATATCCATGGAATTGACAGTTTCTTTCAAGACTTTTTCAAAATCATTCTCAAAATGTTAATAACATTGAATTCCAATTGCATGAGTGAATCAATACCAGGAATTTGGATCTCACAAGATATCATCTTTTTTAAAATTCTCATTCAAATTGTCCATTTCATCATGAAACTGATTCCAAACATGATCATGTTATAATACTTACTCAATGAGATGATAAAAAACTGATGATGAGAAAACCGTTTTTGGTAACCTGAAACCAGATTAACTGTTATCTCCTTACTATTACTACAACATTTATCATCGATACAAGAAAAAAATCACCAAATACCCTAAAGGTCATGGTTTAAAGGCAAAAGAAAAATATATTTACAAACAAAACTTTCACTTTGTTTTGGTGAATCAACAAATTTTAATGATTATGAAAATGATTTATTATAATCGCCATGATCTGTTGTGTCCACTTCGTGTATTAGTAATGGCTGATTGTTTACCTGGCGAAAATGGTGATGACCAGTTACCGTCACTCTATTGGTTCCAGGAAATTTGCCGATGAACAGTTCATTCAACTTGGCGATATTATTACTTATCGATGGATAGTGTTTGTTAATAATAATCAAGGAGGAATACGGTGATTGGATTCTCAACCGATACAATTATTTACCGTTAATTTAAATTGCTACTTTAACCTCAACTTAACTTGGGTTAAGCAATAATAATAATAATATACATGTAACATCATGTTAAGAATTGAATGGAAAGGAAAAGTTTATTACCTGAAAAGACAATAATAATCAGTCTTGGTGATCGATTTAATTGTTTGATTGGTCGATCTAAATACTGGACAATTAATGATAATACGAAATATTTTGATTACTCTTTTGATTCAGAGTAAGAAGCTGATGTTAACATGAACACAATGGGAATCAAGAATCAAGAATAATCAACTCACTCTCTCTCTATTCTCAATTTAATGATCTACTTTCATTATTATTATTTCATCATTTTCTTTTGTATTATTTGGATCTGTCTTTTATCTTCATCATCTTCACTTACGGACAATCAAGACACTTTTCATCATTTTGTTTTCCCAATTCAATCCTTGTAATGTTGTTTATTGTTATATCTTAACAACATTTACTGTTATTATGGATCCAGAAAAAAAAAGAGATACAAGTTTCATATCTTTTCCTACGCTAAAAGTTTTTACACTTACAAACTTTTTATTATTCTCATCATCATCTATTTAAATTGTCTCGAAATGTCCAAATAATTACATTTAATAAGACAAGATTTGACTTGTTCAATCAACGAAATTGATATTCAACCAAACAATAAATTATAATAATATAATTTGCGAGATTAGGATTAATTGGTGAAAGTGAAGGTCACCATTAGTTAACCACGACCCACGTAACCATTAACAATCAAAAAGATTATCATGTTACACTGTTATGATAGTTATGGATTATCATTAACTATTCATGAAAACGAGATACCTTGAAATGTGAGAAAATCATTAATATCAACAATTTAAATCACCTCAAAATTGGACTGAATTATTTTCCGTAAATAATATCAAAACGATGGACACACACACACACACACATACAATTAATTCTGATAGTGTTATATGATTCGTGTTGTATTAAATGTAGTGGCTTTTCTGACTGTTAATATCATCATTAATTTGATCAACAATCAAATTTAAATCATAAAAGGAGAATACCCAACAACGCCTACTCTTAATTGTGAACCATAATTTAGCTTTTCACACTCAATCGGACAATCACGACTTAATCATATTCACTCACACAAAACGCAAAATGAATATATGTACTGATGTATATTCATTAATGAAGATGATTATTTTGATAATGATCTGGTTGATTATCATTATTAACAAATGATAATTTAATAATATTTAAGGTGTTTAATAACAATAACAACTAAACATGGTTGTTAAACTTTACATGAAAACTGTTAACAACAATTAATTGTAATAACTCATATTGTCCACCATAACCTTTTAAACATCATCACCATTATTATTATTATTATTTAATTGTTTTCAATATTATGTATACTGGTTAATTGTCTTTAATTGTTGTAACTAATTGTTTTCTCTTTTTTTTTCTTGTCTATCTTTCTTTACAGGCCACTCAGGTTGATAATCCGTTAAGACAAGCACTTTCTCGAGTGGATGTTTTCGTAAAAGATATTAACGATAATAGTCCAGAATTCGAGTATGATATGTACAATATTACCGTTATGGAAAACCTTCCACCAGGATTTACCGTTCTTCAGGTTTATGCTGTCGATGCAGATAAAGGTGAAAACGCTGAATTCAAGTATGTCCTTCACGATGAATCGGATGGTTTTCAAATTGATTCCACCACTGGTTGGATTAGCGTTAAAGATCCCGCTAAACTTGACCGAGAGACACAATCAAAGATACAAATGAAAGTTACCGCCATTGAGAGGAAACCCAACGTTAATCCGGACGCCGTTAAACAAGGGCCACAAACAACCGTTGAGATCAATCTATTAGATGCCAATGATAATAATCCACAATTTTTCCCGTCCAATATTTACCATTTTAATGTACTTGAAACGGCTCCAACTCGAACCATTTTAGGCTCTATTTTTGCCCATGATAATGATTTAGCGGAAAATGGTCAAGTTATTTATTATAAACAGAATGATTCGCTTTCACAAAGAGTACCATTCGATGTTTATCCTGGAAATGGTTCAATTTATGTTCTAGACTCTTTCTTGGCTTTACCAAAGAAACAGGAAAGTTACACCTTTTTCGTTATTGCCTCGGATTCGGCTAAAATTGCCTTCGAACGTCGTACCTCGGTTGCCGTTATTCGTATTAATGTTACCGATATTAACAACTCGGTACCTGAATTTATTGGTGCTCCTTATGAAGCGTATGTTGGTGAAAGTTTACCCGAAGGTGCTTATGTTACCCAAGTGTTGGCTCGTGATGCTGATTCAATCAACGATGTTCTAGAATATTCAATAATCGCTGGTAATGATGATAAATTGTTTTTCATTGATTCTCGAAATGGTAAAATTTTGACTTCCGCTGTTTTGGATTATGAGAAGAAACAAAGTTACGATTTACTTATCCAAGTTTCGGATGGTATCAATACTGCTGTTGCACCAATTTTGGTCCATGTGGTTGACATAAACGATCAATCGCCCATTTTTGCTCACAATTTTTACAATTTCTCGGTCATTGAAGAGCTTGGTGGCAATGATACAGTTGGCACCGTTCTTGCCCTGGATCGGGATTCAGGTAAAAACGGTCAAATAAGGTACAATTTGGTGGGTGATCAAGCTAATAATGCTTTTATCATTGATCCATTTAATGGAGCCATAAGGACAAGACGTCGTTTAGATCGTGAAACTGAATCAACAGTGGACTTTATTGTGATCGCTTTCGATGGTGGTATTCCCCAATTAAGTGGTACTACCAATGTACAAGTTAAAATTGAAGATATTAACGATAATCCGCCCTTCTTTGATAGAGAAATGTATGAAGTTGAAGTTCCAGAAGAGGTCGACCCTCCTTATGAGGTCGCACGTATAACAGCATCAGATAAAGATTATGGTGACAATGCTGTGATTAAATATCTAATTCTTGCCGGAAATGAGGATAAATCATTTGCAATCAATCCTGATACCGGTTTAATATCAACAACCGAGAAACTTAACTACGAACGGAAAACTGAGCACATTCTTCATGTTGCCGCTCGAAACCTTCGTCCTTTCCAAGGTCCACAAGCAGCTTCCATCGTTAATCCAGCAGTTCAAGTGACAATCCGAGTAAAAGATATAAATGATGAACTTGTTGTATTTGATCAACAATCGTATCATTTTAAAATAATTGAAAACATGGCCCCAAATCAGATTATTGGTCAACTTAATGCCACTAATCCAAGACGAGTTGACTCCGAACAGGATATTATTTATTGGTTAGCAGAGGACAAAACGAAAAAGCCCAAATTCAAGATAATTCCTAAAACTGGTGAAATTTTCTTGGTTGAAACGGTTGATCGTGATCCACCCGCTTCTGAACATTCATTTAAATTACGAGCTTACGCTCGGGACTCCCTTTCTATCAATACTTTTAACACAAGTGTACCGGTTATAATTGACGTTCTTGATGTAAACGATAACGCACCAACCTTTGATGAGGAAAGATACATGTTAGAGTTACCTGAAAGTTTACCACCGGGAACAATTTTCCCCTCATTCTTTAAGGCTCGAGACAGTGACGCCGGTTTGAATGGTAAAATTGTAAGCTACCATTTAAATGGTAGTGACTCTGAATTGGAAATGTTCAAAATTGATAATAAAACGGGAACCATTTCCCTTGGAGGTTCATTGGATTACGAAACTCAGGCAACTCATGAGTTTGTCGTTATCGCTTTGGACGGAGGTGATCCACCAAACATTGGCTCTGCTACGGTCGTAATTGGAGTGACCAATATAAATGAACATTCACCTAAATTTGTTGGTCTTCCTTATGAATTTTGGGCTCAAGAAAATGCTCAAGAAGGAACTTCCGTTGGTCAAGTTAAAGCGACAGATGAAGATGGAAACAATATTATTTATTCAATAACCGATGGAGATACCGATTATTTTACCATTGAAGAGAAAACTGGACGAATTTTTGTTCGCAAAGGTTTAGCTTCTCGAACTTCATATACTTTTGTAGCTCGAGCAACTGACGATGGTCTACCAACTAATTACTCTCTCGGTGTTCAGGTCAAAGTTTTGGTTAAAGAGGCAAATGATTTTCCACCCGTGTTTACATCAAACTCTTATCGTGGTCGAGTAATTGAGAAACAAGAATCCAATAAGGTTATTATTAAAGTTGAAGCTTTGGATAAAGATTTACAAAACAATACGATAAGCTATTCAATTGCTTCCGGTAATGAGCAAGGTATCTTCATTATTGACCGGATGACCGGTGAGATTAGAGTGATGCCTGGACTTGGGTCAAAAATTGATTACGATAAACAGAAACAATTCACTTTACTTGTTCAAGCGACCGATTCCCACAAGACTCCACTTTTTGGCCTTACAATGGTTACAATTGATGTCGCTGATGTTAATGATCATCCACCAACCTTTACCAAAATGGCTTATTCAGCATCACTTCCGGAAAATCTTCCTTCTGGTCATTGTTTCATTAAAATTGAGGCAGTTTCCGGTGATGCGGTTGACAGTATTAAATATTCACTATCAGAGGCAAAAGATTCTGGTGCTTTTGGTATAAATGCTGTTTCTGGTGATATTTGTACTAAAAAAGTTTTAGATCGTGAAACTCAGGATAAATATGAATTTACGGTTGTCGCTTCTGATGGTAAATATGAATCATTTGTACCTGTTGTTGTTGAAATGATGGATGAAAATGATAATCCACCTCGATTTGAGACTGAATCATATCTTGTCTCGATTCCTTATGATGCTCCACCCGGTCGATCGGTTATACAAGTTTCCGCTAGTGACCCTGATCTAGCAAATAATGGTGATGTCACTTATTGGATTAAAAATACTCATGGTATGTTTGAGATTGACGCTAAAACGGGATTGGTCAGATTAGCTGCTCGATTACCTGGTGATCGGCAAAATTCAACCTTTGAGATGGAAGTGTTTGCCCAAGATCATGGTGTAACTCCCAACATTGGTAAGGCCATGTTGATAGTCCGTGCATCTAATACACAAAATCATCCACCCAAATTTGAACGATTCAGTTATTTAGTCGCTGTCGATGAAAATGTTTCCGGTATACCTTTACTTAAGGTAACCGCTGTTGACCCAGATCCAGGTAAAGCGGGTAAAGTTCATTACCGAATCGTTAAATCAACCAAGCCCGATATTTTCCGAATCGATCGTAACTCTGGCCGTGTACTTTTGGAGAAACCATTGGACTATGAAGAGACCAAATATCTTGAAATTATGGTCGAGGCTAAAGATGAAGCTCGAGAACCACAATTTACCACCGCTGTTATTCAAGTGGTGGTTAATGATGTTAACGATAATCCACCGCAAATACTTTCAATGCCTCGAATCCTCCGTGTTCCACAATCAACCTCACCCAATAACGAAGTGATCTATACGGTTCGATCAATTGATGCCGATTCTGAGAGAAATGGAAACAATTTGGTTACCTATGATATCTCACCACCTTCAGCTTTTTTCGCCATCAATCCAACAACAGGACAAATTTTCGCTACTCAACAATTGTTACCAATAACCGAAGTACTTAAAATTGTTGCCACCGATAGAGCGGCAACAGGTCCAATGTCAACATCTCGGGAATTACGAATTGATGTTTACAGAGATTCAATTGAAGAGCCTAATCCAGTTTTCACTTCAGTCCAATATTTTGTCCAATCAGATACCGTTTTAGAAGCCGGTGCTTCCGTTTTAACCCCACGGGCTACAATACCCAATGGATCACCTATTTGGTATAATATTACCTCTCAAGATTCAGGAAAATTCAAACGATTCGCAATCGATCATGATACAGGTCGAATCACAACAACAGCGAAAATTGATCCATCAGAACCAAACCTTAAACAATCAGTTTATCACTTTATTGTTACTGCTCATAATCGTAAGGAACCATTACATTATTCAGAAGCTGGTGTAGTGATCAAATTGTCTGATGCCAATTTCCGATGCCCTAAATTCCCGTTCACTCAATATTATGCTTCGATATCGGAAAATTCACAAGTTGATACAACAGTTTTACCCGATTTGTTGGTTGAAGATGTTGAAAAAATGTCGGGCTCTCGATTGGACTACCAAATAACGGAAGATGATTCAAATGATAATTTCTATGTTGATGTTCATCATGGTGGAGTTGGTGCTTCAGCTAATGTTTCACTTCGAGTGAAGAAACCACTTGATCGTGACTCTATGCCCAAATTTTTACAAGGAATTTATACTTTAACGGTAACAGCGGCCAATCATAGGTGTTCATCAAGTACTCGGATTAAGATCATGGTTGAAGATGTTAACGATAATAATCCAGTTTTCACTTCACCTGATTATGTTGTTGAACTTAAGGAAAATACACCAATCGGTCATGTGGTCACTACAGTTTCGGCAACGGATAAAGATGAAATTGATCGTAATAAGTTACGATATCATATTGTCGAGGGCAATGAAGATGAAGCTTTCGATATGGAAGAGGAAACCGGAGTTATTACCGTTAAAATTGTCCCCGATCGTGAACGAATCCCGTCTTATGTCCTTCGCATGGTTGCCGTGGATGATTCAAATAATACTGGTTGGGCCAATGTTCATGTCACCATATTAGATGAAAACGATTGGACTCCAACTTTCCTAAACGAGACTTTCCTCATGAATGTTACCGAAGGTCCAACTTCAATCGGTACCCGACTTCGACTTCCCGTCGTTGATTATGATGACGGAATTAATCGAGAAATGGAAGTTTATATTGTCGATGGTAACGCTGACGGCGAATTTAGATTGGACGTTGATGAGGGTGGACCTTTGTTGACAATTATTTCGGAACTTGATCGGGAAAAGTATAAAGTCGAAGGGTCAGCTCTTCATCTTGTTTCCATTGCGGCCAAAGATCGTGGTAATCCACCGAGAATCGGAACGACGAGGGTAAATTTTTTTTTATCTCTTTCCACTTAATTATCAGTCTATTGATTCCCTCCTTTTGTTATCAATCAGGTCGCTGTCGTAATCCAAGATATAAATGATACTCCACCCAAGTTTGAGAAAGATTCCTACTTCGAAGTGGCCTCAGAAAATATTCCCGTGGGTTCAGTTATCGCGACACTTAAAGCTACTGATCCAGATTCATCAACCAATACAGCTTTGGTTTATTCATTTGCCAAGAGTACTGGAAAGGGTAAGTTGTTTTCTTAATCAAATTTTCCGATTATCTTACAACTCAACAATCAATTGGTTCATTAAGAATCATTTTCACTGATTAACTTAGTTGTTTAAACAATTGGGACAATAAGAATGAGCTAAAAATAAATACACCAGCAAGACTAAAATTAACCCAGAAAAAAAGCAAAATCAACAACAAGAATCTAGTAGGATAACAATTGACATTGTCTCAAAATTTTGGACATTTTTATGAAACAATTGGTTAATCATTTGGAAACAAAGTAATTTTTTCATCAAGTAATCAATCAATGAAATATTTTCCAATCATAAAGACCAATGGTCATCATTTAGATTTGAAATGATTTCGGAAATAAAAATCGGTCAAACTTTCATCTGATATCATCTAATGGTCACTCTTAATGTTTTAAGCAATTTGATTACTAAATTTGATATTAAATCTTAATTTAGTAACTTTAATTGTCTCACAACAAACATGCTGCCATCTATGTATTAGTGTTATCATTTATTTAACGTAAATGATTAAGATTACGAATTTATTTTTTCTTGTTGAATATTAATTTTATCATGAACTATTCAACCTATCAATCGCAATAGTAAGTGAGCAATTAACAGGATCAAATGATTAGTTAGAAGGAAAAAAAAATCTTCCAAGTCAATGAGTTCTAAGTATTAAACTTTGTCAACTTTTCTTGTCTTGATGATTTACTTTAACTTGACAATATTTCAATTACAATCATCATCAGATGTTACCAAATAAACTTTAAATTAACTTAAACTTTCATCTTCTTTTTCTAGTTCCATTTGAAATTGACCCATTAACTGGAGTGGTCAATGTCTCTCGACCTCTGGATATATCTGAAAATGTTCAATATTCAATAACTACCGAAGTGTTTGATGGACTATGGAAAGGAATGGTTAGTTTTCATTATCCAATTAAACTACAATTAACGATTTAATAATCGTAAAAGAAAAAGTCTTATCAAAGTGGAAGAGTATTGAAATTATATTCACACTGTTGTCCAATAATCTTATCAAATGGTGTTGTTGTTTTTGATTCTGTTTACATCAGTAAATAATATCATTTATCATGGAAATGAAGGAATTTTATTATGCAACAACAACACAAACAACAACAAGGTCAACATTATTGAAAGATGATGAAAAAAAAAACAGCAACAAGCAGGAAAAAAAACTGTTCAGATTGATATAAATAATGTGACAATCACAATCATAAAGCACATAAGCTTATTCAGAGTAAAAATCCTTGAGGTCAGTCTAAGATACTTATGGTTATCAGTCTTGTTCATGAAGGACACTAGATAAGTAGCCATATAAAGAGGAGACTAACATCGCAAATCAATCATTTGTTTACTTATTTATTATTATATTTTTCAAGTATAATAAGTTACATTGGACCAAATGAGTAAACAACAATAACTTGACCAGTCGGAAGTATAATCAATTTTTATTATAATAATACCTTTCAAAGTGATTGACATAATTATGATGATATATTGGTCAGCAAGATTTTTGAATTGATTATCTAATTGAAATGAACGAAATGGAAGTGAGTAAGATTTATCCATTTTTACTAATTCGATTGTTTTTTTATTTTCCTATTGATTTCTTTAGACTAATTTGAAAATTTATGTTCGAGAAGCTGAAGAACGAGATCCAAGATTCGATCAGATCCATTATCGATTTGCTGTGCCCGAAAACATGGCCGGTATTATGGTCGGACGGGTTGAATTGAAGCCCCGAAAATTACGAATCAACGCTCTAATGAAATACACGATTGTTAACACCGAAATGCGAAGTTTATTCAATATAACTTCGGTAAGAGATTTAATTGTTTAATTGTTTCAACTTATTTTTTGAATTGTTCTTTTTTCTTAAATGTTAAGGAGGGAGAAATATTTACCAAACGTGGACTTGACCGGGAAAAGAAAGCCAAATATGTATTTACCGTTATGCTGGAAGAAAAAAGACCGACAACTAAAATAGTAAGAGTGTTAATTGTTTCGATTATCTTTTTGATTGTTGATACTAATTGTGATTTTTTCTTCCATTCTCTTGCTTAGACTGTCAGTGAAGTTATGGTTGATGTATTGGACGTTAACGATGAGATACCAACGTTTAGCCAAACATATAAAGGAACAATTAAGGAAAATTCACCTCCTGGAACCCAAGTAATTATTGGACCTCCAACAATTCAAGCAGTTGACCATGATTCTGGTAACAATTCAATTGTCCACTATTCATTGGCTGGAGAGGGTCAAGAGCTATTCACCATTTTAGATTCAGGATCAGTTTTGTTTACACCAAAAGAGGTTAATCAAATTCTTGACCGAGAAAGTAAAGCTAAATATGAATTAAAAGTAACCGCAATGGACAATGGTAATTTAAGTTCAACCACCCAACTGACCATTGAGATTGAAGATGAAAATGATAATCCACCTATTTTCCAACATGGGCCACTATTTGTACTACTTCCTGAGATTGCCAAACCAGGGTCAAAGGTTGTACAAGTTAAAGCTACTGACGCCGATGAGAAAGGTCCAAATTCACGAATCCAATATTATATTACTGCTGGAGGTAAAGGTGACATTCGTATTGACCGATTGACCGGTGAGATTTTCGTGGTTGGAACTCTTAAATCTGATTCGGTTTACTATTTAAATGTATCGGCTGTTGATGGAGCTGGTTTAGCATCTAAGACAAACATTAATGTAACTGTAGTTGATGTAAATGACCACAAGCCAACCTTTGACCAGACCTTTTATCAATTTGAAGTATTGGAAGGTAATTACACCAAAGAGAAACTCCGTCTCGGTGTTTTCCGTGCTCGAGATGAGGATACGGGAAGAAATGGAATCGTTGAATACACTATGTCCAATAACGTTGGAATTGGTAAGTTGACAGTTTGTTTTATTCAATTAAATTCCAAATCATAACTAAATTAACATTGAAAATTGAAAAACTTTTGGTTCTATCAAAAAAAATTGACAATTAACTCATCTCAAGTTTTTAATTGTGCATTGAACATTTGGATGAATGTTTATTATCACTTGAAAGTTAAATTAATCATTAGCTTAATAACTAAGTTGTATAACTGAATTAATAGTTTACTAGATATTGAAATGTCTCAAGTAATCAGTTCATTAATTGTGATGACTTAATCTACTGATGGTGATTATGATTGATCATTAATCATGATGATTATATAATCACAGTACAAAATTTTAAGTATTATTATATGTTGATGATTATTAATGATAATCAAGATTAATATTATTATGAATTAATGTTTAAGAAATTAGATTTGCCTTTATTGTTAATTGTTGATTCTGTTAGTTAATGTTGATTAGTTAATCATCAATAACTTGACAGTTGTTGGTGATACAAATAAACTAATCAATACAATGGTTGGTCATCGTAATCAATTTTTATTATTGGTCAGAATTTATAAGATTCATAAGTTTTATCGTTAATTTCATGTCAATTGCTAACAATTAAGGAAATGAACTGGTTAATTAATTTCTCATCTTAACATCATGTTGATGATTACAATCAAATATACAAATGAATTAAAATTAATGGTACAATTGATTATTACTTAATCATTAGTGATCAGTCAATCTAATTGTTATTCCCAATCAATCGTAGTCGTAATAATAATAATAATTTATTAATCACTCACCATTGCGATTATCTCATCAACATCTAATTGTGGTAATTATCATACAATCATTTGTTTTTATTTATATAACTTTTAATTGATAAATTGAATTTTGAATTTGCAACTTACATTTGACTTGATACAATCAATTAATTGTGACAATAACAACCTCAACCTATCAACACTTTAATCATTTATCTTGAACACGATAACCTGTCAATGTTGTTAACTAAATGTATTATTATCATCAAGTTAATGATTAAGACTTAATAACAATGATTAAGATTAACTTGACCATCATGTTGTCCAATATCCATCATTAACTGATCAAAATTTCACCTTGATCACTAATTAAAATATGTAATCAATATAAATCAGAATTAACCTAATAATCTAGAAACAAGGATAGACATTTCTAGGTGAATATCATCAATAATTAAAGGACAACAATCAAAACCATCGGCAGTAATTGTTGGTTAAATATGACAACAACAAAAAACTTGATTTCGTTTTTGTTGCAAGTCAGTTTAATATAATGATATTAAAATTAAATCAACTAGTTGCCTGACAATTTGCTGAATTGATTTACGATTTCAAAATTACCATAGTTACATGAAAATCTGAATCGTTGAACATTTTGATTGATTAAAGCTTAATCCTGATGATGATGATGACCCGGTAACCTTGATCTGAATCCTTTTTCTGATGTCCAAAAATAATGTTACCCTGTGACTTACTGGACACATGATAATATTATTCAAATTTTAATCATGACTGGACAAGGACTGATCATCTGTCTCGTATCATGATTATTATCATGCTAATTTGAATTATTATTACCATAAACTAGGAAGTAAATATTTTGCAATAATTTGTGTCAATATCAAAGTCCGACTATTATCAATTTCTGTTTCATTTTAACATCATTTTCAATGATAAATTGTTGATGAATACATTATTAGTATTAAGATAAAGTAAGTTACTAGGTTAATCTGTCAGATTATCAATTAGATTTTATCAGAATATAAAATTGATTCTAATTGCTAGACAATTTGAATAATCCTCATCCTGATCATCATCAACGTGCATGCAATGTTATCCACTAGATGAACATTTACAATTAATTGATTGTTAATAAGTAATCAGGTTGATTGTCTAAAGATTATCAACTTAATTTGTGTGTTGATTTAGTTTTTTAATTGATAAAAACAACACCAAAGGAAATTAGAAAAGATAATAAAAAGAATAACCTTTTTTCTTGTCTACTAGATTTTCAATGTTATTTTAACCCATAAAGAATATCAAGTTTACTGTTAATGATACGAAAAGAAGAAGATGAAGAAGAAAAAAGGAAAAGAAAATGATGAGAGAGAGAGAGAGAGAGAGAGAGAGAGATGATTTTTCCTAATATCATGATCACTTGTTTTTGATACGCTTGGTGTCAAATCAAAGCATGGAGATGATGAAGATGATAAGTTATCATTGTTGGAAGAGAAAAAAAAATTGTCACAAATTATGATTACTATTATTTTCAGGTTAGTTAAGTTTATTATATTTAAAAGATTTATTAGATTCTCGTTTATTTGCTGCTTTATTTATCTACTTATCAACATGATGATGATGATGATGATTGTGTTGATATTTTCACAGCTAAATCATCACCATCATCATCATCATCTTCCGCCTTAACATCATCTTTGTTCATGAAATGAAAAAAATATTAGAACTTTTTTTCCCTCGTCTTGTAACCAAGTGAATATATTATATAAGTAATTTACTTGTAACTTGTCATTGACAGTCTATGATAATTCAGGAACTGATGATAAATGTTTTCCAAACTGTTACGATTCAATAGTTAAATTAATATACTACAATCAACTATCATCATGTATCTTCACCATCTTCATGGATTTTGTTATCATTCATGATTCTTGTGGCCTCATTTTTCCGACTCAGGAAACTTGAATAACTATTTTAAACTTATCAATTGAATTTTGTTGCCACCGAAAAATGCTAATAATAAATACGAACTCTTGATTGTTACAATTAACTTTTACTATTTATAATCATTGACTGATTAACTTTCAATGATTATCTCTTTGAACCTGTATCAATTATTATTATTGATTAGCATCTTTAAGGATTATCTTGAAATGATAATCATGAATATCAATGGGAATAAATTGTTACAATCAAATTGTAACTAAATCACAATTTACATAACAATATATTGATGGTCAATGATCATATAATTTGTAAACAAAAATGACCAACACATTAAATTAATGACAATTACAATGAAAAGGCATTAATATTGTTTACTATTATTATAATATCCAGTATCTATTATTATTATTTGGTTATTTATGATGATTAAATCAAATAAGTAAATAATATATTAGTTAATTGTTGCAATTGATATTAAATATTGTAAATATTTATCGATTAGTTATAATATCTTTAAGATTGATCAATAAGCTAAACAAATATTAATTGTGATGATATATCATGTTGATTATTTACCGATTGAATATTGTAAATTCAATTCAATGAGTCTTTCAACACTTTGAGACTCTCAACCAGATCAAAGTTAATTAACTAATTGGACTGTTTATTTACTAATTACACCTTAATGTCAATTTGTTTTTTCTTCTTCTTCACAATTAAAACTAATTGGAGTTAATGTTTTCTGTTTTTTTTTCTTCATATAAATTAACAGTTAGTTAATTGACTCTGTTGATTATTTACCAATGAAATTTGTGTATATAGTAAAGGTGATTGATCCTTTGGTCATATTGAGAGGCATCTTCATCTTGATCACTTTTTACTTGTTATTTTAACTCATCATCATCATCATTTTGATCATCATCATGTTACTCCCCCTGTTCACACACAGACACAAGAAACATAAAAAATGCAATCTCTTTTATTTCATCATCATCATCATCATCATCTGAAGATGTTGTAATTGATGATAATAATGTTTAACATTGTTTTGCTTTCGTTGAGCATTTGTTTCCATTATCATCATGATGATGATCATCTTCAGCTTATCGATTGTTGTATTGGATGAAAATATATCATATATAAGATGAAGATGAAACAAGGCAACCAGTAAAATGATGATGATGATCATTATCAGTTACACCATCATTATCATCACCATAATAATAAATAGTAGCCTAAACAATCAAAGTAAAAAAAATATATTAACACACACAGATTATTATCTATGCATTTTTACATGTACTTCATGTTAACTTGGATGTATTAATATAATGAATAAGCCAATTGAAGAGGTGGAGTATATATTAAGATGACTATGATAATGATGATGAATGAAAATAATGATGAACAATTTAAAAGTCCTGAACTAATCACTAAATCGTAATTGTAATCAGTTGTAAATCCATTACGATTCCATTATGATATTTACTATGATATAACCTGACGTAACCTTCATTGAACATCATACACTCATCTCTAAATATGGACTAACAAGATGATGATGGAAGATGATTTTTCTTTCTCTTCTTCTTCTTTTCTTGAAATGATGATGTTGATGATGATGATGATGATGATGGTTTCGATCTTTTTTTCTCTCTGCCTTCTCTTCCTCTTTCTTTTTCTGTCAATCTTCTTTTGCTTCTGTAATTTCAAGTTCATTGATCTTGCGTCTTCTCATGTAAGATGTTCAATTCTAACGTAAGCATCTTTACTCATTCTACTCCTCCTTTTTCATGATAATCGTCATCATCTAGATTGAATTCAAGGTGAACCTTGTCAGGGGAGAGACGAAAGACTAAAATAGAGCCGATGAAATCTTTCCCATTGATTGTGTACAATTAACTACCATTGAATTGAGAATTGAATAGGAATAAAACAAAAGAATAATAATTTATCTTTATATATATAAGATTGTCTTTAACATTTTTCACTCCCACTGAATTCCCATTGTTTTTATACTTACACAGCTATTATAATAAAATATTTTCTCTCTCATCATCATCATTATCATCATCATCATTTTATCTTTCTCTTTTCATCCTCTCATCAACATTAATATTATTATTATTATCAATATTGTTCGGTGAGACTTGAATGGTTGATGTGTGTGTGACTTTTGTTGTTCACTTTCTTGCCTATCAATTTATCATGAAAATATACTGAATGCCCTGGAGACTCATGAAGTTAAATGTCAAGTTCAGTGGATGCGGAAGAGAGGGAGGGACAGAATTCAATACTACAATTGAAGTATTTTTTTTATCTTTGCAACTATTATTATTTCAACTGCTTCTCCATGAGCATCATACCGTAAATTCATAGACACATGTAATGTTATATGTCCTGAACAGTTTCAGAATGATATTAATATTTTATTCTCTCTCTCTCTCTCTTGACGAAGAAGAAGAAAAAAATCCCTTCCATTGGACATGGAATAAGAGATTTAATTTAATGTCAAAAAACTTTGTATTGTGATTGAATTTAATTCTTGCTATTCAGCTTTATTTCATCATGACTATAATTTTGATTCTTCAGAATCTTTTTCACCTTTTTTTCTGAGTAAAAAAAAATTCTCTCTTCAATATCTAAAGTAAATTAAATTTAAGGTCACAAAATCAAAGATAATATCATTTACCTGAACTCATCTAGAAATTTGTACCTTTACCTTTGAGATAAATATGATTTAGATGTTATCTTATCATGAACTTTTATTTATTTATCATGGGAAACACTGAACTTACTGAATTGATAATGAAAACTTTGGTTTTCTTACAATTTTTTTGTATAACTGTATTATTTTTTTCCTCTCTTTCCTCTCTTACTCCATTACTATTTCATGATAATTAACATGGTACATGATATCATGGAACAGGATTAATGAATTGAAACTTTTCCTTGGTAAACTTGTAATACTTTCATCCCTCTCTCTCTAATCATCTTGTTGATTTAATTTCTTGTGGGTGTTGATTTAATGCTATCTTTTTGATAATTATAATCTAACTTTTTTCTTCAATTCAATCTTGATTATCATGTTAATTTAATTAATGAATGACCATCAAGTTAATTAATGACTAATATTAAATTTTGATTTAAATCTATTTTCAGATTTCCCATTTACTATTGATATTCATACGGGTGAACTTTTCGCCAATGGTAAAATTGATCGGGAACAAAGGGAAACATATAATTTTGCAGTAACAGTAAGTTAATTAAATTACAATTGATTAAAAGTAACGCACAATCAATTCTAATATTGATTTAGTTTTAATTTCAATGATTATCAACAAACAACACTGACTCGTTTTGTTTTTATTTGATTAACTTTTATCTTTCTATTACTTTTCTTTTCACCAATTAATCCAATGATTGATTAACAATTTAACTGATTAATTGTTGTTATATTTTGTTTTCTGTATCTTTAGGCTCTTGATTATGGTGAACCCTCACATAATTCAAGTGTTGAAGTGACCATTAAAGTAAAGGACATTAATGATGAAAAGCCTCGTTTCTTCACTGACCCTTACTTGGCTCATGTTCCGGAAAACTTGGATCCTGGTTATAAGGTGAATCTATTTGATTAATTGTTGTTTAATTGTAACTAATTGTTTATCCATTGTTTTTATCATCAGGTGACACAAATTGCCGCTTATGATCCTGATCTTGGTGAAAATGGTCAAGTATTTTATAAGTTAGGTGATGGACATGATAACAAATTTTATATTGATGGAAAAGGTAAAGTAGTGATTAAATTTAAATTGTTGTAAAATTGTCTTCAAAGTGATTAACTTTACAAGAAGGAACAATTAACTTTAAACTTAATCTCCTTTCTTGTTATGGTCAGTGTCCTGTTTTTTTTTAATATAAGATGTCATCCATTGTGTGCTTGTAGGTTTTATTATTATTAATTAAATGGATTAATGGTCATTTAAGATTTGTCTTTGTACTTGACCAGACAAATATGTCTTTTTGTTGATGTATTACAATAACAGTTTTCTTATTGTTTCTTTTGTTACACTGACCACACTGACCAGGACAAGTTTGTGGTGTAACAGTTGAGATAAGAACAACAAAAAAAAACTTTAACTGGACAATAATCTATGTTTACATATAAAATAGTTGATGGTCAAGCATAACAATCTCAATTGACAGGTCAATTATAGCTTAGGTCAATGTAGATTATAATAAGTATAATAATTGAAGTTGCATCTTATCACGTAAATAATTGTATGTCCAGTGTTTAACTAAATAATTATTTTCTCTCTCTCTTTCTCTCTTTCATTTTCTCTCTCGGTTTTTATTTTATTCTGGTCATCATCTTGGTCATCCTCTGGTCTTTTGATCGTCTTTCATTATTAACAACGAAAACAATGTCCATGGTCAATCTAATCAAAATCTTTGATTATCATATGATTATCATTGGTTAATTTCTGTCTTGAATCTGTCAACAACAGACGGAACCGTTTGGACATTGGCTAAATTGGACTTTGAGGATAAACAGTTTTATAATATAACGGTCATTGCCTATGACAAGGGTAACCCATCACTAAGTTCATCGGCCAAACTTTGGGTCACCGTTGCTGATACAAGAGATGCTGTTCCAGATTTCCCTAAGGCTATTTACACATTAGAGGTTGCTGAGAATGCTAAAGTTGGTGACACTGTATTTAATTTGAATGCTGGTGAAGGACCTTTCAAATATAGTTTACTCAGTAAGTGTCCATCATTTTAACATATTGACCATTTGATTGTTGTCAAGAAGTTTTTTTTTATTTGAATATCAATTTTCCTAAGAATTTGTTTGATACTTTTTTTTTAATTTTAATTGTTTCCATTTGATTTATCAATTACTAGATGGTGATGTTGTTGATACATTTACTGTTGACACATCAACGGGTCGAGTTAAACTTGCCAAACCTTTGGACAGTGTCCAGCGTAATCATTACAGTCTAATGGTCAAGGCTGAAGACGACAGCGATCCTCCTAAATTTGATACTGCTGAGGTAAATATCATTTATCGAATTGTCATCAATACATTTTCAATGATCAAATGTCTTCCCACTTTCTTTTACAATCACAATTAAATCAATTTAAATTGCGCTAATTTGATTAGTATCTATGGATAATAATAATCATCAATATTAATGATTATAAAACAAAGGATTCTCAATGGATTTGAATAGCTGAAAATTATTATTCCCTATCAACAAAATGGATAAGATTAATTGTGTCTAGTAAATTGTTAACAGTTTAACAAGATATTTAACTAATTATTTCATTATAATCAAACCTTTATACAACTGTTATAATGATTAATAGTTACAATGAATGTTTATTATTATTATTATATAATTATAATCTCTTGGGTTTAATACATTTATGAATTGAGATAATTTTTATTTACTCACTTGATTGGGTTTACTTTTAATACTCTTCAATCAGCTTGATAGATTTTCACATATAGTGTGACAATTAATAAATTGTCACAGTTAATCATCATCAGTAGCAAGTAAAATAAGATGAACCAAATCAAATCAATCCATTCATTACCCTACAGGGAAAGGGATCAAAGTTTATATATACAAGATATTGAAACTATCCAAATGAATAAGAAGCATTAGTAAATCTTTTTACCGTTAGATTTGTTTGGTCATTTTTTTTCTTCTATTTCTTGTAAATAGAAATCTTTTCATTACTTTGGATAAGGACAATTTGATACCTAATCTTAATTAAGTTAGTCTTGAGTGAGCTTTAGACTTTACCTTCATCTTCATCTTCATCAACATTATCCTTTGTATCCTCATCATTTGGATGATGTTCATTGACCTTTCTCTCTCACTGATTATCTCAATGTAATTTTGTTCTTAGAGTTTTTTTTTCAATCAATGAATGAAACAACTTATTGTTTAACCTTTATTTCCAATGGTTGTTTTAATGATTCTCTTACTAAGAAAAGTAAACGGATGATGATGTTGTTCTTGTGTTGATGATGATGATGATGATGATAATGAAAATGTTTCTATTACATATCCTACAGGGTTTTCATTGCCATCATCATCATTATCATCATTTTGTTTCTGTTATCACAAATCTCTCATCCCTTATGTGTCTTCATGTGTGTTTATAACAAAGAGGATTAAGATTTGTTAAGATGAGAGGATGAAGATCATGGTGATACTTTTACTCTTAAATCAGTCTATTCAAATTTAAGCAAAGTGATCTCACTCTCTCTCTCTCTCTCCCTAAACCTCACTCACCCTCTGATCTCTTTCACTATCATCATGATCATCTATATCTGTCTTATTGCTCTTTATATCTCAAAACAAAAGCATCATAGGGATGAAAAATATTGAAAAGTTTCCATGTTGATGTTGATAAATAACTTTAATAGTTATATTAGATTGATGATTGTTTAGCTTTTCATTAGATTCAATATCATTTCATCCTCATCCTCATCTCTACTGTAAATATATAATAATCAATGTTTCAGCTTCAATTTTCCTCTAATAATATTGATTCAGTTATGAAGGATCATGATGATGATGATGATGATTAGCTTGAAGGTTGAAAGGTTTAATATTAACCTTGACTTTGGAAAAAAAAAACTCTAAGAAACTTTTCATTCATCATTTTCAAATCTCAGATGAAAAAAGATGAAGATAAAGTTGATGAGAATTGTGAAAAAAAGGGTTAAAATTACATCATTAAACTTTTATCTTCCTCATCTTTTTAACTTTTCATTCATTCTTTTCAATGTTTATCATTACATTAACCTTTCTGTTCACTTATTTATCCCTTTATCATCCTTATCTCTTAATCTCATTTTAATGTCTAATCTTTCACATTTTTCTATGTTGATTAAAAAGCTTAATTTCTCATCATCACCATCATCATTATTTTTATTATCACCAGCATCTTTTTAACTCCTCCCCTCCTTCATCTCTCACTTTGTTATCATTTCCTTTTCCTTTTATCATCCAATTGTTTTCTTATTCTTCTTATTTTTCTCCTACATCATCATCATCAGAATCAGAATCATTTCAAGTTCACTGACTTTCTCTACACTCTTTCTTTATCTTTCATCATCATCATTTTCCCCTCTCTTTTTTATCCTTTAAATGTAATAAGCTTCACATCTACTCTTCATCATTAGCATCCTTATTATCATCATCATCATTAGTAGTAGTTAATTTAAAGCATTTGCATCTTGATGAAATGTAAACATTGTAATAACACTTGGATAAGCTTATTGATTGTTTTTTTTTCTTCATTTTCTTTATTAAATTAGATTAATATTCTCATTGGAACTGGTCAAGGAGTTCGTCTTTTCCCTAAACGATTATATAAAATCTCAGTAATGGAAAATCAAAGGTCACCTTTAAACCTTATTGACCTTAACTCTACCGATGAACTTGCCCATCGTCCAGTTCATTATGCAATTGTAGGTACCGATTATGATGGACTTTTTGATATCGAATCGAAGACCGGTCAACTAAGAGTAACTCGTCCGTTTGACCGAGAAGCTCGTGACCTTTACAATATTAAAATTAAAGCTGAAAACTTGGGTCACCATAGAGTCGGTAAAAGGGCTATTCCAAGTTCATCTTCCAATCCATCATCTTCATCTTCTAAATCAAGTCTCAATGATCCCTTTAATTATCATCTTGCTTTTGATGAAACTCTGGTCCAAGTAACGGTTGATGATGAAAATGATAATTCACCAATTTTCACCAATAAAGGTAAACCCGCCGTGGCTGCTATACCATTGGAAGCTGCATTTGGCTATCAAGTAATCAAATTAATGGTAAGCAATTTAATCAATAATAATAAGTTTAATTACAATGTTAAACTACACAAATAACTTGGCTAATATACTTAACTGTATATTGTCAACAATACATTAATCATTTTGTTGATTAAATGAACTTGAAAAAGTTTTTATCTGGAAAACCATTGAACTCAAAAATATAATATCACGATAATGATAATCAAGTTAATAGCAATTTATCAACAATTTCAATCAAAAGAAAAGATATATAATTCAAATGGTAAATTTGATTTACTATTTTCAATTGATGAAAAGTAAGCATATAAAACACACACATACACACACACCTTTAACTATCCATTGACCAGTGTATTGACCACAAGGCAGATTAATAATGATGTCATTAATATTCAATGATTTAAGTTCATTAATTTGATTAATGAACTTGGAACAGGTTGAATATAATGTAAATATAAAGGATAAATGTTATTTAAAATAAAGTGTATGATTATTAATGATAACGGTAACGTAATGATGATGACAATGATGATGATGATGAATGGAATTGATGGAGAGAGAGTAATTTCTTAGTAAAGTTTATAAAAGAAAAATAGAAATCAAATGCTTGACCATGATAATGACCAATACTGAACTTGAATATGTAATGAAAGTAAGGCCATTGTCCAGTTAATTTGAAAACTTTTACCCGCCAAATGCCAAATGAATAATTTTCTTTTCTCTATTTCTATTCATAATAACAAGAGTTATTGGTATAATCTTTATATTAATATACGATTACAGACAGACAATGATGATGATCATCATCATTAACATGTAATCACAATCTTATTGAATATTTTAGGGAAAATGCAATAAGAGATATTCATGAGAATTCACCATGAATATGATGATGATATTTCAACAATTTACATGGTAAAATGTCTAGTGTGTTCTTGTGCCGGGTTAATCACTCCAACAATTTAAAATGATACCATTGATATAATATAATAGTTATAATGAATATAACAATTTGGGAATCAAATGTAAAGAGAGAGGAGAAAAATTTTGAAAAGTTCATTATTTTGATATATATAAATCATGAACTTTTATATACCATGAACTTGAACTTCTCTGTCTATATCATTAGCTCATCTGAAGCATGAGAAGTATAAAAATCAATATTAGTCCAATGAAAATAATACACCAAGCATATTATTTAAAATTATCATGACGATTATTATGATGATGATTATTATTATTATTTCTAGATTTTGATTATATTCCTTGGACCATTGGTTCTGATTGATGAGTTAGACTTGAAGATGAAATTGTTTACATGGATAATTTACTTTTCCTTTTTTCGTTTGATTTTTTTTCTCTCTCTCTCTTTACTATCATGATGAAAATCCATAGAGTTCAGGAATCACCATGTAAATTATTGTATCAACAAGAGGACTTGAGGGTAAAAATCAGAAAATCAACAACATGTAACATTGGTTATCACTCATTTAACTTTGATTATCATGGTGAATTTATATCATACAAACATAAACAAATATACGCACTTGAAAATTGTTTACTCACAATTTTTACTATCAAATTGATATAAATACATGATGATTTCAAGCTCCATGTTGAATTATATTCAGGATTTAATAATAAATGAACTTGAAAAAAAATATATAACATTATTTTTCCATGCTCTCTCTTTCTCTCTATGTTTATGTGTTATTGAACTTTCAGATAACATATATATACATGTACTATACGTAATTTCATGATTGTTATCATGAACATTTCAACATTGAACTTGAAACTTTGACTCCATGGTGAAAGTCATATCTTTGAACGTACTCAGCTTATATCAATTGGTTACTATTACAAGTAAATAAATTACAATTGATGTAATAATACAACAGTTTACACAATTTATTTATCATTTCTTATTGTGTAAAATTGATTACTATTATCATGTTGATTGTGTTTATATATTTATTCACAGTTTTAGACCATCATGATGTTGATCATGAGATGAAATTACTCAGTTCAACTTTGTTTTCACCAAAGTCATTAATTATCTTTCCACCCTCTTGAATTTTATTCCACTACCATGAAAAAGTTTATTTATTTATTTTCTTCTAATCGTGTTGATATTAGTGATAATAATAGATGAATGATAATTGTAACGATAACATTAATCAACGATTGATTAAAAGTTCAGTAGCCTTTTTTTTTATTCTGTTGATTTGTTTTACCAATCGATTGACTATTTATCATGATTATTGATCAAAATTAACAGGAAATTGATTTGTCTTATATGAAAATTACTCTAATACGATTAAGTTAAAGGATTAGTTTCCATATTAGTGTGATGATGGATTAAGATTTCTATTATTATCATTTGCTAATCTAATGCTTTCCAAGTTATTATCCTTATATATTTACCTTTATTATTATAATCAATTTATTGTTAATATCATGATGATGCTAATGTGTCATCATCATCATCATCATAAAGTTTATCACTTGTAGACTATCATGATGATGATCATCATGGAAAATGAATCAAATCGATATTTAAATTGAAATAAATTGATACATGTTCATATATACCTCAGGGTATTTTTTTCCTCATGATAATCTCTCATGAACTTTGATATATTAATATTTATATGTTTTTTTCCTACCATGATGGAATCGGAAGTTGAATGAATGAGTTTTGGTGAAGGAACTGAAAAAAAAAGTTGAGACAATTTAAAATTTGAATGAGATTCATTGTCGCTCTCATTGTTACAATTAGAATCGTAATAACTTGATTAACTAATTGCTATCTTTTCATTACCATTTCCATCATTAGTTACGATGATGATAATAATATTTATCAGTCATTGACATTGAACTTGTCTAATTATGTTTGTTGACGTTTCTCAGAATTTTTTGTTTCCATTCATTTGAAGCACATTGATTGTAATTAACTAACAATAGCCAAAGAAATATACTCATACAATTAATTATTTCATTTAAACAATAACAACAGACTTAATCATAATTAATTATTGTATATATACGATGATTGTGATGATTTGGATTGAAGTAAGAAAAACGTTAATGATAAACTATTATTATTACGTTTTGATTGTTATTATTATTATTATTAAGAAATAAGAGAAATCTTTTATTTGGAGAAAAATTTTATTGAGCTAATCATTATCATTATCATCATCGTGATCAGTATCAAGTTTGTTGTCCTTATTATTTGTTGATTACTTGACTTAATAATAATTATCATTATCGTGTATATGCCACTGGGTTGTTATTGTTTCTATTGATTAGTTGATTGTTGTTCTTATTGTTTAGTAGATTGATGAAATTATATTTATTTTTCTCTCTCTTCTACTTTGACCATAGGCCACTGATGCAGATTCTGGTATAAATTCAGCGATTCGATATGAAATACTTGCCCGAGGCGATGATGCATCTTCTAAATTTTATATTGACCCGGTAACTGGACTGGTCAGATCAATGGTTTCCTTTGCTTTGGATGGAGGTAAATTATTTGGATTTGATGTGAAAGCTACTGACAGAGAGGGAAGTGAAACCGGAAACTCAGCGGTAACCAATGTTTTCGTTTATGTTTTACCGGAAACTCGTATGGTTTTATTTGTAGCCGATTCTGAGCCGATAACAGTTGAAAGACGAACCGGTGAAGTGCTAGGTTTCCTATCTAATGTAACGGGTTATAATGTTAAAATGGCTAAACTTGAGCCTCACATGGAAGGTGAAGTTCAAGAAGCCCATTCAACTGACCTTTTCTTGTATGCCGTTAACCCGGAAACCAATGATATTGTTGACACTGATACTCTACTTGAAGCATTCCGTCAAAAGTCACATTCAATTGTTGATAATTTAAGATCATTCAAAATCCGCCGTATTCAGGGTGTTACAGTTCAAGAGAAAATTAGTCACATGGGTGCAACTGAGATCGCAATCATCGCCCTTTCATCGGTCATCTTTTTAGGAACCATATTGGCCATCGCTCTACTTTGCTCATCATGTAAGGAGCGAAAATTACACAAGGAACATTCTGCTTGGGAGCAACAACGATTATATTCAACAATTAAAAATCCACTGATGACCAAATGTATCAGTAACCCTTATGGAACTAGAGAACTGCCCAATGGTCATAGTACATCGACCTATTCTACAGGCGATGGGATAGGGTAAGAATCGAAATCTATTGATAAATGCGATTATTCCCTCGATTTTTTCTTCTATAATTCCCGTTAATTAATCGACTAATTATCTTTTCGTTTGTTTGGTTATTCATTTAGTGGCCCTGGTTATTCACGAGCTTCTGGTCGTTCAGTCCGTTCGGCCTGCACTGGTACAAGTTGGTCTTCTCATAAATCTCAAAACTCTGGAAGCCCAGCAACTGAATTATAGCAATAAATGAATTCTGATTTTCACGAACAATCAGCAATTAGGAAATACTAATAATATAAATCATTAGATAGAAAATGATAATTTTGTCATATCTTGAGTCTCTTTCTCATAATCATCATCATAATCATCATCATCACCATCATCGTCATCATCGTCATCATCATTTACATCAATCATCGTGCCTTATTTTTTTCTCAAGCTAAAATTATATCATCATGAAAAACTATATCTTAATTAATACTATTAATATATTAATTGTTGTTAACTAGTATTCAGAGATTTTAACCATCATTAAGATAAAAATATATAATTGTATTGATGTTTGGGGATGAAAACTCATCACCGTTAATATATAACTGTAAATATCATCCATCCCACTCTCCTCATCCTCATCCTCATCCCTGATAATCAAACGGATCCACAAAACCCCAATCCCATTTTCTTGATGAAAAAAATTATCCCTTCAACCTTTTGTTGTTACTTTTGATTAGGGATACGAAAAATGAACATTTAATTAAAAATAAATTGTAACAATTAAGAGATTAATCTTATATCAAAAGTCATTGCTTTCCATTTGTTTAATTAATTTAATTGAATTTTACAATTTTTCAGTTAATTAAGATCAGCATCTTAGTTGATTTTTACAAAAAGAAAACGAAACAAAAAAAACACCAAATAAGATGGAGAGAGATTGGGAAAAGGTCAAAGGTAATCGGATGATAAAGTTACACTTTGAAGGTTAATGATTAACAATTAATTAATTGATGTTGGTGATTAATTGTTCTGTATATTATATTGATTAACAAAATTGATTTTGATACAATTTATTTGTTATTCACCATTAAGAGTAACTGTCAACCCCTTGTAAGGACAATTAAGCTTTGACTTGGAAATTGATTTACAATTAGTTAATCAGTTGATTAACCTTTTCTTGATGATGTATTGTTAATTATTTTTACAATTCGTAATTATAATTAAAAGTTAATTGGTGTGTGTGTTGTATTATTTAAGATGATGATGATTTAGATTCAATCAACTTGTTTAATTCATTTTGTTTGATTTGATTTGTTTTTTTTTGCCTTAATTTTTGATGTTTTTACCAAATTAATCAACAATTAACATTAATATTTACAATCAGCTGATGACCATAATTATATCACATCTTCACTTGATCACTTTTTAATTGGGTTAAATTATTTTCTCAATCAGTTTTAATCTTTAATCATGATTAAATTGTGGTAAATAATCATAATAATAACTTTGATATATAAACTTTTTTTTTCGTTTAATTTGTTTTTTTTTCTTGTTTTCCTAATTGTTGTTGATTAAAAGTTGATTAACTTTCAGAGGATTTTTAAAGAGAGACATAGTAAATCAGTATAAATGAAAAGATAAGTTTGTTTGTTAATTGGTTCCGTTAATTGTTGATTGGTGTTAAAGGTTAAAAATATCATGATGATCACAATTAAATCTTATAATTGTTGATTGAAAGTTAATCAATAAGGTGGAGACTTGATCAATTGATGTTTGTTGTTGTTCAATCAATCAGAGAGGAAACGGAAATGATAAATTGATTATAATCTGAATCTGTTTCTTATTTGGCACTTTAAGTTAATTGAATAACAAATAGAGAGAGAAAGAGATAATTAAAACTAATAACAATTTAATAATGATTAACAATTTAAGATAAACTGAGTTTATATGTATATTAGACTAAGAGACAAAATAAAAATAATCCAATTTCTGTCTGAAGAAACGGAAATTATCATTAAGATTAAGATCCAAAGGATTAAGAAGCAATTTAATCTGATACTAAGTTCATTTCCGTTTCCTCTTTGTCTCAAGTTCCCTCTCCACCCTGAAGATTTACTCTTATTGTTGTTGTTGTTGTGTTTAACTGACTGAGTGTTTTAATCGGGATATTGTTATTATCGTTGCTGTTGTTACCTCATTGCAGCAATTGAATTGATATACTCACACTGAGTGTCCACCCGACCGGTATAACGATTGGTTGACCTTTGGGTGGTTCGATTGTAATAAGTTGATATTGAATTATCATAACGAACGGCACCACAACATTTACGGGACTTAACGATTGCGGCGAAACCTTTACGATACTTTTTATGAAAGAAAGCGTACAAAATGGGATTAATACAACTATTAGATGCTCCCAACCATTGGGCGATCGGTGCCATGGTCATAAAAATTTTCTCCTCCAGGGAATTGTCCTCTAAAACTCCACCCAATTTAAAACGAGCGAAAATAATATACAAGGGTAACCAAGAGATGACAAAAATGACCACAACAACGATCATCATTTTGGCCACTTTTAATTTTGACCTTTGCATGACCAGTTCCATTTGGGTGTTGATATTTTTACCTGTTTTCATTCCCGTTTCACCGGGTATATGTCGACGCCACACTTTCAACCAAATGGCGATATAACAACAGGTAATGACGGTTAAAGGTATCAGGTAACAAAGGAATAGATTTGCGGTCAGAAAATAGATTCGTTCAGAATATTCATCGGGCCAGGATTCGACACAGAACATCATCTCAGAGTGAGTGTTTGGTATCGGGTGAAGGGTGAAATAAAGAGCCCAGGGAAAGGCCACCGCAAGTGAGAATAACCAAATAATTATGATCATTCGACGAGCGCATTTTCGGGACATTTGACACTTTAACGGGTAACAAATTGCTAAAAATCTATTCGAGGAAAAAATTGTCGAAAATGAGAAGAGAGAAAAAAAATTCGATAAAAGAAAATTATTATCAATAATATTAGTTTTTCTTTCCAAAGTTAATTAGTGAACATTTCATGATAATACTTTCGATTCTCTCAACAATTAACCATCTCTCCTCCTCTTTACTGATAATTAGCTATTAATTGATGACGAATGGCTTTTAATTGTTCCAATTTAATTGTAACCGAGTCTCTCCCTTGTGATTATATTGATTGAATTTAGTTAATTGTTTGGTAAAGTTCAATAATCTTGAGGATTAGTATTTTTTTTCTCGCTATTTCAAAATTAATTACATTTATTGTTAATTGTTACTACACTGATTTCTGATTACAATATTATCCTTAATTTATACTTATTGATTTTTCCGCAATTTAATAATAAAATGCTCACTGATTATTATGATTAATTTAGTTGAGTGTTAATGATGAAAATAAATGTTGTTAAGATGAGAAAGTAAAATTCATTAATTGTAACAATTTACATTTAATTATAATCTAATGACAACTTGGAATTACCAGATGATTGTGATTACTTTAATTATCACAATCAGTCTGTCAGTTAATTAGTCTGACAATTTACTAATTATCCAGAGAATCTTCAATATCATTAGAACAATTTCTTTTTCTCTAAAAAAAAGTTCTGATTCATTCTCATCATCAGAAAATTCTGAATAAAGAGTTTCACTTTTTTCTTGCTCTTTCGAATATTGAATGAGTCATAATAATAATATTCTGATTTCTACCAGATCATCAGATTCATGATAGAACTTCATGAGTAATCATGTTCTCGATATGTCCAGAGTTTTTTTTTGTTTCTTTCCAACTTGAATCTTCTTGAATATGAACTTGAATTGGAAATCTGATTCAATTGATTGATGCAAGTTCAATTTCAAAGTTACGATTCATCATGAATTATCATGATGATTGCGGTTCTAAATGAATGATGAGGTTAAAATGTTCCAAATGATGTATTGAAATTGAATATTTGTCGAGCGATTCAATCAATAAAAAGAATGAGATTCTCATTGTAAATTGTAATTCGAAATGGGAATTGATTTAGTGGGCGAATTTAAATGTTTCTATTTTCAGGTATTATCGTTAAGAATTATTATTATCAAGATACATTGAACTTGAACTGAACTTTGAATAAATGATTCAAATGGTTTTCGTTTCTATCCAAATAATAAAAACTTCAACTTGAATCGAGAATTATTGTCAACCAATTTATTGATTTTCTATCGATTTTATCGAAAATCCAACTTGAAATAATATTAATTGATTGAGTGTTGACATTAAATTACCATCATCAGTTAATTACATTTTCCTTTAATTATCTAACTTACTTTGTTTCTGTTTTTATACCTTGACAGTTAAGTTAATTGAGTTTTCCAATTCTCCCATGGAATCAGGTTCAGAATCAATGATTCCGATAATTTCTGATGATTCTTATGTTTGTAATAACCATATAAAGGAGGAGAAGTAAAAAAAAAGCTGCTTCCTGATTATCATCTTGATTAATTCAATCAGAATGATTGTCTTGTGTTAATTTGATGATGATTAAACTTAACTAATACAACGATCAAAGGTTCATCATGATCAGAATCATGATCATAATTATCATGATACGTTGACCTGATCGTCAGGTAAGGTACACAAGGAAAAGAGTATAAAAACCAGTGGGAAAAAAGGTAATTAATTAATTCATTGAATCATAATTATTAATCGTAATGACAACTGATCATCTGATTGTGATCATACAGCATTTAAGGCTTTATAATCCGGAAGAGATTCTCAGCCTGACAATTAACAATAATTTTGCCCATCAATCTAATAGTCTACATATCAAGCTGAGTTAATTGTTTGATTATTTAGTTAACAATTAAATCTTCATCAGGAAGTGATGGAAGTCAAAGTTTTTAATACTTTTCTCGTTGAGCTTTAGTTGTATCATTGAATAGTATTGAATTGCGACTTGCATTGTTAATTTATTGGTGGTTTCATCTTTGATTATGGTTTTCATAATTTTCATTCAAAACTCAGCTGATTCATTTAGATGATGATAATAGTTATGATTATTGTCAAATCGAAATGATAAATGAGATAAAGAAAAGGTTGAATTGTGAATTTTTTTGCCTCATAGATTCTGATTCATTGGCGCATCATCAGAATGACTTTTTTGATTCTGATGAACATGATAATGATAAGTCAATGCTCTAAGTGAGAGAGAGAGAGAGAGAGAGATGCTGATGTTGATAAAGATGCGGAGCAAGTTCAATGGGCCAGAATAAGATAGGATAGGAAAGAAGGAGGAAGAAGATGGGGATGATATAAAAAGAAAGATGTTTTCTCTCTTTCTTTTATTATCTTCATCTTATTATAATAATATTTCGGTTTCATGGTCCAGGGTAAGGTCAATGTTACAGGGAATCAAAAGAAAGTGATAATAAAAGATGAGGAAGAGGAGGAGGAGGAAGGGATATGATGCTGGTGGTGGTGGTGGAAAGTGAAAAAGTTACTAAAATAATGATTTCGTTAATCATTATCATCGATAATTGTTATTCCAATTATCATTATTATTCATTCATTTATTCATCCTGATTGCTGACAATCAACTAGATTAAACTCCCACATGATAACCATCCTCATAATTTATTCAATAAAATCATAATTCAGCTTCACCATTTCCTCATCCCTTATTTTCTGGTTTATTTCCGTTTCCTTTTTCTGTCTCATTACAATTGATTCTCTTTCATATAATGTGTGTATATCACTTTTTTTGGGTATCCATTCATTGGTACCTCAATGTCCACCACCATGTCCAACACCATCACCTTCATGATAAATCATTAATCATCATCATGATGAGATGAGCAATTGATTCATTTTGAGATGAAATTTTGATTCTCTTTGAAAACTTTTTTTTTATCTTGTTCGTTATGATAAAGTTGAAAGGGTGTAACTAATCACCATGGTGATTAATCATTAATCACAAATGTAATCTATTTAATTACCATCATCAAAGTTTGATAACAAATTTACATTTCAAATTAACCGCTAACTCGTGCTAACGGTAAAAACTACAATCAAATTAAATTTCAATTAAAATTCAATTACCTTGCTTGTCTTGATCAAACATTAGGCATAAAAACAATTAACTAAGTACTACCTTTGCAATTAATTAACTACTCAAGTTTTAGATTTTGATTGATATCAAACCTTTACTGTGATATAATTTTACAATCAACTGTCAATTAAATTGTAATAAATTTTTTTCCAATCACTTTCAGGTTAACAGTTTAATCAACTTTTCCAATTAATCAAGTGAACAAGTAGATCAATCAAAAGTTCAATTGATTGATCATGAAGATCATGGAAAAGTTATCAAAAAATTAACGGAAATTTTTTTCGTCTGAAGAAAAAAAAAGTTCACTCAAAAGTTCAGACTAATAGTTGATTCAGTTTCATGATATAATCTCAATCCATCTGAAGATTGACACCTAGACTCATTGGTTAACATCCTAGACTAAAGGAAAAAAAATCTCCATGAAATTATCTCCCCTGAATTCAAGGTGTATGTATATTTGAATGAGTAATTCTGTTGATCAATCTGTTGAATGAAAGTTTTTCATGAAAGCTAATTCCAAATATTAGAAACACTTACTAATACATAAATCCGACAATCAATCATGATTTAAACTCAAGTCTGTAGCTTCTGAATTATCTGAATAAAAAGAGAAAAAAATATGAAATTTATGAAGAATCATTAACATGATGATAACCGATCAATTGAATTCGGAATACCCTGAACTTGAACTTGACAATGAGACTAAACGAAGAGGAAAAAAAAATCAATCAATTCCATGTATTCATGAGCCTGAACGAATAATAAACCAAAGTGAATGGAAAATATTGACTCTCACAATTTGAAAAAGGAATCATTATCTTCACCATGATGGTCATGATAGTTTCTCAATGAATTTCATATTTATTTTTTCACTCTCCATCTTATTTTGAGGAGAAAACAGAAACTTCAATTCAATCGAGTTGGATCATTATCTCTTGGATAACAATGAACACACTCATAACTCTGGTCAAGAACTGAACTATCATCATGAAAAAGGGGATGTAAATAAATGTTATCGTTTTACATTTGAATCATTTATGAAGTATCAACATCATCAGGAGCTGGAAACATGGTGAAAACAATTGATTTCCCTTGGAATCCATTTACTGGACATTAAACTCACAATCCATGATAATAATGTATAAACAAAGTACAGAAGTAGTAAAAAAAAAATAACAAATAACTATTCAATTTAATTCAGTTCAGTTCAGTTCAGTTCAGTGTATTATTATTGTTACAATAATAATGCAGAAATAAATAAAAAAAAAGTTCATGATGTAAACTTGTTGTTTTTTCAAATTCAAGATCAACACGAATTAAGCTGAGTATTCAAATATTATCCAAATAGTTTGCAAATTTGTGATGATTTCATGATGATTGTTTCATGAGTTACTTTGTCTTATCATGGAGATTGAATTTTTATATATATTAAAATGAAACATTTCCCATGTATTAATAGTATATGAACATATGAATTAAATTGAATAAAATGTGAGGGAGGGAAAAGTGTTTAGGAAAAGTTTTAAAGGATTTGCTCATGTTATTCATGGAGAGATTCATTTCTCTTCACTCTGTGTGATTGATTGTTCTTGAGTTTGATGAGATAGCCTGAGAAAATCATGGTTAACAATAGTTGGTGAGTATTCTTGTGCTGATGATACACTCATATGATGAGACATGAGAATGAGGAGGAAGAAGATGATGAGAGAGAGAGAAAAAAAGTTCCAAGAGAGAGACAGAGAGAGATTACAGAAAAGTAACTATCAACAAAGTATATTTATTATAACAAAAGGAATAAGGATAAGCTAAGGATTTCCCACCACAAACCAACATCACACC